GGAAGCAGAGAAGAGGGGCCATGCGAGCGAAGCCGGGAGGCCAAGGCAAGACGCCGCAGGGCTGGTGAGGCCGAGACGATCATTGATGTGATGTGATGGGGGGGATAGACGGACCAGGCAAGGCAGGTGGATAAGCAGGGAGTGAGTTTGGCGATGCCTTGGTGTAGGTATCTACCGGTGCGCAGGTTAGTCGGTAGTGGTATGGAATCAATCAATGCTACCTCGCAATGCGAGTACTCCGTAGCGGCAGTCGAATTGCCGTCACTGGACACTGGCGAGACAAAAGAGAGCGGGAGAGGCTGGAGGAGGCCGAAAAGACAGACACACAGACTGATGCAGCGAGCGAGAGGGGTAGAGCGTCGAGTCTCGAGTCTCGAGACAGGGGGGTGGTAATGCGTCTGCGGCCTCGTTTCCGGCCTTGTCGTGCTGCGCGTGCGAGTCAAGCAGCGTCGGAAACGAACCAGCGATCGGCCCAGTGCTGATGCTGGTGGTGGTGATGATGGTGTTGCTTCAAGGGTTTGCACGAGGCAGAAGGAATCAATGGACATGGATCGAATTTGGACGGCTCGACTTGCCATTAGCCAGCTCTGACTAGGGAGCCAGTTGTAGCGGCCGGGGCTCTGATCCGGGTCGGGACAGTTTCTGGGCCGCATGCTGGACGAGCCGCCGGAAGATCGGGCCCTGGGCGCCGTGCCGGGGGGTGGCCAGCGCTGGCTGGTGGCTGCTGTGCGCGGCTTCCAGTGCTGTTTGCTAGCGCTGTTTCAGCGGCGCAGCCCACTAACTAGCAAGCCCGATTCACATGTGGTCCTGTTCAGATAGATTGGATCAATCCAATGCTAGCATCTACTAAGGTACATGTATACATGTGCAAATATCTTCAAGTAGGGGTTGCACAACGCACAACGGTCTGGACCTGTGTGCGTGTGTGTGTTGCACAAAGAAAAGCATGGACGGCAATGTGATTCGGCCAATATGGCCATTTCCTGACCTGTATTAGCGCTCCATGCTAGCAGGGACCGAGGCAGTCGAGACGAAAAAGCAAATAGGCGGGATAAATATCACAAAAAGGCGGAGAGGAAATAAGCAGAGGCCTTTTGCTCCTAGCCCCGTACCCATAGCCGGGCCAGAGAAAAGAAAGAGAAAAAAAAAGGTGCAGAGTGAGCGGGGACCGCCACTTTCTGGTTGAGAGCAGGGGTGTTGCAAGGCAATAGGGCGGTCACTGAAAGAGGAGGCAGCGTGAGAAGCATGGACCAACCAGCATCCCGACTTTTGCCAGAGATCTGCTGTCAGTCACGTTAGGTTCGGCGATGGTTTTAGTTTAGCGACCCAGCCGGCTGGAGGCGGTTGGCAGCGAGCGAGCGAGTTGCTGTGATGCTGAATCACGGTGGCAGTGACACGGTTTGGGTTACATGGAGATGCTTTGGGACGGCTGTTGTGAGATGGGAGAGATGGGAGATAGATGGTATTGGATCTCAGTCTGAGACGCAACCGTTGTGCCGTTGGCGTTGCGTGGCCTGTAAGGGAGAGAGCACAGAGAGAAGAAGAAAAAATTGCTTCCTCACATGCACAGACATGATATTGATCCATCTAGGTGCAGACGGACGGCGGATTACTCCCTACAAGGTACTGCCAGGTACCTGCCATTCCATCCAGCATCCAAGCAACCAAGATGACCTGTAACACCGCCTGGCTGCCTTGCAGATTGGCACGGGTACATGTAGGTGCTTCGAAAGCGAGGCTGCTGCAGCACCAGGTACTTGCAGGTACCTCCTGAGTGAGCATGGCAATTTTGATCTTGTCCCCAACATCTCCATGTTGGCCTCTCCACCGCGCTCGCGTGGTCGCACCGCCAGAAGCCCCCCCTTGACGGGCTCGCATACAAGTACAGCCGCTACTGCGTACTACAGCACTGGCGGTTGACCAGATGCTACATCATCACGGCTCGATCGAGACGGTGGACACGAGCTAAAAAGGGCGGTCTCCCATCCCGACCTGGTGGGTGGTGCGTGGCACGCAGACTGGCCCAATTGCCGGGCGAGGACACGCAGCAAGCAAGCAGCCCTGCAGAGACCCCCCTTGCCGATACTGGCGGCCTTGGCCACGGACGGCTGAAGGAAGTCTTACAGGTGCCCGGGCTAGAGAGGTCGAGGAAGAGGAGGTGAAGAAGAGGAGAGGCAGGCAGGCAAAAGGAGACGACGAAATGAGGGACGGAAGCATCTTGGTGGTCGGGCGTTTACGTCATGCTAGTACTACTTTGGCGGCCTTCATTTTACTTGAATTCAACCGCGAGTGCTGCCAAGGCAAAGTATCCCGTCTCCCTGTCGACAGAGACTGGCCGGCGATGCGATGATGGCGGGATTAGGCATTGGTGCTGGTGCCGACTCCTGACTCCCGGCTGCTGCTACATCTGTCACGACTCCGTACCTCGTACAGCTCCCTGCTTCTAGCCGTGCCTCGAAGCACCAGCAGGCAACAAAGACGGGCAAGTGTCGTTTTGGTCGACCACATGGACTTGGGACCAAAGATGAGTTGCGTTGCAGCAGCATTCGGCCCTCGAGAGCATTCAAGGTCCAGAGGAGTGGCGCACTAGCGTAGTTGCATCGCACCATCTCATCGACGGTCCAATTTTAGCATCAATCAATACTACAACTAGTAGTACTTCGTATTAGTACTCGTACGAGACAAGACATGACAAGAAGAAGAAGAAAAGGCAACCTACCCAAGCAACCAAGAAAGAAGCAACGAAAAGACCGAGAGAGACAACAAAGGCCCCATGCAGCCATTCGGCCGTGTGCTGGGGCGTGTGGGAATCCTTCCTGCGATGCCCCTTTCTCGGCCCCCTGGCTGGTGCAACCACTTGCAACTTGGAATATGCAAAGCTGGAACCACGCCCAGCGTCCAGGAACCCGCCGCTTTTTTCCCTCGTCACCGCTCCATGGTTCCCGGGGCCTGTCGACGCCATGATTGGATCGCCGCCACTCTGGAGGAGTCATGCATGGCGCACTGGTTCTCACCGACTTCACCGAATTTCACTTTGTTTGCCATGATTTAATCGTAGCCGGCCGCTGCTCTTTTTCGTCTGCCAGCCCGGCTCAAGACGCCTTATTCTCTTCTCTCTCATCTCTCGTCGCCCTCTCCCTCTCCCGCCTCCTGTCCTATTTTTGCAGGCCAATTCTCTGCTGCCTTTTGCATCTTTCCCTCCTTCACTCGGCTGTTGCTTGATCTGCCCATTACAAGCCATTGTCGAAAAAAAAAAAATCGATTCTGCCGGCTCATAACCCGCGACCGCCTCTTACCAGCTTCACACCAAGTCTCGTGATTTCCGTCTGGCGCACAGGGACCGCCAGCAGAGCCTCAACCAGCTCCACTAACAACGACAACCTTTTTTTTTTCTTCTTCCATCCGTTATCATGTACCGGCGATACGCTCTCGGCTTCTCCAACGTCAGCCGCCAACTTTCCACCATGAGTTCAACATCGGCAACTCCCCTGGAAGATGCGATCCGCGCCAAGGTTTGTACTTTGTATTTTATTTTATTTCAGCATTGATCTACGTATGCATTGTACTGACACTTCTCCTGCAGCTGACTGCGGCGCTCAGCCCGATCACGCTGGAGATCTACAATGACTCGCACCTCCACTCTCACCACAAGGCCATGGCAGGCGTCACATCCAAGGAAACGCACTTTCGGTATGGACCTCCCCACAGGCACCAATTCGCACCCTGTTGTTTCTGGCCTGACTAACGCCAATTCCAGTCTTGTCATCATCTCCGATTCGTTCGCCGCCAAGATGCAGCCTGCACGGCATCGAATGATCTATGCTCTGCTGCGGGACGAAATGGCCCAAGAGGGAGGCATTCACGCTCTCCAGCTGAGGACCTTGACTCCGGAGGAGGAGAAGCGCCAGCAAAAGAAGAAGGCAGCTGAAGCAGCAGCCAAAGAAGCAGCCAAGGAGGAGCGCTCTGCTGCCGGAAAGGCTGAGGCTGAACCGACACAAGCTTAGATGCGGCGCTGGGAATTTTCAAGCAAGCTTGAATCAAACTTCTGGCGTGAAGTACTTGCTTGATTCGCCTGCATCGACGACTCTACGACTGTCTCCGCTAAAGCCCGATATCGCAATGGTCCCAGGCGGACACTAACACCCCTACCGCGTTGATACAACGCAATGATTTTTAATGCTTGCACGACGCGCCATGAACCACACTTCCAACCATTTTCTTTGCTTCCCCCTTTATCCGCCATTTCGATATTTTCATCGCCAGGCAACAAACAGCAAACGGAATATTAAAAAAAAGATGAAAAACTCTTACAGGGTCATTGGGTGGCCATGTCATTTGCTTTTTACAATAAAACATTTGCATTCGACATTCAGAGACAGCACGAAAACGACAACAGAAAAAAACATTATGAATTACTGGCGTTACAATATCGCTGTGTTTTTGAATTATTATTCACCTTCTGGAATGAGACGGATTAGATGGTTCGCTAGTACTCCTCAGGGAGTCGGTTATTTGTTTCTCTCACTTTATTATTTTTCTTCTCTTCTTCTGCTTTTCTTCATGACGGCCTTCTTTTTGATGAAAGTGGACGGGTTTATCATGGCGCTATCTTACTAACAGATACGCGATATGTCCGATTATTTATTTATTTTTTTCCTTTTTCAGTTTCTGAATATGTTACCCATGCATAACGCTCTCATGTCAAATAGACCAGATTCCTTTATGAAAACCAATGCAAGGAAACAAAAAGAGACACAATTGCTGTGCTCTCTTCTGTCCAATCTCAGTGCTAGTTTCATGATATCATTCATCATTAAGGGCATTTCCCGAGTTCATTCAAAAGTTAACCTAATAAACGCCCAACATTTCGCACCGTTTATCCAACCTGTTTTTATCGATATCTCGACCCAATGCTTGTTACATAATATACGTTTACATCATTAACCCATTCACTCCTCATCGTGTACCCATCTTTCCATCTTTTCTTCCTAATTCAATGACTAGTTATCCGCCCCGCTGCCGAGAAAGCTCGTCGACGAGGAAGTAGCCTTCTTCCGGAAATGCTCCTTCAGCCGCGCCCGCTCCTCGGCCGATCTCTTGCGTGGCTTCGGGATCGCCCGGCTACTTGAGCTAGGCACGGGGCGACCGCTTGAGACTATGTTTCCGGCATGGTCGGCCGGTTGGTGGGGGGATTTAGAGCTGGAATACTTGGGCGAACGCCTGGTGGTTGATGGAGGAGGAGCTGTGGAGGAGGGGACGGGGATAGGGGGGATGGGAGCAGGGGCTGGATGGCGTCTGGGAGAATGTCGTTCAGGCAACGTCAGTTCTCTCTGTGGTTGTAGTTGCGGTGGTTGTGATTGTGACTCTCGTTGTGGTCGTGGTTTAGATCGAGGCTGAGGCTCGCGTGTGTGTGGTCGTGACCGGGATCGCGATTGTGGCTTGGATGGAGGGGGAGGGGAGTCAAAGTCATCGCTGCCTGGCTCTGGGGACAGAGGTCGAGGAATGGGAGGAGGTGCCAGCGGGGCTACTCGCGACGGTGCCGGCAAGGATGGTGGGTTTCTCGTGGGCGGAGGGAGCTCTGGCTCGGCTCGGCGTTCTTCTACCACGGTGATGTCCATGGCATTGTCGCTATCCAACAAATCCACAACATGCCGTTCACGTTCACGTTCACGTTCACGTCGACGCTTGGGCTCAGGTGATGGCTCTTTATCCGGTTCCTCCTCCAGCTCCATTTCTAATCCTCGCTTTGACTGTGGCTCTGACGCTTGCCTCTCGTCCGTTTCCTTGGTTGCATGGATTATGGCCCTAGCTCTTGCGGCCTCCTCGGGATATGCGTTCAGAACAACGCCAATGTTGCTCGTAGTTATGCACATACGGTTAAAGAGGATAGGGCCTTTTTGCATATTGAACCATTGTATAGCAGGAAGTGGTTCCTGGCCGGGGCTCGCGTTCTGCACGTATCTCAGAAAGCCGCTTGACCAGGCCCTGATAAAATCATCATACAAATACTCGCGTATTGCCAACTCTTCTTGAAGCATCTCTAGATAGACGCAAGCCTGAATAAACGCCAATAAGTTACCCGAATGAACCACGACGTAGTCGGGGTACGTAGCGGTGAAAGCGGTATAGGGGTCCGAATGTTCACTTATGAACACATCCACTGCCGGCGCCTGTATCCGAAACAGCTGATACAGGGGGGTATGGCGGTGCCGAGATATATCTTCGCTATTGGCCCCATCAAGCCGCTCACTCGTTCTATTCCGAGGAGTAGCATCCCTGGCAGCGAAGTTATGCGGAGGAGGTGGAGGAGGCGGCGGGGATGGCGCGCTCTCTACTCTACCATGATTGTAAGGAGCGGAGTTGCTTGAGCTTAGAGAAGCCGAGTTCTGGACATGTTCCTCGGGCAATGCTCGCTTGGAAGGCATGCGCTTAATGGACACCGAGTTCGTTGAACGCGCAACGACTTTTGGGCTATCCTCACTAAACTCGATAGGTTTCATCCGTCGTGATCGACCGTGGGTTGGATCAGCTTGCACCACCGACGATTTTGGATCCTCCGACGAAGTACACGGAGCAGAAGCAACTAGCGGCTGTGCGCATGGAGGCGTATCCGTAGTGGTAACCATACTTGTAACCAAGCTTGCGGGTTCTTGAGGCGTTGCTGTTAGATGCATCTGGGTAGTTGCGTAGTTGATGGGAGCCTCGCGGTTAATTGAGGTATTGTGGTTTTTCTGAGGCTGTGGGAGCTCCATCTCAAGATCCTCGGGCTCGCTGGCACTTGAAGAAGGGCCAGGACTCGGTGTACCATGGAAGAGCAGTGGCTGAGTGAGTGGTGCAGGCGCAGGACTCGAGGGCGTCTCCTCAATGGGCGAACCGGCGTCGGACATCTCATCGTCCTGCTCAGCTCTGGACCCAACTGGAGACTGCGACCATGCTATCGGAATTTCCGGCGAAGACGGCGGCGCACCATCACTGTTTGATCTCGCTGGAGTTGAGCTGGGAGAATGGCTATTCTGGCCGTCCCGGTCATTGGTGGTGGGAGCAAGGTCAGAGTTTTCATCGTCCTTGGGGTTCTCCTTCTCATTTTCGTCCTTGAGGCGGATAAAGGCTTCTTTCAGCGTCTTTAAAACATGGCTCGGGACAGTGGCCAATCCGTGCGGCCCATCTTTTTGGTCAACCGCCCACGAGTTTTCTAGCTCCAGCAGCGACCTCTGGTCCTTGGGGATGTTGCTCAGGCTCCGGCGGCCCATCAGCTTGGCGACATCGTGCGCTGGCGAGGTCGAGAGAGACATTGACGATGAGTCCGGCGGCTGGTCGGGATTCATCTGGTGCGACCTCGTCAGCAAAGAAGAGAGTCGGTCGACCGTACAGCAGTGCCGAGTTCCGCCAAACGAAGCTCAACAATCGCAAATCCGTCAGGCAATCAGAGCGAGTTCGTTGGGCGCTGACAGGGCTTCCGATCCCATGACTCAAATGCCAAACACCATGCAAGCGAGCGGGACGTCGCAAAACGCGGTCCAGGAATTTTTCTGGAGTTGAGGATTCAAGATCGCGTCTTGGGGGTGGGGGCACAGGGTGCTGGATTGGAAGATACAGAGCACGAGAACAGGCACTCGAGCTAAAGCTACGGGGGATGTACTGGCGGCCTTAGCGCATTGCTGTCGCATGCCAAGTACTCTGGTACAAGCGGTCCAGACCGCGACACCGCCGCCACCGCCTCTGTTGGCCGTGTTGGCCGTGCCGCCGAAAGTACCCGGGTACCTGGCCGAGGGCCGGCGTCAGGGAGCATCAGGTAGCATCAGGTACTGGCTGCTAGGCGCTGTCGCCGGGAGCACGAGGATGATAACGAGCTTCCAAGAGGTGCTTATGGAGCAGTGACATTATCAAGCCCGCAGTAGCAACTCGGATACCCATCGACGGGCAAAATAATGGAGGGCGTTGTGCCGTACTGCTCTCTATCTTAGTATCTCTACCTAACCTAATCTCCAATAGGTGGTGCTGCGCTGCGTCGTCGGGCATCTGCCAAATCGGGCGGTCCCTCGTTGCCTCCCAATCACTGACGACATCTGGAGCCCCTCGCAAACGTGATTCTGCCTGGGCTGCATTTCATCTGCACGCACCGCATCTTGAGCCTCTGGTTTCTGTCTCGCATATTCTCACCTGCAGCCTGCCTACAGGCGCAACCCTACATCTACATACGGCTGCTGCTTGTACCTCCCGGCTGCCGATAGCACGCAGAGTACTTGCGCATCCCGCTCTGACGTAGGTACAGTGGCGGCATCAGCTCCCCGCGGCTGCATCGCAAAAGCTCGGGTTGTGACAAAGCAAGCTCAAGCTGTTGCCCCAAGCCTTCCGAAGCGCTGCCCTCAAGACCTCGCCAGCTTCTCCTCGTTGTTTCTCCTACACCACCATGCCAGCGACGCCTCGGATGCGCCTTCGCTTGGAAATAGACGCCTGAGCGACGGGCTGGTGTTTACGCACATGCCCTCTCCCTTCCATGCCCGCGTCGTTGCACAGCACATAGAGCAAGGCATCCAGAGCGCATCTGGCGCAGCCGACTTGCAAAGCCCCCGTCTTGCCCGTCATATTCCACCATGGCAAGCAATATATCCACCTCGAAGCCCCTCGACGGCTCCTCCTTCTCCGGCTCCCTCATCTCTCCCACAAACTCGCGAGAGCGCCGCGACTCCATCAACTCTGTCTCTGTGAGCTCCACCCTCGAAAAGGAACAGATGGCGCAGGCCCTCGACCAGATACATACCGCAGCCAGCCGAACCGATTCGCTGACTCTTTTCAACGAATCCTTTGCCCCTCCTCCGGTGGTTGTCCCGGATACAGAGAGCCGGGGAACAGTGCAGCAAGGTCTAAGCGGGCTCTACACTCGACTTCGAGTGGCAGTTGGTGCGGCCAGCTCGTCCAAGGCGGCGCAGCGGGAAGACGACGCTGAGAAGCTGGAAAATCTTACTAGGAAGGCATCAACGGGTGGCGAGGGACATCGATCGAAGCCCTCCATTTCTTCCCTAAGCCGCACTGAGACGGCGGCGACTATATCCAGCACATCATCTCAGCCAGCGCAACCTGATGTTTCCTCTCCCACAGCTTCTATTGGCCCTACAGATCTCAGGTCGCAAATGCCTGCTACAGCCAAGTCTGGAAGCATCAGCTTGATTGGAGGTTCTAAATCTCATCCATCTGGTCGGCAAAGCCTTCCAACAAACGCCACAAGTGATGTGACTGCTGCTGAACCCACCATTACCTCTGCGAGAAAACGTGAGCCAAGCCGTAGCTCCGCTCACACTGAGGACAGCGCGGCCCAGGGTTCGCGGCGAGGGAGCACCGGCAGACCGGGTTTTCAGACACGACTCTCGCCCGTCGATTCACCAGAAGGCAGCATTCCCTCAGGATCTCAAGGAGACGAGAGCGTTTCCAGCGTTGGAGGGGCGAGCGGTGATGCCCCATTAAGCCCAGTCAAGGGGAAAGCCCCCCTTATGTCGCCGCTGCAAACACTTCACTCGCGAAGTCCCTCTGCGGCGTCGTCTCTCCTGTCCCCCGATGACGTCCGCCGGAAGCCCGCCGTCATCGATCGTATTAGCCATTCAAATCAACGAAGATACGCAGCTTCAAGGGACTCGTCCATGGACCGTGGAACGGCTGAAGCTAGCCCCATAATCACATCTGCTCACAATTCAGTGCATCATAACTCTTTCTCTCAAGAATCCAACCCTCAACACTCGCGATCTGGTGATGTCCGCATCCCAGGCACCACAGCGAGCCATCAGGGGGCCACGGACCAAATGAATGCCCAGCTAGACAGAATGCGCAGGCAGATATTAAGTAAAGAGTTTTGGATGAAGGACGAGACAGTAAAAGAGTGCTTTCTTTGTCAGGCTCAATTCACAGCATTCCGCAGGAAACACCACTGCCGAACATGCGGCTTCATCTTCGATTCCAAGTGTACCATTGTCATTCCAGGTGACAAGTTTGGCCTCCCTGGCTCTCTGAGGGTTTGTAAGCGCTGTCTTGATGTCATCACTCGACGATTTGATGCCAGCGCCTCTGAGGATTCTGGAGATGAGCAGTCCTTTCTGCCCAGAATATTTGGCACAGAGGATCCTAGGAAATCAACGGTAGCCTTTGCACAGCACCCCAAGGAACCAGAGACGTTGGAGGGCTCGGAGACTTCAAGACCAGTAAATACACCCATGATGACGATACAGGCCGCTCGTCGAGTCAAAGAATCTAACAACAATTCATCTGTTCTCGAGATTGGCGCTCCACAGCTGAGTCGACCAAGTTCGTCTCGCTCCCTTAAATCTCTTTCCTCTGGTCGACCGCAATCGTCTGCCGGCCATAAGAGGCACCATTCAAAGCATGGGTTGTTGGGGAGAATCAAGCCGGATCAGGCTCCGTTTCGAAAGGGCATTCAGGAAGAAAACGCCAAACGAACAAAGTTCCCGGCTTTCCATGATGACAATATTATCGATCCGGAGTTGGCAGACTTCATGTCGGATGACTCCAGCGGAGACGAGCAGGTTGGCAGTATTTTTGCGACCCTCGCATCGGCCGAGATACCTCCCGCAAGTTTTGACCCTGACAAGTCAAATCTCTCGTCACTCATGAATACAACCAAGAAGCACCAGCACCACCGCCATAGAGGGGGCGAAAAAAGTGTCAGCGGAATGAGCCACTTCAGCCGAAGTGGATTTGGGCTCGATGAATTGGCACCTGGCTTTGCCAGCCATCGCAGGACAAACCGACGTCGCAACCTCAGCAATGTCAGCGGTAGTGTTCATCATTTTGGATCCCCGCGTCCTAAATCCGTTTACAAGGGACCCTCGGCATCATCAGAGCTGCTGTTTCCCGTAGATAACTCGATTCACCCGAATCACAGCGGGACCCAGCTGACTAGAAGCAACTCCCTGCAAAAACGCAAGGCGGCCAAAACCAAGCTGAATGAATCTAGCTTGAAGCATGTTGACAAGCTCCTCCATCAACTCTTACTTGACGCCGATATACCTAATCCCGAGGCGTGGAAAAAAGCGCTCGTTCCTATCCTTTTACAAACCACTGATGATGTATCCCCCGATGTTGCAAATGGCGAATCCATGGACATTCGGACTTATGTGAAGCTCAAGAGAATTCCGGGAGGGAAACCAGGCGATACTTCTTACATCTCCGGCATAGTCTTTACCAAGAATGTTGCGCTGAAGAGCATGCCACGCAAGATCACAAATCCGAGGATTTTACTTGTCGGATTTCCGATTGAATACCAGAGACACCAGCAGCAATTTATGAGTTTGGAGCCGGTCATTGCTCAGGAGAAAGAATTTCTGAGAATCGTCGTCCAGAGGATCGCGCAGCTTAAACCTCAAGTTCTGCTCGCCGAGAAGACTATTTCTGGCTTGGCCTTGCAGTATCTCTCCGAGGCCAATATTTCGGTAGCCTTCAACGTCAAGCGATCAGTAATTGCAGCTGTTGCCCGCTGTACTGAGACCAAGATCATTGAGTCTCTTGACATGTTGGAAGCTCAAGTTGGGAGGTGCAGTGCCTTTGAGGTCAGGACCTTTGTAAACAATGACTACCCGGGTCGAAAGAAGTCTTACATCTTTCTTTCCGGGTGCCGACCCGAGCTCGGCTGCACCATTACGCTTCGTGGAGCTAGCGACGCTCTTCTTGCCAAAATGAAATACATCACCGACTTCATGGTCTACGTTGTATACAACCTCAAACTTGAATCGAGTCTCTTGCGGGATGAGTCCGTCGAGCCTCCCGAGGCCAACGAGGCGACTTCAATGTCTAATTCCTTCCAAGCATTGAATGAGAGCATCCGATCACTGAACTCGGTTTGCCATACGAGCAACGGCGGTGGTAGAGGCGGCCCCATTGTTGTGGTCAACCAACCGTCGAGCGAGAGCGAGCCGCCCTCGCAGTTGACGATGGATAGCTCAAGCCTCGGAGGCACTGATGAAGCTTTGTCACAGCCTCCATTAGACCAGATGCTTTCTGAGCCACCTAGACTGCTGTCGCTGCATGAGTCTCATACCCATGACTCCACATTCAGTCAGGTTCCAGATGATGTGCCTATGCCAACATTCTATAGCGATATGGTGGCCAAATACGAAACCAAGATTCTCTCGGTATCGCCATATGTACGGTTCACTCAGCCGTACCTTCTCATGAAAGCTCGTGAGCAAGAGAGGCGCCTATTGTATCTCAAACGCCTGAGGGACCAAGACATGATTGAAGAAGACTTGGAAAAGAGCGAACCTCCAAAGTTTCAACTTATCAAACCCGAGATGGTCGAGGAGCTTGGCCAAAAGGCGCCTCGTCAAATAATGGAAATTCTTCACGCGGTGCATGACGCTGAATATGACAAGGCTCTCTATAATTACCAGACTCAAACTCGTCAGTGGGAGACGTACATCCAGGGCAACTTGGACTTATTTGATCCTTACTCTCACCAAAACATCATTATATTGTATTCCGTCATCTGTACTGAAACGAAAATCCCCTGTACGGAACCCAGCTTAGTCGGCATCAACTTTTACGATGAGCAGCGCGAAGATACTAGCATGGATCCAGACTGTACTCTGGGCCAGTACATTGAATACCTGGTGAACAGCAAAGATGAGATATGCGACTCAAATGGATGCGACCGCAAAATGGCACAGCATCATCGTACCTTTGTCCATGACCAGTTCCGAATCACGGTGTTTGTAGAGCATCTCCCGAATGCCCCTCCTAGGTTACCCGAACTGGGCGATGGAATTTCCATGTGGAGTTACTGCAAGCTCTGCCAGAAGGACTCGGAGGAAATCGCAATGTCCGAGACTACTTTCAAGTACTCCTTTGGAAAGTATCTCGAGCTCCTATACTGGGGACGCGGCCTGCGGATGAAGGATGCTATGGAGTGCCCCCACGACCATCAAAAGGACCATGTTCGTTACTTTAGTCTACATGACTCTCGTGTTCGGATTCACTGGGACCCAATTGATCTCCTCGAAATTGTCGTACCGCGAGCGCGACTGACGTGGAAAGTGAGCAACGACCTAAAGCTCAAGAATGACATCTTTGGAAAGATGGATGAGCGCTGGGCAAAATTCATGACCTCCGTCATAGCCCGGCTTGAGAGCATTAGGATCGACAGTGTCCTTCCTGAAAAGGCCGAGTCTTGCAAAGCAGAGCTGGACCGACTGATGCAGAAGGCCAAGGAGGAGGAAGCCTTCATGGTCCAACGCTTGCAGGATATTTACGTCAACTCGAAGTACTACGAGGTCGTCCCCTTTAACATCATTGTTCGAGAAATGTTGGAGACGGCTAGCGAATGGGATCAAGTATTTGCTACGTTTGAGGCTGACTTTTTGGGAGATAAAGATATGCGACAACTCACAATGTTGCAATTGAAGAAGATGTTCACCGACAACGAGTCCAAGGAATCGCTCGGGTCCAACGAAGGAACGGGATCTGCCGCGGACAGCGAGGAACGTCCATCCCAAACCTTTTCCGAGGCAGAGGAAAAGTCTACACAGCCGACAGATTTCACCGACAACAGCATGGAGGCAAGTGCAACCTCTTCGAAGCTTGCTGTGGAGAGGGTTGATGTTGAAGGCGACGGCCCAGTTCAGGCCGTGACCCAGGAGGCCATTGATCATGTTCGACCGTCAGATTTGGCCAGCGCAGCGCCTGTTATGATTCAAGATTCCCAAGCCGCTACTGGCAATGAAGATGCTAAAGCCGCCCCCGCCGCTTCTGCTGCAACAACTCCGCCAGATACGGCGCCAACATCACAGTCGCCAGCATCACCAGTCAGGATGGCTCGAAGTCCCACAAACTCTTCCATCTCTGGGCAGTCCCTCAGCGAAAGGATTGACGCAAGTGCCCTGAAAAGGTCTGCACAGCCAAGGCAGTCGCAGGATTCCAACGAGAGACCCGCCGATATGGAAACACCAAGACAGGTCTCCGAACAAGGTGTTCGACGAAAGTCCACAACCAGCACGTCGCCACCAATGGCCAGAGCTATATCGCAGCCATCCCGGACATTGTCTAGATTACAGTCACTTGGTAAATCGGCTGGCTCGTCCGAGTCGGTGGCAAAGGTGCCAGAGACTGCCAATTCAGATCAGCAGTCAGAAGGTTCCATCAAATCGGATAAAAAACTGTCTGAGCGACTTGGCCTAAATGTGTTGAAAAATCGTGGGAAAATGGCCGGATCGAGCATTCCACGTCTTGTCCCTAAGAAGAAGGAATCAAAGGTTACCACCCTGGCGAAGCACTTTGAGCAGCTTAGCAGAGAGTTCAGCAGAGAGTTTGAGAAGGAGCGCATCCGTGACCGTAAGAAGCGCGCGGCTAGTATGCGAAACCCTCGTCCTATGCTCCCCAAGACATCCACGCAGGCAATTGTACAAGTATACGACAACGTCAATGAAGCATTTGACGAGCCAGCTGTAACAAGCGAGCCAAACACAGAGCAAGACACGGAATCACAGTCGCGGTCGCAGGATACATCTTCAGTTCCGCCAGGAGTCAAAAGAGAAGAATCATCCAAGGTAGAGTCACAGACGGAACCACCAACTCCTAACGAGCCCCCTCTACCATCAGATGGTCAACACCGGTGGGACGATGATACCGCCAACGTGAACACGAGCCAGGGCATGTCAGACGATGAGGGTGGTGCTAGTGACGCTGAGCCCTCAGTATCTGACGAATTTATGCCAGACATTAAAGAGATTGCCGATTCCAACGCGGAGATTCCACTTGAGCTTCCAAAACACCAAAAAATGAGTTTAATGAAATACCTGACCAACTTTTGGGCTGAACGATCAGCAAGCGGGTGGCCTTCATTGGAGTATCCTGTCAACGCCACTGACCACATCTTTGTGGACTCTGACATTATTGTTCGGGAAGATGAGCCAAGCTCGGTTATTGCGCTGGCCCTCAACAGTGACGATTACAAGGAGAAGTTGGCCAATATCCGGCGAGATGCGCACCAGACCATGCTCCGAGAAGCAGATGGCATCGCGGATGGCCATGTGGATGGTAACGTAGACGGAAATCTCGATGGTGATCTCGAAGTTGGCTTCGACGGTGATCCAAAATCGGCCCCAGTATCAGACAGCGCAGATTGGGCCGCTGACGAAACAGAGCTGGAGAAGAGTTTGCTCCGAGCCACTGGAACGCATCTCAAGTATCAATTCAAAGAAGGTGCCGCGGTCATGACTTGCAAGATTTTTTACGCAGAGCAATTCGATGCTCTCAGACGAAAGTGTGGTGTTTCTGAGCGGATTGTAGAGTCGTTGTCACGGTGCCTTCAGTGGGATTCAAAGGGTGGCAAAACCAAGTCTGTCTTTTTGAAGACGCTGGATGATCGACTTGTCTTGAAGGTAAGGAGAAACAGGATTCGGGGCGAAGAGAGGTTTCAAGTTGCGCTAACCAATATTTACATACAGTCACTTTCAACAATCGAGACATCTGCATTCTTGCGATTTGCACCAGGATACTTTAGCATTATGGCTGAGGCATTGTTTCATGACTTACCCTCGGTAATCGCAAAGATGATGGGATTTTTCCAGGTCGTCATTAAAAACCCGGTAACTGGAACGGACATCAAGTTGGACCTGCTGGTTACGGAGAATTTGTTCTACGATCGATCTCCAACGAGGATCTTCGACTTGAAAGGCTCCATGCGTAACCGCAAAATCAATGCAACTGGCGAGCAGAATGAGGTCCTTTTGGATGAAAATATGGTGGAGTACATTTATGAATCTCCGTTGTTTGCGCGCGAACACTCCAAGAAGCTTCTCAGGGCGTCGGTTTGGAACGACACGTTGTTTCTGGCGCGACAGAACGTAATGGACTACTCTTTGATGATTGCAGTTGACGAGAGGAGAAAAGAACTCGTCGTCGGCATCATCGATTGCATCAGAACATACACGTGGGACAAGAAGCTTGAAAGTTGGATCAAGGACCGCGGTTTCGCAGGTGGTGGTCGGAATAGGCCGACTGTGACTAGTCCGAAGGAATACAAGTCTCGATTCAGAGAGGCCATGGCAAGGTAAGTTTGTTTTTACAGCGAAACCATCATCCTCTGCGTTGTGTGGTGATACTTGAGGGCTAATCACATTGCAGATACATCTTGCAAGCTCCCAACTGTTGGCATCTGTTTAATAAGCCTCAGTATAACATGCTATATGGTCGAGCGCGGTTTGAAGACCAAGAGGCTTAAGAGAGTCGACGTGAAACCCAAGAAGAGAAGAACAGAGTTAACACTGAACTGTGCGCTGAAACATGCAGAAGCCCCTCGGCAATTTCTCCTTATCATGGCGTTGGTGTATTGGTATCTAGGCTCGTCCCATTACTTTTCTTTTACGGAATTAGTTGCAGAGTTGTCCACGCTTATTCTTGCATGTGTTGGGGGAATGATATTTAACTGAAGCAACAGCGAGATACCCTAAATGTTACATGACGGAGTTTAAAGTTGGCTTAGAAAGACGAAATTGCAAACGGTTTGATTCAAGCTGTGTAACTTTTGTTGTTAGAAGCAGTATAATTTAAAGAATTCAATTTTTTTAGGTCAATGATGTTGTAACAGCATTGTGACTTTAGTTGATGCTGCTTGGAAAGTGAGTGAGTTATTCATGACACTAACCCCACTCACTCAGTGATGCTCTTCTTTTAAGCTTTTCAACACTCATTTAACAATCCTGTTCCTTCAATCCCTCTGTACTATAATGACCACCAACTGCTGTGCGGCTTTTAATCACTTCTTTTAATTTCCAGATAGAATCTCCTTCTCCATACCCAATGTCGATTGATCTCAACTGGGAAACGCTGACCACGGGGCCGGACGGCGATGCGCTGGCCGAGAGCATCAGAACCTTCATCCACACAAAGTTCCAGACGGTGCCGTTGCCACGCTTCATCAGATCCGTCAACGTGCACGGATTCGACTTTGGCACGATCCCGCCGGAGCTGGAGCTGAAGGACATCACAGATCCACTGCCGGATTTTTACGAGCAGGAGTTGGAGGATGACGAGGAGTCGGACCAGGACAGCGACGAGGACGAGGAGAGCGCCGCTGAGCGGGAGAGGCTTGCGGCGGCGGCAGCGATGATGGAGGCCAGGAAGCGCGAGAACGGGCTAAGGGAGCTGAGGAGCGAGATGAGCATGAACATGGGCATCAACCCGAGCGTTAATATGAGCGGCCACGACGTCGGCAGGGCGTTTCTAGGCACGTCGACGCCGGGCATTCTGGGTGGGCCGGGGAGAAACTACTTCCAGGCGCATCTGGCGACGGGCACGCAGACGCCGCTGGCTGCGGTTGCAGGCGCTCATCTGGGTACTAGCTGGATGGGCTCGACGGTCGGGTCGGAGCATCACACGCCGTATCACAGCCGCGAGGCATCGCTCAGCTCCCTCGACAACCTGCAGGCACTAGATCTAGGAGCGGGAGCGGGATCAGGGCCGGGCATGGCCAAGTCGGACGTCTCCAGCACTCTCGGCCCTCCATCACGGCCATCAACCAGCCACGGGCCCATCAGCGGCTCCGCCGTCGAGGACGACGAGGAGAACGAGAGGCCGGGACAAGGCACGACATCTCCACGGCGCGAGCCCCGGGTCGAGGACGTGCAGGCCGTGTTTCGGATCCGCTACTCGGGCGACGTGCGGCTGAACTTGACGGCGGAGATTCTGCTCGACTACCCGATGCCGAGCTTCGTGGGGATTCCACTCAAGCTGAATATCACGGGCTTGACGTTTGACGGGGTGGGTGTTTTGGCGCATATACGGAAGAGGGTGCATTTCTGCTTCTTGAATCCGGATGATGCTTTGGCTGCGGTAGGGCCGGAGGCGGAGGAGGCAGCAGGGACGACGACGGCATCAACAACGGCGGCAGCAACGGGAGGAGGAGACCTGCAGGGGTCTGGCAAGAAGCAGCCGGGAGGAAGATTCGGCGGGCTGTTGCAGGAGATTAAAGTCGAGAGCGAGATTGGCGAGCGGGAGAGCGGGCGGCAGAGCCTTAAGAATGTGGGCAAGGTGGAGAGGTTTGTGCTGGAGCAGGTGAGGAGGATATTTGAGGAGGAGTTTGTGTATCCGAGTTTCTGGACGTTTTTGGTGTGAGTCTGGCCTGGTGGTGGGTGGTTGATTTAAGGGAGATATATTACGGCATTACCATCTCCTATTCTTTGCATTATCATGGTCATTATTTTGGTATTGTATTTCTATATAGACACGGAAGCATGCTGCTGCAACATGATACAAAAGACACTATGTCAATGTTCGTCTAAACCCCTGGTACGCCTGTTGGATATCCAGCTCTAGCTCCCTTGCCTGCTGTTCGCCCAGTTCATCCGAGGCCTTCATCTGGTTCAGCGTAATGAGCCACTGCACAATCTTTCCCCTGTTATCAAAATCCTTGTCCGTCACCCGGTTCACCGACTGGATGACATCTGAGAGTAGCGGGTGTAGTTGGTCCTTGGAGAGTAGGCCAAGTTTGACGGCGTCGAGGAATGTGATGAACTCTTGTGTCGCCTCGAGAATCAGCACGCCACTGGTATTATTGGTAGCTGCGGCAGGGGCTGCGGCCGGGGCTGCGGACGATGCGGTGACGGTTGTGGAGGGCATGCCCACTCGGAGGCGCTCAGTCGCTCGGGGGACGTCGAGCTTTGGTGATCCCGGTTGTTAGCTAAGTTGCATCTTTAATGCGGAAACAATAGCGACAGCATAAGGAAGCATACCTCCCACTTGGCTTTGAAATCTTCCAAGTCCCCAAACTCGGCTGCAATCGTCTCGTCTGCCAGCAGCGCCTTGTACTGCCTTAGCGAGCGCTCGCAGATGTCCGTGTACTCGGCCTCGGGGATGGCATCCTTGAGGAACGCCTTTTCCAGCTCGTCCAGCGTGATTATGATGCTAAACAGCTCGCCGAGAGAGTCTTGGAGATCGCGCTCAGCGCGCGTGTTGCTGAGTTTCACCTCCTGTGCGGTTGAGAGAGCAGAAGACGAGGTTAGCTGCCACGCACGCACATCATACCGAGGAAGGGGGGAGGGGTCAAAGACGTACTTCATCGAGATTGATGGTGGCAGACAGACTCGTGTTGGGGACGTAGCTGTGAGGAGTCGGCGCGTAGCTCTGACGCGTGTTCATGATGGTGGATCGAGGCGAGGCATCGAGGAAGAGCGAAATGGCTGAGTGTGAAGCTTGCGAAGTCGGTGGTGACGACACTTATAGGCCGTCCAACTTTAGAATAGTGGTGTTGCGACAGCTTACAGCCCACTTGAGCCACTGTAAGGCACTAGCTGGAAAACTGTCGGCGCCAAGTGGTGCTGCCGGCAGAATTCTTTCACCGCCCAAGATTCTCTTGGTGGAGCTCTTTATCGATAATCGATGGCCGAAAATTTTTGGAAAGTGCAATTGGTACGTCGAGGCGCGACGCTTCTGTTCTCCAAATCAGCATCTTTTTTTTTCTTCTTTTATCATTTTTCCTTTTCTACCCTTGGAGTCTTGGATTTGCAGCCCCCAACAGCGGCTGTAGCAGATTATCCAGAATGGGTGTCTCCAAGAAGAATTTGAAAGCGACCAAAAAATTCGAAAAGAATCACTTGAAGGGTGTTCTGGACAAGAGAAAGGCCGGCGCAAAGCTCAAGCAAAAGCTGCAGATTAGAGAGAAGCAGAAGGCGAGACGAGCCCAGGATTCCGAATTCATAAAGGGTTCAAAGGAAGGCCAAGATGCTGCCGCCGCTCCCGCCAAGAAGCCTGCCGGGAAGGTGAAGAAGGTCACCGAGATGAGCGTCGACGATTTCTTCCAGGGCGGCTTCGAGGACATCATCGACAAGAAGGGCAAGGCTGGCAAGCTTGGCAAGCGAAAGCGAGACGAATCCAAGGAGGAAGAGGATGAAGCAAGCGAAGGAAGCGATTCGGAGGCCTCAATGGGCGGCATGCCTGTTGCGAGCGATAGCGATGACGATGACGACGACGAAGCTGCTGGGCCTGGCATGAGCAAAGAAGCCATGAAGGGACTCGCCGAGAAGGACCCCGAATTTTACAAGTTCCTCAAGGAGAATGACCCCGAAGCGCTGGATTTCGACGAAAATGCAGATCTCGCAGAGGTGGACGAGCTCAGCGCCGGCGAGGAAGACTTGGACGAGGAGCTTCCGAAGAAGAAGAGAAAGAAGGGCAACAAGGCGGAAGAAGAGCCGGCGCAAAGCAATGAGCTGACTCGCAGCACCATCGCAACCTGGAGGAAAGCAATGACTGAGACCAAGTCTCTGCGAGCGACCAGACAAGTGGTGCTTGCATTCCGATGCGCTGCCCACCTTAACGAGGCCGATGAGGAGGGCCAGGCGGATCAGCGATGGTCCATCAACAGCCCAGAAGTGTTCAACGACATTCTACTGCTTGCTTTGAAGGAGGTACCGGTAGTTATGAACCACCACCTCCCTACGAAAGAGTCGGCCGCCGGCAAGGTCTACGTACAAACGGAGGGAAAGAAGTTCAAGGCTTTGTCAGTGCTCTTGAAGTCTTACATCTCCTCCATCATGCACCTCCTCAGCACCCTCTCGGACGACGGTACAATCACAGTCACCCTCTTGGCTATCGTGGAGATTCTTCCATATCTGTTGTCCTTCAAGAAGCTCATCAAGGCTCTTGCTAAAGCCATGGTCAACCTGTGGTCTCAAGCCGCCGGCTCCCACTCGTCCCGTGTCACTGCCTTCCGAGTGATTCGACGACTTGTCATCATCGGAGACAAGGGCATCCGGGAAACCGTCCTCAAGGCCGTCTACCAGGGTCTTGTTCAGGGCTGCCGGGTCACCAACCACAACACGCTCCCAGGAATCGACATGATGAAGTATTCGGCCGCCGGGCTCTGGGGCATCGACCCTGCCGTTGGCTACACCACAGCCTTTACATTCATCCGTCAGCTCGCCATCCACCTCCGCAACAGCATTGTCAACAACAAGAACAATTCGTTCCGCATGGTCTACAACTGGCAGTTCACCCACTCTCTGGACTTCTGGGCCCGCGTCCTCGCTGAGCACTGCACGCCCCTGAAGGAAGCCGAGGCCGGCAAGGAGAGCCAGCTGAGACCGCTCATCTACCCCCTTGTCCAAGTCACACTTGGTGCCATGCGCCTCATCCCTACATCACTATACTTCCCTCTCCGCTTCCACCTTATCCGCTCACTGCTGGTCCTGTCACAGGCCGCCGATGTCTACATCCCGCTCGCATCGCCGCTGCTGGAGGTGCTTAACTCGGCCGAGATGAAGAAGGCTCCCAAGGCGTCAACGCTCAAGCCCTTGGACTTTGCCGTCTCTTACAGAGCCCCCAAGTCATATCTCCGCACGCGAGTCTTCCAGGATGGCATCGGAGAGGAGGTGGTCGAGCTCATGAGTGGCTTCATGTATACTTGGTCCACCTCCATCTCCTTCCCCGAGCTCGCCCTCCCTGTCATCATCCAGCTCAAGCGATGGCTCAAGCAGGTCGGCTCCAAGTCCGGTGGCAACAAAAACAATAAGCTCGTCTCGCAGTTTTCTGTCCTCGTGCAGAAGCTCGAGGCCAACGCAAAGTTCATCGAGGAGAAGCGCGCCAGGGTCGACTTCGCGCCCAAGCACCGCAGCCAAGTCGACGCCTTCCTCAAGGACTTTGACGCTGCCAAGACGCCCCTGGGTGCGTATGTTGTCGGCCAGGCAGCTGCCAGGGCTGAACGCGCAAAGGTCCTGGCCGAGGCGAGAAAGGAGGAAGAGAAGAAGAGGAAAGAGGACGAAAAGGCTGATTTGTCAAACGAGGATGAAGAGGATGAGAGCAACGATGAGGTGGATATGGATGGTGAGCTAGGGGAAGATGATGACGAAGAAGAAGAAGGAGAAGAAGGAGAAGAGGATGATGAAGAAGAAGAAGAGTAGATGTTGTATATAGCCTGATTCATGTCAGATAATATGGAGTTTTTGGTTCTAGAGTTTTAAAATAAGAAAGAAACGAATTGGTCGTTGATTCATATATTTTTACTTGCTCATTTATCCACAATCATGTCGCGCCATTTTACTCGAGAGGAGTGGCTAGCCAGCACCCCATCCGAAGATAGGAAGCTTGTTAAATAGACAAAACTACGGCTTCGACTCCGACCGGAGAATCAGGCGACGTCAGGCGATAGGTAATGACGAAATTGCAAAGGTACCCGCACCGGAAGCAATACTGGGGGAAAGAAAAAGACGAAGCAAAACGCTTTAGAGGCCCGCAAATGCGATCGAGACGATGGACGAGGGGCTTCTGAAGCCACTCACGGTGTTTATAAATACACATCAGCAATGGTATCTCAAGAGGATGCGCCTGTGCGGTGTTGCTACAGAATATGTAGAGGGGAAAGGGGTAGTGATTGTCCAGAATGGCACAGAAACAATAATTGAGAACAAGTGGATGACCAGCGAGGTAGTACTTTACCAGTATGTTACATTGTCACAGGAGGGTGCCTATACTAGACACCAAGAGAGAGCTGTGATAATAGAGATACTAATAGATAAAATAGCAATACTAGATGAAAGTAGATATAGATGGAGATAGTAGATGTAAATATATTTAATAGATCAATTAGATATAGACAGATCAAGTAGATACAGGTAGATCTAGTAGATACGGCTAGATCAAGTAGATATAGCTAGATCCAGTAGATATAGATAGATCTAGTAGATGCTGATAGATCTAGTAGGTAGCAAAGGGACTGGTCATGGTCACCGTGTTATTCATAAATAGGGGGATACCACTATAAGTAACAAGCCTCGTGAGAAATCAAAATCAATTCTTTGATCAACTAGTCATACAGTAAGAATTCATCAAGGCTATAAAACAATACGCCTATTATACCCTAATAATCCCCCAACGCCAGTGCTTAAAAAAAAAAAAAAAAAGAATGCCTTAGGCCGCGATACCCTCCGTCATTTGATCACTCATATTTGTCACCTCTCGAACATGCATGCCCGTGATGTTCAAGACTGTCATTTCCACCTGCTCCTGCGTCATTTCTTGGCCGGCAGCCTTCTGCCCTTCAAGAACATCATACAAACTGTAGATTTGGTTGTTCTTTGCTTCAACACGATCCAGCAGCTTTCGTATTGCTGCAGCGAGAGTTTCTCTCTTATGGCGCTCCATCGACTTGTCACATTTATTGTATCGCGCTTGCAGTTTTGTCAGCTCCAGCTGAATATGCTGCGACTCATCCTTCAGGCCCTTGATGACAAGAGCCAAGGCTTCGCCGGGGGAGTTGGCTGGGCGAACGGTGTGGTCTCCTTCCGGGACACGGTCACTGACGGGAATGGGCCGCGGTATTGATACACGCTTCTTGCCCGCTGCCAGGTCAATCGAGGAGATGACGCCAGAGTGAGACGTGATGCGGCTGCACACAGTGCAGTCCTGGCAATTGTGCTGAGAGAGGCCGTCCAGGATTTGCCGAGCATTATTCGACAACGCAGGGCATCCATCTCTATCAGCAGAATCCATTGTCGTCCTCTTCAACTTTGAATCGATGTGCACAATTTTCGGCCCTGACTTTCCAATACTATGGCTCCGCGATACTTTCGTCTCTTTGCCCATGGTACCGTCCTTATGATCCGTGTTCAAATTGAGGGAAATAGCGAGGTCCTGGGTGATATTGTCCACCGACATCAAGCCAGTGGTATCTTCATCACCAAAGGGGTCCAAGTCCGGAACCGATAGGCGGCTCACGCTCCGACGCTTGCTGCCCTGGTTGGCCACCGTTGACTTGGATGCTGCCTTGTCAGGAAGAGCAAAGGCAACCTTCTGAGCAGTGCCGGCGTTCTTGGAAGGTGATGACCTGACACTACTCTTGGATCCAGGACCAGGCACGTCTTTTGTCTCGGTATCGTTTGTCTTGAGGGTAATGTCGGGCACAAAGAAAGCAGACGTCATGTTTTCCTCCGTTTCCGCTTCCTGGCGGGTAAAGTCGCTCTTGCTATTACTGGAGCCTCGATAGCGTTCCAACTGCCTCTTCAGTACCTCAATCTCTTCCTTCAATTTGAGGTTTCGTTCATGCAGATCATGGACACTATGCTCAAAGCCGGCATTCTCACGGCGTAGAATCTTGTTCTCACTAAAGTATTTCTCGTTGTGTCGAACCAGGCCGGCATTGTCTTCGCGAAGCGTCGCCCTTTCTCTCTTCAAGGATTGGACTTCTCGCTGCAGTGCTTCAATCTCCTCGCGAGCAGCATCAAGCTCGTGTTGGGTACCATCCAAGCTCTCTCGGAGATCTTCATTCTCGTCCATCAGACTCTTGTTATTGGCTCGCAAAGTCCTATACTCAGTGAGACCATTGCTAGATTCAGCCTCCTGGCGGAGATGCTGCTGTTCACGCCGCAGAGCCGCGATTTCTGCTCCAAGTGATGCATTGTCGTGTTTTAGAGCCGCAACATCCCGACGCAGTGTGTCGTTATCCTGTCGAACCTGTTCGGATGACCCCAGCTGCTTGTGAGTGTTTTCAAGCTCCTTCTCCTTCTCCTTAAGCTGCTGAGCTAGCTTGCTGATATTTTCACAAGCCTTCTGTAGACGGCCAATACCACGATCACGTTCTTGAGTTAGAGTATCATTCTCCATATGAAAGGTGCTGATCTGGTTTGTCGCTTGGTCCAATCGCCTCTGGAGAGATGCCACTTCAGCCTCGAGTGCTGTGCGCTTGTTAGTGAACAGGTATAACATTATAAATGGGGGTATGTCCAATTACCCTTCTTCTCTGATGCATTTGCATTCGTATTCACATTGAAACCGGCGAGCGCTCCATCTGTGCCCTTACGAGACGCAAGCCGAGCTTCAAGCATCTCGACTTTCTGCTGAAGACTTCTGGCGTAGTCCTGCACCTTTTCATACTGGTCCTGAGCAGCACGGATAATATCCGCTGATGCAAAGATTGCAGCTTCTTCTTCGGCAACCTTAATGCCATCGACTTCTGCGTGTGGCACACCAAAGGGCCTGACTTTCTGGTCGTGTGGTCGGCCGTGTCTAACAATGATTGGAGCACCATCCTTAATAATCGATCCGCCGAATCTGAATGTGCTAGTAAGAAAGTTATCGCGGCGCGCAAGGTCTGAGTCCGTCATGAGGGACGAGTGAGCAATTGGAGGAGGCGGTGACGGGGGCACAGCTGTCAAGCTGGACTTGGCAGATGACATATTGCTGTCAAGGGATGGGACTCGCCGGTCCTCTTCCCGCTCCCTTGGGTTGGATGACGCCCTCCGAAGGATTTCCAATGCTTCTTCGACAGAGGTCTGCCGTACTTTTTCTTGATCTTTCAGCGGAGGCGGAGATTGGTTGTGTATTTTTGATAGAGGGCTAGGGTTGTGAGGAGCAGAGTAGCTCAGGCCATAAGTAGAGAGGCCTCTGGCGGGTGGGCGTGAAATAACTTGTGACAGATCAGCCTCGTCAACGCGCGGTTGCATCTCCGAGCGCGTTCTCTTGGAGCCGTTCCACGCGTCCTCGGTGGTGTCATCAATGTAGGCCGGAAGCGGAACAGACTTTGCTGGTGTGTCTTTGTTGTTGAGATGCGGCGGGTCAGCCAAAGGCGCTGTTGTGTCTGTCTGGTCGTCGAAGATGGGCCGGGTCTTGGGCTGGGAGTAGAATTCGGGCCACTTGCGGCGGGCAGCCTCCCAGTTGATGGGCAGTTTTCTGGGGGCAGCAACGCGGGCAATGTCCTCCTGCAGCCTGCGTGTGGATTCGCCCTCGGGATCTGAAAAGACGGATGACAGCGTGGGGCTGGCTCTGCCGGTGGATGACGGAGGGGAGTTGAACGGGTTATCGCTGCTAGCCTTGATTTCCCTAATAATTCGCGAACGATATCTGGTATTTGCGTCGGACTCCATCGCTCTTCCGCACGATGCTGGACTAGAGCTGCAAGAGTCGACGATGGCTGTTTGGGGGTTGGTGAATGGCGGTAAGCGGCGGCGGTTTTCTTTTTTTTTTTTTGTGTGTGTTTCGCGTCGCGTCTTCGTTGTCAAGGGATGCGCCAGGCGGTCGGAAGCGAGAAGGGAAGGATCTGGGGACTCGCTAGAATTTGCGTTGGTCGGGTATCTCGATGAAGTCGAAGCTGCCAGGCGTGATGGAGCTGTTGATGTTGCGAATTCAAGGTTTTGCGGGAGGTGAAAGGCGAAGGCCAGGGCTGAAAATGCCGAAATTGACGTTCAGGGATTGTTTTGGGGGCAGCTGGAGTGTCGACCTTCTGTTGTGTCGTGGGAGGATGCTGAAAGTAAACAACACTAGGCCAGATTGGGACAGCGGGGTATGCAAGTACTTGCGTGCGAACATGCCCGTTTTCAGGAGCGGCAGGTGCTAAACCAACACCCTTGCCATTGCTACCTTCTTCTACTTGTACTATCTGCTATTTTCTTCTACTATCGCTACTCTCTTCTACTATCGCTACTCTCTTCTACAATCGCTACTCTCTTCTACTATCGCTACTTTCTCTACTATCGCTAGGTATAGATACTTCTTCTACTACTAACAGTGTCATTGTCAGGTAGTGCAGCTACCCTCCTCTAGGCAGTGTTTTGAAAACATGTATAAGTACCTATAAACAAAGACATCTTCAGCGATAAGCATGCTGGATACTTTAGCTGTACCTCGCTAAAATTGGGGAGCTGGCTTAGTCCCCGTATTTTAGGCGCTCGCTTCCCTGCCAACCGGCATAGAAGCGAGTACCCTTCCTGTATGAGAAGGAGAGCACTGAAGTACAGCAACGAGATGCGATATTATAATGTCTACAGTGTTCATTGATAGGGGCAGGGAGAGAATAAAGAATGCAATCTGAGGCTTTGAGGGTTCCGCTTTCTAGCTGAAGTAAACCGAGTAATTATTGGCGGGTGAGAATAACACAGTGCATCCATCAAATCCTGTTTGGTTGTAACCCAAATGGACCATCTAACCTGTATTTCCAGAGAACGTATAATACAATGTATGGACATGGATTCATCTAGCAGGTTTGCCTCTTTGCTCGATATATACCAATACTCACTCCACCTACAAGTGGTGCATCTATTTAAGCTAATCAGGCTACAAATACAACTTCAACGTACACAAACATGCAAAGAAAGAAGAATCCTTTGCTGCCATCAACCAAACACATCTAAAGTTCGATACCAACGCGCGACAAAACAATTTCGTTTGTGAAGCTGCGAGGAGTGGGGTAGGTTAGCCCACAAGGGAGCATGTCTCTGGCGGGTGGGCGTGAAATAACTTGTGACAGATCGGCCTCGTCGACGCGCGGTTGCATCTCCGAGCGCGTTCTATTGGGGCCGTTCCACGCGTCCTCAGTGGCCGTATAGATCAGGACGCGAGTCTCCATTTTAAAAAGATTCTTTGTACTTTGTAAATTAGCACTCCTAAATCAAATGCAAGGTGGCGCGGTAAAGAGGTAAAGATAGCTTGTTACTCACCTAGCTCTTCCCCAACCAGACCATCAAATCATCCTGTCCTCCTTCGGATGGTAGCAGTTGACTACTTGGCACTCCAAGGACGAATGTTGGTATCCTCACATATTTCAACTCGCGTCCGGTTTCCTCGGGCACTTTTTCGATCTTCCAGTTCATGGTGGCCCGCACGTCTTTGACCTCCACCACCCACGTCCCCCTCCAGTTACTCTCCTCATAAACCAGCCGCGTATGGATCCAAGGAAATTCTCTTTCTCCACAGTATCTCCATGATCTCGCGAGTTTTTCTTTATATTTGGCCGCAAGCTCTTGTTCCTCATTGCGGCGTGGAGACGGCTCTGTCGGCGATGCCACATCATCGCATGGGTCCTCCTTCACATCGCTGCGCGCCTCCTCGCACTGGTCGAGAGTTTCCTCTTCACACTTCTCTTTGCAGACTTCTCTGCATTCTTCATCGCACCCCTCCTCGCCCTCTGTCTCTTCTTCATAGTCGACTTTGGGTAAGCTTTGACGTATAGCGCGCCCGACTTTGTAGTCCCCCCACGCTTGCCGAACTGTAGTAACCGGCCATCTCAGAAACTCTGTTATTCGAGCCATAGCGCTCTGCCTAGTCGTGTGAGATTGTAAAATTGAATTCAGCGGTGATGGCTGTCTCGTGGGATGCACCAGACTTATGTGGATTCGTTGTCTGGATCTGACAAGACGGATGATAGCGTTTGGACTTGCTCTGCCGGTGGGAATACAGAATTGTGGGATAATTGAAATGGGATATCCAGCATAAGGAGAAGAGAAAGGGCCATTTATATATACTGGTTCTGTTTAACGGGTGGAGGAACTGGGCCCTAAGTCGAAATTCTCCAAAATCTTGAAATCAAATATTTCAATTACATCTACGAAGAGTCTGAGAAATTTGCTCACCCTTGTAGCCAAACTTTGTGAATAGGGCTTGCAGATGCTGCTGCCTGAATATTGAGATGGATTTCCCCCGGTTATCAGAAACTTTATCTGGTAGATTTTCTGTACATGGATACAAGATCCGATCGTTATACTTTATGGCTGTTTTTGCCCCTAGTAAGATCCAATCTGAGCTTTTGGAGAGAAGGAACAGGCTCATGGTGGAGTCACCAGCGCAACTATATAACTGCGCCGGCCAGTATATGGCGAATCATGATTTATAATCATCCAATTACGGATAAGCAGGTTGGACCAACAAATCTGAGACATTGAGATAGAGTTTATGGTATGTTAAATGTGATTGAGTTGAGCGAGTAGTTGTGGTCACCATGAAGTGAACATACCCTATAGCTCCACCGTAAGGATTACGTGGATGACTAGCAGAAAGGGAATCACAGTTGAGTAAAAGAAGAATGAATAGTACAAGAATAAAGTTGGATTAGTGGAGATTGAAGATGACACTATTGCTTTACGGAATTTCTTGAGCTGGATGAGATTTTTGGCAGAGCATTTGCAGCTCAGCTGAGGGGTAGACCAGTGTGCTGGTATGTAAGAGAATCCCCGCGACAGTTGATTATTGGCTGGGCACTTGACACTACTTAGGCAGTACCTCTATTTCTATGCACATGTTGATACTAGCCAAAGAAACTGCTTAGTACCGGGTAGGTAGCCTTGGTAACCCAAGAGCAATGGAGCTAAAACTGATTTAACACTCTAATTGTGTATACTAAGGCAGTCATTTGACATGCCCAACTTCACTCGTGATGTCCCGAGTTGCATTACTTTAATCACTTCGCTCGCATTCATACAAGAAACATCGGTATTATTCATCAGCCTGGCATCTACACTGTTAGATGCTATTTTCCAGCTACTCATCTTTGCTCCTCCGTACATATGCGAACTCTACTTTATTCATTACATGTATACTTACCGTCATGCTTATCCTTGCCTTCCTGCCGGTGGTGATCGCTTTATATAAACATAAACAAGAATATTGCTCCGTGTACGCGGTGGCTACCGACTGTCGCCCGCCGCCAGATGGCTTCTTGCATATTCCAGCAGGAGATCTTGCTTCCGACGAGGCCAAGACTGAAATCCTCGAAGATGCCTTCTCTGCGCTCGCCGTGCTGCAGAACGAATACTACCAAATCGGACGGAACACATGGCCGTCGTCGATAGACTGGACCGCCGCAGTCACCGAGACTGTCGTTTCCGGCATGCTGTCAACCCTGACCAAGTCGCTGGACATGATCGTCCCGGGAATTACGCCTAGCATTCGAGAAGCGCAAGAAAACCTCATCTCGTCAGTGTACGACCAAGTCATTGGCTATCATTTTGCGCAGGATATAGTTGCGATCCGAGATCAGGTATGTCCCCTTGATCACTTTCCCCTACCTAGCCATATCCTCAGCTTAGAGAGACTTCCTATCTAGGCCTTTGATGACATATTATGGGTGGTACTTGGTTGGATTGAGGCCATCAACTTTGCTCGATCGCATGACAGCATACGCTTTCCGCAAGCCGAGCATAGCCCCAACGCTAGTTTCCCTACTGACATCCATGCCGCTCTGGCCTCGCTGCCATGGCGCGGCCAGTTCTGGATCCCTTCGTTCCAGAGCCGGGCTAAAAGCTTCTGGTTTCTTGGGTCTCAGGGTTGGGACACGGCTTTGTGCCATGGCGGCATGGTCTGGAATCCCCGTCTAGAGCCTTACAAGAACGCCATCACAAATGAGCTATACATTTCTGCTTCTATTTCCATGTATCAGTACATCAGTAATGGAAGTGTCGTTGAAAAGGACCCGCGACATCTCCAAGCAGCGATCGAAGGCTACAAATGGCTTGTAAACAGCAACATGACCAACAGTGAAGGTTTGTATGCTGATGGATTTCACATTGGCCGACGAAAGAAGGGGGGTGTGGAGTGCAATATTCGTGATGAAATGGTGTACACCTACAATCAGGGCGTACTGCTGACTGGCCAACGAGGGCTATGGGATGTGACAGGGAGCCCTTCGTACCTGGAAGACGGCCATGATCTCATCCAAGCAGTCATCAACGCCACCGGTTGGAGCTTGAAGAGAAACCAGCCAATAGACTTGGTGGATGCGTCTGCAAAGCTGCCCAAATGGAGAGGTCTTGGTCGGGGTGGTATTCTAGAGGAGCAGTGTGATGCAAGCGGCACTTGTTCTCAGGACAGCCAGACATTCAAGGGCATATACTTTCACCATCTGAATGCGTTTTGTCGGCCCCTGGAACAGAATAATCTCGAGGACGGTGATTATATCGACATGGATGGCTTCACTCGTGTCCAGGCAGCCCACAAATCTGCCTGCCGGGCGTATCTTGGCTGGATCAAGCACAACGCTCTGGCAGCACTCAAGACTCGAGACAGCCGAGGACGCTTCGGCATGTGGTGGGGTTCAGGAATTTTCGGTAACATTGACACATCTCCGGCAAGCGACGGAATCGACCACAATGCTGTGAATATCACCGACTATCGTAACAAGGGAACCCCAAGAGACGATACCTGGGGTCGGCGTTCAAGATGGCTGCCGGGGTCTCGGAAGGGGGGGTTGGAGAAGCAGGTTGCGCCGGAGGACTACGAGAATATGGCCATGCTGGATTCGATGGAGGCACCCATGGCGAAACGAAAACCGCATCCAAGTGACCCTAATAATCGTGGTCGTGGGAGAACGGTGGAAACCCAGGTGGGAGGCGTTGCCGTGCTTCGCGCCTATTGGGACATTTCGCAGTCGCTCTCGTCATGAGCGTCATTGTGGCTGTGGTCTTAGACACTGTGCCAGCAAAGCGGTTCCATTGACTGACGTTCTGTTTCGTTTAAACCTCGTTTTCCCGTTTGATGTTAGTTTGCCCCATGCCATGATACCAACCTTGTCCTTGCGCCTGAAACCAGGTACTAAACCCGCTGTCGGCATCAAGGCATCTTGACGCTCCGATCTGGAAATGGCCGATTGGGTGGATGCGGCCCCGATGGTGGAGGCGCGGAGCCGGATCGCCAACCGTGCTAGGCCAGATCGAGCAGAACCATTCGAGATGTCCAGTTAGAGGCCGCGTGGAGAGGCTCAGCCATTGTCGCTGATATCTGAGCCTCGTGGGAAGAGGCGGTGCGACACACGATATAAAGTCGCCGTGCTGTTTTGCTCTAGTATTTGGAATTTGTATCGTTAGCATAGCAACTTTTACTTGTATAAGAGCCGTCTCTTATCTCTCACCGTCTCATCACACATCACATACCCCTTACATACCTCGCCCTCGCCTACTTTTGATCAATCAATTGTAACCCGAGTCTCTTGAATCATCCTATCTGATCCCACGTGCATCATTTCCTCGCCGCCACTTACACAAGACTGCATCAAGTCTCGGTTACCTCACTTGTGTTATTACTCTCCAAGCTTATCCGACACCACAAGCAATGGCCCTCCTTATTGGCCTCGTGGCCGCAGCCGCTCGAACAATGGCCAATAACGACGACCGCAGCCGGCAAAACTACAATAATGGGTATAACAATGGATATAATAATGGTCAATACTACGATAACCAAAACAACGGCTACAGCAACAACCGCAACGGTAGTTATCCCAGCAGCTACAATAATGGTTATAACAACGGCTATGGAGGCAACGGCTACAACGCCCCTCCTTATGCGGCTTACCCACCACAAATGATGATTAGCCGTCGCGAAGAGCGTCGTATGAATAGAAAGATGCGCAAGGCAGAGCGCAAAGCAAGGGACGCCGACATGGTCTTGTCCTTGATGAGCTCTGGTTCGCGTGCTGGCCCCCGCTCACCTGTACCTCCGTGTTCAAATATGCAGTCTCAATCTGTTAATGGTGGCGTGCCTTACATGCAGCGGGGTGACAACTCAAGAGGACAAGCCATGTATTCCCGCGCACAGCAAGGGTCCATGGCCCCAGAAGCTGAGGGGTCCCAATGGCGGGATATCCAGAGTCGTGATCGGCCGACCAGCCGAGGGGATCTGGGCCCGGAAAGCTCGTCCGAAAGCCTACCGACATATGAGCAGGTAGTTCGAAAATCCGGCAAGTCTTGAGCTGAGGGGATATTGAGAGGTGACGTGGAGAAGGAGGAGTGGCTTTGTTCCTGATTTCCTTGCATTGCTGTACGCATGATGATTTGTTAGCTTTTATTGATTGCTGCCGGGTGACGTGGATTAATAGATTGGCTGCATCAAGGAATTATCTCATCTGTCAGATGATTCGTCCTAGATACCATTGGAGTTATTAATATATGCTTGGTGTTTTACTGTATGGAAAAAGATGCAGCAATAATGCTGCGCTGAGTGACTTGAAGCGAATCGATATGAGTGATAAGCAGCGTTGAGCGCAAGCTTGTGTGGGCTCCGATATCGATGCGCTCCCGCGCCATGTTTTGATTGAGTCAGCGCTGCATCGTTTGAGCTCAATTACATGCATGCTGTGATTGCATCTTGCATCGAGAAGCACCGTTTCGGCCTGTGCCTTGACAACTTACATCTTGGCTTATTTCAAGCTCCAAAGTATTACCATATTGCCAAAGAGAGCTTATTTTCGCCCTTATAAAAAGCACGGCGGCGTACCGATTGGGAGTGCCGGACTTCTCATTCCATCAGGGCGGTCGCTAGTATACGCCACCTTTTTCTCCAAAAAAAAACTCGGAGGGGTCCGATTTATCGGAGGTCATCATTCTCGCTGCTGGCAGACTGGCCTTTCTCTCTTCTGCACCGCACCAAACAACCAAGAGGCAGAAACAAGACAAGAAATTGCAGCGACAATTCGATACTTGCTTTCGAGATGCCGGGTCTCAATGGCACATCGTTAATGCCCAACGGTGCCACGGGCACCAATGGGACTCGCCGGCCGTCAACGTCATCGGCCTTGAGAGCCATGGCCTTGACAGAGTACAGCGCGAATCCGTCACCACCGCCTGAGACGGTCGAAGAGGGCGCACCGCTGGTGCCAGAAGAATTCCAACTTCCCGATGGCCATCCTGACGTAAGTAGCTCTGAGAGAGGTTTTCTTTTCTTTTTCTTGTCGTTTCTCTACCTCGCCTCATGAAGAGGCAGAGAAAGTTGTAGGACCAAGAGGACTGACGCATCTTGACGGAGCAGTACCTGCGCATGATTGCCAGCGCAACCTCACGAGTCTACGAGGCCTGCAAGACAACGCCTCTGACCCAAGCCATTAACCTGAGCAACCGACTAGAATGCAATGTCCTGCTCAAGCGCGAAGACCTGCAGCCCGTCTTCAGCTTCAAGCTGCGCGGCGCGTACAATAAGATGGCCCATCTTGACCCAGCCGAAAGCTGGAAGGGTGTCGTTTGCTGTTCGGCCGGAAACCATGCCCAGGGAGTTGCCTACTCTGCCCGAAAACTCAAGATTCCTGCCACCATTGTCATGCCCGAGGGCACACCAAGCATCAAACATTTGAATGTTGCGCGCCTTGGTGGCCATGTGGTTTTACACGGCGCTGATTTCGACGCTGCAAAGGAAGAGTGCGCACGGCGTGCAAAGCACGATGGCCTCATCAACATTCCACCTTTCGATGACCCCTACGTCATTGCCGGTCAGGGAACCATTGGCAACGAAATGTTTGGACAGGTTAACATGGCCAAAGTTGAGGCCATCTTTTGCGGAGTTGGGGGTGGCGGGCTTATTGCAGGCATTGGCCTATTCGTCAAGAGGATGGCACCTCATGTCAAAATCATTGGCGTTGAGGCATCTGATGCAAATGCCATGGCGCAGTCTTTGAAGCTGGGGAAGAGAGTCATGCTCCAAGAAGTCGGCCTTTTTGCAGATGGCGCCGCCGTAAAGGTCCCTGGAGAGGAGACGTTCCGCATCTGCCGCGAGGTTGTTGACGAAGTTATCGAGGTCACCACTGATGAGATCTGCGCTGCCATCAAAGACATGTACGATGATACCAGATCCGGACTGGAACCGGCGGGCGCCCTGTCTATTGCCGGCTTGAAGAAGTACGTTGCGCGACAGCCGTCTGTCGACGCCAAGAGGACGCTCATTGCAGTGACCTCGGGCGCTAACATGAACTTTGACCGGCTGAGATTTGTTGCCGAGCGTGCTACGTTGGGTGAGGGCAAGGAGGTGCTGATGGCCGCTAGCATCCCGGAGCGCCCTGGAGCCTTTGCTAAGCTTGTCGATACCATCATGCCTCGCCCTGTCACAGAGTTTTCCTACCGCTATTCGTCAGGTAACGTTGCCAATGTTCTCATCGGTCTCTCCATCACAGTGCCGGCGGCGCAGAGGGCCGAGGAGGTGCGGTCACTCATGGAGCGCATCCGAGCCGAGGGTATGGAGGTGACTGATCTATCCAACGATGAGCTCGCCAAGAGCCATGTGCGCTATCTCATCGGCGGACGCACCGGCGTGGAGAACGAAAGAGTCTTCATGTTCAACTTCCCCGAGCGGCCAGGAGCGCTAGAAAAGTTCCTGACAACCCTGAGGCCCAAGTTCAACATCAGCCTGTTCCAGTATCGTACATATGGCGGAGACGTGGCCAAGGTGCTGGCAGGGATCCAGTGCCCACCGGAAGAGAATGCCGAACTAGAGCAGTTCCTGGAGGAGCTCGGGTACCCCTCAGAGGAGTGCACCAACTCGGAGGTTTTCAACATGTTCTTGAAAAGCACCAGCCAGTAGGGCGACAAGGGCGGGATGTTTGAGTTACGGAACCATATCCGCGGCGTTGGGTAAATGATTATGTGTTCAAGGGAACCCGGTTCTTATTTTTAGGGCTTGTGTTTTGGCTGCAGGCAGGGTTCAAGGCCCCGACTGGGAAGCTGCAAAATAGATATGATGCGATGGTTACATGTGAAGCCGAGAGACACTTCAAGGATCTACGGAGGACAAGATAAAAAGCGGTTGGATGCATGTTTGGGAGCTCGGAAATCTCCGAAGACGGGGGCGTGGTACGTTGACGAGGATTGATTTGATTGGCGAAGTATTTGCACCTGGGCTACCGCTGGGCAGCTCACGAAGGATTCCATTCGCATTCTCTGTTGTACATGCACTCTTTGTACGACCTGTGCCATTTTAGTGAATCATCCCATAGAGCTACTGGGGTCTGCCAACTGGATAATAACGATATGAATCACAATGATTGACTACTTGCCGTGCCCCCTGTTCAAGCGATACGGTGCCGAAACAACCACTTGATCGCCTCCTCTGCCAATGATCTGATCGGTCCATCGTGGGTAAGATCTAGAGAGCTCAGCCATCGAACCAAGACTAGGAACGGAAGCAAAAAATTTGCGATGATGACGAGTGCAGATCGGACTTTTACAAAGAAGGAAGCCCAAACGGAGGAAAGGAAAGGATAGAAAGGAAAAAGGACTAAAAAAAGGCGTTGATAAGCTGGCATGTAAAACAAGCAGGGGCGGTCAAACACTGTGGGATTGTCGGCAGAATATGGAGGCAGGCACGACGAGTAGGCCTCTTGTCAGCTTGGGGGCGCTTTTCTTGGCCCCCCTTGGTGAACAAGTGCGCTGACATGACAGAACAGAATCATTTGACAGAATTGAACACGGCTGGCTAAAGTGCAATGAAGAGAGTGAGGAAAATGAGATCCATAGAAATGAAGGTGAGAAGGGGGGTGGGTATGCTGTTGTGTGTTACTTTGGGTCTTGCACAGTGGTATCAGAAGATGAAGTGTAAAGCAGTAGTAATAATACAGCATAAACGAATCTACTGGCGTCTGGTGTTAACAGTCCAAATCTTCATACTCGTACCTGTCTGGGCTCGTATAATAATACTACGGTACAGTACTGGGGGACCCCCCTCGCAGATCCTCGCAGGCCAGGCGGAAATTATTCACCAATTTCGCCGGCAAAAGGTGTACGCCGTCGTGCATGCCGAGCAGCCAAGTGCTACCTACCTAGTACTAACATAGATACGATATGGCCTTGAAATTCGCTTCTAGTGAGTGCTGATGAGGGAACTACCTAGGTGGGAAAGGCCGGGGGCTCTATTTATATACCGAGGTGGACATGCACGATTAAGTCCAGGTAAGCATCGCCACGGAACGCTTCTCCTAGGTGCATGTAATATGTAGTTAGTACGTTAAGGAGGGAGTGTGAGCGCAAAAAGGGTGCATGCGGATTGGCTCTGGAGGAATATGCAAGGCACGCGTCAGTAATATGACGGCAAGGCACGGGGAATATTCATGTTGGGGGTTTGCCATTTTCTCACGACGGTTTCTTCTTCTTTTTTTTTTTTTGCTCTTTTTTTTTTTTTTTTTTTTTTTTTTTTCATTTCTCATTTCTTCTTTTTCTTTCTTCTAGAAACACAAAACACCTACGTATATGAATCCCTGCTGGGAGATCGCGCGATGGCTGGCTGCACAAAAGACCGCAAGGGTCATGGGAGTTCAAAAGGGCCGTCTGGCAGCTAGGCTTCCAGCAGTCTTCTGTTTCTGTTCTTCCTGCTAGGGGCCCCTGGTCCATGCGTTATGCTCAGTTCCATCCCGAGCGCATGGATCGCCTAGCGCCCCGTGCGAAAGGGAGCTTGGTACTAACCTGTAGTATCTGTAGTACCTGTACACCTTGACTCAGTAACACTGCAGACTCGGATGCAGCGGTGCGTGGCAACGGCGCTTTTAGTGAGAAATTGGTGGTGAAACGTTAGAGATGCAAAAGAAAATGGCCGGCAGGTACTGGCCAGTTGGTTGGAAAAGATTTGATGCCATGCGCATGTCAGCCTTGAAGGATCGTGGTGGCAATTCGTTGGACGCCGGTTGCGCATGTACATCTACTCGCTCTATCGACCTGCCCTTGTACTCCGTACAGTACCTGTATTCTCGGCTTGCTGAGCAGGGTGCCATCAGATGGATCTCTCTGGATTCTGCGACGTTTCGGCTAGCATCTCTGCCTTATGCTCCAAGCGAGCTACACAATGGTTGGGAGATCTGCAGTATTCACCGTTGTCAAGATAAATGCCATCGATTCGTACTGATGGATACGAAACCATCGTTTCAATTTTCCCAGGCCGCAAGCATTGCCACGTTCTCAGGGGACCTGTTTGTGGAAATGCAAAGTATTGGCGCCGCTGGCGTCATGCAGATTTCGGCAATAGGCCGGTAGCTCGGCTCCAGCCTCCCTTGGGTTAGCAGCTTCGGCACCACGAAATGCCAGCAGAGCAGGGCACCTTCGCCTGAGGAGAACCTAAGGTACCTAGGTACTATAGGTAGCATGTTCTCATTACTCGTCGTCCCAGAAGTAGGCCATTCCAGCTTTTCATGTGCATGCCAACTGCTCCGTACTTGAATCCTGAAACCATGTGATGCAGATCAAAAATTTTCTCGGCTGTTTGTTTGTTGCATGGATTTGATGTCGCATCTAAAATTTCAACGTACGGTAAACCTTGTTGTTTGCTAGCCCTGTCCTGAGGCTCTTCTCTTGGGTACTTTCTGGGCCAGTACATCTGCGCAGGCTGGCCAAAGTACCTGTACTTCCCGTTGCTGCTGTCCTCGAACGAGCCCACGTATCGACTCGTACACACCTTGCCCTGACAAGGCTCGAACTTGTCATCCTCTCAATCCGGCCTCATCGCCCATACAGCAACTTGAGCACACACCCCCTCCAATCGTGGACGGGCTGATTTTTTTTTTCGGGGTTGCCGCTGATCGCCCATCCTTTCGGCTGTTGTTTGCTTCGTGCTGCAGGGCTTCTGCTCGCTGAAGCCAGTGGAGGCTAGTCGCCAGCTCGCCACGCCAACCTTGGAAAAAACCCACCGCTTGGAGCTACCCCACGTCAACGTCAAAAGCTGCAGCATCCATACCGTAGCCGGACTGATTGTCTAATATGGTGGGTGTGTGCATGTGTGTGCGTGTCTGTCTCTTTTGCGCAATGACCCTGTGGCCGTCCTTCGACCCTCCCTCATCTTCCCTCGAGCTGAACAGCCTGGACTCGATTTGATCTGCTCACTAATCCTCGAGGTCGCAGAGCAGAGACGGCCTGGGACACCCCTTTACGCTTCCGACCCCAGCTCCTGACGTTATAGCGTTGCCCATAGGTATTGCTATATCCTCTGTGAGAAACCTCTCCGCCACTTTGCCGGGCTGTCGTTGTTTGCTAATAATCTCGACCTAGCCTGTTGGCTGCCGGCACGCGACCGCTACTGCTCTGGAACAAAGCTCAGCAACCTTAAACGGTGGCCAAGGTCGTTGCGGACTCGTTTTTCATTGATTCTGTTGCCGACGTCAGCATTGCGAAGCTTTGCACCATCTCCAAGCTTTCGCTCCTTTCTACGAAATAGTCGGTGACAGTCGGCACCGCCTCCATCACTGCGACATCCCTGGCCCGATATCGCTTACCGGCTGCATAATTCCGAAGCGTTTTTGTATCAACCTTGTCGCCGCGAAAACGCAGTCGACCTCCGTTGCGAAGAATATATGCGAAGCTGCTACTGTATGAGCAAAAGCAGGGCATCCGCTAGCTTCATCCGAAAGAGCATGGTCCGGGGTTTATCACAACACTACCAAACTCAACAGCGACGGCTTACAACTCTCAGACGTACACAAAAACCGATCAGTTGAAGGCAGCGTGGGAGAGAATCTCTCTGAGGCTGCTTGGGAACGTGCGCTGCTGGTAGCCGCAAAAGGCTTCAGCGCGCCTTGAACAGCTCAACGCCCCGAGGACAGCCGCATCCAGATCCCCCCGGCCGAGCATCACGATGAGACGCAATCGCTCTCCGAGTGCGCCTTCGCACTACCGGGCGCTGGGGCATCAACATGGCAACGGCGTGGAATCAGATCCAGTCTCTCTCATCCGGTCTTTCAATGTCGAAAATAACCCTACACGCCCGATGCGACCATCCCCGCTTACCGCCTCGACCATCAGGGACATGCCATTGGACCTGGTAGATCGCATCAGAAGCTTTCCCCTCTTTCTCTCCGCGTCGGAAGAGTTTTTAGTGGCAATTGGCAATCACTTGAAACCACAGGTACATGGACCCAACGATCACATTGTCACCGAGGGGGATGACGCAAAGGCCATGTACTGGCTGGTGCGAGGCGTTGTCGCAGTCACATCTCGAGACGGCGAGGCCGTTTACGCAGAACTCAAAGCTGGCGCCTTTTTCGGCGAGATCGGAGTGCTCATGGACATGCCCAGGACCGCCACCATCGTCGCCCGAACCAAGTGCCTATTGTTGGTGTTGAAAAAGGAAGATCTGCAAACTGTCATGCCAAGCTTTCCAGAGATGGAGAAGGCGATTCGACAGGAGGCGCAGGAAAGACTAAGCGTTCTCAAGAAGAAGCGGCTAGAACGAGGCGCTACTCTCAAATCCCCAAAGAGCGATTTCGTTCCGCGTACTACGACGCCAGGCGAAGTGTCGACCGGAGAGACAGGGGCGATCAAGGATGGCGCGGTGATCAAGTCCAAGAAGCGGAAATCTCCAAGCCCCAGCGTAATCGAAGATCCGGCCCTCGGCAGCGCATTAGGCAGCGGCTTTGTCAACATCCGAAAGACGCTCAAGGAACTCCCTCTCTTCACCTCTCTGCCGCCCGATATCCTTCACTTTCTAGGATTAAGCGTCCAACCCAAAACGTACCCGCCCTTCACCGACATAGTATGCCAGGGCACCCCTGGTCACGAAATCTTTTTCGTCGTACGAGGCGAAGCAGAGGTTATTCATCAGCAGCCGAAGACGGATAAAGAAGCAGAGAGCCTGACCAGGTCGATCCAAAAAAGACCACGGCTGAAAACTGGACAGTACTTTGGAGAGGTTGCGAGCCTGGGTCTGTCTCGTGGGCGAACGGCAACAGTCAGGTCGATCACGACAGTGGAATGCTTAATGATACCAAGTGAAACGCTGGATGAACTGTGGGCACGATGTCCCCCCGATATCAAACTACAGGTGGAACAAACAGCATGGCATCGCTACAACAACCGTGACGAGGATGTCGACATGCTCGACGCAGACCAACAGGGCAAGACAAGCAAGTCAGACCCCCCAACACCGAGACTCGCCCGGCTTAGTCTTCCTGATGACAACTTCGCGACACCTCTCAAGCCCATAGCTGGGACTCCCAGGGATGATTCGGACGTCATGGAGCCAAAGGACCCCGATCCGTTTTTGAGCGTCGATATGGAAAATCTGAGAAACCGAAGGCGCCATTCCATAGCACCGCCAACCACGCCGACCGAGGCTTCTTCGACGACGCCCACTCGACACAATGGAGCACGGTCCCCGTTAGCAGAGCCGTCATCTCCCATTGCCTGGACTGCTCCGGACTTTGAATCTGATGTACCTGCAAAACGGGCCAAAACGGTGTCTAACCGGCCGCGCTCTCTCCAGCCCTCGTCTATTACAGACAACATTCTGGTACAAATTTTTCAGTATGCTGAAGTTGGTGAACTTTTGAGGCTGCGGAGTGTCTGTTCTCACTGGAAGACGCTCCTCACCACATCCCCAAAGCTGTGCACATATGTCGATCTTTCCCATTATAACAGGAGGGTTACCGACCAGGCTATTATCGACATCATTGCGCCGTTTGTTGGGACCCGGGCTCTCGTCATGGATCTAAATAATTGCTTCCACATTACTGACGAAGGATTTTCGGTGCTGTGGCGGACTTGTGGTAAGAATGTGCAGAAATGGAGGATGCGCTCGCTGTGGGACGTTTCCGCGAACCAGATTCTCGAAATGAGCGAGAATGCTAAGGGTCTCAAGGAAGTCGACTGGAGCAACTGCCGAAAAGTTGGAGACAACCTCCTTGGCCGAGTTATCGGATGGGTTGTTCCCGAACCTCCCCCTGTGAGCAGCAGCAAGGTTGTGATATCTAGCTCGGGGAAGAAGGCGAAGGAGAAGGCAGCCCAGCAGCCTTCGCCTACTATGCCAGCGCCTGGAACAGTTATTGGTTGCGCCAAGTTGAACACACTGAATCTCTCATACTGCAAACACATTACTGACCGATCAATGGGCCATCTCGCTGCCCATGCCTCGAGCCGGCTCGAGTCTTTGTCTCTCACTCGCTGCACATCGATCACGGACGCGGGGTTTCAGTCGTGGGCTCAGTTCAAGTTTGAGAAACTGACACAACTCTGCTTGGCAGACTGCACCTATCTTTCGGACAATGCCATTGTGGCACTCGTCAACGCAGCCAAGAACCTGACCCATCTCGACTTGTCCTTTTGCTGCGCGCTTTCTGACACGGCAACAGAGGTCGTCGCTCTTGGCCTCCCGAAGCTGCGTGAGTTGAGGCTGGCGTTTTGCGGCAGCGCTGTGAGCGATGGTAGTTTGGAGAGTGTCGCCCTGCACCTTAACGAGCTCGAGGGCCTCAGCGTTCGAGGATGTGTCCGCGTGACGGGCAAAGGCTTGGAATACATCCTCAGGGGCTGCACACGCCTTAAATGGGTTGATGTCAGCCAGTGTCGCAACCTGGAGCCCTGGCTTCGAGCAGGCAGCGTTTCAAAATGGGGGTTCGACAGCAGGGCCGCAAAGACGGAGCTGATGTCGGTGAATAGCTGGCCTACGACGGCATTTGACAGCATGCTTGGAGAGTTACCAACGCCGCGGAAGATGAGCGTAGCAATGCTCACCACACCAAGCTTCTTCCCGAGGCCCGGTGCTACTCTTATGGGCAGGAAAAAGAGGTCGCCTGTCAAGTTTGTGGTTGAAAAAGGACCTGACGGGCTTCGATAACATGGGTTATCATCATAGTCATCATCATTACCATCATCATTGTTATCCGTATTATTAGCGAAAGCATGACTATCCATCTTGATGCCTCATGGGGGGTTTTTCTTCTTCTTTTTTTTCTCGAGGTATGCCATATGGCATCACGCAACATGTATTCACACTCATGGGAGGGGTATGACGGGGAGCTATTACTGGTTGAATTTTTGGATGGCTATACTACAAAAACATATGGGTACGAAATAGGGGTGGTGAGCCGGTCACTTGGGCTGAACAATCTGACGATACCCCCCGTGTTGATGCATTTTTTTTGGGCGGCAGTTAGATGGTAACATGTATGTTTTGGATAGCACTTAATTGCATATTGAATGATCACATGGAAAGGAAAAGTACGGCTTGACAAGATGGAACTCGTACTCGTAGGGGATACGCGGAGTTTGGCGGAGTTCGGAGCACCGAAGTCCAAGCTGGGAGAAATTTGAAGCCATCACCGGCATTAGTAATCGGGACCTCCAAGGCTCTACCTACAGCATCTAAGGGTAAGCTGTGCTTTGGTGCTTCGGCGCCACTGCCGGAGCCTTCTACAGGCTTCCAACACGTGACGCGGATTTAGGTATAGCAGGTATCCGGCCAACGTCATGCCCGGCTTTACTGCCAAGAGAGCTGTATATTATACTGGAGCCGGCGGCAAAGAGTTTCTTACTCATATAATTCACCAACTGCGTCTCCCCGCATTGGACAAACCATTGCTCTTCATATCACCGTCTATCGACACAGAACTTACATCTCGACAAACCCCAAGGACTAGCGATCCCAGCTATGTCATTTACGCTGAGCATTCAGCAGGGCCCTGCGCGCATTGCGCAGCAGCGGCTGCTCCCTGCACTCTCGAAATCTGCGTTCCGGACGTCGATGCGAAGCTTCCACAACCAGACTCCCAAGCCGACCAGCGCCTTCTTCACCTCTCGCGTGGCCTCAGCGACGACTCGCCATGGCTTTGCGCGATCATACTACCAGGAGGCTTCCACCCGACACCAGGCGGCGGCAAGCGGCACAGGACTGCGCAAGCTGCTCGTCGGAGGCGCCATCTTTGGCGGTACGCTGGTTGCCATCAATGCCGTCTTCAACCGCGAGACAAGAGAGGACGGAGGAATGCCGCTTTTTGAGCGGGAATACTTGAACAACACATTCTTGCACACTGGTCTTGGCGTTGGCATTATCGGATTGACGGCGAGACAGATGGTGCAGACCGGGTTTGTGTACCGGTTGATGGTGACGAACCCGTGGGTTGTTGGGCTGGGAGGATTGGCGCTGAGCTTTGCCACGATGATTGGAACTCGATCCATTAGCCCCGACAAGTGAGTATTTACCTTACCATTCCACCATGGAAGAAATGTGTCGTTTACTAACGTGCAAACTCGATAGCTACGTCCCCAAGTATGCTCTCTGGACTGCTTTCAACGCCACCCAGGCTGCCTTTGTTGCTCCCCTGTTGGCCTTTGTCCCTGGCCCTCTTCTTGCTCGCGCTGGTCTCTACACCATTGCCATGATGGGTTCGCTGTCCGTCGTTGGTGCCACCGCGAAGCAGGAGAAGTACCTTTACATCGGTGGACCCCTTCTGGCCGGTGCCGCCATCGTCGCCGCCTCTGGTCTTGCGCCTCTTATTATCCCCGCCACCGCTGTTCGAACACTGGCATTTACTGAGAACATCTGGTTGTACGGAGGTCTTGCCGTCTTTGGCGGCTTCACCTTGTACGATGTGCAGAAGGTGCTGCACCACGCTCGCCTTGCCCAGGCTGGTGTGATTAAGCGGGATCCCGTCAACGAGAGCATTTCACTGGAGCTGGACTTTTTGAACATTTTCATCCGCATGGTGCAGATTCTCATGCTGAACCAGAACAGGAGAAAATAGAGGAACGGAGTGCGGAGACAATTGATTGTGGGGGTGTTTTATGGGATTTTTTTTTCTTTTAAGAAAACTTGGTTGCGAGAGGTTATAAACTCCGCTCATTGGATGAAATGTTATGAAATATTCTTCTACGGAAGCAGAGAGTTTCCATTGTATCAATAAGTGAAGACAATAATAAAAAAAAATCATTAATAAAAATAACAAGTGAAACCACAAAAATAAGATTCAATTGTTGCAGTGTATTGATTAAGCTACATGACCCTTGGTTGAACTTGCAATGAGTGCGCTGTGAATGTGCGAATATATATACAAATGGGTATACTGTGAAGAATGTTGAATTACGTATTCTCATGGACAAATTTTCTTCGCCTTGTCCATGATTCCTCTCTCTTCCTTGTCTCTTTGACCTTCATCTCCATCTCGCCAACTTACTCGAGAGCCTTGAACGGCCTCAAGAAGTGGCTCGGGCACTCATAGCCCGAGGGGTTCTTATCGAGGTAGAGCTGGTGGTACTCCTCGGCGGTCCACCACTGGCCGGCGGGCGCAATCTCGGTCACAATCTTGCCGTCCCACCACTGTGCGTTTGCCTGCTGAGTGACCTCGCGGGCGATTTGCTCCTGCTCGGGCGAGTGGAAGTAGATGGCAGAGCGGTACTGGGGGCCGGTGTCGGGGCCCTGGGCGTTGAGGGTTGTGGGATCGTGCATGCGGTAGAAGAACTCGATGAGCTGGCGGTAGGAGACTTGGGTGGGATCGAAGATGAGCTCTGCAGCTTCGGCGTCTGCTTATATTGTGAGCATTAGTTGAGGCTATCATGGGGAGATTGGTGTAAAAGAGTCGGAGACTTACGGCCAGTCTTTCCGCCGCAGACGGCGCGGTATGTCGGGTTCTCCAGGTCGCCGCCGATGAAGCCGACCTTTGCGTCAATCAGGCCCTTGCCGGAGAAGTGTCTGCGGTAGAGATGCTCGGTGCCCCAGTAGCAGCCGGCGGCGACGGTGCAGCGCTGGGCGCCCTCGGGGATGGCGGGAGCTGCTGAGGAGGATTCGGGGGCGATGGAGAGGCGGGAGGCGGTGGTGAAGGGGCGGGAGAGGCGGGAGAAGATGTTGAGCATGATGGGCGATGGTTGTTTGTGAGGTTATGGGTGGTGTAAGTAGTGAGTTTGGGTGAGTTGGTTGCTGGAGGAGGGGTTGTTGTGAGCTTGGTTTGGTGTTGGTTTTGTTTGGGTTGAGGGTATAGGAAAGGGCTGGATTTAAATAGTCTCCAAGAGTAATTGTTAAGTTATATAATTCCCACTCGATATTACAAAAAGGCAGAAAGAGTCGAGTCTAGACACACAAAATGACCAAAAATCCCCAATGAGGGGCTAAAAAAATATTCCATCGATTCGGGGCTCCAGTCTGTGAGAATCAGCACGGCATCGCGTGCATGACGCAATAGGACCCCTTCACCAACTCGGTACTAGTGAGAAAACAGAGGGCAATGACAAATCCCGGGCCGTGTTTCGTAACTGTTTAGTGCTGGGACTTGTGGGGGATTTGAGCTGGGCTGCTTTTGTTCAGGGGATTGTCTAACGAGTCCCTTGTAGAGGCTTGATTGATTATGCACCCCGTATTTTGGGGGCTTTTTGATGGGAGCTGGAGCTGTCGATTTGGAGTTGCATGAGCAAGGGTGGTATGTAGAGCTGCTGTTGGAAGATGGTGGTATATTACAGCGTCATTGTTCATCTCTGACTTGGAGTGAATCGCCATCATGGGCAACACATGATTCATGACGCGTCGCTCTAGATATATGTGACAAATGAGAGAAAAGCCCTCATCAATGCAGTTGCACGTAGTCTCAAGAGGCAATTCAATGCCAGGCAGTGCAATTCCCCCAGCTCGCCGCAATCAATTGAAATCCATGGATCTACTACTGCCCGTACAGTACAGCCTCAACCAGCATTCCCAGCAACCAACACCACCCACAACCACTGGAAATTGGCTGCAAATTAGCGCCACAGCACCCTCCTACAGCGCCTCACAGGCCTCCAACCCCCGCTTGCAAACCCCTGTGCCGCCCCCGCTCCCGCTCCTGTGGCCACTGCCAGCAGCCGTCACATCACCATCAAACCTGATCCCAAAAGCCAATTCCACCTTGATTCCATCTCCAATTCCAAACCCATCCAACCCCGACCTCGACGCCTACGCCCGCCCGATTTATTCCAAATCCGAGTCCGAATCCAGTTGCAAACCCCCATAATCCGTAACCAGATTCGAGTCCAAAGCCCAGCTCGCGCACCGGTTCGGCGAACTCGAAATACCTTTACCCTGCTGGATCGTGCAGCCTCGCTGCGCCGGTGCAAACCATGTCTTGGAACCTGACCAAAAGTGAGTCTGGCGATTCCGCTCTACATCTTCATCCTGGCCAGTTCGCAGTTGCGTCTTCGAGTCTCTGCCCATCTCTGCCATTTTACTCGTCGTCATGCTTTCAATCGCTCAAAATCTGCCTACGTGTCTGCTTGTCTGTGCGCAGAGACTGGCCTGGTGGCTGGATCTTGAACCCTGAATATCCTCAGCCTTACCCCCCAGCCTCGGCCTCCAGCCAGTTGATCCACCAATCCACATGCTGCCTCCGTGGACATCTTGCCTTGTTTGCGTCCTGCTGACAATGACGCTTCTCAGAGCTCAAAGAAACCCACCTGGGCTTCTCGAAATCGTCAACGCCCTCCACCAAGGACAAGGCCAAGGATAAGAGTGGTACCACCACCCCGTCTGACGTCAACAGCATCGCCGATGCGAGAGCCTCCGGTACGTCCATCAGACATATTTCTCTTTCTTCTTATGTTACATCTTATTCTCTAACTTACTTCTCCATCTCAACCAACAGAAGACCTCACACAGGCGCCCGTCGTAAAGCCCCCGAAACCTGGCATCCTCGTCCTCACCCTCTACGAAGCCCGCGGCCTCTCCCTACCCGAAGAGTATCAAGATGCCTTGGCAGCGGGCCACTCGACCGGCGCACACTCTGCCGGAGATGCGCTGAGCGGCTCTACGCGCCCGGGAGCGTCCACTCGAAATGCCTCTGCCTTCTCCGGCAGCCTCGACAGACCGCAGACATCCTCCGGGTCGGGCTTCAAGGGCATCCCGACCAACCACGGCCGTGTGTCGGGCAAGTACATGCCGTATGCGCTGGTGGATTTCGACAAGAACCAAGTCTTCATCAATTCTGTTGACGGAAACCCCGAGAACCCTGTCTGGGCTGGTTCTAACACACAGTACAAGTTTGACGTGTCTCGTGTTGGCGAGCTGACCGTCCAGCTCTTCATGAGAAACCCAGCGGCCGCTGCAGGCACAGGCAGGACCCAGGATATTTTCTTGGGCGCCGTTCGTGTAAACCCCAGGTTCGAGGCCGTACCCGATGCCGCGCCGGCGGGCAAAAAGGGCCAGGCCGACAAGCCGCAGGGTCAAGGTCACAGTGGACTGGGTTGGTTTGACTTGCAGAATGGAACAGGAAAGCTTCAGATAGGCGTCAATTTCGTCGAAAACCGTGTCGGCAAGCTCACCATCGACGACTTTGATCTCCTCACTCTCGTTGGCAGGGGTAGCTTTGGAAAGGTCATGCAGGTTCGGAAGAAGGATACTGGCCGCATCTACGCTATCAAGACGATCCGAAAGGCCAGAATCATCACTCGATCTGAAGTGACACATACCCTCGCCGAACGCTCCGTGCTCGCCCAAATCAACAACCCGTTCATCGTCCCATTAAAGTTCAGTTTCCAGTCTCCCGAAAAGCTCTACTTCGTCCTGGCCTTTGTCAACGGCGGAGAGCTATTCTTCCATCTATCTAAAGAAGGGCGCTTTGACATTAACCGCTCCCGCTTCTACACTGCAGAGCTGCTCTGCGCGCTCGAATGTCTGCACGGCTTCAACGTCATCTATCGAGATTTGAAGCCCGAAAACATCCTCCTCGACTACCAGGGCCACATTGCCCTCTGTGACTTTGGGCTCTGCAAGCTAGAGATGAAGGATGAGGATTCTACTAACACCTTTGTCGGCACTCCCGAATACCTAGCGCCAGAGCTGCTCAAGGGCGAGGGCTACGGCAAAACGGTGGACTGGTGGACGCTGGGCGTGCTGCTGTACGAAATGCTAACGGGTCTACCGCCCTTTTATGACGAGAACACGAATGAAATGTATCGCAAGATCTTGACGGCTCCTCTCAACTTCCCCGGCTACGATGTGGTGCCTCCGGCTGCCAGGGACCTCCTGACCAAGCTCCTGGATCGAAACCCGAGCAAGAGACTGGGAGTCAACGGCTCTACTGAGATCAAGTCGCATCCCTTCTTCCACGGCATCGACTGGAAGAAGCTCCTTCAGCGCAAATACGAGCCGACGTTTAAACCCAACGTGGTATGTGTCCCGTTTGATTATTATGCCGAAATGTCCAAACTGCGTCCTCTCAGGTGGAAGGTGAGCTCACAACGTATTCTCCAGGCCAATGCTCTCGACACGGGCAACTTTGACGATGTCTTCAAAAACGAGGTCGCCCAAGACTCCGTGCCCGACGACTTCGTGCTGTCGAAGACGATGCAGGACCAATTTGTCAACTTCAGCTACAACAGACCCGTCGCGGGACTAGACGACGCAGGAGGCAGTATTAAGGATCCGTCCTTCCTAGAGGCCTCGGAGACGCGGGGACGGAGGTAAAGAGATGGGATGACGAGGGATGGAAGACAGACGCGCGATGCATGATTGACTAATTTTTCTTTTCTCTTCTTTTCATCTTCTTCTGATCTTCTTTCTTCTCTCTCGACTTGGCTTTGGCTTTTTTTTATAAGGGGGGAAACGGGCACGTAGACGTGTCGGCAACGCATCGAGCATGGATTCGGTCGCATATGTGGAAACTTGGGAGTAAAGGCGGGTTTTGTTGCATTTTGTACGAAAGACTTTGTTTGTTTGTTTGTTTTTTATATATACATACAATCTTGTTTGACGACACTGCGGTGCATTTAGCATAACTAAACCATTCTTGCACGGCTAGGACGATCTCTGAAAAACTCCCTTCTTCCAATCGTTGTTGAAAAATCAAACATACAGTCGTAGAACGTAGAACTTGAGACGTGAGATTCAAAGGCTGAGAACGACATTATCATCATATACACCAGGAGATTCTCAAAAACAAATTGTTCCCATATGGTTGGGGTGAAACTAGCAAGCGAAAGAAAACGAACAGGTCCAAACTTCATACGCTCGTGTGCCGTTGAATCATTCGATCGTTATTTCATACGAAATCGGGTGAGAAAGCATGAGAGCATGAGAGAGAGAAAGGAAAAAAAAGAGAGGACATGAGAGGGCGAGAGGATCAAGAGAGCAAATCCCATTTTACCAGGACCGCCGCAATCGCAACAACGCATCCAACCACATTGTCGCGCTAGGACTCGACAAAAGTCGGGGTAGTCCATGTGATCCTGTAATCAAATCCATCTCTTGATCCCGCAAACGAGAAACGGATTATCCGAAAGCTCAGGTGAGGGCATCTCGCAAAGGACCATGATCCAAGCATCAGGTCAAGTGTTGAGTTGAGCAGGAATAATGCTGGGCACTAGCGCGGAGCTGATTGAGGCGACACTCCCCGATGTGACACCTCACCGCATCACCGACGATTTTTTACGTGTACGGAGTAATGCAGCCCGCGTAAGAAAAACTCCGTTGACCAGTGTGTTACAGTTGCCAAGACACGACGACGCTTAAATGTTTGGCAACCACTGGCATCCGTACCGAGGATCCTTGATCCCGGTTCTCAGTCACATACTTGCATGCACCATTCTCGATTCTGCCAGTACGAGGCGAAAACCATGTGGCCGTTGACGCACCGCATCTGTGTGGCATGTGCTCATGTCGTATTGTCTCACCGACTTTAAAGAGAGATTGTGAGGCCAAGAGAAGAAAGAAACCTTTGAAAGAAACCACCTGGGAGCCCCCAAACCCTGTCAAGTAGAACTGGCTGTTATTAAAACGAAAAATAGTGAAGAAATATATAGGAAAGTGTTAAAACATGTGGCAGAACAAAAATATAGAGGTATCGCTTTTGGGTCATTCGTGACGGGCTAGTGCAAGCTCTCGCTCCAACGTTGATCTCCAATGTATCAAGTCTCGGTCCTCATCCTCCCAGTAGGCTAGCATGCCGACGGTTTTGTAAACAGAATCCTCCCAGTCGGTGGGCATGGCGCAACCGGCTTTGGCGGCCGCCAATAAAACCAAAGCACTTCTAGTGCAGGCTCGTATCATGAACATGCTTCCATGGTGCCGGTGGTGGAAGCCAGGTTTGTTTACATGCACCTGATGCATGTGTGTCTCCAGCCCGCGTTTGGCAAACTCTGCCACGGTGGGCTTAACAGGACGCCTCGCGGCGTGAGCACTGATGCTGGCCATGACAAAGGGCCAGTATATCTGCTCAAACAAGTTAATCATCCGCCCTCGGAGGACCGACCGACATATACCATCCTCCTCCACGGGAGTATGGATGGAGAGGTCCGCGGGGAGGCTTTCCGACCATTCCCGAACCTGAGCCTCGTACTCGGGCATCATGTCCAAAAGCGCGTCTAGCAACATAGAATCAGAGGCATAGCGCTGACGAAGGTCCAGCGCCTCTCTGGAAAGACGGCTAGTGAGGCGGCGAAGCGAGATTTCGGCCAGGTAGAAGAGCCAAGCGGCACGAGCACGCTGAGTTTCGGTGTCGGGGCCGTCCGGAGACTCGGCCGGGGCAACCGGAGGTGCGGGGAAGAAGGGCGGATATAAGGTGCTGCCAGAGTGGAGGATATCGAAATCAGGAAGGTCTAGCTCCTGTCGTAGCTCTCGTTCCGACTTCCATGCGGACCAATAGACGGCTTGCTCTTGGGTGTCTTGGCGGCCCATCTCCATGGAATCCAGTGAGGTGTTGGAGTTCTGGGCCCGAGCCAAGAAGGGGAAGTGTTGGCAGGCGGCTAAGGCCTGAGAGAAGAAGCGCCAAGCGTAGACGGGCTGGAAGACCATCATCAGATAGACGCCCGACAGGAACAGACACTGCGCCCCCACGATGTCGGAGCGTACAAGCAAGATGCCAATACGCTTCTGGGCGGCTTGGAAGAAGATCTGAGAGTCGTTGTAGGTCTGAGTGCCCAGTTTGGTTTCCCCACTGGGGCCAAAGGGCGTGGCAATGCAGCCCAGGGCGCATATGATGAGGGCAAGGCACGAGGCGGGAGACCAGTCTATGCCATCCAGAAAGGCGTTGAGAACCATGCGGCGGGCCAAGACTTCGTCAAGGATTGGGTTTTTGCAGTGAATATGAAGAAAGAAATTGTCCAGCAATCTGTAAATGCGGTGGGAATCCATGTCGATGAGGCCAGCCAGCGAGGCTGATCCGGAGGGAGGGGTTGAGATGGCATCGGGAGGGGCGCGATATGAGGCTGGCGAATGGTGGTGGGTACCGGAATTCTGGAAGGCCGGCCACTGCAGGATGTGGTCCACACGCTGAGGCAGCAGGCTGCTCAGGTCCAGATCGTCTTCCAGAGGCCTGAGACCCGAGACGCTGCTCACACTGGAACTCTGGCCGTGGATTCCGCCGCTGTCAAACGCCCTGGATCGCGAGAGTGGGGGCAGCCGGTGCTGGCTGGAGAGGCCCGAAGCTGGAGCCGGGGCGAGAGCCGACAGTGGCGCCGCAGCGTCGGAGGCGCCTGGCAAGGGGACAGCATGCCGCAGTAGACGCTCCAGCTCGTCGATACGATCGAGGATCTTCAGGCTGGCGGGGTCGAAGCTTGAGAGATCCACTGGGGACTGAATGCACGTGGCGCCGACGCTGACACAGTAGCTACAGGCGGGCTTCTTGTTATCGCACTTGGTCTTGCGGGCTCTGCAGACCTGGCAAGCCGTGTTGGCTCGCTTCCGGGGATAGAAGGCAGTGCCGCGGGCGGCCGGACGCTTCCCCGGACGGCGGTTGATGCCGGCCGCGTCTGCCGGCGACAGTGGGCCGCTGGCGTTGACGTCGCCGTCGGCATCCAGATCGTCGACATCCGGGGCGAGAGCCAAGGACAGAGACGAGGCATCTTGGCCAGGACGCGCCATGGCGTTGGCGGCATGAGTACCTGCCACGCCGTTACCATTGATGGAAAAGCTACCTGTGCCCTTGCCCGCGCCCGTGCCCGAGCCTGAGCCTGAGCCTAAGCCTGAGCCTGGGACTGAGCCTGTGCCCGAGGAAGCAGAGCCAGGTCCAGAGGCGCCCGTATATGCGAGGGCCGTTGCGAGAAATGGCAGCGGCTCCTGTCGCTGAGCCGTTGCTGGCCCTTGCGCTGAGGTTGGGTGAGACGGCGGCATTGCGGGTGGCGGCATGCACAGGGCCGCGGAGGGCCACTCAGGCCGGCGTCGATTGAGGCGAGAGGCAGCAAAGAGTCGCGATGCTGCGGATGAGGGGAGAAGTTGGCTCGGGGAGTCTCGGTGGTGAGTTGAACGTGATGCTAGCAAGGCGCGATCGATGCTACCGGCTGTCAGGTGGCTCCTTGTCCTTTATGATTTGGGCACGGCTTGGTTTAGCCGCCCACGGTCTGGGGGAGCCCTAAACGTCGTTAGCGGCTCGACAGGGCATTGCAGGGCTCTGCAGGGCCGCTGCAGGGCATGGACCAGCGCCAGGGCCGAAAAGGAGGGGGCGAGTCTGGGGCAGTCTGGGGACTTTGGGGCACTTTTGGGGGGGCTGCAGAGGCTCTGGGGCAAGTTGCGGCAAGTTGTAGCAAGTGGTAGGAAGATGTAGGGGGCGCCAAGGGCCGCTATTGCTGGGCCGATCGATATTCAACCGAAAGGCGCACCGGCTCGTTTCGTCGAGATGCACTGGAATTCGTTCGATTTCGGAGTAGCGCCGGGCCAACCAGAGAGGCGTCGGCCGCTTGCTGATGCTGGTGCTGGTGCTGTGGGATTTTGTTTTGTCAACGGCATGGCTCGTACCTGGTGGTGAGTAATAGTGCAGGATGGTGGTTGGTTGGTTTCGAGAGGAGATTGGATGGATGGATGCGCACGAGTCGCCGGCCTGCTTTGGCTTCGGCAAGGAGCAGAGTTTTCTTCGTCTGCGGCTTTCCCTGTCTGGCGTTTTGTTTCCCCGCTCCCGTTTCAGGGTACGTACACGAGCAGGTCCATGATCGCCTCTACTCTACTGCGTTCCGATTCCGATTCGCCGTCGTGAATTTGCCCTCGTCAATCTTTTTTTCCTTGGTTCTATTTTCATCCCCAACTTAACCTTGATGTCCTTGTCCTTGTCCTTGTCCTTGTCATCTCCCGTCTGCTAATCGTCTAATACTAACACTAATACTAACACTAATACTGCCTCGTACTACGACTGCTACTTCGCCATTGCGTTACCACGGTGTCATCCCGTCTCTCTCCAACCCCGGATGTTACCGCCACCCTTTGGGTCCATGGCCCAAATCTCCCGACGGGCGCACAGGCTCGGCTTCGGCAGATTTCATCTGCGCAGTGTGATTGACGGCTTCCCTCGCTCGTATCTTTGGGACGCTGCAGCCGTACGGCTCAATACGAAATACAATGGATGAGATCAACGCTTCGTGCTAACAGCCAAATAAACGAGGTGGTCTGTGTGTCTGGACATGCTCGCCATCTGCCCATTTTGTGCAGCCCATCGAGCCACATGAAAAAGCCTTTTCACCCCCGCATCGCCAGCAATCATCCTATGAGAACTACCAGTAGTATGTTGTTGCTAGCCCATCGCTAGTCTTGGGATTAGCTCGAACCCTCCCTCGCCTTTACCCCACGGGAGAGGCAGCGTGAGAAACCGCCATCAAGGGGAAGCAGCCAATGGCGTCTTATACGCGGCGCCATCACAACGCCTCCGTCTTACCAGTTGCTGCTTATCGCACAACTGCCGGGGAGCGTCGCCCTCCACTCGTCAGTGTGTGTGCTCTTGTGTTTGTGTTGCTGCTCGAGGGTTGCGAGAACCTCTCGTCTTGCGGCCTTCCCCATCTTTTGCTCCCCTGCATGCATCCACGGCCAGGTACCCCAGACTTCTCCAGGCTGCAAACCCCATTCGACACGGCAAGCTTGGCAGCTTTTTTGTCTTCAAGTCGGTCCCCCCTTCTAGGCCGACCAGGCCCTAGGCCCTACTCGAGCTGCTTCTTCTTTAGCCGCTACCAATCACGGAATCGGTCCGAACTCTCCACAGGCTCCTTGCTGCAGTGCAAAACCAGACAGGATGCATCAACACCATCGACTGAGTCTGAGAACCCCATGCACGATGATGACCGCAATCGCTTCACACCACGGCTTGCCAAGTATATGAACCGCTGGCCGCCTCTGTCCCAATTGCCCTTCTCGCTCTTGCCAAGCTGTCGGTCATCCCATAGCCTCTGCTTGTTTCAGAACTTCCAGAGTCGGTGGTAAACAGACAGACGAAAAGACAGACGAAAAGACGGACAAGAGTTTGCCACTTCGCCATCATGGGCTCTTCTGACGATGAGAAGCGGTCCGGCGCGCCGCTGGAGACGCGCATTTCCGCCATCGACGACGTCAACCCCAAGGACGACACCGTGCGGGTCGACATCCAGAAGGAGCATGAACTGACGGTCAAGGAGGTCTTTGTCAACCACCCCGCCCTGGTCTTCTGGGCCTTTTACTGGGCCATGACCGGAGTTGGCTGGTAAGTCTGAGAATGGTTTCTCCAGATACCAATCCTTGATTCAAGCCTCGATAACTAACCAATCTCTCCAGGGGTTTCGACGCTCAGGTCAACGGAGGCATGCTCTCTGTTGAGCCCTTCCGCCGTGACTTTGGCTATTATTACAATGACACAGACGGCTGGGTTATCCCCGCTGACTGGCTGAGTGCCTTCAACACCATCAGCGGTGTCGGCCAGTTCTTTGGCGGCTTCGCCTGCTCCTGGGTCGCTGACCGCTGGGGTCGCAAGGCGGCACTGCTCGTTGGCATCGCCATTGTCACTGGAGGCATCTTTGGCGAGATGTTCTCCACTGTCAGAGCTGCCTTCCTCATGTCCAAGCTCATCCTCGGCTTCGGCCTGGGCTTCTACCTGACGCTGTCGCCGCTCGCCGCCTCCGAGTGCGCCCCTGTTGCCTTCCGTGGTATCGCCACTGCTGGTGTGCAGTTCGGTATCGGCTCCGGCCAGCTGCTGTCCAACGCCGTCATCAAGGGTTTTGGCGAACGCACCGACCACTGGGCCTATCGCGCTCCTTTTGCTATTCAGCTCTTCTTCTGCTTCTTCCTCTTCGTCTTGCTCCCCTTCTGCCCCGAGACGCCGTGGTATCTTGCCCGCACTGGCAAGCGTGAACAGGCTCTCAAGTCTCTCCGACGCCTCTACGGGTCCAATGTCGACGTCAATGCAAAGCTTGCCACCCTCGAAGCTACCATTGCCGAGGAAGAAGCCGCCGACTCTGAGCAAGGTTCCTTCGTCCAGTGCTTCAAGGGCACCAACCGCGTCCGCTCCTTCATTAGCATGGGCGTCTTTGTGTGCCAGCACTTTACCGGTATCATCTTTGTCATGGGCTTCTCTACCTATTTCTTCCAGCTCGCCGGTCTCCCCAAGGAAAAGAGCTTCAACCTCGGCATTGGCGTCAGCGCCTGCGGATTGGGAGGCAACATCCTCAGTTGGATCATCATGAACCGAGTTGGTCGCCGCAACATCTTCGTTGGGTGCATGTGCATCCTGACCGCCATCCTCTTCCTCATCGGCATCATGGACGTCGTCCCCACGGGCGCTGCCAAGTGGGTGCAGGCCTCCCTCACCGTCGTCTACGCCTTCTTTTACTACGTCGGCCTCGGCGCCATGGCCTTTGCCATCCTGGGAGAGGCAAGCAGCACTTCCCTCAGAGCTCCCACCATTGCCCTGGCCACCGCCACTCAGGCTGTCATGGGCATCATCTTCAACTTTGCCATCCCCTACATGGTCAACCCCGACGAGGCCAACCTCCGAGGCAAGGTCGGATTCGTCTTTGGCGGCCTGGCTCTCATCGCCACCACCTGGAGCTGGTTCTACGTTCCCGAGCTCAAGGGACGTACCTTTGACGAGATTGACCGCATGTTCCAGGCAAAGGTCCCGCCCAGGAAGATGGGCAGCTATCACCTGTCTTCTTTCTAATGATTGTGCGTGTGCTTTTTTTTTGAGGAGGAGGAGGAGGAAATCCCGGGTTCGAATGCTGCTTTATGGGCAATGATTGATGACATGTTGATTTGGGATTTGGGATTTGGGATTTGGGACTTGGGACTTGAGCTTGCCGTCTTTTGAATGATACTTTATGGCCACGATTGATGAGATGTTGGTTGAAATTTTGGCTTTCTCGCCACTACTATACCCTCCGTAACAAATACAAACATTGGTGTTTTAACAACTATATTATTTATCCATTGTGAAGAACTAAAAGCCTATACCGAAATAGTTTTGATCAAGCCAAGATACTAGTTAAGAAAAAAATACTAGGAATACCAATTTTTGTTAGCCTTTCCTCTTTCTTTTAGTTTCTATGGAACAATCTTTCCAAAGTAATCGATCCAATGCCAACGCCAGATAAACAGAAAGCTATTTCAATATATACCTGTCACGCACGCTTTTTGATAGGTAAACAAGGCAAACCAAGGAAAGAGAAGAAAGAAAAAAGATAGCACACAATATTAATACAGCAAGGTTAATCAAAAGATCAAGGATATTTCGTCTGCATATTCACTTGCACAGCTTCAGAACTGCTGCCAAGATCCTCTGACGGCGATCTCTCGAGCGAGTCATCTTCTGCATCGCGCTGAGGGCCTAGCTTTGCTCTCCAGCCCATGTACCAAGGGCCAGAGAACAGTTCTTCCATTCTCTCTAGCGGGACGCCCTTAGTTTCCGGGGCCCAGAGGCCGAGGAAAACGAGGCCGATGAAGCAAATGCATGCCCAGAACACGTACGCGCCCCAAATGTTGAGGCTCTCGAACATGGCTGGCGTGGCGCGCACGACTGCAAACTGGAAGAACCAGTGCACCGTCATGTTGGTTGCGTAGCAGACGCTTCTTATGCGTGTGGGTAGGATCTCGGTACCGTACAGGTACTGGATGGTGCACAATCCAATGGACCAGCCAACGGCATAGATGAAGACAGATGCAACGGCAGCATCGGATGCAGCCTTGTTATGGGAATCGATCCATATGCCCATGTACACGGCCATGTACACATGCGTGATGCACTGGAGGAACAGGCCGCTCATGAAGCAGACACGCCTGCCAAAGACGTCGATAAGGCCCCATGTGAAAATCATGGTGAAGAAGAGCTTGAGCGCTCCATAAGCACCCGAGTTGATCAACGATATATTGTCGCTGCGGACACCAGCATATCGGAAGATTGTGGGGATGTAGTATGTGATACCGTTACCTCCCGTCCACTGAGCAATTGTCTGCATTGCAAGGCCCAAGAGAAATCGCTTGCGATAGCTGGAGATGGTGGCAACTTCTTTAACAATCTGCCACGTCGTGGTATCAGACAGCCGCTGTTTCGCATCTCGCACTTGCTCAATAATCTCGGCATATTCTTTTTTGACAGCTGGGTCGTCGGGAGGTGCCCCACGCAGTCTAGATAGCACCGTGAGAGCCTCATCATTGCGACCTTTCGACGCAAGCCAGCGAGGAGTATCTTTAATAAAAGACGAGAAGAATAGGGCAATGCCTCCAGGGATCAAAGGCACGCATAGCACAGCGCGATATTGCTCTCTGGATGGGGCCAGAGACTTTCTGGCTCCATAACTAATGAAGAACCCTGTAATATGACATGTTAGACGAATCTCCACAATCAGCATGCATAGAATCTTCGAGTGACCAACCGAACATGAGGAAAGATAGCAGCATCACCATGTACATGGACACCACCATGCCTCGAGACTTGGTTCGAGCAATCTCCGTGAGATACATGGGTGCCACGACCGTGAGGCCACCGGCACCAATGCCAGAAAACAGCCGCGAGAACAGCAACAGCCCCAATATCCCAGACGAGAATGTGGTAATAAAGAAGCCGGCCATCCAAATAGCCATAAACGTCTGCCACGTCCGCAGACGTCCGAGCTTATCTGTTATGGCCAAGGCGAGAATGGCACCAAACGCCGCGCCGAGAACGCCAAATGATGTGATATTCGCTTTCGTCGCAATGAGCCCGTGCTTGTCGCCATCCCACTGTTTCCCTAACAGGCCGAAATCATGCAGGAAGGACGGCATGTCCGCCACTGCAGCAAATCCACCTTCATCGTAACCTTGAACAACAGTTAGCTTTGTTTCTCCCCCTTGCGGCTGAGCGAAAAAGGGGTGGTGGTGATGGGTGGGAAGAAAAGACTCAAAAGAGACATGGCCATTGTCTTTGCATGGAAGAGATGTCTCACCTTTAGGGATAGACCCGCTGGCAATGATAATGATGGTCAAGATATAAAAGAGACTGATCCGAGCCATGATCGGCGGATTGTTGGCGTTTTCGCTCTCGGAGACCCTCCGCAGATCCAATTCGCCCCAGTCTTAAGGCTGGCCACTGAAAGACGGCCGAATATCGAAGAAGCGCCCCCAAATCTTTGGCACAGATGCAAATCACCCTCTGGCAGCCGCTATTGGGTATCTGTTCGATGCTGCCATGCAACGCCGCGCTGCAGCTGATCGCGCACTCACCCACTCCCGTTCAGCTTGCCGGCACTTGTGCAACGCCGCTAACGCGTGGGATCGGAGTCAATGGCACGGAGCCGAGTGGCTCTTTCAGTGGACACTTGGATGGAATTTGTCCGTGTCTCCATGCAGGTCGAGCCGCTGCTTGTCGTCTCACCTCGGCCAAATCAACGGTCAGGACCCCAGGTCGCGAATTGCCCAGTCACCAGCACTGCAGGAGACGAAGCATTGTCGCGATGAAAAGGGTTCGGCGCTGAGCCACCTACTGTAACAGCTGCTTCCCAACTCGGACTCGTTCTCACTGGCCATGCACTGGCGACCCCGCTCACCGTTCTGGTAGGCCGTGGCCCATGCAGCAGCCATTCTCCCGGTATATGTACCAAAACGAGGCGTCTAAGTTGCAGGTTGTTTCAGGTACTCGGTACTGGACACAGATTAGCCGACATTCAACCCTCTATGATGGCGGCGCAGCCCAGGCCCAATTGAGCAATGCGCGGTGCTGCCTGAGGCCGAAAGACGGTAATTCAGAGCCGTTGACGCCAGTTTCAGTTTGGGACACCGAGCCCAGCGCCTGGCCAAAGAAGCACATCATCTCCAGAGGCGCAGTGAAGCTCAGAAAAGCATCGCCAACCCAGATCCATGGTGTTGCTCGCGTTGGGCGCACAACGCACCCCTTGTATCGACGGGATGGAGCTCACGGTAGTTCATGTGCCCGTTTGCATGCAAATCCGTGTGGGGGACCATCGGCCAACTTCCGATCCGAAATGCCCAAGCTCTCGAGTCCCACCACAGCTGTGAGGCTCCCTGATGCAGCAGACAACTCATGACAAAGTCCGATCGTGTTTCCGCAAATCTGCTCCATCCCAACGGACCAATGCGGCTGCTCCCGTCGACCCCGTCATTTCCAGTTTGCGTAAGTCTCGCGCCGGAAGAGGGCATCACTCGAGGACGCGCCATGGATTTAGTTTGTAGAATGACCCCCTTGCGGGGCACCCCTTTGGTCGGATCTCCTCATTGTGCAAATATCACTCATTGGGCCGACGAGATGCTTTGGGAAGTTGCACAAGTGTACTCTATTCGTATGCCGGCCAATTGCTGTGCTGTACTCCGTACTATACGAGCACGTCGTATGTCCAGCATCGCCAACGTCGCCATGGACCCCCTTTTATCCCCGACCTTCTCTCGTGGCCAGATGAAAAACGTATTCCGTATCGAGTGTACGAGTAAGGGTTCTTCCGACTAGTAGCGTTCATGAAATTGAATGTGGAGAAGTACTTGATCTGCAAAAGGAAGTTGTACTTTTCGTTGTTGGTCCCAATAAGAGGAGATGGCTAACTTCCGCCAAAGTCAGCAGTTCGTCATCCGTGATATTAATAAGGGCTGGTGGGTAAAAGCCGACCCAAAGCTGCCTCCCATGTGCGTGTGTTCCATTCTTATCTACCCAAGGTAGTATGCCAATGGAGATGTATCCAGAAGTCAACTGTCAGGGTAACCTGGTATTTAACAACTGTCCTCTCACCGCGGGGAAGGAGTGCTTTTTGCCAAATCTCATCCGGATACCACACCTCGGCCCCTTTCATCACGAATGATTCCATCTGAGGAATAATTCCACGAATAATATTGGAATGATTCGTTTTGGTGCAACACCGGCTAGCTGCTTTGGTAGGTCGCATTGACGGTCATCCATTCGCCTATCCGCGTTTCCGGGTGCAATAAAGTGATCAGTCAATGACGGCCTCCTACCATCAGCAACCATTGGTCGTGTGCTTCCACAAAGGATCTCTATCCTGTCGATGATAGCTGCGTGTCTGTGGGTCCTCCGTCTCACTATGAGCGGAGCAAAGGTTACCATCCAGCACACATGATTCCATTGGTGGCCTAGAGAATAAACTCTTTGGCCCAGAGATGCCGATGGAGACCTCGGGAGTTACAGCAATGCGCTACTGCAGCAAACCTTGTCATTACTCGAGTAGCGTAGAGCCTGTGGCAGTTGTTATCAGAGTAGAAACGAACACTGTACAGGATGGATGACGCCGCTCTGATGGTATTACCGGTAGTTTCCAGCATACGTGGAGTATTGCTCACCTGGGAATAAGAATCAATAGATCCCTTTAGAGACCCCGCAGCCAAACGAATTACGGTACACATACTCTTTTCACACCTTGATGCCGAGAGCCGAGACGGGGATAATAAGGCAATCATCCGTAGGCTTTCGGGCAACTTCCGCTCTGCTGCCATCTTGTAATATAAGCATCTGCTTCTTCTGGACGGATGGACTCCATCCGGAGCGTCACCGAACGATTGACGGCCAGGGATATCGCCCCGCAAGCATTTCCCGATCTGGACACTGATATAGATATAAAGGCCTCTCTCCCTGGGCAGAGGATCCGTCTCTCTTTCCCTCAACACTCGTTGAAAGACTCGAATCTGCGATACGAAGCTTTCACTACACACGACAGTGGACTGGGCTGTGATTCGAGAGGGGCCACATGGACAAAAAGGAAGAGCCGAATTTGTGATGAATCTTTTTTTTTCTGTCTAGCGGACACAGTCCTATATGAGACATCAGCTCGACGTTCGAACCGACGCCCGGACGATACCGCTCGCGAGATAGTCGTCATGGACACATGACGAGGATCATACCAAACTATACTCCAAGATTTGGGACGAGCAGCCGTGGCCGTCTACAGTGGCACGGTCTAGCTCTTGTTTTAAGCCGAGCTACGATGAAAGCTTATTCTTTAAGCGTTTCGACTACTTTCCAAGGATGGCTCTCCAAGGACGAGACGACAGGCTCGCAAACCTGACGACCGGTGGCGACTAAAAAGGATTTTGGTTATCGGTATTAGGAAGAGCGCCGACTCGGACACTGAGTGGCTCTAAAGATGACATTGCCTCAAAGATGCCTGGATCCATGGACATGGTATGAGAGCCGTAGCTGTGAGTTGAAGGGACATGAAACAACGGATGAGCAGACTGCGGTTGCGAAGAGGGTGTCTCGACGGTTTGATACAATGGACTTCCTTGGGAATATTCGGTGGTAGGGGGTGGAGGTGGAGGTGGCTGGTGGTGGTCTTGCACGTCTAAGGAGATCCCGACTGCTGAAAGCTCCTTGTTCAATAAATTTATAGCGCTGCCGATAACTGAGACAGGTCAGAATGGGTTTGGCCCAAACGAGTCAGGGTATCAGGGAAGCAAAAGAAGGAAAGGTATGCCTGGATCCATGACTTACCTGGGCTAAAAGTCCTGACTTGTTTCAAAGCCTGGATACAGAAGTTTAGGCGCCCAAGGGCCTGTCCATCATCCGGGGAAGCTTGGACTTGGAGCAAGAATATTGATGAGGCAATGTAGACACTGTATGCCAGTGACAGCACACAGTAGTTCATCGTGAATGTCCGGCAAAAGAGGTCAAAGATGGCAATGATGGCCGTGGCGGACGTTACGCATTCAACAAGGTACCGCTTATGAGACGCAACGTCGTCTTCCAGTTTTCTTCGGGTGAGCATTGGGCGGTAAAGAAGGATTTTGAACGTGTGATAGAGACAGCTATCGGACGGTTAGCCAACTCTACGAAATCGGCAACTGGGACTAGCCAAGACTTACTTCGTGGTAACAATATGAGATGGTGGGGCCAGGTTGGGCAAGGCCATGGGCTCCAGCTTCAGATACGGGGCCAGCTCGTCCCACCACTGCTGCAGAGCCGGTTCCTGGGCAATCAAGCACTCCTGTACCTCGGATTCCGTATTTTGCATGAGTGGGTCGTACATGTGAATCAAGATCTCGTTGAAGATGACGGATAGCCGACACATGCTCAGAAAACACGAAGCCGAGTGAGCGGTGGACGGTGGGTACTTCCAAGGTGCAGTTTGAAGTGGAGGCGCGCCAAACGGAACCCACAGCTCGTTCTCAGCAGAGTCATCGACTTACAACAACAGGCGTTAGCAGGCAGGCACCAAACATCAGCATGAGCGGCACCAGACTTACACATGATCTGGGGTGGAGACACGGTAGTGTGCTTTAGTGAGGGCGATCGACCGAGATAGAGACTGATGACTTTGTCCCAGAAATAGCACGACCAAAAGACTCGATGCCGGATTTCCACTTCTTCGTCGCTGAAATGGACCGAGCCAGGATATCGCTCTCCGTCCACACATATTCCCAAGTGGTCTATCAGCCGGAACGCCAGTCCGCTGTATGTCCAAGCCTGGGTTGTATTCCCGAGACTACACTCCTGCGCGCTTAAGAGCAGCAGGGTTTGGACAGTCGGGATCGTGCAAACACCCCTGCTCAGCTCGTCAAACAGCATGCTGCGTGCGTGCTTACCAAAAACGGCGCCTCCGTCGTATGATTCATCGAGAATGCGCTTTGTATTTGGATCGCTCTTTGCCCAACGTATTGAATGTGAGAGAACGGCGTTGAGGAGCGTATGGGAATAATACGGACCCAGGGATTGCATGTCGCCTACAAACCCTCGTAAATATCACAGTAAAAAAAATTGTAAGGGGGTGAAAAAAAAAAGAGAGAGAGAGAAAAAGGGCTACAAGGGTGCATACGTGTAAAGGCAGGTCGGTAGATGAAGTTGAAGAGGGGTTGTATCCAGCACCAGTGGACATTCAGTAGTGTTTGGAACGGTTCCTGCGAAAGAAAAAATCATGAGACTAATGCTATCAAATAGCGAACGCCATATCATCACACGTACGGGAATTCCGGAGTGCTCCTCCAAGACACGCTGCTGCCATGCGTTTGAGACGAGACGCTCTCTCCGCTGGCTTTCGACATCAGAAGCAGAGGCGTGTAAGTCGACCGCTACGGCAGCAGAGCTGCGGTCACTGGGGAGGTTGAAAAAGCTCGTAGTCCCATGGTAGGTAATGCCGCCCTTATCGTCTATCTTGAGGCCACGGAAACTGCGGGCTATGCTGTCGTCGATTTGCTGCCGGGAGTCTTGCAGGGCCGGAGGGCTTGAGTGACTTGATGCGGGAGATTTGCTGTCCGTGGCCGCCGGTGGTGTAGCCGATGTCGCCTTTGCAAGCTGTTCCTCCAGATCCTTGATGCGGTCTTCCAGCCGTTGCGTGTACGACAACGTCGGGTTCCTGCAGACGGGTCAGCCACGGGGGAATCGAGCCACCAGAAGCAGGAGTCTCAAGTCACACAGTTTATACACGCATTCATCGTTGCGAGCAGTGCAGCGTTGGCACATGGGCTGCTCGCCGCCGCACTTGACCTAACGCCACCAGCAAGTCAGCTCTGAACATCGGGCCAATCTGTCGTCCCAGCGCATCGTGCAGCAGAGACTAGAGGCAAATACACTGCAGCCAAGCTCGTGCTCGTGCTCGTGCTCGTGCTCACCTTGCGCCTGCGACACGGCTCGCAGGAGAACGCGCTCTTCTTGGTGGCCTTTGCCGTCGACATGGCGGGCTGCTGGCACCTTCAACTCCGGCGGGCTGAGGAAAAAGAGACTGGACAATTGCTGGCGAGAAAAGAACCCTGTGCCTGTGCCTGTGTCTGTGCTTGGCTCGCAGACAGCTCGGGGGTCTAAGCTCAAAGCACTGCCCCGCGTCTCATGCAATTTGATCCCCGCTCCCTATCCCGGGAAGGCCCTGGAAAGCCAACCGCCTCGTCGAATGAGAAGCCACCGCTGTATGTCTGATTGGCGTGCTGAGTTTTAGCGAAATCCAGGCGCTGCCGCGTGTTCCTGATCCAGGCGCCAAGACGTTCGATATCGGTACGTGGTGATGCAGTGAGTGAGACAAATGCCGGGCGAAATTGGGCATTGCGCATCCTTGGTGCTGATCAGGTGACTCAGCAAGCAAACCAAACTCAAAAACTCTGGACTGCACTGTACATGCACCATGCAGGCAAAACACCGGGCAATCAGGTATAGGCGGGTGTTTCTACTTTGGTCTTGTTAGTGCATAAGAGGCAGCTCAAACTTGTTGTTCTGCCGCTTCGCCTGACAAATGTCGATCGATTCAGTAACTGTCGGCGACCAGCTTGGCAAACCGGAGTGTTACGGAGCGATGGCGCCCTTTTTCGGAACTGAATGGATGAGTAATCGGCGATAGCCGTGCCGTAGCTGCATCATCGGCATTGGCCGAGAGCTACGGCCCAAACTAGCATCTTGCCAATGCCGAATACGAGTAACTTGCTCAGTGAATCTTTGATGGGAACTCATATAAAGCAGTACTTTACATTATAGCATCAATCGATAATCAAAGATGGCCTTTCCAGAGATGCCCTTACGTCGAATAGATCTCGATATAGTATTATGGAAGGTGTCTGCTGCACTTGGTCCGAGCTTAGCTGGCGCATCAGGCCTTCATAACATCTTCAGCTGTGCAAGCTGTCATGCAGGGTAGCTCATCCTGCTACCTCTAACTCAAAACTGAGCTTGTTTGGTATTTAGAAAGCTCTTGACAAATTGGCATAATCATTTACATGGAAGACTCTTCATTTATAACCTTCAAATCGCCTTGATCGAGTGCCGGAGTGGTGCGCCGGGCCGGCCCGGCTGTGGGGCTATCAATGCCGTTGGCAGTGATGGGCCATAAGGCTGATGGTAGCATTCATGTCTTAGATAGCAAAGCTTCTGGCCTCAAAGAAGCAAGCTAAAAACGGCAGACGGCGTTGGCAAGTGACCAATTGACATGCACAATGAGAAAGTGCAGTCACCTGGAATGGAACGATCGGCTGACACTATTGGCTAAGACACGGATCCTTCGGCCCCCAATCACATGTCGACATCACAAAGGCACAGGCAGACTATTGAACCTTTGGTTCGTCATAAATCCACTTTCATTTCTAGGCCGTAACTTTTATTTACATTATGGTATCATATCCTATTTTCCCCAATTTAAGCAGAGCAGAGGCCATTGTGGACGGAGAGGGGGTTGGAGGAGGCATCGCCCCAGTCGAGGCTGCCGAGCTGCTGGCCCAGAGCAGTTGAGCCGTCGGAACGGAGGTAGTCGGCTGAGAATTGTTAGCGATCTGTATTACACCAGAGGAACCTTGCTCGTTTCCAAGATTCTGGATGTGCGAAACTTACAGGCGACGGGGAAGTACCACCAGTCCTGGCTTCGGAAGGCGTTGTTGTCCAGCTGGGACAGAGGGTCGTTCCAGCCCTGTTGGTCAAACGGTTAGAAAAGGGTCAGGCATCATCATTTCATGAGTTGTTGAGCTTACAGTGTTGCGGTCGTTGTAGTTGGCGTGCTTGCTCCAGGCAACGTAGACCTTGGGGTGGTCAAGGTTCTGGCGGCCGTTGTCACCACCTCGCTGCAGGGTGCCGTCAGCAGTGTTGAAGGTGTTCTGGATGGCGCTCCACGCCCTTCGGTCATAGCCAGAGTGCTGGGACAGAAGAAGCTGGTTCTGGACCCAGTTTCCGTCTGAGCCCTTGGCCCACTCAACAATGACACGCTCCCAATCGCTTTGATGCTGTTAGTTGTTGAAAATTGTCAAGCCTAAATCGGAGAGCACTTACTAAGGGTGGCCCAAAATGCCCTCAGGAGAGGTACTAAAACGGGGTCGATCAGTATCATTGAACCTCGTGGATAAAACCAAAATCGGGTCCGGAGAGGCCCAGAACTTACCCATCCTTCTGGTAGAACAGAGAGTACTGGATTCGGATGATGGTATCGGAACACTTCTGGTAGGAGTAGTAGGTAGGGAATGAAGGAGATGGGTTGGTGATGCCAACGCCGGGCTGTCGGCAGTTGCAGCCAACGTTGGGATAGGCGCAAAGGCCGACGGAAGGAGTCTGCTGGCCGTTGGTGGTGGCAAAGGTAGGAATGCAAGGAGGCTGGTTCATAGCCTGACCGAAGAACCACATGGGCTGGGCCCTCATGGCAAGTTCGACACCTCCAGCATTAAGCAGGTTGTTCATGTCGGAATCAGAGATGGGAGTGACGGCGGCAGCCAGGGAGGCCAGGCCGGTTCCGGCAAGGAGAGTCTTGAGAGAGGTCTTCATCTTGATTGACTGTGCAGATACTAGGGGATATCTGGTGAGGGTGTTGAGGCTGGGGGAGTGAGGAGGAGGCGAGAAAGGGCGAGGCAGCAGGAGGAATGGCTGCTCTATTATATACTACAATCGTTGTCCCCATCTACGTTCATACTTTGCGTCCTTGCGCGCTCCATTATGACCGCCAAAAGGCTCGTGATGGAGCCATCGGTGGCAGATCAATTCGTGTCAGTAGTACGCCCAGCGTCGACCTGCCTATTCCATTCACAACGGATCTCGACAAGCCACTAATCAGCTGAGGGCCAATCGGGCAGACCCCTGCGTAGCCTCCTCGGTCGAGTACTCCGTAGGCCTTTTTGGGCTTGTTCGACCGAGGACGCTTTGTGGACGGTCTAGCCATTGGCGCTTGGAGGTCGATACAATTTGGCAGGTCTGGGAGGGCAAACCGCGGCAGACGCTGTGTCGAGTGCTTACACAGTCACATTAGGGTGTCACATCATTCATGCAAACAACGCCTAGCCCCTGGCTAGATCCATGGGGCGTTTTCAAACCAAGTGCCAAATTAGGATGGGTGGAAACTCGCGGGGAGGTGGAGAGTGTAACCTTTCGTGGAGATGCTTCTCGTACTGTAGCTATCTTGAGTTTTGCGAGGCCAAAACAAGAGCGCATGTGCGTGTACAGTATCATCTAAATGTCATCCAACTCGGGGCCATGATCAGAACTGAGGTCTCAATTGGCATTTTTGGCTCTCCTGTACAATTACGGATGGTGGCTGGTTCTATTCACCTGCCCCAGCAGATGTGACTTTGGGCTCATATGCCTTTTCCGTGCACTTGACGCCGAGTTAATACCCGTAGCATCTCATAAAGCGGTATGGTTTGATGTTGTGAAACCTTGTACGCCGTAGTTTGGCTTGGTTTACTCACAAGGTCGCAATAATCGCCAAGTGATCAGCGATGCACTTATTTTGACCCCAAGGCCGCTAGCCCGTGCTGTCAAAAGCTTCAGCTGACCAGTGAGCATTTCTCGACCTATTTTCCGCCTATTAGACCGTCTCGAGGACATTGAAATACTTGGCTTCTGGCTCTAGCGATGCGAACTACTCCAGGAATGCTTTCCCAAAGGACCGTGGATCTCGTATTGTCGCCCTAAAGAGAAGCAAAAGAGGTGAGGAGGCAGAAAGCCAGGTGTGCTCTAGTTCCCGAAGTGGGCAGACGGATATGCCTATCTTGGAAGTACGCCCGATAAGCATTAAGCAAGAATCATGGTTATTTTTTGTTTGGCCACGCTGCTGCTCCAGTTTGTGATTGTATTGCACACGGATGTACTAAAACCATCTCCGGCCGCCTTGTGGCTTCGGTGTCCAAATGGTTCAAGGAAGCTTTTCGGATGCAGCTATTCAACCCTCGTGGCCTTGCTATAGGTTACCAGACGTCCGTTGCAGATATTCTGGACAAGGAATTGCGCATGGCAGTGGAATGTCTATGAGCGCTTGTAAATAAAACGCGCCCAGGTGCTGAATAGACAATACAGGATTGGCCATGAGGAATGAGAATGTCCGTCTTGGAGCTTGGAAACGGCCGCAATTGAGGAGAAAAACATTGAGATGACATCAAAACACAAGCCTTTGGTGCAGGCTCTAAGCGATGAGATCCACAGATCAATGCCAGAACCCCTGCAGGCTTACAAAGGAAGCTAGGGCTTTGATGTGATGGGGATGCTTCTATTCACCGACGCATCTTTCCATCTGCAAGCTATCATATGTTTCCATTGGATGTAACGTATGTGGTACAAGGTAGTTTCTGTGCTTGTGCATCTGTTTCACATGCCATTTCCCACGAATCAATGGAATTGAGGCATATTTTCGATATCCCAGATGCAAGTGGCTGGGATTCTAATTCCGCACAGACAGGGGTTTCTTCAAAGTGAATATACTCCGCACATCATCGAGTCACGGTGGTACCATAATTGTACAATGCCAGGTAAACAGATCTAGCTAACATGTAGACGGTAAGACATCTGTAACAGCTAAGCCTCCATGGCCTATCGGCTTGGGCCGAGAAAAGGTGGTGCTGATTCAGACGGAAAAGCCTCTCCCGCAAAAGGAGAAGATTGCAGGTGAACGGTCAATGCTGCCATACTATGCTTATAATAAACCTCGAGCTAAAGTTCCAATTTTATTAGACAAGTGAATAATATGAGACACGGCGAGGTGCAATGACATGCCGACAGTCTACCTAAGATTCAATAGTGCGAGTAGTGACATGTTTCTTGTCAAGTCTGTCTGCTCAACTACATATACGTGGATGAGCTTGTATTAGTGCGGCCCCATTCAAGGTTACAAATCCTCGTATGCTAATCCACTTAGCTCAAGGATGCTTGAGGTGCTATTCTGGAGTAGAGATGATATGTATTTTTGCCCAGAGATTTTGACACATTTCTCGCGTCATTTGTATCAATGCCGTGCACCTTGGCAACAGCGGGGGAAGTTGTATTTTATTATTACTTACATGTACCTAATTGATGCGGTTTGACAAGAGAAAAATGGAAAACGAGTCGAGGAACTGCCGTCTCAGTCATTGGCAAGCAATACGACATGGCAGATATTGTGGTCTAGAACTTGCACCAAACTAGTCTTACCGACGGACATGCTTGTTGGTCGTCTTTATTTATTTATTTATTTATGCATGGATATATAACTTCATACTATATTTCCTTGACTCTGCCTCTTCCAGCGTTTGAGCATGCCGGGCACTTGACACCTTGGGACCTATCTGAACCAAGGTGAGCGCCATCATGCCAGTCTCAACACGGACACTGCTTATTAGACAAGCCTCAGAGGTAGCTCCTTTCCTTCAATCCAGGCTTGCAAATCCCTAGTCGCCTGCTCATAGAAGCCGTTGATGGCCATCTCTTCAACATAGCCGGTATGCGGCGTGATTAGCAAATGACTCCGGCCATTCTTACCCCATTCAGAGCTCCTCCACTCGCTGTCAACAGGAAGAGGTTCCTGCCAGAAGACATCGAGCGCGGCGCCTCGAATCTTGCCGGCCTTGAGGGTGTTGAGCAGATCTTGTTCGTTAACAAGCGGGCCTCTTGACGTGTTGTGGAAGAAGGCCGATGGCTTCATCAGGTCAAAGTCTTTGGATGTGATAAACCCTCGAGTGCGATCTGAGAGCACATAGTTCAAGCTGACGACATCAGAGGTACTGAAGAGCTCTTCTCGACTGACGACTTTGAAAGTCTTTTCCCCGGTAGAGGTTGTGACTGGCAAGTTGAAGTGCACTGCTTGTTCATCGGCAGCCTCTTGAGTCAAGTTCTGGCTCCAGGCAATAATCTTCATGCCAAAGCCAATGTGAAGGATACGAGCTGCAGCGCCGCCCAGACGGCCAAGCCCGATGATACCCAGAGTCTTTCCAGATAGGGAAGTGCAGAGGCCGGTTTGCCATAGGCCCGCTTTCATTGCTGCGTCGTCTGCTGCAATGTTCCTCGCGAGGGCCAAGATCATGGTTACAATGTGCTCAACTGTGCTCTCGACGGCGTTCTCATCGGTGGCATGGACATGGACCGCTGTTGCAACGGGGATACCCCGCGCCTTGAAGGCATCGAGATCCAATGACAGGTTGCGTCGCGCCTGTGTCATGAGAAGCTGGAGGTTGGGCAGCCGATTCACCAGCTCTGCAGGGAAAGGCGTCCGCTCTCTCACAGTACCTTTATTAGTGCATTTAGTATTCGCTGCTCTATATCAATGTACGAGGCTCTACATACTTATGACGTTAAAGGGCTCAAGCCTCTTGACCAGCTCATCCTTGACGGACTGCGGGGTGTCTGGGCCGTTGTAAGGCAGCAGCGTATCTGGAAAGTAAACAATCTCATGTTGATCTTTGAACTTTGCAAAGTGCTTCTCAGACGCATGCTGGTAATCGTCCAGGACGGCAATCTTGAGTCGCTTGGCAGCCATTTTTCACAAACTCAAATTGATACTTTGAATGATCAGAAAAGATAGAATATTTGACGAGATTATGAATATGATTGCGACATCGGTTCATCTGTTAGTGGAGTAAACCATTTCATATACAGCCTCATGCATAGGTGCATTTACCCTTTCGGTTTGTAAGCGTTATATCCGCGTACAGTTGCCGGCCTTAATTGATACTGTCTCTCCGCATCTGATAGAAAGAATTGAAGTCGGCTTCTTTCACGGCAAATACGCCGTGTGCAATATTATTTTGCGAGAACATGCTCTTTTTGTCTTTAATTTTGAACGGCTTATATAGTGTCATGATTTGATCGCGGTGAAAACGATCCACGCTATCAGCGGAATGCTAAAGAAGCACGCCCAGCAGTACCAAATGTCCGCGACAATCCTCGCCATCACCCACCGAAGCTTGGAGGGCGGGAGCGGTGCTAAGACTGCGAGTCTGTGAAATCCAGGAGAGAAGATCCTTGTGTATTTGGGTAAAATATCCCTTCGTCGAGCATAACGATGGATTTTCCAGAAGGCTAGGTCCAAGAGATATAGCTCTAGAAAGAGCATCTTTGCAGCCAGCCAGACGTATCGGATTAAAACCAGGACCTCTATTCCTAGGTAGCACAGTATGGGAGTTTGGCGCAGGGGATAGTATTCTTGCTGCAAGCGGGTAAAGATTCTGCCATGGGCCTCCTTTGGTGTCGTGATGGCGCAGACTCGGATATGCTGAAAGATGAGGCTAAGAATGAGATGCCATCGAAGAGCACGCCATGAATGGTAGCCGGGGAGTGTGGTATTTGTCGTGGTTATCAGCCAGCCACTGATGTTTTTGAGATACTCCATTTGATCTGAGTGCTTCGGTGCTGTACAAGTGACTGCGGGACACTATTAAGTCTGCGGGGTATCGAGAGAGCTGGAAAAGTCATCCATGTCGCGTAGTCTAGGATAATAAGAAGCAGATTGGTTTGTCGGGATAAGAAGATGAGTAGGTTCATGTATCAATGAGATAATGAGAATGTCAGCGAGTGCGGCGCAATGTCTTGGACGGAAATCTGGAACTTCATGGTGGGGTGAGTTTATGTGAGCACACGAGCATGGAAATTGGCAGAAATGCGTCTCTTTCTACAACTGTACATATAATTTGTTTTAATACGACTACCCGGAAACGCACACAAATAAGTACCATTTCCCTCCCGCTTCTGCTGCTATCGTTGTTACTGTCAATTTATTGATGTGCAGTGAGTTGTTGCAAAGCAATACAACTTAGGCGAGTCCAGTCGAGGTTTTGGCTCTTCAGGGAATGCTTCTTTTTCTAGAATAGCAGAGATGATGACATTAACCCCGTTGGCAGCACATCCATGATGATGCTCCGTATCATTGGTCTGGCGCTGTATTTCATTTCAGTGGACGGTATCACGGGTGCTGAGGCCGTTACAAAATATTCTTATTTCCAACGCGCTCGACAATGTGCAAACTGCACAAGTCTCCCGATTTGAAGGAAACAACAGCAATGACTTATAGAAGGTTAAGTAAGGTAATGAGGTTGATTGTGTGCCAACAGGGGTATGGCGGGAGCAGACGGAGAGACGGCCTCGGGAGATAAATTGTACCTACCTACATGTAGCTACCTCCAATGGGAGAATCCAACCGCTCTCATGCATTAGAAGATTGTATTTGAGGCGTCTGAAAAGGGGTACATGTTCGCTTGCTTAGTCAATCATGGTAACAGTTGCCATGGTTGACTAAGCAAGCGAGCACTTAGGTGCTAGTAGCGTTTGATGGCGGCCCCAAAGCCTGGCCAGTACGGAGTCTGATCCGTACACCTCGAGCCTCTTGGCCAATGGGCAGGCTCCATCTGCTAGCGGCCCCAAAAGCATAAGAGATTGGGGGACAAGCAAGATAATTCGAAGTGCAAGTACGACCCTGCCCAGCAAATCGGCGATACAGGATTACAACTTGCTTCGGCGCCCAAGCTAGCAAGTTTGAGCCGGCGAATAATCGGTTCATGGCTTCATGTCGATGGCGTACGCCTATTAAGATCCATTTCGAAATTCGAACCTTGCCGTCCAGCGCGGGGAGAGGGGTTGAAGATTACATGTACTCTCGTACGGAAAAGGGCGGGTGTAAAGGCAAGAACGCTAATAGGCCGTCGGTGTGTTTGGGGTATCGGCCCCATCAGGGTGCTCCTATTGGGTTCGCCTCAATCCGTGTCAAAGGGTAGATGGATGCATGACTCTACATTCCCCTCCAGAGCCGCCACGTCGTCTGCAGACTGCCACGATATGGCTTCCGTATGTATGCGTTGCGAGCTGTGGCGTAGCCTTCTGGTAACGATGTATGAAGATATAAGAAGAGATGCCTCGTCTCGAGTTGGACGATACTCTGGGCTTTCTCATCGCCTATCATCAACATCCTCTCTTATATCGTCTCTACCAGTCTGAGCTCTTTCATAGACCATCAATCGAGCGCAAAGCAAAAAATGACTTTTGACACCAACAATCTGCCTCCCAATCTTAATTAACATGATTCGACGGGCTACATGCAGGCTACGCGGTATGAGAGTCTCCAAGCCATCTTTCGTGACGAAAGCAACATCGAGACCCCCCAGTATGGCGGTTACGTCCCTTTCTTGCTTTAATAGTGTGTACTGAGCCGCTTAGAACATGGGCTAACCGGACGCTTGTATACCAGGGTGTAAGGATACTAGAGCTATATGGCCGCCTGCCAAATGTCTTGACACTGGCATCGGCGACAGTGCCTCTCCCACTGAAACCAGTTGCTCATCCTTTGAAGGGAAGAGGAATGTTTCAAAGCCAGTTAATGATTTCGGTGATGACTCAACTGATGTCGCAAGCATCACCACCACTGAGGCTGGCGGAACTACTGCGGCTGGATCTATTGATCACACTTCCGGTCTCTCCAAAGCAGAGGCTAAATACAAATGCGCCACACAAACAAGCGGATGCACTGAAGTACGCGTTGGATACGGGGGCTATATATCACGCTGGTGCAGGGATTCCGTACTCCGCTATTTCGTTGACAACAAGAGCTTCCCGACACTTGCCGCAGCGATGCAGGTCGGAGCAGCGATGCAAAACGCGATTTACATGTGGAAGGGCACTGGTGTGAGCTTCGAGGAAGTTGATTGCGATGATTCAGCCACATTCGCTGTCAGATATCCTCGACGTGGACGCAGCGGTGTCTATGCCAGTGCATTCTTTCCAGATGAATCGCCAGGCGAATTGCTTGTGTACGATCTGGGCCTCTCCAATGCTGCCTATCTCCCCAATATCTTAGCTCACGAAATTGGCCATATTCTGGGTCTCCGTCATGAGTTTGCCCATGAAGATAAAGCAGAACGAAAATTCCTATGTGTTCTTTTAGGAAAAGAAAACCCTCAATCAATTATGAACTATTATAAGGACCCAAGATTACTGCAAGTCAGCGAACAAGATCTCAGAGAATTGAAAGAGTTTTACGCATACGACGGGGAAAAGTATAAGGGGCTACCGATATACGACTACGATCCAATTCTACATACACGCGTTTCTCGCGAAGAGACTTGTTCTAGCCACGCAATGGGAAGTTCAAGTCGCAGGTTATCTCGCCGGAGTATGATAAGAAAAGTTAACTCACTTTTTTCGACTGCTTTTCACTCTGCCAAATAAACTTCACTGTTGTTCACGGCATGGTATATGCCAGTCACCACTTGTTTTCTTCTAACGGTTCTACTATCACGATATTTTGCAGAGCGACGCCTTACTATTTATGCATCCTGTACGGAGTATCTAGTTACTTATTTGGGTATTCATTTTCTAGATTTCTTATGTATTGCTACTGCTTCATTTTAGAGCCTGTTCTTATGGTGAAATTTTGGCTTCACTTATAGCATAGTAACAATTCGGTCTCCGTTGACTGTTCTAGTTGCCTACCTTACTTCTTCCTGCCATTAATACGACTACCTGGCAAGTGTATTAAAATGCTGTGTTTTATTATGTATGTTCTTATTGTCTTGGTATTACAGAATACGTGTACATGTAATAATTACACAGCCTTAATAGGACAGAATCATAAAAATGTACCAAACATTGACGGAGCATGCACAAAGCCGCTTACAACTTGCTCAGTCTTGATGCTCCATCCAATCGGATGACAGCCCCGTTCAACATGGGATTTTCAATAATGTGCTTGACCTGCCGGGGAGCACGTTAATCTCTGCAAAGTTTTAAACAAGGTTGAAACACTCACCAAGATGGAGAAATCGGGCGGATTGCCAGCTCTGTTCGGAAACACAAACGTGTCTTCTATGGCTTTTCGAACCCTGTCGCTCATACCAGCCGTCAGATTGGTGACGAACAGGCTGGGAGCAACAGCAACGACGCGAATGCCGTAACCTGCCAGATCGCGAGCCATGGGCAGTGCCATTGATGCAACAGCTCCCTTGCTGGCCGCGTAGCTGACCTGGCCGTACTGGCCGTCAAAGGCACTCGAGCTGCTGACCAAGATGATGACGCCGCGCTCTCCGTCTGGGCCTTCGGGATCGACCTTGGCGAGATGGACGACGGTTTGCCGGACGAGATCGATTACGCCTCTGAGATTGACGCCCAGGACGAAGTCGACGTCGTCCATGTTCAGAGGCTCGCCCTTGCGATTGAGGACCTGCATTTTGTTTAGCACAAAGCCGACTCATGATATGTAGCCAAGTCCTACAGCTGCTGGGAGGCCAATGCCTGCTCCTGGCATGACGCCACCCAATGGCTTTCCGGTCTTCTTCACCCAGTCCACGGTACCCTGGACGGCCTTTGCGATGCTCTCGCTCTCAAGCACATTGCAGTGAAAGAACCTTGCGGACGGGCCTAGCTCCTTTTCCAGCTCCTGGCCGGCTTCTTCGTCGGACAAGTCGAGGATGGAGACATAGCCGCCGGCTTTGATGATTTCGACGGCAGAGCTCTTGCCGAGGCCGGATGCGCCGCCGGAGATGATGAATGTGCGGTCTTGGATCTTCATGGTGAATTCAATGTCTTTTTTTTGGGTTATAACAAGGAAGAAATAAGATTCAGTGTGAGATGATTACACCTGTGTACATGTAATAATTAATATCTGGCGAAGGGCGGTCATACTTTTGAAACCAGCCCGCTGTGCCGAGGCTCGAACGCTCGAAGCTCCAGTTCAGTTGCCATTTTCAGGTGCCGCTCAGCACTAAACGCCATCGTATACTGCATCGGGCATATTCCATCTCTGTAATTTGCTACTAGGTATGCTCTTTAGATTTCGTATCAAAGTATAAAAGTGATGAGAATAACTCAAAATACGTGCCTGAGGCTCTCAAACGATAATCTCATCATCTTCGCTCTTAATCTTATCGCTTTGCAAGAATCGAATGTCATATGTTGTACACCGTATATCAGCCACATGACAGTCCATAGTGGATTCGACTCCATTCATGCCCAGCGGTGGCTTAGTCATTGGGCTGCACTCAGCGATGGGCAGTTGATTAGCACGAGTAGTTCAGTTCAGTTCAGGCTCAGTGGGGGTCCCGTCCTCGCACTACCACTACAGGGCCATACAGAGGCCGTCTAGAGGCATTCAGCGGGCCCGTGCGCTGAAAGCGCAGTGACACCATCCCTGCATACCAAGCCACCAGAAGCGACATCACACACCCAGCCAACTCTTTGCTACTACAACGATATCTTTTCTTATCTCTGTGTTTCACTCTGACGACACCGGCTCCCTCGGGTCTCTGCTGCTGCATCATCGACGAGACCAGCGACGATATTTTCGCCCTCCTTATATAGCTGACATTCGCCGGACGAGGTTTGCGCCCCATGATGAGGCCCAGGCGGTCGTCCGGGGCGAGCGAGTCCAGCACTGGAACAGCTCGCCCCGAGCAGGTGAGCAAGCTCGAGATGAAGCCTAAGATGAGGCTGGTGTGGTGGGCGGTACTGATACAACAATGCGACAGGAGCTCGGGAGCATGTACGACTACTTGGCCAAGATTATACTGCTGGGACCCAGTGGCTCGGGGAAGTAAGTAGCGCTACAGACGGAGCAATCTCTAGGGTTTGATGATGGCTAACAAGGACGTTCGCCACACACAGGTCATGTCTGCTCCATCGATTTGTCAAGAACGAATGGCGAGTACTGTCGTCACAGACCATCGGCGTCGAGTTTGCAACGAAAATCATCAAGGTTGGGAGCGGGGCGAGACGAAAGCGGATAAAACTCCAAGTATACCAACCCCTCGTCATTCTATTGCAGGGGTACCAAGCATGTGCTGATACAATCTTTTTTTCTCTTGATAGCTATGGGATACAGCAGGTACCGAGCGGTTTCGATCTGTTTCGAGGTCATACTATCGCGGAGCGGCCGGCGCAATCCTGGTTTACGACATCGCATCGCACATATCCTTCCGAGGGCTACAGCCGTTTCTTAACGATGCGCGGGCGCTAGCGTCTCCTCATCTGAGCGTCATGCTGGTGGGAAACAAGTTGGACTTGGCTTCTGAGAACCTCATTGATACAAGTTTGCCTCCGCCAACTCCCAGCAGCGTGAGCTCTGTAGCGACCATGACGGGCCTCAACGGCGTGGCATCATCCTATAGGGACCATGCCGGTTCCATTGGAGCCGGTACACAACAAAGAGCTACGGAGGCGCCGGAGGGTCGTGAGATATCGTCTGCGGAGGCGAGTCGGTGGGCTAGCACCGTGGGCATTCCAGTTGTGACGGAAGCAAGCGCGCTTAATGGCGAAGGCGTGGATGAGATCTTCAACCGACTGGCCAGGATGATCTTGACCAAGATTGAGCTGGGCGAAATTGATCCAGATGACCCCATGAGCGGCATTCAGTACGGAGATGGTGGTGGATGGAATACGGCCAGCGATGGAGGCAGCATTAAAAGCTCCCTCACCGGTGGCACGTTGGATGAGAGCCTCAGCGGCCCACGGAGGCGCAGACGAGGGAAAGGCCGCACCCAGAACTGGAATCTGAGGGAATGGGAAGAAGTCTTTACGCTGAGCAGCCGTCGGAGGGGCCGAGGATGCTGTTGATGAAGATGCCCATGACTAACGACCTTTTACCCTCTTTGTTTCTTTGTTTCTTGCTTTGTTTCTTGCCTTCTTTCCTTCTCTCTTTTATTTCTAAGCTCAGCCATGTTCAGTTTCATATGCGCGTACGACAAAATCGGAGGAAGACGCTGAAGGATAATATGCATAACCAGCCCTTTTTTTTTTTTTTTTTTTTGTTATGCAGAAATGAGCTTTGAGACAACCAATGACAGCAAGCAGTTTTGGCGTTTGGGAGCACTATAGAAGTCTTTGAAGGCGGCCTTTGAGGTGGCCCGGACTATTCTTTTCTTTGTTTTGCTTCTGCTTCTGCTTTTCCTTTCTCATCTGTCGAATTTTTCCGTGTGCTCTTTTGTTATTTTTTAGTATCATTACTGAATAGGTGAAAATAATTGTTTGGGTTTTGTTTTGCGATGATACATAGACTGTGCCTGCTTTGCTTTGCCTTGCCTTGCCTTGCTTCCGATTACGGAATACATGTACTTTCAGTCTCAGTGCCCAACTGTGTACCTACGGTACCTAATCATGTACATACAAGAAACCCGTCAGGTATCACTGGAAACATAATCGGAATCACTCCGCAGCAATCTTATGCCAGATGGGGTACAGCGCGGCGATTAGCCTCAATCTGTCTTAATATGCGTTAAATTGCCTGCAGCAGTTCGCATCTGGCGAGTCTTTGGCTTATGTTCCGAATAATCGTCCTTTGGTCACCCCCCAAAAACCCCCACCTTGCCGCTTCAAGATGCGGAGGTCGACCTTCCGTACGGAACGTCTATAAGCCGTCTATAAGCCCAGCGTCCAAGTATAAGTATCGATCAACTCTTATTGCGTATAACAGGTTTCTCTTTCTTTCCTCTTCATTCAAAGCAGTTCCTTTCTCCAATTTTACGGCATCTCAGTCGTTGCAAGAGCTGAGAGAAGTACCGTCGTCGGCTGACTGACTTGCTGCCCAACTCCCCCGCAATGGCGCCTCGCAAGGTCATCCCAATCAATGAGGATTGGCAGTTTGGAAGAACAGATGTTGAGGAACCTTCATTTCTGCCCGTTTCCCAATTCCCTACAAACGTCCATCTCGATCTCTTGCACCACAACCTCATTCCTGATCCCTTTGTTGGAAAGAATGAATTGGATGTGCAATGGGTGGGGGAGGTGAGGGCTTGGCAGTACCGCACCTCGTTCAAGACTCCCAAGATCGGCAGCCATGAAAAGGCTATTCTCGCCTTTGACGGCCTGGATACCTTTGCTCAGGTGCTTCTGAATGACAAGAAGATTCTCGAAACAGACAACATGTTTATCCCTGAGCGGGTGGATGTCACTGCGCTTCTCAACGAGACAGACAACCAACTCGTCATCACATTTGACAGTGCGTATCTGAGAGGATGGGAGCGAGTTGAAAAGAACCCTAGTCACAAATGGGGCACCTGGAACGGAGACCACTCCAGACTGGGAGTTCGAAAAGCGCAATATCACTGGGGCTGGGATTGGGGTCCAACGCTGCTGACTTGTGGGCCCTGGAAGCCCATCAACCTCGAGATCTACGAGTCCCGCCTGGCTGATTTATACGCAACCGTCACTGTGGATGACTCTCTTGCTAGCGCCAAAGTTGTGCTTCATGCAGCGACCGAGGGGAAGGCGTCCAAGGTGCGGTTCAACCTCTCACTGAACGACACCGTTCTGAGCGATACTGTGGATGTCACAAAAGATGGAAACGCAGAGGCTACCTTCAACATTAGCAACCCAGAGCTGTGGTATCCCGTTAGATATGGAAAGCAGCCGTTGTATAAAGCTACGGCGACACTGCTGGATGGTGATGATGAATTGGATGTTGCATCGAAGAGAATAGGCATCCGAAAGGTAGAGCTTGTTCAGAAGCCCCTCAAAGACCAACCAGGAACGTCCTTCTTTTTCAAGGTGAACAATACTCCGATATTCTGCGGAGGCAGTTGCTGGATTCCAGCCGACAATTTCACTCCTCGAATCACCAAAGAGAAATATCAGAACTGGGTCAAGCTCATGGTTGAAGGCAATCAATCCATGCTGCGCATCTGGGGCGGTGGTATTTATGAGGATGAGAATCTCCTTGATGCATGTGACGAACAAGGAATCCTGGTCTGGGTTGACTTCCTGTTTGCCTGCGGAAACTATCCTTGCGACCCAGAGATGTTGCAATCTATCGAAAGAGAAGCAAGAGAGAACGTCAAGATCATGCGACACCATCCTAGTATTGTCATTTATGCCGGCAACAACGAAGATTACCAGTTTCAAGAGAGCGAGGGGCTCACCTACAAAGTCGACGACAAGGATCCTCAAAGCTGGCTCAAGTCAGATTTCCCGGCCCGCTACATCTACGAGCACCTTCTCTCGCAAGTGTGCCAGGACCTGGTGCCCGAGACGTTCTACCACTATGGAAGTCCTTGGGGAGGCAAGACGTCGTCTGATCCAACTGTAGGAGACATTCACCAATGGAATGTATGGCATGGCACTCAAGCAAGGTATCAAGATTTCGACAAGCTGGGAGGAAGATTTGTCTCTGAATTTGGCATGGAGGCTTTCCCATCTATTCGAACCATTGATGCTCTCTTGCCCCAAGGTAAAGACGACCCAGATCGACACCCGCAGTCAGATATTGTGGACTTCCACAACAAGGCAGATGGTCATGAGCGGCGCATTGCTCTTTATCTCGCAGAGAACATCACATTCACAACGAGCCCACTGGAGCAGTATGTCTACTCTACCCAGCTTATCCAGGCAGAGTGCTTGTCTTCTGCATTCCGACTCTGGCGTCGTGAGTGGAAGGGCCCTGGACGGGAATACACCAGCGGAGCTCTCTTGTGGCAGCTGAATGACTGCTGGCCCGTGACTTCGTGGGCCATCTGTGACTACTACCTGCGACCAAAGCTGGCCTACTATACCGTGAAGAGAGAGCTCAATCCCATCACGGTCGGAATCAAGCGAGTTGAGCACCGTCACCCCAAAAACAAGTACACAAGAGTCGAAATCGCCGTCAACACTAAGCTTGAGATTTGGGCTTCCAACTTTACGCTCGATGATGTCAAGGTCGACTGCGTCGTCAAGGCATGGGACGCGGAGACGGCTGAGGAAGTCTTTAGTGAGACTATCGCATCGTCACAACAGTTGCCCGGCAATCAAGCCACTGAGTTGACGGTCATCGATGTTCCCGTTAAGACTCCTAACGCTGGGCTCGAGGGTCGCACTGTTGTTGCGGCATACCTGTACCAGGATGGCAAGCTGCTTGCTCGATACGTCGACTGGCCACAGCCACTTAAGCATGTGCACTTACAGCAGCCTCAGAACTTGGTGGCGAAGCTCTCCGAAGATGGTGCTTCAATCACACTAAGTTCAGACAAACCAGTCAAGGGCGTCGCTCTGGAGTCTGAAGATGAAACGGTCAAGTTTGACGACAACCTGATTGACCTCGTTCCAGGGGAGGAGGTTACTGTGCGTGTGACAGGCGCTTCGAAGAGCACTGTGATTTCGACAAGGTACCTAGGAATGCGCAACTAGACTATTGCTCCTAGTTTTTCGTATCATAGCTTAATCAATGTACATGTATTGAAGAACACTGCAATAAACACTATGATTATCACCGCGTCTTAACGGACTAACCGCACTTTGTCGGACTTTTCTGTTGTCTCCATGCCGACTATAAGTGACCATGACTATTTTGGACTCGTGGCAGATAGCGCGACGAATAAGTAAACAAAATTTCCGTATGCGGGACACCTGAACAACGAACTACCGACAATGAGGCATCGGGGATTAGACTATCTAAGCGCGAGCTACGTAATCCCGCGGGCCTAAGATGAAGCTATAGACGCATCTGCGCGATTCTGGACATAGGCTGGGGATAGCAAAGTCCGGCTGCCTCATGTGAATTTGGATGACATTGTATGAGATGGTATGAGATGAATGAGATACAGAGGCAAAGATGTGAAGAATATAAAAGGTTTGGAGATGGCTGAGCAAAGTGGTTTTCATCAATAGGCTCATCATCTATTCAGACTACAAGTTTTCCAATAGTAATATACAAATAGCTTAAAATAGCTTACTCCTTTACACGCTCAACAATGGCTTCAGAGACTTCTCTACCTTCCACGCATCGAGCTATTGTTCTGCATTCACTTGATACCCCCTTGAAAATTGAGCAACAGCCAACACCAAAAGCAACTCCGGGAAACGTCGTCGTCCGAATCCTCGCCGCCAATGTCCTCTCCTACGGCCGCGAGATCCTCGACGGCACTCGTCCATACCCTTATCCCAAGCCTTATATCCCCGGCGGCAGCGCAGTCGGAAGAATAGCTGCCGTTGGAACGGATTCCAGCATCTTCTCCCCAGGGCAGCTGGTTCTCGCGGATATCATGACGCGTGCTCGAGATGACACCTCGGCTAGTTACCTGATGGGTATACACAACGGCTTTTCGAGCACGACGATCAAGCTCGCTACTGATGAGTGGAGGAATTCGACTTATGCTGAGTATGCAAAGATTCCACTTGAGAGCTGCTATCCTCTGGACGAGGCACGGCTGTTGGGAGATCCTGCAAGCGGTGGCTTGGGATACACTGTTGATGATTTGACGTATATATATCGACTTTTGGTACCCTTCGGAGGATTCAGGGACGTTGATCTGAAGGTTGGAGAGACGGTTCTCATTGGCCCTGCGACGGGGCCTTTTGGAACTGCGGCTGTGAGCCTTGCTCTCGCTCTAGGAGCGAATGTTGTTGCTATGGGGAGAAACGCCCAAGTGCTGGAGAAGCTCGCGGCTATGAGCGACAAAGTCAAGACGGTACAGATAACAGGGCTCGTGGAAAACGACACGGCAGCCATCAAAAAGCACGGCCCGATCGACGTCTTCTTCGATATTTCGCCCCCAATGGCCGCAGAGTCGACGCACATCATGAGCGGGATCCTATCTCTGGCGCACTCTGGCCGTGTTAGTCTGATGGGCGGCATTGCGGGAAACATTTCTATTCCGTACGGCGCCATCATGTTTAACGACTTGAAGTTGCACGGCAAATTCATGTACGAGAGGAAGGACGTTAGGATGCTGATCAAGATGGTGGAGACGGGTATCATGGGGCTGGGGAAGAAGATCGGGGCGCGAGTTGAGGGAAAGTTTGGGCTTGAGCAGTGGGATGAGGCGTTTACGGCTGCGAAGGAGAATGCGGGACCGGGACAGTATGTTATTATTGCTCCGTGAGATGTTTTGAAGAATAGTATTCGCTATGGATTTTGTATACAACAGCTGAAAGCTTTAATAAATAACACATTTATCATGTTGAGGACAGTTTAAGCGTCAATGTAAGCCTTGCGGGTCTCGGGAAAGTCGACAATGCCCTTGCCGGCAACAAAAGTTGTGTGCCAAGGGGCCTCAACCTTGCCCTCTGCCAGTTGTAGGTAGACCTCTGCGTGTGCAGGACCAGAAATGGCATTGCCAACAGCCTTTCCTTCAGGGGTACGCTCATCAGCGAAGTAGAAGCTTCATGATTATGTTTTGTTAGTTATCTGGACTCTAATAAAGAAGATTGGAAATTAAACTCACCCGTATCCCTTCTCCTTGTAATGAACACTCGCTGTACCAATCCACGAAGCCGCCGCACTCTTGCCAATACCCAGTGTCACGAAGATCGGGCTCGGCATGGTAACGGCATTCAACCAGTTACCGGTGTAAATAAACAACTTTGACAACGATTTATCGAGCCTCTCAAAGCCAGCAACGGCCTCTCTGGCAGCGACATAGGCCGAAGTGTTCATGAGCCTAATATCGCTCTCAAACTTCTCAATGTCAATAGTGAAAGGATTCGTCTGGTCGCTGGGAGGAGTGAGAGCCGCGGCGTTGTAGATGACGACATTTGGGTCTGCGCCGAGAGATTTGCGGACTGAATCAAAGATGGGAGGGATGGAATCTGGATTTGTGAGGTCGGCGGCGATGGAGACTTGGTTGGCGGAGGAGGTTTGCTTGGTTGAGCGGGAGACGAGGGCGACTTTGTAGCCGGCCTGGGAAAAAGTTGATGAGAGGGCCTGACCGACGTTGGAGCCGGCGCCGAGAATGAGAGCGATGCCTTTGGAAGCCATTGTTGATGTGGTGATGGTGGAGTTGTTGGAGTTGTGAGTGATTGTGCTGTTGTACTACGATGAAGTGTTCTTGTACCTTGATTCTCCTTCTTTTTCTCCGAGCATCACCATTGTCTTATATCACTTTGCCCACATTCCTTCCGACATCAATCTCCAATTCTACAGCTTCATCAACGCATCCCACTCAACACAATTTGTAAGCCCATCTTCCACGATTCCAAACACCTTGCATTGAAGGATCGCTTCTAATCTCAAACTATAAGTGCCCTACGAGCTCCCAGATCCATATAATTACCACTTTCGGCACCAGGTTACGCCATAGACGAGGCTGATTCCGTAGCCTTGTGATTTCAAAGCAAGGCTACCCCCTGATACGTACTCGTAGCATCAAGCTCCATGAGGCTGAGGATTTATAACGGATGGCATCTTTTGGCGGTTTGGTCGTTGTGTAACAAGCGCGCGCGATGAATCTGGCGAATCGAAAGCGTTTGAATTGAGAGCGGGGCTGTTATAATGTTGCGCTAGGTAATATGCGTATTTCCGTATTTCCGCTGGCTCGCGTTGTTCTTATAAGCGCGAGGTGGCGTGATGAGGTTGCAGGCATTTGAGTGGTTTGGATCAAATGTTTACTGGAGATGTTCTTATTGAGGAAATGGGCGTTATCGATATAAGGACTGTGCAAATGAGATGCGGGAAGAGAAGAGTAGCACTGCAGATTGTGCAAGAGAGATGTTGAAAAAGATGAGCTGAGCCTGAGCGCTCAGGGGTTGAAATCCCATCTTCAAACAATTACTGGCTTTCATTGTGTATATAGCAAAGGCTATTGCAAAATAAAATAAAAATTATAAAAGTCCCATTGCAGTAAAACGCCAAATTCCCCATGCCTTTTATGTCCCATGTGAATAGCGTACACGTGTGTCAATGTGCAATCTGATACAAGTACATGTAGCAAAATGTAGAGAGAAAAGAAAAAGAAACAGAAACTTTTTTACGCTACCGGCTGCCCTTCTTCGTTCATCTTCGCATTCAGGATAAACTCAAACGGATCAATCGACATGAGCGTCTCCACGTCAAACATCCTCCAGTCAAAGTCCGGATCTTGAGCCCCCGGGATGCTCATTGCGGCGGCCTGGCCCTCGGGCTGGGGAAACGGCACGGCAGACGAACGGGAGCTGTTTGGGGCGTAGTAAGTAAGAGACATGGACGGCACAGATGGCGGGTATGCAGAGGCAGAAGTGTCTGAGGGAGTCATCAGATTGTTGGCGTGCATCGGCAGGGCAGCTTCGCCGGCGGCGCATTGGGGAGTTCCGCAGAGGCCTTCGATTCCGCGGCAGGGATTGGAGGACGGAACGACTGTGCAGATGATGCGATTGATGGCCTTGATGAGGATCTGAATCTGTGATGGGGAGGCCTCGTTGGTGGGAGTCATGCTGGACAGGCAGTCGAGAGCAACGTGCAGCCAGGGCAGGTGAGTTTCCACCTTGCTTTTGTCTTGGAGCATGTCGAAGCCCAGGACATAGCAGGCGCCTTCGAGGAAGAAGGAGAAGTACTTCGCCTCCTAGTAAAATGGCGTTAGCTCGTTGCCTTCGTGATGTTGGCTGCTTTTACACGTACCTTGCAAAGGTGATTGATCTCGCACGACTTGTTGATGTACTTGATAATCTGGCGGGCCGGCTCGAGGCAATACTCGCAAGCAGTGTCGAGCCATGTAAGCTCCCTAAGCTTGTCGCAGGACTCAGCACCAATCTGCGGAGCGGGAGTCCTGAGCTTGCCTCTGAGGACAAGGAATGGGCGGAACATTAACAGCTGAACGTGGTGATACACTAGAGACACAATACTGTTAGTTTCTCATGACAATCGAAGACACGTAATGGAGTCTCTCAACATACTCGAGGCGATGATGGTCTTGCAGAATCCGCACTCCCCTGTCCCCGGTTCTCCCTGGATGTCAAGGTGAACGTCAAACAGTTGTTCCTCCGCATACGCCTGTAGCTCGTGGCGAAGCTCTGTCGCCGCGTTCCACATGTGTAGTAGTGACTCATGATGCTGGTTATAGATGCGCGCCGCACACTTTGAAACGAGTCTCGCCAGCCTGACGAGGGCGTGGATGAACTTTTCCTCTGCCGGCACGGGGACTCCACATCCCGGGTCTGATATGGAGGTCGGGCGTCCGAGGCAGAAGCAAACCCAACTGTAGAGTGAATGTTAGTACAATCAAACGACCAAGGGGGGAAAAAAGAAAGAAAACCAAGAAAATATGCATACGTTTCCATGATGAAGAGACTCCAAAAGGTCAACCGGCGCTGTAGACAGTCTCTCATCTGCCCCCTAATGCTAATTCCCCTGTGCAGACCAGCCGCAACGGCTTTTCTCGACGCCACACCAACGTACAAGAACGCAGAGTGCGGCCGTGACCTCTCGAGCTGAAACTGGGCCTGCAGCAATGGAATGTGAATCGCCTGGATGTTGACCAGCTCATCTAGCTTTTCGGCTCCCTGTGATGCTCGCTGGAATAGGAACTGTGCCAAGGCTTCTTCCTCTAGGATGGACGCGCCAATGGCCATTGCCAACATGACGACGACAACATCAGGTGAATCAAAGGAAAAGAGCCCTGGTGAGGAGTAGAGAAGCTCTGCACGGCGACGGAAGTCATCTTTGGTCAGGATGGGCAACAGGTGCCAGAACGTGCACAGATACCGCTCCAGCACGCGGTTGCATAGTTCCTTGTCCAGGAACATGGCAGAGTAGTCGTTGGATATCGTTGTCGACTTGCCATCGGCCAGATCACCAAAGAAGAGCTGCCTGTTCTGGAACAGATCGAGGCCAGGGCCAACCTGTGCCACCTCCTCACGTCGTGTTAGTGGAGTCTGGATGCCTGTGATCAGCCGGTAGATGGAATGTAACATGGAGAAGTTGGACGAGGGTCCATAGTGTAGCTGGATGATGGACGACGGCGAAGTAGTAATGGCTGCTACGCTGTGGACGTGGAAGCCCCAGCTGTTGTCGTCCTTGGGCCTGTCCTGGCTCTCCGGAGCCACATTGATCGGAGCCGGAGTCTCGTCCGTATTACTAGCCCCGGACGAAGAGACTGTGGCCCTAGCCGGCGTCTGAGACTTGCGAGGCCGGTTCCTGGTCCGGGTCCGGTAGACGCACGACACGCTCCGGTTGAGACACCGGGCACACGGCTCCTTGCCGTCACACCTCGTTTTCCGGACCCGGCAGGCCTCGCAGGCCTTGCCGATGTTGGTCATCTGAGCCGGAGTTTGACAACTGGTCAACTACACAGAGAGTGGCAGCAAACGCCGGGTTAAGCGGGTAAGCGGGATTTCCGGAATTCAACTCGCAGGCTTGAGATGCCTCTCTTTCTGCTGGATCTGAGCAGCGGAATAACAGAGCAACAGCTAGGATACTATTCAATGGATCTTTGTATGTCTGGGGGAGGCAATCAAGAGAGCTGCATTTGTCAGCCTGAGGTTAGCATTGAGCATCGAGCGTTGAGCAGCTGCCGGTGAACCCACATGCCCAACTCACGACATGGAGGCACCAATGAGACGGTGTAGGATCGACAATTGCATCAATCAAGTGCTCGAAGGATGCGGAACGCGGAATTAGCTGGTTGAAATACCAACAGACGCTGTGGCTGCAGATGGTTATCGATTGTCTCGTTAGCCACACGGTGCAAAAGGGCGTCGGAAATAGGGCGCTTATATGGAGATTTGCTTACAATTCCGCGTCTGTAACTCCGACGCCTGCCCGCATCCATCGAAAGGGGGTTGACAAAGGTTGATTAAAAGCTTAAAGAGCATCACAGAGCACGTTATTAGCCTGAGATCCAATTAGTTCTATTTTTGTCATCTACTTTGATTTCAACTTTTTACTTGTATATCTGCTCTAGACCGTACCCACCCTTTTACACAAACAGATACTTTTGGACTACAGTTAGGAGCGAAATGGGCGTCCTGTTCACGCACTCGGAAATATTTGGGCACGGACCATAAGTACTTTTTGTCTACTTTTATATACTTATTAAAGCTACTTATTACTCTAATAATAAAGTAGCGACAGTATACTGCAAAGTATACCGCACTCCAGCAGCCTTTGCTAATATAGACAGTGCAAACTAAGTCTATAAATACCACATAATCTAAGTCTAGATACATACCTGAAAATTAAAGGCCTGCTAAGTAGGGTCAGACCCCTTCTCCGCAGGGACCTCAACGCCCGAAACGTAGCTTAATCATTCCTACTATCTTCTCTTTCTTCATCGCATACAATAAGTAACAACAACTGGATAAATAAATGTTTTACTGACAATAAAATACCTTCTCAACTTTACAATATCCCAACTCCCGCGCGCAGGCGGAGCCCATCTTTATCAAGCCAAAGATATAACAAACAACCTTCCCCAGGGTCACTACTATTTATACCATTAGCTAGCTAAAATCCTAACCGCCAATATAATACGGAGGTCCCTACCAAAAACTTTGGCTGACCGCCTTTTTAATTATAGTGGTTTTGCTTGGCAGAAAAATGGCCTGTAGCCACTATAACTCAAAAGGCGGTCAGCCAAAACTTTTGGTAGGGACCTCCGTAAACACCGTTATATATATTATAAACTAGAATAGAAGTTGACCGTAAACAATAGACAAGTTGCAAAGTAAATCAAGTAAGATCTCATGTTAGCGCTAAGTGACTTCTGCAAATAAAACCCTCATATCGCAACTAAATGCGCTTATTCAGAAAGCCCAAGTAAGCAAACCATACGCAGCTAATATAATAATAACCGTTATATCCATTACTAAACGCTCCAAGCATAATATAATAAAGCAGTTTGATAAAATAAATATTAATTAGCTAATTATAGAAAAGCAGTTGTAAATATAAAGCTACCTTTTGTATAATAGGAAAAAGCTAATATTAAAAATCACTTTTAACTACGTAAAGGCTAAATCAGCTGGCCCTACTAAACAGAGCTCTATAAGTGGCCAGCTTATAGAAAGGTAAGTTCAACGTAATACCAAAAGGGCTGTTTTAAGCCGAACCGCTACTTAAGAGCATATATTTACTGTTTTCAGTTGCCCTAGTGCCCTGTATAATTAAGGTCCTTATTACTGGTAAGACACCATTATTAAAAAACACTTTAAGCTTATAGAACATTAGCTAAGAAGCCTTATTAAGCGAGTGTAAAGCAGCAAAAATATAAACAATCACAAAAATATACTTATAAAGATTTATAAAAAGCTATTTACTAAAGAGTAACAGCAGTTATTTTAAAAGCAAAAACAAGCTAATTTAAGCTCTTACGCTATTAACCTTCCCGCTATATATATCCATAATACTATACCTAATCAAACAGATATAACTTTAGCTAAATCTAAAGTAAGATCTATACCTAAAGCGGCATTTTTACATTATACTTTAGAAAGTCTTAGAATATAAGATAATATAGCAGAAGAGTACTTTATATAGTATAGTTCACAGGTTAAAAGACAGGTCCTTAAGGATAAGTATAAGCAAGCTTACGAGCTAGTACTAAGCAAGGGTTATAATCTTAACCTAATCAACGATAATCAAGAGAATATATACCAATTCCTTATCGACCGTAGTCTAATAGAGGGTCCAGCGCGGCGTGTCGTCCGCAATGTTGAGATCTTTCTACATTGATAACAGTAGGGACTGATTAAGCTAATTACCTTTATTAGCTTTTACATACAACTAGAGCATAAACCTGTCATAGAGTTAGAGCAAACTGGCTCCTTGTTACTTATACTTTTTACATAGCTAAGTCCAAGTATACATAGCATCCGCGGTTCACTGTTTGATGCGCGTCTCCACAAATGGCTCGCGTTTCTTGTATCAAATCCGTCCTTGCGCTCTCTTTCCAAGACGAGATATTACATCTTTCAGGCTCTTTGTGATGTTTCTAAGTAATTTAGTTTAGCAATACCGTTGATAATAGTTTCAGTTAGCTTGCAGCGCACACTCGTAGGCCGTTGAGGTCGAGGTAAGTTAAGCAAAGATATTTATAAGCTGCCTACCTAGAGGCTTCTGTATGAACCTGATCGAGACAAATGCTACCAAGGGAAAGTGCAAGCCTTTAACATGGCAGGTTGCGTACTGCTCTGGGTATCTTGACTAATTAACAGGCTGAGCTAGCTCTATTCTTCTTTCTGCGAATTAATCCTCCGAACGACATGCCATGAACATATTATGGTCTTCCAAACAGCACTTCAGACAACAAGCCCAAGCACGAAATCAGATTCACTAAACGTAGTTTTTAGGCAGCAACAACACTACCATGGTCGTATATAGTGGCTGCTCGCGTGCAGTTTGTTAGAGTGGGTGATTCGACTTCCTCAGCCCTCTCTGATGAGTTCCGTCGGTCCATTGATCACACTTCGTAGCAATCGCAGTCGCGCCCGCTGCCTTTCCGGGCCCCTACCATCAATCCAGCCCAGAGTCACAAGCATCTTGTTTGTTATTTTGTTTTGGCCTATGGATTGAGAACACGAGCCGTCAGCAGACGTTCGCCGGTCTCCGATGCAGTAGCTGGGCTGGGTTCTGGAGCTTACCTGTTGATTCACACACGTACTACGTGCTGTACATCGTCACCTCCTCCACATCTCGTTGAACATCTGCAAGTGTGACGCTGCGCCCCCGTTTCTAGAGAAGCATCCGTATACTTCTCGCGAAGAACTGCCGCATCTCGGACACGAGGTGATTCCGGAAGCCCTCCTCTAATGTTTTCGCCGCAGCATGGTCATCCTGTGACAGCAGCTGGACCCTAGCCTCAGGCTCTCGGCCTGCCACCTGCTTCCCGTAGTGGTGCGATAGAGACGCGGCCGGCAAAAGGTGTAACCGGCGATTCTACACAGCCAGCCAGCTCTTCACCAGAATGACCAGCTATGTTTAGCATCCTGGGGTCAATATAGGGGAATGCATGGTTCTTGGTATTCTCCATCGCGCCCAGGCATCTGAAGGTCGTGTTTGGGAGCACCTCTTGCCGCCGGTAAAGCAGAATGCACCTAGTCGGCCAATGACCGCCATGGTGCTCCAGCTTTACTGTGAGCTTTGCCTGCCCCCGGCGGTTAAACTTGGTGGGCGTCGAGGCCGCGACGAGCTCGAAGATCTTGGCGTATGAACATAACATTCAATGAATGCTCCTCCCGTTACCTTCATTTGAAGGAATCTGTCTACCGTTAGACCTCCATACAACCACTTAAACTTGATCAAGTTACATAAGGAAGCAATGTCTGAAGTGAGCTGGATACATACTACTTACCAGAACGGTCTTATAATTGTAACGATTCGAGATATTACTCAGTCAGGTGGCTTCTAGGCTCAAGTGGCGAAATTTGTCGATCAAAATCTTCATATCTTCCTCAAACGAGTTTACTAAACCAAATGCTACAGGACCGTAATGCCCAGGCACGATAAGCTCATTGCCAATGATCTTACATTTCCGACGTTGAGCTTTATTTAGGGAAGTTGTTAAAATAGTATGCGAGTCTGAGCTTAAAGCCGGCTGATTTCGGTAGGGAATTTTCGAATCCATGATCGTCTCTCATGGAGCATTGCCCATTATCCGAAGCGTAGTCGGAAGGACATGCTTCTTGAATCGTGTTACACCTAGTAGCCTTCTACTAATCTGACTGCCCGCGTGGGCAATTCTGCCATCCTAGCCACTTATTCAGGCAAGCGGTGAACAGATTTTAACGGAAGGATATCTTACCCCGCTTTAAGGCGACGTACCTATATGTGTTACTATTAGGCTTTGGTTCTTGCCTTCACTAACCCGCTGAAGGAGTAAATTATGGCAAATATCTTAGTCGTTATTCATAATATTGCTCCAGAGTAATACCCCGTGTTTATAATGTACTGTCCAGGATATCTACCCCTACTGCTCTGCGGTATCTACTGTATATTTTAGTATATCCCGTTCGACTGAAAATTAACAATTTTACCTCTTTTATATGGACGATGAAAATACTCGCAGTTGAACGGTAGAGATAATGCCATCGCATTGAAACACACTTTTCATGATGCGATATGGTGGGATTGCTTGATATCAAATCCCCCCGCTGTAGGGTGCCCCTCAATCGACTTTGAGCTTGCTGAGGTAAGTTCTATAGAACATGCATGCTGCGGTAACTTACTCCGCAGAGGTAGTAAAACCTCCTAATCACTTATAATTTCTTTTTCTTTTTCTTTTCTTTTTTCTTGGTTGGCATAGCAGTGAATTATCGCACACTCTTCGACGCTAGCGCGCCTCGCCAGCATGGTTTATATCATGGAAATTCATACCGACGGTGGCTGTAGAGGCAACGGACGACCGGGAGCAATAGGTGCCGCTGCTGCCGCTTTCAAGAAACGAAATGGCACATACGGAAAAGCGTGGACACGATCCTTACCCCGAGATGATCCTCCACCCACAAACCAGCGGGCCGAACTCACTGCCATCATCCTGGCACTGGAGCTAGCCCTGGAAAAGCTTGAAAAGCTAAACATGAATCCATATCTAGATGTCAAGATCTATTCGGATTCCAGATATGCGATTGATTGCATGACAATTTGGATTTACAAGTGGACCAGAAACGGATGGATCAATGCCGCAGGCAACGAGGTTGTCAACCGAGATCTTCTTGAGGAGGCTTCTGATCTAGATGACAAACTGAAAGAGGTGGGAGACATGGACTATGTCTGGATTTCGAGGGAGAAGAACCAGTATGCTGATAGATGTTGTAATTATGCTATGGACATACAATGAGACAGCTGATCAGAATGGTCTTGTCGAGAAATATATACACTTATACTTCGCCTAACCCAAATGTGTCGGGTACCGAATCCAAGACGAGGCCACACAATTGCCACTATGTTCTGCAATCATACTAAGGCTCTCCCATCCCGGCACCTCAGCAACCGAATTGCTTTTGCCATCTCATTGCTTCTGCTACACTCCAGGTAAGTTAACTCGGAATTCGACGCCATTGTTTGATGAGAGGCGGGAGAGGCTCACATCATGTGGCCTCGGTGTGGAGCCTGCTGGGGACAAGGAAGCTTCCGGGGAAGTACAGGGTCCAGTTCGAATCGTGGTGGGAGAGGAAGCTTCAGAGGTGGCTGCGGAGGAGCATCGCCATATGAGTTGAGATCTAAAGTCACGGGCTTAGTCTGTAAAGCACTTCGGTCGCGCGTTCCTCAGCTCTCTGGAAGCTCGCTACTTCCACTAGAATTAGTGCTAGGATGGAAGGAAATAAAGAGTTTATGAACCTAGATCCACCTACAGTTAGGAGAAATCGGTCGATGCTATTTCCCTCGAGCAGCGCGCAAACGAGCTAGCCGACATTACGTGATATGCTAAGTAACCCATTACGCTTGATATAACCTATACTAGCACTTGGTTGGGGCTGGGGTCGGGGCTGGGCTAGGCTCTGCGGCCTCTGGCCAATTCATTAGGCACTCTAGCATATAAGCGGGGGAACTGGAGCTGCAGCTGCCACCATCACCTTGGAAGCGGCACTCGCGAGTTCTTGGTTTGGGGGACTGCTAGGTGGACACTTTGCTATTGAATTAACGGTGAAACGTAAGCCCAATAATGATACGCCATTGAGAAGTTTATAGTTTGTTAATGAGACTTGGACACTGTAAAATGGCTCGTGTACCGGAAATTCACTAAACTTTATGTTCGTAAATAAAGAAGCCGGATACCCATTTAGCTGTATCAGTCTTAGGAAGTTAATGCTAGATTACTTAATACCTACTTAAAGCTTGCAAAAGTTATTAACGTACATTAACTTTAGGATATAATTAAAAGAATTTTATTATCTATAGTATATACAGAACTATACATTACATAATATAACAACTTATAGCACCTTAACTTTAGTTTTTATTAATAAAAATCCCAGTATATTTAAAGTAGCCTTTAGTATTTTCCTTTTACCTCCTTATAATATAAACAGCTTTTTTAAAAAAAATGCAAAATTTTCTTTAATTAAATCTTTAAATTTATTTTAGACTTCTTAAATATATCTCTTTAACTTATTAAAAAACTCTTTAATTAAATTTAAATTAAAGGAATATAATAATAAGTAAAGCAGTATTACTTTTATATTATTATAAAACTATTAAATCCTCTTTAAGTAATAAATTAAAGTATTATAAATAATTAAATTGGATTTTAGCTTAAATTATTTATTATAATAAAAAAAAAGCTATTTAAAAAATTCCTTAAATCTTTTACTATTAATAAAGCCTTTAAATACTTTAAAATATATAATTTTATTTTAGGTATATATAAAAAGAATTTAAAACCTTTAGCAATAATATAATTGTTTAATTTATATTAAAGTAATACTTTTTTAAATTATTTTTTATTTTTAATATTAATACTTTTATTATATTTACTTTTATTAATATAAATTAATTAATAAAAATTAAAAAATAATTTTTATATATATAATTAATTTTTAAATTTAAGTTATATTTTTTAATAATATTTTACGTAATTTTTTATATATATACTATATTTTTTAAAGTATTACTTATACTAAAATAAATTATATAAATATTAAATTTTTTATAAAAAAATATAATTATATTTTTTAAATATATATATAAAGAATTTATAAGCTAATTGTATAAAGCAGTTAGTATATTAAAAATAATAGTTTTTAGTTAACTAATACTATTTAATAATATTTTAATAGTTTTAAAATAAATTAAGTTTAATTAGCAGCAGTATATTATATAAGCTGTTAAAGAGTTTATTTTAACTATATTTTTATTAATAAATATATTACTGCTTTTTAACTTTATAATAATTATATTATTTATTAAATATTATTAACTAATTGTAAAGGGATTCCAATAAAAGGACCCTTATAGCTATTGTAAAGGGCAGTAGCTAGCATAAGCTGCTAGCACTAACAAATCTTTTTGGTTTATTGACTCAATTAGCACCCTTTTTAATTGTTGTTACACTAAGGGTAAAATTCAGTGCTATTCTAATAGTATTGGTTTATAGAAATAACTATTTTATATTTATCTGCTAAATTACTAGTTTATTATTACCTTAGGTATATATTTCGTTTTAGTATAATATATATTTGGATTTAGGAGCTTATGCTGCCCTATAGGGATTAGTAGGTTTCGTTTAGTATAAATAGCAATATATACTACTACTATACTAACTGAAAGCTAATACCATTTAAACCAAAATTAATTATACTATAATTATAATTTTAAAATAAGTTAATAAAATTAAAAAAAAATAGCTTTATTATTTATAATAAGCGTTTTATTACTGTCCTTTACTAAAGCCTATACAATAAATAAAAGCTAAAAATATATTACTTTTAAGTTAATTTTTAGTATAGTTAATAAAAGCTATTACTAAATTAAAATATATTATAAATATATTTAAAAATAAATAATATTTAAAAAATATTTTAAAAAAATTTAGAATTATATACTTAAATTATATTTTAGTATTAAGTTACAGAAAATAACTAAAAGGTTTTATATTTATATATTTTTAAGCTTTATTATTTAATATATATTTAAATAGATAATATACTTTATTAATTACTTAGTTTATTATATAAATATAAAGCCTATTGTTATATACACTAAGTTTTACTATACTATAGGTTCTTTTTATAAAACTTATATATATTTTAAAAAATCATTTACTTTACTATAATTTTAATATAGCTTTAAATTAAATTTACTTAAACTTTAGTAAAGTTAAAGTTAAAAGGAATTTAATAACTTCATTTTAGTTTAGCTTTTTATTTATTTATTTAATTACGTTATTTTTTTTATTTTTTTACTTAATTTTTAGTATTTTAATATACTATAATTACTTATTAAAATACATTAATATTATTAATTAAAGTAAATACTTTAAGCTATATTATAATAAATCTTAGTTATTTAAATAGTAAAAATAATTATATTATATAAGTAATAAAAATCTTTAATTATTTATTTAAATATAAATAGCTAAAAATATAAAATTTATTATTATATAAAATATAAAAAAATTATATAATAAAACTTTTAGTATTTAACTTAATTAAATAACTTTTATAACTTAATTTTACTTTATTAACTTTTATTATAATTTAAAATATAATTTAATATATATAAAATAAACCTTTATAAAAAATTATTATTTATAAATTATATATTTAAAAGCTTTCTTTACTATTATTTAAGTAAAAGTATATTAATATATTTAATGTTATTTTTTTAAATTTATATAAAAATTATATAAAGCAGTAAGTAATATTAATAAGTTTATTACTATTATAGCTTTTGTTAAAAAGCTAAATTACAAAAAAAAAAAAGTAATAAAGTTAAAGAAAGGAACAGATAGCAAAATAACTATTATATTGTAGCTAGGTGTTTAATAATGACTATATTTATCTCTAAACCTCTATTTACTAAAGAGGAAAACTTTTTCTTTTATAATTTCCTTTCAAGCTACAAAGCTTTAGCTAAGAACTAAATATTTCTTTTTAATATTTTAACTTTTAGGTACCTAACAGCCTTTAAATATAATATTATTAAAATACTTAATAAATTCAAAATTAATTAAAGTTTTATTAAAATATTATTTTTTATTAATTTAATATAATATATTTTTTAGCTTTATTATTATATATATAAATATAAAGTTAATATTTTAAGCTATTTACTATAAAAAATTTAAATAATAAATTATATATTTAATTAAATAATACTTAAAGATTTTACTTTAGCTTAAAATAAAATTAAAAAAAAATTAAAAAATAATACTATAAATCTTTAGTTTAAAGTTAAAGCTAAATAAACACTTAGTATTAATAGTTATAAAACTTACCTTTAAGGTTAAGTTAATATTATTACAGTTGCTTTTTTATTAAACAGCAGTAGTAGTAAAAGTATTAATTTTATCTAAAAGATTAAGTTTATTTTATACTTTTTTAATAGTTATATTTTATAAGTATATATATATACTTATTTATTAAGGTTAATATATATTATATTTTATAATATTTAAAATCAAAAGAAATAGGAAATTATACTGTATAATAGACAGGAGGGGCTACAGTGTATAATTGAAAGCGTTTTAAGAGTTAAATATACAACTATGGGATAGATAAATGATAAAGAGTTTATTAATATATATATAAAGGTTATGTTGGAAGTCTTAAGCCTAGACGCCTTAGGGGAGTAAATATATCTTGCAAATTACAAAGCTTACTATAAATGTTAGTAAAGAAAACGCAAATAAAGACGAAAATAAAGGACGAAAATAAAGAAAGTTGCCTTACTATAGTATTACAGTTGGGAGCGAAATCGCTGTCCTCTCAGTGCTCTTTGAGAATTTTTTAAGCAGAGACTATCGGAACTAACCCCAGATTACCCTATAAGTCCTAGCCTATTTAGCTTTACAAAAGAGAGAAGTAGCTTAAAAGTTTTGTAAAGGTATATAAGGCCAATAGTAAAACTACGTTAGCTGTAGACAGTGCTAAGGCTAACGTAAATTATGAAAATATTTACCTTCGGTATATATTCTTAAGGCAAACTACGTTTCAAGTTTTACGCATATTTCCATTTCCCACTATTATACCTCAGTGCTACAGATAGCAATATTAAAATTCCTAAAGGCAACCTTGCATTTTGTTATTAGTAAATGAGGCAAGAAAATTTTGATACATAGAGACAGAGGAAAGCTTATTGAATTTATCTCTTAACATAAAGTACAGGCTAGATATATGCTCGCTACTATAGTATATGTAGGTTGCATAGCTCTCCAATTGACACATATGTATTGTGCTACCAAAACTTTAAATTTTAAAGGGTTTTTATCAAATGCTTAGGAACAGATGCTTGGGAGTAGCGACTTACGAAAGCAGGACAGCAGGAACCTATTAATTTACTCAGCTTCATAAATTATAGTATATAAACCTATATCATGACTGCAATGGCCACTGGTATACATCTAACATAAGCTTGTAATAAATCATATATAAATGGTATACATCAATTTAGACCCCTTTAACCCTCCGTCGTAAAGTTATAGTAGAAAGAGAAGAAGTTCAAACTTATATTTTTTTCAAGGCTAGGTACCTACTTTTATTACCTATTCTTATAGTTAGCGCCCATTTTAAGCAGCAGTTTAACGACAGCCTTGTGCCCCCTATCGGCGGCCTGCGATAGCGGTGTCTGACCGTAGCGGTCCTGGGCGTTAATATTAGCGCCCTTCTCAAGCAGTAGTTTAACGACAGCTTTATGCCCCCTATTAGCGGCCTGCAATAGCAGTGTCTGACCGTAGCGGTCCTGGGCGTTAATATTAGCGCCCTCCTCAAGCAGCAGTTTAACAACAGCCTCATGCCCCCCCGCGACGGCCTGCCATAGCGGCGTCTGACCATAGCGGTCCTGGGCGTCGACCTTACCGCCCTTCTCAAGCAGCAGTTTAACAACAGCCTCGTGCCCCCCATCGGCGGCCTGCTGTAGCGGCGTCTGACCGTAGCGGTCCTGGGCATCGACCTTGGCGCCCTTCTCAAGCAGTAGTTTAACGATAGCTTTATACCCCCTATTAGCGGCCTGCGATAGCAGTGTCTGACCGTAGCGGTCCTGGGCGTTAATGTTGGCGCCCTCCTCAAGCAGCAGTTTAACAACAGCCTCGTGCCCCCCCGCAACGGCCTGCCATAGCGGCGTCTGACCGCTGTGCTGGGCGTTAATATTAGCGCCCTTCTTAATCAGCAGTTTAACAACAGCCTCATGCCCCCACGCAATGGCCTGCGATAGTGGCGTCCGACCGCCGCTATCCTGGGCGTTAACGTTGGCGCCCTTCTCAAGCAGCAGTTTAATAACAGCCTCGTGCCTCCCATCGGCGGCTTGCCGTAGCGGCGTCTGACCGTAGCGGTCCTGGGCATCGACTTTGGCGCCCTTCTTAAGCAGCAGTTTGACGACGGCCTCGTGCCCCCCATCAGCAGCCCACGATAGCGGCGTCCAACCGCCGCCGTCCTGGGCGTTAACGTTGGCGCCCTTCTCAAGTAGCAGCTTGACGACGCCACGATGACCATAATGCGACGCTACCATAAGACCCGTAAAATACTTAGGGGTGTTTACACCTATACTCTGCCAATAGATCCCAGACCATACCGAATAGCTCTTTGAATCTGGATCACAAATTCTCAGAGCGGAGCATATAATAGCAGCGTTATCAATAATACTGGCCTGACGGAAGTGAGCACCCCAAGCTTTTGCCGAGTAATCTAAGAAGGTGTTGCTATTGACAGAGTGGCGGTTTTCCCTGTCTGTACCTGTTGGAAGGCTAATGTTGGAATTGAAAAAGTTTAGATAGAGCACGCAGAGCTCTGCAAGAACGGCATGTGCATGGTGAGCAGCGATTGAGTGACGCCAACCTATCTTTGATGGGATAGTTGTAGGCGCAAGGAGAAACTCGCGGGCCGTTTGATGAAGGAAATAAATTTTGTCATGATAGATTGAGATGAATAATCCACACCAAGATCTAAGACGCAACTCGAAGTCCTTTTCATCCTCTAGGTCGAGGTCGTTTATGCTTTGTGATGTATTGTTTATATTTATGGCAATATTCATTTCCGAAAGGCTCAGCGGTCGACTAGCGGCCAAAATAATACTTAAGGCCTTTCGAACCATTGGGTCTTCCTTAGAACGGCAAAGAATCTGCTCGTATGCATCATTGATATTCCTTGGAAGTTGTGTAATACTAGACTCAACTCCCTTCAGTGTTTTTTTAAAATCTTCTTTCTCTAAGTAGTCGAATATAAGGTATACCCAGAGATAAGTGCGGTGGGGAGCCTCCTGTAGGTAGTTTTCTAAGTAGTTTATAACCTGGGTGGAGAGGCCCTTTTGCTCTGATAGCTGACGAATCCGATGCTTAATAACGTGATTAACCTCTTGGCTAATAGCTTCCGATTCTTCCTCACCGGGTATGCGGATATTTGGAAAGGCATTTAATAGGCTGCGAAACTTAGATATAATCTGCTCATATGGGCGACATGTCAGAAGATATCTGAGCCTGCTATGTTCGCTATGGGATTGGTTCTCCATATTCCGCATCAGATCCGCAAACTCGGATTCGGCACATTCATCCAGGGCATCAAGGACTATAATTATAGGTCCTGCCTGGGGATCTTCGGTAGTATTTCGTAGAACCTTCCAGAGCGATTCTGTAGAGTTAATCAATGCGTGCCCATCCTTGCGGAATTCTGTCATGGCATGTCCGATTAGATGCGGCTTCTGGGAGAAGAGCTGGTGAAGAAGTGCGCAAAGCGCTTGCCGGACGGTGTTTTGGTCTTGGTCTTTGAAGAAGAAGTAACAGATTGTTGCTGATTGTGGCAGGCCATGGTCGACCAGGTATTTGGCTAAGACTGACTTTCCACAGCCAGGATCCGCTGATACCAGCAGGAGACCGGAGTCTTTTTTCAGCCACATCTGGAAGTGCTCGTGCTTAAGGAACCACATGCATGTATCTTCAACCCTTTCTTCCACACGGTCTTTATACCACTCATACGTAGCGCCGTTACCATCAGTCGTGAGTCGGAATAGCTGATGACATTTTTCTTCTTTTTCAGATAGCCTCTCCTTAGCAAAATCCCTCTGGACTTGGAGATGCTTGGTTGCAATGTCCCTCTGTTCCTTTGCAATGTCCCTCTGCTCCCTTGCAATCTCTCGATGCTCTGTATATAGAATAAGTATATATTAATAGCACAATTTAGAGAGCCTCGGACTAACCAGATAGAATATCACTAATCCTTTTCTCAGCCTCAATTTTATTAGGAGGGATTCGGGTAAGAACATCTTTTGCATATGCAGCTGCCGTCATTGCTGCATAACCTTGCCACTCTTTATTCTTGTGCGAGTCTGAGTAGTCGCAAATGCCACGAATGACCAGGCAGGGAAAGTGGTTCATCAGCCCTGCTGCCTCCATTTCAAAACACAGAACATCCTTCTCCGCCGCAAGTCTATCCCTCATTATTGCGTTCTTCATTAACTGATTCGCCGAAGCGATTGTGCCATAGTGAATGGCAGGATTATCGTCGTTTTGTGTCCGTTCAGTTCTAGTTAGTAAGCTCGATGGATCATCACTGCAAATGGCTGCACAGCTTTTCCCGTCCACTAGATGGACAACTTCGCTTCTATATAGCCTGTCGCTACTTGTGTCTGGTCGCTTGTACACCTGCCGCAGTCTTGATTTCTTATCGAGAATAGTGCTGATAGTCTCTTCAATTCGATGGCCGTCTTCCATATACTAGGCTTTAAGTCCATTCACCGCAGTCCGCAGGACGATTGGTGGTTGGTTCAAGAACTGTGTATATTGGAAGCTTTGATTTTGTATGGTTTTGCCAAAGTCGTATTGGAATACGCCACCCTCTCCATCGCGGGGAGCACTGACAACAACATCGCCTAGTCGGATGTCATGCTTCATGCTTGGCGCACCGCCGCCGATGCCCACCATTAGACCAATTCTGATATTGGGAAAGCTATGCAGCATGTCTCTTGCAACAATTGCGGCGGAGGCCGTGCCGTACTCGCCGTCGGGCAATACGGCAATAACGACATTGTGTTTTCCAAACGTGCCCAATGTGTAATCGTTATTGTCATTCGGGGATACGTATTCGGGTCCGTCATGCTTCTCGTCAAGAAAAGCCCTTGCGGCTACATACTCCGTGCTTATGGCGCAGATCCAGCCAACTGTATAGTTTTCGGGGTTCGGCATATTTGTTTGCGGACGGAGGTCTTGTCAGAGGTAATTCATCTAGAACGACTTGCGCTATACTAGGGACCGCAGGAGATTCAAATGGTGCGGCTTGAAAGATATAAAAGATGTAGCTCCTCTCATAGATATGATAGATGAAACGCAGAGAGATCTCAAAATGGGGAAATGAGGCATGCTGTCGCGATCCCGCTGAGCATTGGGCTTGAAGGAGGGGTTAGGCAGAACCTTGGCTGCAGCTACTTGTTACATTAGCTGCCAATCCTGGTTTAATCCAACAGAACTCAGAAAGTAACAAATCAAATACGCAGCTTGTCAACGCCGCAGTCGACAGTCTCCTGCCGTGAGATAAGCCATATACTCCTGTTTGCCCAGGCAGAACTGGGGAATTGAAGGTTCGAGGGCATAGTAATTAAGACGATTGAAGGGAATAGGCATTCCTGCGATTGGCGGCTTGTTGGTTGCGTTTTGTCACGTGCTCGATATCCACTCATTTGGTGCCTGGGCTAGGTGTAGCTTAAGTATCATGTGTGCATGGGTAGCAATTAACACTGTGATGGACATGTCCGTGCGCTTTAGATTTTACAAGAGTTTATTTGGATAGGACGGCGGTTTCGTTCTTAACTGTACTATTCCTTGTTTAAATATCAACAATGACCAAATTTTCCAACCCCCGCACAACTCTTTTCTTCTTCTAAAAAGACATTATATCTAATATTCATCAAATCGTTAATCTATAACCGAGCAAGACTCTGTGAAGAGTAGATCGCCGGAAACCCAATAGTTTAGATGCCACTATTTCATCCCAATTCAGAGCCCAGCGCCGAATTGCTTTAAGAAAGGGAAAAAGAAAAGCCAGCCAAGTACAAAAGAAAGAACAGATTGAGGGTGAATATCATCAGTATCATGAAGAGCATGAGGAATATGAGGAAAGGGATGCCAGGTTCGTATAGCATCGTAGTGTCATCACTGAGCCCATACAAAAATGAGGGAGTTGGCACATCTGTTTGTGGTAATTCAGCGACCGCTGATTTGGGGGGAAACACTGGGCCTCTGCTAGAAGCTACAGAAAAGAAATGATTCTGTCAGTCTTGTCAGCACAACTCAGCAAGCGCCTGGCGACATGGTTCCCTCATCGCACCGTCTTTTTGAAGGGCCTTACCTGTGGATCGATATCTACTATGCGCAAGCCCCCGTACGCCGGTTGATCGTAGGTATAAATTCCATCCAGGTCTTTCAAGTCTTGTTTCGTAACTCGGAGTTGCTTCGGATCTTTAAAATAGTTCATAATTGATCGAGGATTCCTCTTCCCAAAACGAACGGAGAAGTAGCTCTGCTCTTTCTCCTGAGCAGCCTCATGTCGAAGGCCTAAAATATGGCCAAGCTCGTGGGCTAAGATATTGGCTAAGCAATCGCGCTTTCGGAGACTCAACGGGTACACAATTAACTTGCGCGACGACGATTTCGTTGGGAAGAAAGAGCGGGCATAAGGCTTTCTGCCGTCGTCGTCGTCGTCGTCGGTATCGTCGTAGTCGTCGTTATATATAACTGCAAATGTAGCCTGATCATAGCGGCCAACTTGCTTAAAGCTCGCACCAACGCCTTCCCACATGTCGGTTGCTGCTTTCATGGCATCTTCTATTAAATTCGCGAGAGGTTCTGGAAAGGATTCTTTGTAAATGACATAGCTGAGCTTAGAACCTCTGCGCCAGCGTAGTATTTTGTATTGCCACCCGAGGCACACCTCAGCACATCCATGTCCTTCGGTGATGCACTTATACTTGGCATTAGCTGTGAGACCGAGATGGAGCATTCGTCAAATGATGTTACCGGCCCTGGCGATATATGTATTGGGCAGGACATCTTCAACTTGTTCGCTATCGATGTCCAACTCCAACTCAAAGCCGCGATGAGGGAGAGTTTGGTCATCACCAGGCAACCAAGGCTGCAAAAAGTCGGGGGAAGGGCCCGAGGCGTCTTTATTTGCTTTGCAGCCCTCTTCATCGATGGTGCTGTCACGGGCATTGAGGCTTTTGATACTCGTCTTATCGGTAGAAGTATCCCCATGAGCAAAACCACTTCTATCAAGTGGTCCATTATGGTCGCCAATGCTAGCACTATGGCATCCAACGGACGACAATTTAGTCACCGTATCCCCTAATATTCATGGAAGTGTTTGATTAGCACATGCTCTCTAAGCAGCACAGCTTCATTGGTGATGGAGGGACACACTCATCATACCTGGGAGAGCTGCCATTGTTTCTGTCGAAGGAGACGGCCAAAATGCCCAGCTGCCGCAGCGCCTGCCTGCCGCCAATCGACTTTCTCAGCTGATTTAGATTAAGAGGTAGAGGGCTACGCCTTGCTCTTGCTGGGTGTTGATATTTCGGTGATGTGTGATGTGGAAAAGCCAGAGCATTGCTCAATTTGGGGCAAGCATCTCTTCTTAAATATTTTTTGACAACACAGCCATGTGGCCCCCGCGATGTGTATACATATCACAGAGGGAAGAAATTCGACAGTTCATCACTTTGTGGGTGCTTGCGGCTACAATATCGCAAGATTCAACAAATTACTTTGGGCAAGGGGGGTTGAACTGCCTCGCTCGTACGAGTTCAAGATTGACGTAAGGCCGCATACTATCAATATCGTACACGGTGGAACCTTCTTTCCTGCGTACCAATACTAGCGCATTGTATCGTAAGGTGGGTAGGTATGTAGGCAGGTAGGAGTGCCAGCAATTAATACACCCGTGACGATACTCAGCGGTTGAGCGCTTAGGTCTGTAGCTTCGCAGGATTTGGTATGTGTGGGCCGGATGTTCCTCTCACACCAGTCACTGGGATGTTCAATGCTGCACTGAGACTGGAATGTACATCTAGGTATGTAGGTACCTATATGCCCCAGGTACAACAGGCTCAATGTAGCACCTACTGTATCTAGGTATTAAGGAGAGGGATGATCCCATATGAAAGCCCCGGACCCAACAGCTTCCATTTACCTCGGTGCTAATAATGCCCAAATAGGCAATGCATCCTCGTTCCTTACTACCTGTATTTACCCATGCATTCGATTCTAGCGGCATCAATCGACAGTTACTTAACAATCTCGCCTGGCTGCAGGTGCCTTCAAGTGTAAGGCTGTGAGGCCCCAAGGCACTGTACACGCCTGACAGAGAACATGAGGGCACACCCGCTTGTCCGATTATCCGAATCAATGAGAACTTATCCCAGAAAAAACTTAATAAATTAATCAAACATCTACGTACTCCGAGATCTACCTGTTACGCAATAAAAAAGAGTGAAGAAGGGAGAGAATGAATAAAAAAGTACAGGTGTGTGCTCCCTCCCTTGGATGTAGTTCAAGTATCCCATCTGAGGGTCCGACACGCGACAGATCATATCCATTGATATGTAGGGCTGGGCTGCTAGTGAAGCGAAATGTGAAGAACTCAGCCAAGAAATCAATGAACTTGGTGTGACCTGGGGCTCTGTGGTCCAGTCAATACATACCTTGTGAGCCCAACCGGAAACCCAATGCAACATCTACGATAAGGTCCACACCAGCGTCACTGCGCAAGTATTTAGCCACTATGTCTAATTGGCACTAATCACCGCCAACGCATTCAAAATCAATATTAATGTACGGAGTAACTGATGCTGTACAGGTGCTGAAGGAATCAAGTTTTGAAACGCATAGCCCAAGTGGCGTAACACAGTTCTGTGCAGCCAGTACCTTGATTTGGCTCCGGGCACAATCTGACGGCCCTTAGGCAACTATTGAAATCAGGGTCTAGTGACCAGTTACCAATGGATCACGCATGCTCAAATTGGGTGGAGGGGCTCTGAAGTGTCTGCCGGCTATTGGACGAGCCCGCATAGGAGGGACCAGGCGGCGGCCTCTTGGATATGCATTCAGTGAAGGCATGGATGCTGCTTGATCAACCTGCCTCAGTAACCACGATAAAAAAAGGGGGGGTAGGGGAGTCCCTATATTGACAGCATCTTGTTTTTCTTTTTCTTAATCCCCTGCTTCGTTTTGTTCTTTACATGTTAAATTTGATCAGCGTTGCATGTGGTATAGAATACATGTAATCTTCCAGTAACACTGCGGCTGCTATCGTTGCATTAGTACCTGTAAGTTAAGCCTTATTACAGGATTCAACTCTGAACATGTATTTAATCTCCTTTTCCCATTTCTCCCCTGCTCTGTCTTAGAATTAGACTATAAGCAGTTAAATCAACCGGCTTATACCTTTTCCTAGCTCTTGCGATTAACACATGTAATGATGTGTTTACCCTACACCTATCGTGGCCCTGTGGGGTTTGTCCTTCTCCTCTGTTACTTCAGCCTTTGTGAGATAATTGCTGGGTATCCTTAACGAGAGTGTACCGTTTCAATACTCCTAAGGAAATATAGCATTCAGGCCTTCTTGGAAACGGCTTGGCTTGTGAGAGCCCGTGAGTTGCTGTATTGCGTCAACGCCTCTTTCTCTTATAAGGGTTCGACTACCCAAGTAGAGTTCAACGTCGTGACAAGACGCGAAGGAAAGATGTTTTATTTACTAATTTCTTGCCTCAAGGAGATACCTATGCAGATACTTGCATTTATAAGTGCATCTAGAGAGCCTTTTCGCAAAGGTGCCCGCCCGCCCAACCAGTGTCCGAATGGTTAACGCGGCCCCGTCTGGTAATACTATTGGCTTCAATCTGCTTGGTGCTGAGAAACTCTTAGACTATCCAGGCATGGTTCCGCAGACTGGGGCGTCAAGTTCCCGGTGCTATCAAAATTACACGCGTGTACTTGAATTGTATGGATTTTTCCATGTCCAATATTTCCACCCTGAGGCGGCATTTCCAACACATTATAATAAAATACAATGTCCGCCGACGGTTAGGTGTTTTCCATTGCCACGGCAAGTGATATATGATCACGGAGATGAGGTATCCGGCGGAATCGCTGATACCCAGGCGTTTCGTTAGCATAGGTATATTTTCATCGATACACGGCGTTATGAACAAGGCAAGGCCTTACTCGTTATATTGGAGAGGTCCACCATTGTCCCAATCTTTCGCTCCTTGGTCTGATTGCAACTCGTCGCCCGCTTGCCGTGGGCTGATGTGAGCGAGGGGCATGTAGGCTTAGATTAAGCAGAATGGTGCTGGGAGTGGCCAACTTCATGTGCTTGCTAACTTCTGCTTTCTCCTGTCAGTCGGATACTTATTTTGCGCCATAGAAGAGGCAGAAAATACCGCTGGTATCATGTTAGAAGATCGTGTTTTCTTTACGTGTGACAAGAAGCAATCATAGTGTCTTGGCAAGGGCAAGCCCTCTCTCTTTACACCTGCATGTCTCTTGTAGGATACATATACACCACGCTGAGTACCGGCGCATATGGGTGGCCAAATGTCGGCAAAATAAAGAGTTTTAAAACTTTTGCATCTCGGGCCGCGAGAGATCTTGGATGATCACCGTTCCAGATGCGATGCTTCTCTACCTAGGATTAGCAGGCTTATACACCTAGAGGGTCAGATACACGATACAAACGGGACCGACGAATAGCGCGAAGAGAGCACGACCCAAACTGGCGGATTCGAACTGCCATTAGCGGGTGAAATCGAGATGGATACCAGGTAGTAGATGTATTGGACGGGAGGGCCTCTGCGGACATAGGTAGGGATATAAGGTAGGGACATTACTATTCAGAACTACGGGTTTTGAAACCACATATCAAGCAAATCTCGCGAGTGCTCTGCGTGGCTTGCCCAGAATAAGCTTGATAAATTGGTAAACAAAGGTACTGGTGCATCGTGAAAGTTGACGGATCCTACGGAGTCGTACTTTCGGCATCATTCAAGCTACTCAGGGCACTTATTGGTTCGGATCTTGTCGTGCGCCCCCCATGCATTCGAAAACACATACATAGCCACCGCCTCATAGTTGAGTATCTTTGGGCATCTAAGACTGAAAGCTTGGATGGTGACCGAATCGTTGGTATGCGATCCAACTAAGAAGAAAAAGAGCATGACACATATTATCCACTGCCCCTCTACGACCCCTCCGTGACCCCCGGCCTCTCTAAGAATGCCTCCCGTCCCGCGACGCGTACCTACCTTAGCACCGTATTAGGTGCCTATTGCCATCAGTGGGTTCTGCTCCGTCCCAACTTGCAGGTAACGTATTGGAACGGGATGTATGTGCCTTCAAGTCTCCGCTTTCTTCTGATGCTTTCATGGGTTCAATGTTGTCAGCTGACCATTACTGTCATTACTAATAAAATTAGGAGCAGGACTCATGTAGCTTGAGTTCGGCTCAGAGCTTAGCTACTATTACTTGGTATTGGCATTCGACTCAGCCTAGGTTGCGTCCATTTTAGATTCATAGGTACCTAACTTACATAGCTGACATTCAACTCAGTTGCCAGCTTTAAGGTCGCACGCATGTGAAAAAATTAGCGCTGGCGCTTCCTCTCGACCCTTCGAGTTCCTTTATTTACCTACCAACCGGCTTTTATTTGATATGAGGTTCCAGAAATTACTACAATCCTTCATGTACCTGCATGTTTAGTTGTACATCTACATACCCCTGAAGTCCATAGCAATCATTACCTTAGTAGGTACTGTGTATTACTAATTTGGCTATTGGTGTAGCGGCCACACAACCCTCTCGCCCAGAAATGAGAAAAGGAAGGAGAACTTGGAAGAAGCATAAAAAGAGTAATCAACGATTCACCTACGAAACTGTAACGCGCAGATATCGGCACATCTTCTTCGTCTCACGGTTGCTGAATGACGGCAATTGTTTCACCATACCTGTACCTTACCCAGGCACCAAATAACTGTTAGGCTATAAATTGGAGAATCAGGATTACTCTATGGAGAAAAAACTACTCAAGACAATATCCTAGACGTCGCCGCCTATTTGCTTTTAATCCTAACCAACATCCTACTTCAGAACCCGCTATCAAATCAACCCCAAGAATGAAGAAATGGGGAAATGCTAAATATGAAATGAAATGATAATAAGTATCATGAAGAGCGTTAAATGTGTAAAGAAAGGGATGTCGGTGCTGCGCAGCACTGTGATATGAACGCGCAGCCGATAAAAGCATAGGCAGGTCAGTATAGGAATGCATTACTTCAATGTTCCAACGGCAGCCGAGTTGACGGAAACCACTGGGCGGCTGCGGGAAAGTGCAAAGAAGATGCTTTTGTCCTGGCTGTTTTGGCACGGTTTAGAAAGAAGACCGGCGGCTTAGTTTGCTCGTCGCATCGCTAGCCCTGCTATCATTGCTAAACCTGCATGCGTGTAGTGTTGGATCGATCTCACGTATAGGTAGCCCCTTATACTCTTCTCGATCGTAAGAATAAAAAGATCGCAGTTCTTCGAGATCTTTTTCGTGGACTTGAAGTTGTTCCGGATTTTTTGGGACCATAACTGACTGATCATTTTTGCTTCCGAAGCAGACAGAGGGATAGTTCTTTTCCTCATCATCGGTATCGGGATAGGCATCGGTATACTCATGTCGAAGGCCAAGAATATGCCCAATCTCATGGGCCAAGATATTAGCCAGGTAGCTTGCTTTGAGGAGGCCCGACTCGTAGATGAACAATTTGCGCGACTGTTCGTTCGGGAAGAAAGCGGAAGCATAAGCACGTCTTTTGCGGTCACTGTATAGGACGGCGAATGTGGCTTGATCGTTGCGTTGAACTTGCTTAAAGCTCACGCCTATACCTTTCCACATACTAATTGCTTTTCTCATAGCTTCTTCCACTAACGACAAGAGAAAAGTTGGAAAAGTCTCGTGGCAAATAACGTAGGTGACCTCAGACCAGCAGGACCAGCGTGCTATTTCGTTATCCCACCCAAGGCGTATATCAGTACATCCGTGGCCTTGGGTGATGCAATTATATATGGCAGTTGCAATTTGAACATGAATAAGTTCTTGGAGAATGCGTCTAGTAGCATCTTTGCTTGCATCGTCATCGATGTTGCCATCATCGGTTGATGTATCGCCACGATCAGTAGGAGGGGTCGATACGCTCGTCATCTCCTCTGAGGACGAGCAACCGCTTTCGTGAAGCATTGCTGCAGTTCCGTTGTCACCGTCAATGGCATTGCAAGCAACTAAGGATGCTGGGATCGAGGTGCCCTTCATGATAACTGTAACACAAGCATTTAGTTAGCACATGGCCAAATGTTATTATATGCAAGACAGGGATATGCTCGACATACCAAGACGCTCCGATGCTATGCTCATCGTTACGGTGGCTTGAAGGCTCTCGAACGACGTTGGTAGTTTGTGAGCAGTCGGATTGAGTTGAATTGGAGCGAGCAATAGATGCAAGCAGTGTGAGTGATATGACTTGGTCGTCTTGCTCTGCAAGATGATTAATATGCTGTTCGGTGATGAGAAGAAGCCAGAGCATCGGTCAACTCGGGGCAAGCATCCCTTTTTATGTCTCCATATCTTCTTACAGCGCAGTCAGGCGCAGGCATACATGCACCTGACACTTTACCCTCTGCACAGTGGGCACCTCATCACTTGATGGCAGCACCCGTGTGTGGCGTCTGCTCGCGCTCGCCTGCAATCTTGAGCTTGCAGCCATCGTCCGTCCAATCTCATCAACACTTGATGGCCTCTGTATGACACTAGCGTCATCTTGAGGTATGAACCCTGTAAGGCACTGCAGTAGCGTCGGTTTGAGGCTGGACCCTAGACGCCAGCACTGCCGTAGCGTCGACTTGAGGTGCCTGGTTCTTTGAGATTTTCAGCGCCCCTGACAGCAGAGTCGACCCTTGTATGCCTGCCTATGTACTTACATGTATGGATGTTTGTTGTTCAAAACAAAACCTACAAGGAGTCCAAGGCTACATGTACTGTGCATACAGGTACCTACTAGGTCAAGGTGTTCCATTGCAAAAATGCAAAATAACAGAGCCCGGATTTGCATTGAAACGATTGGCGAACAGAAACGAGCAGTATGAACACATTGACTGCGCTAAATTCCTCGCAATAGTGGACATAGATGTTCTTATTGCCTCAATACATGCACATTAAGAGGTCTACCTATTTTTCATTTTCTTTTCTTTTGTTTGTTTGTTTCTGTTCTTTTCTTTTCTTTTTTTTTTTTGGGGGGGGGGGGGGGGGGGGGGGGGGGGGGGGGGCAAACTACTTACTACTGTGTCTTTTGCACTGTGTGTGCAGCTTATTAAACTACACAGGTATCGTGCAGAAATCGTGCATCGCTCCAGCTTACCGCCTTCAGACAAGCATCCAATAGATTTCGTTGATATGGCTCGGTTGCTGGTTCCGGGGCCCGCAAGGCCAGAGAGGACCAAAAGAGGTGAGTTGGGAAAAGAAGGGCAGCACAGCCCAGACTCAGCGGCGCATACTTCTACGAGTACAGTGGGGAGCCTAGCAAAAGTGAGGACCTAGCTTCACAGTGCGCCACTATATGCCTAAGAAAATTTCCAGTTGACACTCTGCAATATCTCTATTAATTCTCTGTTGAATAAATAGAAAAAGAGAAGTTAAATTATTTATATACTGCAAAATATTAGGATTTGATTTTTATTTAATTTTATACTGTAAAGCGTGATAAAAATGTATGTAAATTCTTTTCAAAATCTGCGCACAAATATCTTACTGTATTTGCGCTATAACTCCGCTATAAATTCGCTATAAGCACTGTATGCATATGATAATAGCACTATGCAATTCGTCGTCACTTCTGCTTACCTACTGTACAATAAATAGGCTTGGATCAGACGCCTCGACACCCGTGCGACTTCCCTGTTCATACTTGTACAACAGCGGGTGTTGTACCCCTGTTGGGCTGTTGTCGAGCAGCCCCACCGCCCCGCCGGATTCCGACGGACCCCCCTGTTGGTTGTGCTGGTGTTGCACAGCGACCAGACCCAGCGCTAAGTACTAGTTGCGTTCTCCGTGCCGTCGATGGGCCGCGGCACTGGAGCGAGCGTGACGGAAAGGGAGGATGCTGACGCAACGTAGAAATTTCGAGTTGGCAAAAAACGCCTATCACTCTGCCAATCGAGTGACGGATGCCACTGCTTCCGTCTGCCGTGCCGCGGCGGCTGGCCCAGCTCCAGGCTCGCGTCTCTGGCACGAGAAAAGAAAGCAGGGTTCCGCCCAGCCTGCCACATCCAACTGCAGAGCATCGTCATGGACGCTCGAAATTAGCCCCAGTCATCTTGGTGTTCCCAGAACAGATTTACCAAGGTACCAAGGTTCCTTCCAGAAGCAGGCCCCTGATTCTGCCACCGCCTGCTGAAGGCCGTTAGAAGCTCTCTGCAATGTATCGAGACGGCTATTATCAGTGGCTGACTGTGGCTGCAACAAAGGCAAAATCAACCATCTTCAAGTACCTTACCGGGAATCAGTGGTGCTCTACAACCTTAGCAGAATAAGCTAGGCTTGTAAAGATTGTAATGCTAATTCGTTTTGCAAGGTTTGCAGAATCTGCTAGGCTTGCAGTCTGAAGCGAGGTTAAGCGATAGCTTCTGGTTGGCTTATTTGTGGATGAGGAAGTGTACTTTTGAATTGTATTACGGCTATAGCGAACTATTTTATTCTTAACCTCTCGCCTAAACCATAGCTAATCCAGCCCGCAACCATCAGCTATCCGATCGCTATCAGCCATTAGCTAAATCCACTAAGTCCGCCAAACTCCCTCTAGCATAGCGGCGTGCGGCGTCGGATGTGTGGAGCGGTATCATATGCAGTAAGATCTAGTGTACTGATATATTAGTGCAGCGATATTGCTGGATTGTATACGCTGATTGACTAACCTTTTGATGACTTGGATGTTGGCGGTTGCGTTAATTGAAATGGAGATGAAGGAAATTTTGGCGAAGGAAAGGCCTGCTGTTGCCTGAGGCTGCTGAAAAAGATACAGAATAGTGTACAAATAAACGACCTAGCAATACGCGAGCTCGGTAAAAGCAAAAGCGATAGAGGTATTTCCTATAGTACATACTATAGAGGGTACATCTAGTCTGCAACCTTTGCAACATCTGCAAGTCTAGTAATATTTGCAAGCCTAAGGGCCAAATTGCAAGCCTTCCACCCACCCAGCAAGCCTAGTCGACTTACACCAATTCCCCCTAAGGTAGGTACAGGTACCTAGCCCCAGCCTCAGCTACCGCGAGCAGTCCATGATCAAATTCGTGGCTCGTCTTCCCGAATGGCGTACATAAATGTATAGAAAGTACCTACATGGTGAAGAATTTTCGATTAACACTACGGCTGTTAAGGTTGCATTGGTAAGCTGAATCCTCTGCACAAGATCTACCTCTGTATTCAGCCTTCTCTTCCAGCTTCTTTCCCATCCTATCTTCAATAGAATCGGATTGCAAGCAGTGACATCAACGGGCTGGTAGCTTTTGTTTCGGCACCCGAGACTAGCGACAATGCGTCTACCTAGATACCCTGCGCCCTTTTGCGGCCGTGGGTTTCACCCTTTTCCTCTGTTGTTACAGCCCTTGTGAAATGAGTGCCGAGCAGCTCCAATGAGAGGGTTCAACCGCTCCCATAGTAGGAAATATGGTATTCAAAGCATCCCAGAAACGGCTCGGCCAATTGGCGCCAGTGAGTTGCTGTATCACACCAATCTCTCACTTAACATCCTAGTGGCCCTTCAGCTGGTATAGCGAATGTCTCCTTATCTATATCATACACTGGCTTAAACCTCCATATCTGTTAACCTACAATTTCGCATTTATAGGCATGCCAACTATGAATCGTCTCACTTCTCTTACGTTATATCGCTTCCTCGCCTTACGGCTGGTGGATGATTGAGTTGAGTATTACATGTACCTGGTATCTATCATCTACAATATATTGGACGATGGCCACGCTACTACTTTTCACGCAAACATCAAGGGCGGTCAGATGTTACCATGGTCTCATCCATTGTAAGTGCATGAATTCTCAATTAATAGAAAGATGGTCGAACAAGAAATAGAAAGGAAGAAGAATTTTTTTTTTTGCCGTAAGCCCGAAAACAGTAGCCCAGATGTCAGTGTAGACAGTCCTGTATCCCTCCCAAGATGTTGCTTCAAAACCAAGTATCCATATGGATTAACAGGCACATAAACGCCCTAGCCAAAGTTAAAAAGAAGAGAAAAAAAGAAGAAAAAGAAAAGAATGAATGAATGAAAAAAGAAAAGAAAAGAACAGGAAAGGAAAAATGGTATGAACAACATGAACAATATTTAGTACCGTCGTGTGAGCAACTCCACATACAAAATGGACAAGTTAGAATGTTCTTCTGTCAGCAATGGCTTATTTGACTCAGATCAAAGAGGTTGCGAGACGGATAAAAGTTCATGCCTACCAGTCCTTTCAGGAGAATTCCAGAAAGAGACTGGAGCCAGCGGGTTAATTTCTTTGCTGCATGACTGGTACTGTAGCGCCGCTGAAGGTGTAAAGATTCGGAGAGATGTCAATGACGGATAGCCCTTTATACACTGGCTGGTCGTATGCATAAACCTCTTTCAATCCTTCGAGGTCTTGTTCGCTAACTTTCAGTTCGCTCAGATCCTTGTAGTTCATAACCGACTGAGCATCCTCGCTTCCAAAAAGAACAGAAGGAAAATGCGGTTCCTTGATATGAGCAACTTCATGTCGAAGGCCTAGAATATGACCAACTTCGTGGGTCAAGATATTTGCTAGGTGTTTTTCATTACCCTCAGAGAAGCTCAATGGGCATATGAGCAATTTGCCTGGTGAAGCCTTGGGAAAGAAAGAGGAGGCATAGGTGTTGTCTTCTTGGCTGTTGTCGTAAATGACGGCGAACGTGGCTGGTTCATGGCGCTCCACTTGCTTAAAACGAGCACCAATACCCTTCCAATTAGACGTCGCTCTTCTCATAGCATCTTTCACCAAGGTCACCGAGTCCTCTGTTGGGAAGCTCTCTTCGCAAACGACATAACTAAGTTCTGAGTCCTTGCACCAGCGTGATATTCGAATACCCCAGCCAACACGCACCGCAGCACATCCATGTGGCTGGGTGACGCATTTATGCTTGGTATGTGCTGCGATTATGGCGGTGCCATCAATCTTGGTGCTAGACAAGGGGTTTCCAGTGTTGGTCCCCTCTTCGTCTTCTATGTTCAGTTCTCGGTCGTAGGGGAGCGGAGTTCCGCTGTGAGACGGCACGTCGGGCCAAGGGAGTGGGAGTATGTATCCAATGGCGGTTTCACCAGCCTTACTCTTCGCATCTTCGATGTTTCCATCGTCGGGGTTGAGGTCTGTGATGTTCGTCGCATCAGTTGATGCATCACCATGATCAGTAGCATGAGCCAAGGCGCTCATCCCCTCTTCCGAGGACGAGCAATCGGTTTCATGGAGTCCCACGCCATTGCCATCATTTCCAATGCCATGATCGCTGCCATTGCCATGGCAATTAACCAAGGCCCATGGTTCTGAGGTATCCCGCATGATGTCTAACACGCAAGGGTATGGTTAGCGGACGTTTCAACTGACACACGCCATAAAAGATCATTACGGGCAGGAGAGGGATGTATTCGTCATACCGGACATTGTCTTCATCACCAGAGATGACTCGGAGGCTGTCATTACTCTTCACCTGGTTGTGGCTAGTCGAATTGGGTTGGTTTGGATTGAGCAGCAACGTGCTGGGGTAAGACGTCGCCTTATTTTTGCTAGTCAACCCTTGATCTGCCAAAGGGCTCAGGGTGGTAGATCCAAGAAGAAAGGCAATGCTGGTGATGTGCGATAAAAAAAAGGCCAAAACATGATTCAATTTGGGGGAGGCATCTCATCTTATATCTTCTTACATAGCTCCCATCTAGGAAATATACTTGGTATCAGGCCAAATTGGACCCGGTGGGGCAGGTACCGACAAGGGTGTTCTTGACAGGGGTCTCGAAGTACCTCAAAAATCGCATTTTCTATGATTTTCTGTTGACCTGTTGTTTTTCCTGTTTTTCAGCGCATCGTTTAGCAGGCTTTCTGCTAAGATAGCTACCCCTAGGAGACCTAATACAACCAGAGATCAACGTCGCGATATTAAGCTGATGTACCGGCTTGGCTATACACAAAATGCTATTGGGCTAGGGTTACAACTATCGGAAGATCAGGTCCGGTATGCTATTTCGCACGACGAAACGCCAACCAAGCGTTCCGGTCGGCCAAGCAAGTTGAACCAAGACCAGCTTGAAGAGCTAGAGGCGTTCGTTACGGCAAGCAAGGCCAATCGGCGGATGCCCTATAGCAAGATTCCCGCTGCCCTTGGTTGGAACGTTGGGGAATACTGTATTCGTCACGCGTTACGGAAGCTTGGCTACAACCGCTGCGTTGCCAAGGTCAAACTACCCATTAGCGAGAAGAATCGTTAGCTTCGGCTGGATTGGGCACTGGAACATCGCGACTGGACTCTTGCACAATGGGCTACGATCCTTTGGTCTGATGAAACGTGGGTTTCTCCCGGCATCCATAAGAGAATTTGGGTAATAAGGAAGCCCGGCGAAGAGCTTAATCCGACCTGTATTGTTGAGCGGTTGCGGAAGAAAGGCGGTTGGATGTTTTGGGGTTGTTTTTCAGGCCTTGCAGACAAAGGTCCTTCGTTATTCTGGGAGAAGGAATGGGGATCGATAAAGCAGATCTCTTACTGTGAGAGAATCGTACCTTTGATCTACGGCTGGATATAACTTCATCCAACCCACCAGCTGATGTAAGATAACGCGTCTTCTTACGCCGCTGAAGATACCCGTACTGAGCTTGCTGCCCGGGGCGTTAAGATTATTTAGTGGCCACCCTATAGCCCTGATCTCAACCCTATAGAAAATGTGTGGAATTGGATGAAGGACTGGATACAGGAAAACTACCCGCAAGAGACTATGGGTTACGATAGGTTACGGGTCGCTGTGCAAGAGGCCTGGAACGCTGTGCCAGTAGAATTTTTATACAATCTATTGGCTATAATGCCGGCCCGTTGCGAAGCAGTAATTGCTGCAAACGGCCTACATACAAAATACTAGGTGTTTGTTTTCTTCCATAACGTCAGTTAAACTAGCCTAGATACAAAAAATTGCGTTAAAAAACCCCTTGTTGATACCCGCCCCACCGGGGCCACTTACCCTTGATACCAAGTACTGTCCCCTCGATGGGACCTGGCCGGGAGCCCCACTAAGGAGCCCAACATTCTGTGGGTCTTCTGAGCTGTCCAGGCGCCCATTGGACAAAGTCAAGCAGCGGTCCCGCTGCTCCGACGATTCAGCGATTCCATCAACCTAAACCCTTCGCCCCCAAGTTCTATGGCATGACACCTCTTGCTGGATTGCTGTGCTGTTCTCTTGCATTACCCTGCAAATACGAGTACAAGCACGATGCCTACATATATTTTAGGTCCATGTATTCTTAGCGCCTTTAGGTCGGATCTCAGCCGCCTTGTTAATGGGAAGCTCGACGGTATCCAAAAGTCAATGCCCTGCCCTTGGAGATGAGATGCGGCACAGGTACCTTCCCTGTACTGGATACCCGGTCCAGGCTCAAACCACGCGGCGTGGGAAGCAGCGTTGCGTACTTTGTACTTCTCCATACCCCTTACCCCGTACTTGCCCGTACTACAGAGTACATGTACCTTGGCCTGCTGGGGAGTGACAGGGAGCCACCGCCGAGCAAACGCGGGGACCTTGCCATGTGTGGTGTGTGGTCCACGCGATGCGTCTTTGCAAGGCACCTCCTCGTACATATATGAGGGACTTGAGCCTGGTGCCTTACAAAGCCTTGCTGGGGCGGCCCTCGCTGACAAGACGGCACTCGCCTGCTAGGATGCTTCGGGTAAGACGATTCGGCTTTGGCTTCTGGTACTCCGTACTGTGGTGCCAACTGGCGGGTGCCCTATGCAGCCCTGCAGCCTCTGTCCAGGATCTCGTCGCATACACACTAAGCTTTGGGCTGACACAGGTTCTTGTTGTTGATAAAGCGGCATCTATCCATTTGCTTACTGCCAATCTCGCCAAATATAGGTACATTAATTAGCGTTGCTGTGTAGTTAGTTGGAGGGGTGAGGAGTGCAAAAGCTGTGACAAGCCCATCTCGTCCAGCAACAAGGAAACCGCATTGAGAAGCGTACATCGAGGTGCGGAAAGAGTTGCTTGAGGAACAGACCAGGATGAGAGCAGACCAGCGGGCTATGATGGAAAAACGGATCGCTATGCAAAATGAGCAGACGAAGATGGCGGAGGACCTGACTGCCATCCGCAAGGCACTGGAGGACGGAGACAAGCCGACGCCGCAGATGGGGCTGGACTTGGCAGCCATACGGGCGTCTTTGGAGGAAAAGGCAGGGTGCCGCCAGAAACGCAAGCTCACATACCTAGGTACTCAACGGAGGAACATGTAGGCGGCTCTGCCTCGGCTTTCCCCGGACATCACGACGGGAAAAGATCATATCAGGAACGTCTTTGCATATAGCGTTGACAATACTACCGCACCATAGTAGTTGCAAAAATCCTATTCGAATCATGTCGCCTTCTAATCTAGCTATGTACCTCCTCTACCCTCTTAAAACTCGACATATATGTGCCACCAGAAGAAGACCAGCTCTACTTTGTGGTTTTTTATGTCTAAATATAATCTCCATCCTCACTTGTTGGGTTGTCTCCCAAAGTCACAGCTCCCACACAAGTTTCTCCGGAATACATTGTCACGGTGTGCTACCCGTAATACTGCTGGACAAGGGCGTCGACTTCAGCATTTAAATCCATGAGCTCCTGTTGCAGTGACTCGAGATCGGTCTCCGGTCCAAAGCTATGCATCAACAGATCGATATCCAATGAGTTTAGGTCTACGAGATTCGAAGTCAAAACATAATCTTGTTGGGATGAATCGCTCCCCTCACCCAAGCCCCATTCGGTAGGCTCATTCTCCAGGATTATCTGCGTAATTGGATCAAACACCAAATCTTTGAGCAGCACATGGCGATATATAAAGGTTCCATTAGACTCGAAAATCTCTTCCTGGGTCTCCATAAAGGGGATAACGTTGTACGCGAGGGTCGAATGCGAGTGTTTCTGGGCCACCTCGCTCCACTTGGCGATGATCCGCGTCTGAGCCACCATCTTTCCGCGACAGCTCCTCCAAACGATACTGGCTCGACTGTCTTTATAACTGTACCGGAAGATGTATGCGCGACTGTCCTGCTCGTTAAGACAGGTACCCCAAAGTTCCATGACTTCTAGTTGGGGAAGCGACATAGCCGCTTGAGCTGCGAGAATTACCAGCGATTCGAAATCTCTTCTGCTTCTGTCTGAACTTGAGAGCGCACATCGCAGGATTACACGTTTTAGGGAGCTTTCAAGCATCGTGGGTGATTCTCCCAGTTCAATAATAGACCGAAAAAAGGCGGCCGTGTCCATCTGCCATGGCGGGCAGAACTGCTCTAGTCGTTGAGAAAGCGTTGCCATCTCCCGAGGCAAGTAGGCTTGGGCATACGGGGAAATTTCAAATCTGACTTCTTCAAGGCCATCCCAGCGCTCAAATTTAGGGATTTCCCACTGCGTGAAGGAGAGTTGGCGCAATGTTTTCGGCAGGGAGGGTAGTAAGTGCGACTGAAAGTCTGTTAAAGGGGCGTTAGCTTCATCAGATACTCACTATAAAGACTGGTCTACGTTCCATACCTTGATCAAAGGAAAGTTGCTTACGAGGCTCCTGGGAAATAGTCCTCTCGAAGCGGAACCACTCCAATGCCACAAAGCTTCGACCTAGTAGTCGAGACAGCGTCCATACGTGAATGTTCCTGCGAAACTGTCTGCGCATGACCAGTCCCTTGACGATAGGCACGGCCGGAAGATTCTTGTATGGACTGATAAAACGGCCTCGCTCATCCTTTTGTGGTTCTAGATGGAGCGGAGTTCCCTGCACCCTTTTGACATGTCCATTGTCCAACGGCGGAGGGTAGTCGCGAAAAAAATGATGGTTGAACGGATCAGCAATGTTCGTCCGATGGAAATCAACTATACCAGGTGCAAGATCTAGGTCTTCGGCGTAGTGAAATGGATAGTTGTCTTTGATTTCGCATCGATTAAACCAATGCTCTGTATCGCTGGGCGAGGAAGCAGACAACATCAGTGCCAGTCCCTCTGTTCCATGCCGCGCGGGATCCCAGAGTTTGAGAGTTTCTAGTAAGGACTGAATACAGGTTGTGAATATCCTGTTGTTGCTACGAGGGTCGGTTAGCACTAAGGCACACTTATATCAGAGCAGGACATATAAATGCCAAACATACCAATACTGTGTTGCCTCATCCTCCGGTTCGTCACAATCGGGACACTCGTACTTTGAGAGCTGAACCCGAAGCCAGAGCTTTCGGATATACCCTAACCGAGTGTCATCGCGTCTGACGATTGCATGAAACTCGTTGAGAGAGTCGGGGTCAAGAACAAGACGTCGAAATGTACGAGTCTCAAAGAAGACCTGCCATTCCCGGCACACTGCAGCGAAGCGAGCCACCTTTGAGGAGCCCGGGCTGTTGTATCGTCTCTCAGAGATGGGCAATCCCACCAAATTGAGTATCATTTGGCGTACTTCAACTGGCAATATAGCCCACGAAGCATCCTTGGTTATTGATGACCGTCCGACCTGCATGGGATCGGTCGCCACATTCATCGCGACGGGAGACATGGTAGATGGCGAATGTTTCTGGAGCTATTGAGTTGGAGATGGTTTGTTGTGGAATAATAAAATGGAAGAGATTCTTGCGCAAGGTAAGATGTTTTTAACTCGTTCCATCGAATTTTATATAGAGTTCATGACTCATTGCTAGATAGACTTACCTCAAGTCTGTGGCGCTGAGTTGAGTTCAATCCTTATCATGACCCTCTCAAACAGAGTTCAGAGTTGTTGCCAGGCAAAGTTTCGACCCTTTATCTGCTTCAATGGAGCCATCCGGAGTCACCTAGCACTCTGGACTTATCCCAGATCATGACACCCTGCTCACTTAGGTTCATAGTGGATGAAAGTAACAAGAAGGTTGGCGGTACTGGGAAGACGAACTCTCTGGTGTGCTATAAAAGAGGGGGAAATAGCTGGCTGTCTGACGAAAATACGTGCAAACAGACGAGTGGCTTGACCAAGGAGTAGTTACACAGATACACGTGACGACTCAACAGGAGGGAATGGCTAATCCATAGCCTCAAGTTGGCCAACCAGAATCCCATGTCTCCTACTCGCAATTCAAAGCTTGGTACATGTAGGTTCTTGTGTAGTGGTAGTAGCATACATGTATACTAGAGGAATATATCGACGGTAACAGATTCTCCAGCAGCCATGTATCTACTTGAAAAATGGTGATAGAAGATCTTTCTTCTGCGTCTTACTACGGCACTTGAACTCCTCGCAGACTATGACGCTGGATAACCAACGTTGCAACAAAGTATGCTATAATACCTACCGCGTTGCATAGTGACAAAAGATGGACTGCTGAAACTGCACGTATAGATAGGTAGCATCAAGTAGCTCTGGAAAGTCGAACATGTACAGAAGAGCAGAAGCGGGGCCACTGAAAGCTCCTAGGAGTGAGGGTGCCTTGGCGCCTAAAACCAGGTACAGCAGGTTCGCAATCGATAAGACCCGCCATCAAAACAGCACAACCTAAGAATTTTTTCCCTCTCAGCGAATTTCTTCTCCTCTCTCCCCTCATAATGCATCGTCTACACAGCTGGAGGACAGCTTTATTCAACGCCGACTCAAAGCTCAAGACTTTTTCTCAAGTCTGAAATACGCCTAAGTCAGCATCACGGTAGGATTTCGTCTTCTCTTTTTTCTTTTGTTCTCGTACGTGATCCGCAGCGCATCCATGCCAGCCACTCAATTCCTTCCACGAGTCTCTCTTCCAGGCGCGCCGCGTCTTGCGTTTGCGCCTGGAAGGGCTGGCGTATCGATTGCAGACGGGGTTATCTCGATAATCTCGCCTTCAGCTCTGCTGCAAGACGAATGGACCTTCATAGTCCATGCCGATTTGATTTCCATCTGGGAATGCAGCTCACCTCGGCGTGGCTCCTAGCGTTCCTACATTTGCTTACTGTACTTGCTTCTGTGATTGAACGCGTATCAACTATTTAGAGACTCATATGTAAGGATGCATTAGTACTGCTGTATGTATGGAACACCGTGCCGTGTTATCCATATTCAGTGCCGTATTCGCGGGTTATAGCACTGGACCTTTTAAAGCCGCAGAAATGGCCTCAAATGCACTATTTCCACGCTCACGGCTAAGAAGAAAAAAGAAAAACCTGAAATATGCCGCCTTCCCACGTCCAAATGTGGCAGTGTGCATGAGTATCGAAAGGTACCTCCAGTAGTCATCAGTTACGTCACTTTCGCTCTGTCCTCCGCATTGCCTTATCGTCCAATCCCTCTCAGTCGTTGGGCCATGAGGTACAAGTAGCTCAGCACCTCAACCACCTCAACACCATTGTTTACATCACCACCTCTCGTCATTTCCTCCATATCCTACCTAGAGAGCGTCTTTAAGAGCATTCTAAACAGCATTTCATTTTAGCCTGCCTCTTTTCATTCACATCATTTGTAAACCTTTGGATAGCTCCAAACAGCCATTTTGTTGTCCCCGTAACCTCCTCCTCCTCCTCCTCACTCTTCATCATGGGTTCAACCAAGCCCTCCAAGTTTGGAAATCTCCTTCTTAGTACCATTGGCCCTCTCGATTGCGCTCTTACTGGAACGGCAATTCTGAACAGCCCCACCTTCAACAAGGGATCTGCCTTTACGCCATCGGAGCGTCGAGACTTCAATCTGACCGGCTTGCTTCCAGCTAATGAGCAGTCCCTGGAGCATCAGGTTGAGCGCGCATACCAGCAATACCTGTCCAGAAGCGATGACCTAGCCAAGAACACGTTTCTTACCTCGTTAAAGGACCAAAATGAAGTGCTCTATTTCAAGCTGTTGCTCACTCACCTCAAGGAAATGTTCAGCGTCGTGTATACTCCAACCGAGGGTGATGCCATTCAGAACTACTCGAGGCTTTTTCGTCGTCCAGAGGGCTGCTTCTTGGACATTAACCACCCTGAAAACGTAGAGCAGGATCTCGCTCTCTGGGGAGGGCCGGATGATGTCGACTATATTTGCGTCACTGGTGTGTTTGCCTGTCCGAGTCTTGCTCCATCTAGTTTTTCACTAATGCCATATTCTCAGACGGCGAGGAAATCCTTGGAATCGGCGATCAGGTATATCTTGACTTCATTACTAATCTCAATCTCATATGGCTTGACCTTGTTAACTCAATCTGTCTTCTCTCTCTAGGGCGTGGGCGGCATTCTCATATCTGGAGCAAAGCTGACACTTGCGTCCCTCTGCGCTGGCGTTCACCCCAATCGAACTCTCCCGGTAGTCATAGACTGCGGCACAGACAATCAAGACCTGCACAATGATGAGCTTTATCTTGGCCTCCACCAGAACCGAGTAAGGGGCAAACAATACGACGAGTTTATCCAGACATTTGTCGAAGCTGCTCGAAAGCTGTTCCCGCGAGCTTACATCCACTTTGAGGACTTTGGTCTTAGGAATGGTATAGTTACCAATTCCCAGACTACAATTCGCAAGCACTAATTCGTACTGCAGCCAGACGTCTTCTGGAATTGTATCGTCCCAAGATTGCCTGCTTCAATGACGATGTCCAGGGAACAGGCTGTGTGACGCTTGCCGCCATCATGGCTGCCCTCCATGCCAGTGGACAGAAGCTCAGCAACAGTCGCATGATAATTTTCGGCGCTGGAAGTGCTGGAGTTGGTATTGCAGACCAAGTCAGAGACGCCATTGCTGCGGAGATGAATATCAGCCACGAGAAGGCCTCGCAGCAAATCTGGCAAGTCGACCCATTTGCATTGAAAGACGAGATAATATACTAATCTTTATTGCTAGGTTGATCGACAAGCCTGGCCTTCTGACATCAAAGATCGATGTCTCAGACGCTCAAAAGATGTACGTCAAAGACGCATCTGAATGGAGCGATAACGCCAGTCTCCTCTCAGTCGTCAAGCAAGTGAATCCCAACATCCTCATCGGAACATCCACCGTGCCCGGCGCCTTTACAGAAGAAATCGTCAAGGCCATGCACGAAAACTGCCCGCGCCCAATCATCTTCCCGCTCTCCAACCCAACGCGGCTTCACGAGGCAAAGCCAGCCGATCTGCTCAGGTGGACCAACGGTCAGGCTCTAGTTGCGACGGGATCTCCCTTTGATCCCGTCACTGGCCCCTGGGGTAAGGACGGAAAAGATATCACGATTGAGATTGCCGAGTGCAACAACTCGGTGGTTTTCCCTGGTATTGGTCTTGGCTGCATCCTCAGTCGCGCGAAGCTCCTCACCGACCGCATGCTCGTCGCGGCCGTCCAAGGCGTCGCATCGCTAAGCCCCACGCTGAAGGATCCGACAGCGACTCTCCTTCCAGACGTAGAAGAGGTGAGGACCGTCAGCGTCCAGGTGGCCAAGAGCGTGATCCAGGCTGCTGTGGAAGAAGGCGTGGCGACGGAAAAGGACATTCCGTCCGATGAACACGATCTTGAGGAGTGGATCAGAGAGCAGATGTGGAATCCTGAATATCGTCCGCTGAGGCTCGTCAAGATGGAGGACGCGACGAGGGCGGCCAAGGGGGAGCTTGGAAAGGCCATGCCTGGACTGTAGCACAGAATGATGAAGAGCAAGGGCAGAACGCGGGGGACATAGACTTGTGCCGTATTCGCCAGCACGTAGACATAGATGCTGATAGACTTGCTATAGACTGCCTATTGGGTAGAACAGTAAAAAGAGACACTTGCAGCATACCAAACTTGAAGAATAAAGTAGATAAATGAAGGAACATGATGATTGTCGCAAAGCGTAGCCATCATCACTTCACAATACAGGCTCCAAAAGACTTGATAAGAATGTTTCACAGATATTGTCCAAATATTATCAATAACCTACGCCGTTGTATCATTACTCCGTGTCATCATCGGACTCCTCCTCCTCTTCCTCTTCATCGTCGTCTTCCTCTTCCGCCTTTGTTCTGTTGTGGTTGACGCCAACCTGCATACGTCTAGCAACGTACCACTGTGCCACAGTGCCGGCAGAGAGTACAAGAGACTCCTTTATCCAAGCCGCCACCCACTCCCTAGGATCAAGCTCGCCCGACTCGACAATACCCCGGATGTCCTCATGGACACGGTTATGCAGAGATCCGGGGACGTCATCTCCCGACTGAGGGGTCAAGGGACGGGGAGCCTCGAGCCAACGCGCCCACTTTGCGGGAATGGGCTGGCTGGTGGTGCCATATTCAATCTCGTGAACCGGGTCAACGATGAAGATGGCAAAGCGGAACTCCTCTTCATTCTCCTCTTCAGCATCCGCAGACTCCTTCTCCTTTGTGGCCGCCGCAGTTCGACCGAAAAGGGCCTTGTCGTGGTCAGTGACAATGGCCTGGACAGACAGGAACAAGTCCGATGTCCGGACGGAACCAGGCTCAGTGATGCCCGATCTCGCCTGTGTCTTGACGGCTTCGACGCCTCCCTGGGTAGCAAAGTATTCGGTCGCATATGACTCTGCATTGACGCGGCAAAGCTTTGTGCCCTCGACAAGGCCTTTCACAACACCCAACTCGCGAGCCTGGTCAACCTGTCTCCACCAAGGACCGTCATCCCAGCCGGCAGTGGTATCGTGAGACCGCGATAGGCCGTTTTCGTGACCCCTCTGGACAACCTTGAGCTCACCGCCTTCCACCTGCTGCATGACATCGGAAAAGACGTCATAAATCAGAGGGTCGAGAGAGGGGTATCCGACCAGGTCGTGGGTAATGTGAATGAGAAGGCGTTCGTGGGAGCCGATAGGAGGCGCGATGGTGTTGATGATGTTGGATAAGGTTGGCAGAGCGCGGTTGCGAATCTCGTCGCCTTGAAGCCGGAGAGTTAGTTGGACATGTTGACATTTGCGCGAGGATGAATCTCCGGAGACTTACCATAGCTCCTCAGTGTATTGACATCAATGCCGCTTCTCAAGCCCTTGACCTGCTCTGCCCACTTCTGTGCCTCCTCGTTCTGTTGGATCTGATTGTAGGCAGCCTCGGCCTGCTTCATGACCCCGGTCGCAGTCGAGAGGATGCCACCCCACCATCCGCCTCCAGATTGCTGAGACTGCGCTTGTTCGACGGGCCTCTTGTCGGATTCATAGGGCTCAGAGCTTGTAGCGCTGGGGGTGAAGCTAGCTCGAAGGCTCCGAGAGCTGTCGGTAGATTTGCGTGCAGCGGCTGCCTTGTCCTCGCCAGCAGGGGGGGTTGCCGTTGAGCGTCTGGCGATGGTCTCCTTGAGGCGAGGCGTGTGCGGGCGAGACGCGGGCGAAGGAGCAAGCTCGGATTCAAGGTCGGCAAGGATATCGTCATTGCCAATTGCCTTGGCGGCAGCAGACGTAGGCTTCTTGGATGGTTTCTTGGACTTGGACTCGTCGCCAATGCCCGAGAAGAGCTCGTCGAGATTGTCGTCGGCGGGCGCCGCCTTGGACTTTTTGGAGGCCATGGCGAGGTTCGAGAAGCTGTTTGCTGGCGAAACCGGATGCTATAGCAGGAGATGCTGTTGGTGTTGGTGATGCCAGTGTTTTGTGATTGTTTGATTGTTAGGTACCTCAGCCGTGGTCTGTTTCTGGTAGGAATACGGAGTAGCGCGGTATGCAGTGGTGGGGTAGCGATTGCAGGTCGATATAAAAAGAAGCTTGGGGGGATGGTCAGCAAATGAGGGTGCATTCCAGTACTGTAGCTTGCAGGCAGGTACTCACTCGTACTCGTACTATCAAACAACAAAGTTCGCACAACTGCCTATTGATGGATCACAGTAGATAATACGCTGTACTCCGCAATTCAAATTTAAATCAGCAGCGGGATGGGGCCAAGGCTGAGCATGTTTTAAAAGTGAGCGCAAAGTGAACGGCCAGGCAACTCTAATAGATGGGACGATTAAAAGCGGCCATCTGGCAAAGCGAGTTACGTACGGAGTACAGAAATACGGAGTACATGTGCACAGGAGCAGCAGATTCGGCGGGCCTGCAGTTGGCTTAGCGCAGAAATCGCCCTGTTGCAGCCAAAAAAGTATCTTTGGCGGTGGGGACGGGCATCGAGTCTGGATGCGTTGCGTTGCGGTGCGGTGTCTTGTCTTGGTTGTCTTGTGTTGACATCTGCAGGTGGTCGATGTACATGTGTCATTGTCACGCGGTGTGAGTGTTTTGTGAGTGTGTGAGCGTGCCGTTTTTGGTAGCGGCCTTGTAGCGGTACTTACCTATTTGCAACAACACGAGGGACAAGAGTCAATTAGTACCTGTATTGATGCTGCCTGTAGTTCCAAGGTTGCCCTGCCTACAAACTGACAGCGCATCTATCGACCGAAGAGTCATCTTTTGATCGAGATACTAGCAGGATCCAATCCTACAGGCCCATTAATAGACACTATGCTGTACCCAAGGTGCTCAGCTTACGCTGCACGTATCAGAACTCAAGCCACAGCGGGCCTTGCTCTGATCATCCAGCCAGCGTTGCTACCTTAGGTGCCCATCTTGTAAGTCATTGAACCACTAACCACTAATAAAACCCTCAAGGCCATGCCCTACGGCTACAGGCGAGAGCAGGCCTCAACCTCGTCTGTGAGACGCGCGCCAGACCGGAACAAGCCTAGAAGTGTCCCGTCTGTTTACCCGCGTTGAGAAGCCCTGAAAATACGAGTATACAGTACGTCCATGGATCTGTGCTGGTGGCTGATGCAGCAGCGGAGGAACCCCGGGGTTGAGATCCATAACGTAGCATGACGATTACATGTACTTTACTCTTTAGTGAGGGAGGAATCTACGCAAATCTGGGCTGGAAGGGGGGCGAAATTGGGAAAAAAAGAACGAATAAGGTTGCCAGAGGTACATGTACAAGTATACGGCCCCAGCGGTGCGCGCAAATGGGCCCCGTATAGGTACCTGTGGGTACTTGTCGAGGCTGCACGGCGCGCTGAGGCACATTCGTACCGCGGCGGTAGAATCTGGACCTGGGCTGTACTGCGAGGTACGTACCGGCGCCGGCGGCCAGCCAGTGAGAATGCAGAGAACAGCCGGTGGCTTATTCGATCCACGAAGCCGAAAACCAAAGGAGAGCTGCACTGACAGCGTGGAAAAAGGCTGCCCTCAGAAATCTCTGATATCGAGCTCACTGCGGCATCATCGCAGCAGCTGGCGGCGGCTCCTATTGCTTCATCTTATTGTGCCGGATGTGCGTCCATTGCCTCAGCTGATTGTTGATTGCTATTGTTGTTTTGCTGGCGGCGGCGAAAAACCTGCTCGCTTGTGCCGGCACGTCACGTTGATCCGCCTCTCATTTTATAACAAAGCAAAGGCATCGCCGTCAGGCCACGAGCCCTCATCAACCCCCCTGATCTTCTATCATCTCTTTACTGCCCGTGTTGCTGTCTGTCAGCCAATTCTCCCGCTCGTCCTGCCGGGCATCGCTGCCTTGACTTTTCGCGGATGACATCTTCCCTGCGTCGCCTGTTCTCTTACACCCCTTTCCCTCTCACAGGCTGTAACGGCCTGGCATCATGGACCGCGCTCGCCGCGCAACAAACAACCGTCGCAAGCCCCTTGGAGTTTCTGCCTCTCCTCCGTCTACTTCGGACGCTTCGTTTGAGCGCCATCAGTCGTCGGCCAGTCCCATCATGGCGCATGCCACTAACACTCCCCAAGGCGCACCGCAGGGCCGGCGCGCCAACAAATCTCTTCAGCCTGCCTTCACTTTCTCAACGCCAGGACCAACCCGGCCCTCCAATCTGAGGAAGAGGTCAAAAACCATGGATGACTACGCCGTGGCCGATGACGACTATGAAAATGAAAGCCCCAAAAAGGGCGGTCACAGCCTGCGCAAACGCGCGCGTGTCGACTACACCTTTGAGCAGATTGACGACGACGCTGACTTTTCAACCCCTGTTTCTGCATCTACATCCGCCTCAGCCCGCAATAAGAAGCGAAGGCCGGACAGCAGCAGCTACGACTCCGAGGATCTCTACGGCTCCGGACTCAAGAGGAGAGGCGCCTCGATGGACGCTGACACGCCCTCCAGCCGGCGCCGCAATCCCGCCAGGAAGATGCCCGAGGCGAGAGCCTACAGGGACGACGTCGAGGACGACGAAAACGACGTCCAGGACACCATTGAGGTCGGCGTTCTGTATTCAGACTCTGAGAAATCCGACAGCGCTCACATGGATCACTCAAATGCTTCATCCACGGACCTGTCCGTCGGCCCACAAAAATCGACTCCCATCCATTCAGGCCATGACAGCAGCTTCAGTCTTGCCGGCCTCGCCGAGCAGCCGCCGGACGCTGAGCAGCGCTTGAATCACGCAGATCCGCCGTCTGCCATTGCCTCTGTTACTGTTGCCTCTCCTGCCGATATCCCTGATATCAAGCCCGAGAGTGAGTCTCAGTCTCAGTCTCTCACTCAATCTGAGCCTAGCCGTGCGCAGGTGCACTCGCCACACGACACCACGGCACCAGCCTCACACGCTCCTGAAACTGCGGCTGAGCCACAACTCAAAATTCAACAAGCTCACGACGCCACTTTGAATACAGTTGTTGCAGAAGATGGCGCTCAGCCGTCTCCACACGACAAAAGCAATAACAATAACAGCAGCCTGGAGCAAACTTCTGAGAAACATGAGCAACTCTCACAGACTCGCAAATCCCCTTCCCTGTCTTCACCTGCACCGCCTGCATCGCACGCACCCGAAGTGACACCTGTTGAAGATACCGCAGCTATTAAGCCGTCTCTCCAACTTCCCGATAAGGAAATTCTTCAAGACAGCCCTCAGGAGACACGGGACAGCAATATTCGCTCCCAGGCCGAGCCTGAACCACAACCTCTGTTACAGGAGCAACCGTATTATCCTTCGGCTGCAGCACACTTGTTTACGGTTTCTGCCCGATTAGTACAACAGCCTGAGCCTCAAGCCCATACTACACCTAAACAGCAGTCTCCGGAGCAGGAATCCAAACCGCCCAGCCCTCCTCCTGCGGCAATTGCTGCGGCAGTTGACAGCACACCAGCGTCTCCTTCAACATCTGCCTTCGACTCCGCAATCATGGAAGACTCCCAGACAACAAGTGCGGACGTGAAATTCGCCGAGCCGCCGGCGCCACTGCCAGAAAACGAGGTTACTGTCAGCACATCATTGCCAGAAGTACTAGTTCAAGACGTTCAGGTGAAACCCGCAGCCCAGACGTCATCATCCCAACCCTCTGAGCGCGGACCATTCAAGCCGCAACCCAGACCTGCTGGTCGCTGGGCTCACCTGACACCATATATTGATGGGGAGTACATCTCATATCCTGAGAGGAAGGGACAGCAGGAAGATGAGGTGGCCACCAGTGAAGATCAAACTGCAGATGACCGCGAGACCAATGACATGGAGCCGTTGGTTGATGACAATGACGACGTGCCTGACGCTACTGGAATTGAGGCACCTACTCCTGCTCTCAACACGCCCTTACGAGGTTCTCCTGTCCCTGACTCAATCGATCCAACTGCCTCTAATTCCCCAGCTGCTGCCGGAGATGACGGCGATGATGTGGACGTTTCTGAAGATCCTCCTGAGCGAAGTCGATCATTCCGCTACCGCAAGCTCAGGAGTCCCGACGAATACCTCGCCGCCATTGAGAACTTTGAGGACATGTCAACAGCTGAGCTGTATGAGGTTTTAGAATCCATCAATGTTTCCCTTCTTCAATGGCAAACCGAATGGACCGGCCTCGGCAAGGTTGTCGACGATTATGAAAACTCTCTTCGCCGACGCGTAGCAGACATCAAATATGAGTCTCGAACACGCAACTTCCACCAGCACGGTGTCAATTACGAGGAGCCCGAGTTTGTCGTCAAGGGATACAAATCCAAAGATAAAGAAGGCATGACTGAGACGCGCTACCTCCAGAATCAGGATAGAATCATGGCAGCCGCTTATGGATTTGAGTATGACCCACATCCATCCAAGATTGGCCGCCAGAATCCGGAGACGCAGCAGGCAGGAATCATGACCCGCGGCCGTTCGTTGCGCAATCAGCCAAAGCCCACGGCCAAGGCTACTGAGGCAGATGAAGTCACGGGCAAAAGACAACGTAAGCCCGTTCAATTGTTCGACCCTGCAAGCCAGGATATTAGTCGCAGCTCGACCCCGGTTCCGACCACCAGGCCTCGGCGACGCAAGACGGCCAATGGCGACAACGATGATGGCCAGTTTGGTTTTGCCAGCTTTAATAGCGAATCTATCCTCTCGGATGAGGAGGTTGGCGAAACGAAGAGAAGACGCAACCGTGCGACACGACCCAAGATGGCTGTCCCCAGCATTGTCGAGGAGCTCGTATCCGCTCCTCCAAGCGAAGAATCCTCTGTCCGTGAAACACCATCAAGGTCCGGTCGCAAGGCGCGTGTCAAGCAGCCAATCAAATACGATGAAGAGTCTCTTGGCTACCAATTCGTCGAGGAGGAGCCTCAGATGGAAGAGAAGCCACCTAGGCGTCGCCATCTGCTGACTCTAAAGATCCCCAAGGGCAAGAACATTAGTGAACCGTCCTCTGAAATCACTGATAATGGTGACTCGCGGCCCTCGACAGCCGACTCGGACTCGACCTCGCACACTGCCGAGTCCTCGTATTCGTTCCGCCCCAAGCGTCAGAAACGATTCCGCGATGACGCCGAAGAGAGTGAAGAAGCCGCACAGGCTCCCATAAAGAAGAGGAACAAGCGTACCAGCGGCATAGCCCCTGTCGGAGTCGAAGAGGATCTTGCTCCAGCGGAGATGCTCGACCCAGAAGCTCTTGCAGGCGCCAACAATCGCAAGATCCAGAAGATCAAGGTGGTTCGAAATATACCCGCAAGCCGCAAGGGCACGCCATCGTCTCTGCCCAATGGTGAGGAAGCAGAGGAGCCGCAGAAGGATTATAAGTCTATGACCAAATCCGAGAAGATGTCGGCATCTATGAAGAGTAAGTATCTAGCACTACCAGGGACAATGATTTTTCTTGTTCAACTCTCTAACAATGTATTCCAGGTCGATGGGCCAATGGCAACATGGCTGGTGCTGTCGAGAAGCGAAAGGCAACCCTCGCTGCTAAAAAGGCCGCGCAGGCAGCGGCCGAGCAGAGGGTTGGGCTCATCGCCCCGAAGCCCAAGGTGAAGTCGGCCAAGAAGGAGCCGATTGAGCAGACTCCAATGCCTCCGCCGTTTAATCCTCAGCAGCCGCAACAACATATTCATGGAATGGGATACTCATACCCCTCATCTTAAATTCCATCTAATCTAGCGGAAAGCCAAACAATATGGCTGCCTTATGAGTTCAACGAGGCCAACAAATATACAGCAGTTTGTCTGTACGATCTTACTACCGTCTTTCCATTATCGGAAAGGTTTTTATTTCCCGCGATGCCGATTCATGTATCATACTTGGACGACAGGAGTGTTTTTTGTACTGCCAAAACAGAGAAATTGGCAAAAACGACTTGCACGAATGAAACGGGGTCAAATACTCTTAAGCACAAAAAAAGGGGGGGAGGACAGTTTTGATCATTTTCCAAAAAGGAGACCACAAATGCGGTGGGATGTTTCAAAAACGATAACGATGCTTGGACATCGGTATAGGGTTCTTGGACTTCGGGTCTCTCTTTTTCTTTCTTCTCTTGTTTTTTTTTTTTTTTCTTTTCCTGGATTGGCATTCGGACCAGCTTATCATGGGCATTGAAGCCTGTTGGTCCGTCCGGCGTTGGTGGCCCCTCAGAGTGGCGGGTATACAGGGGGAACATTTTGACGTTTTTTTCCTTTTCTTTTTTTTCTCTATTTTGATTTGGAACCTGCTTTTTTTTTTTTCCTACTATTGCGCATTCTTCATTTTCTGTGTGTTTCTAGTTTTTTCCTCTTCCTGTTTTGTACAAAACAACATTCCAAGGTATGCGACGGTGGGGGGATGTGGGGAGGGGGCATCTTGTGAAAGGAGAAGAGGGTATCTTCTCGTTTCTTCGGCTTTGCTGTATTTATTTTCTGAGCATCCGATGGCTGTGGTTGGTATTTTTGCCCGTAATAAACGCTTTTCTTTCGTGTTGTTGAATAAATAAAAGTTGTTAGTTTGACATTACTTGGATGTATCAGTGCTAAGTGACATGATTCTTTTTCTTTTGCTGTGCTTAGTTAATGTGAGCAGTAGTGGCATGGGTAAAAAAGGAGTGGGACTAACGTCAAGGTTGAAATGACATAAAATCTGCCCAGATGCAACGGGAGATTCATGACATGAAAATAAAACGCGAGAAAATGGATTAAAAAAACCAAATATGTTCATTTTTGCATTTTAATTGACTCGGCGCTTGCATATTAAAATACAATTCATATCATGGTGAAGGTGGCTTCTCTTCAAATTTTCGTATAGGGTAACCATTTTGACGATTTTGGCATAATCTGGGGACAGATATCTTCATTCAAAACTGGCAAAACAATTGGGTTCTTCAAGCCTCGAATCGTACATAAAATGCCATTGCTCAGCATCTTGCACCTCATCTACGGTACGGCAAGGGCATCATCGTGGCACGCAGCTTCACCCAGCATGATAAAAAGAGACGCGGACTTGGATATTTTTTTGTCTTTGTCCATTTGATGCGATACCTGATATTGAATCATCCTTACACGCCGCAACCGAAATGCAAGAGCCTGCCAATCCAGCGACTTTACTTTCCCGTTTCTTTTCCCCCTCCCATTCCCCAAATAACAAAAAAATCAGAACAAGGGACAGGAGACGGAAAAGATTTCCACGCTTCTATAAGATCGCATCGAGGGACTTGGTCATTTGTCTTTTTTCATTCCTCTCTTGATAAAAAAATTTCCCTCCCTTCTTTAACAGCCTCTTTACATGACGACACCGGAGTTGCTGGCAATACGCTAGAGATGGAAGTGTTAGAGTGGAAATCATTCATGGTTGTGTTGGGGGAAGAAAAAGACTTACGGGCCACAGCTCAGCAGCCTCCTTGCCGACGGGGCCAGTGATGGCAGAGCCCTTCATCTCACCCTTGGGGTTGACGATCTGTAGCAAGCATCGGATTAGTTTCCTTTCATAACCGTGGGGTTTCTTCTGGTCTCAAATGGCGGCCTATGCCTCGGAATCGGGGGCACCGCAATCATTCATTGACCAGGTAGGGATAAAACGTACAACACCAGCGTTGTCCTCGAAGTACAGGAAAACACCGTCGAATCGCTTCCAGGGCTTGGACTGTCGGACAATGACGGCGGGGTGGACCTTCTTTCGCAGCTCGGGCTTTCCCTTCTTGACGGTGGCCATGACCATGTCACCGACACCGCCGGCGGGCAGGCGGTTCAGACGAGCACCGATACCCTTGACGGAGATGATGTACAGGTTACGGGCACCAGAGTTGTCGGCGCAGTTCATGACGGCACCGACGGGGAGACCGAGGGTCATCTTGAGCTTGCCACCAGGGGCACCACGACTGCACGCACACGCTTGGTCAGTCCACAAGTTCTCTTGATACGTTTGTTGTGTGCAATCCTCCTCTCTGCTCTCCCGCAATCCCTCGACGGAGAATCATGAAAACTGGTGCCGGCAAAAGATAGTCCTAAATTCCTCCCCTCTAAAATATCGAGTCGGTATTGCAGGTTGCGTGTCGAATCTTCTGACGTAAAATCGATTTCACGAAGAAATTCGAGCAGATTGGTTCGTTGGTGCTGCAGAGCCTCGAATTGTCGTTTTTCCAATTTGTCCCTCGGTGGGAAACAGCTAAACCAAGATCCTCCTCTTGCCCGGCTTTTTTCTTCCCAGTGTTTTTCTTCATTCTCGTCGGGAAAGCGAAGAGAGCACAAATACGAAACAAGTTTCGTGCTAGAAATTAAGAGCGACTTACGATTGCTTGGCCATTGTGTCGGAAGGGTTGGGGGCGTTAGAGTCGTGAGAAACGTGCCGAAGTCGCGGATTGCCGTCGTGAAGCTGAAGCTTTTCAGGGCAAATTTTCCTTATGCGATCTGTGGGGGTGAGAAACCCTACGAGAAGCGAGTGTGTGTGCGCACGTGATGATAGTGAGCTTATCAGGCTGGTGGCGAAACTGGACGCCGATGATTGGATCTGGGGCGGGTTTTGGGGCTAAAGAAACCAGAAACTAGAGCCCCGCTATTTTTTTTCTTGCTCTTCCGCATTTTCACATTTGGGCATCGTGTCGCAGTCCATAGGATTCACATGTGGTGATGGGTGTGTTGATTGACGATAATGCTAATGGTGTGCTATAAAAAAAATAAATAAATAAAATTCCCATAATCTCTAGCCACTTTCGCATTTCCATGGCAGATGTGCAAATTAATACCCGTGAAAGAGGAAACGAATAGAGAGGAGCAACTACGCCGAGACATGTGAGTATACATAGGTACTTCCGGGAACCACAGGCTAATAAAAAACATTAGGGGAACAATTCGGTCATTCTTTTTCATCATAGCTCGCATAAAGGAAAACTAAAAGAGAAAAAACAAAGGCTCAGATGCCCCAATTCAGTCCAACACCGACTCTGATAACATTTTTGGCTCACCCTAAGCACCGGGGGCTTCTTCATTCGCATCGACAGGGTCAATTACTTCCCACGACTTGGTCGTCCCAGCATCTGAGACCGGCGAATTGTCTGCTGGAACTGCTGTGGTCTCTCCCTTGGCCACGCCGGTATTGATCTTCTCCACGTTACCGTCCTCTTTGCCCATAGCGAACAGTCTGTATGTGATGTCCTCTTTGTCTTGGACATATGATTTCACCGCACCGCTGCTGACACATCAATATGAAGATCCTGCTACAAATGCGACCACACCTACGGCAAGTCTCCTGCTTGTCCATCAGCCATGTTGAATAAGGTCTATGTTGGGCTTTGTGTTATATTGGGTGAATATTTTGCAGGTGAATATTCTGAGGGCATGCATCATTGAAGACCGCAAAAAATGCAACATTCACGTCGGGGCAGCGGCATCTTCTTAAACCCCCTCCTCCTTACACCCATCAGCTCATGGCCATCTGTCGAGGAGAGGTGTGTCATCCCCTTTGCTATCCCAACCATCATTCTTCATCAGGCTCAGGCCACGACAACCTAGTGTCTGGCAAAATCGCCAATGATACCGCACCACATCTCCGCCTGCGGCTCTGCTGGGACACCACAACAGGCTCAGTGACCTCCCGGTTTCACCAAGGCACGTGGTCGTGTCTCAATCCCATTGAGTTGAGGGCACAGCCTTTGTAATCTCTATATTAATTATCTGCATGGCCAATGAGTGAGATGTCTTAGCCTGCGAGACTGCTGTCGATGCTGGGTTTCTGCATGTGGTGTGCATCAAATGAGGTCATCTCGGTCAGTACGCTAGACATATCGAGGCCCTCGACACTCGTACAGCCAACACGGCTCCCGCCCTTTATTGGCTAAGATGGTTTATCATTGTCTACGCTTCAAGCCACGGCTACAGACTCGAACCGATGGTAAGACGTATGCAACCATACGTGCATGTGGCGCGCGGTAAGCGCCCAAATACCCACGCTTGTGAGCTGCGTTGCGTTGCAGTCCTGCACATATGCCCGACCTCGCCTATATCCGCCAAGCGTCGATGCAATTTGGAGCGGATTTCAATCGCTCACGTACCTGAATAAATTGGGAAATGTGATGGAAGAATTGGCGGCAATAGTCCGTCCGAGCGGCTATTATTGGCAACGGGGCAGTAGTACAGTAGTTTGTCTGCATTTGCAATGTTTCCTGCCATCTTGGTGCTGGTGGGATGTGACCTGACATCAATCAGCCAAGTGGCCACGCTGTTTGGACCCCAATCGGAATGGGGGCCATTGTTGGATGCGACAAGGCCAGCCCGTTTGCCCGGTCTCAGACGGAGAAGCTCGCAACTGCGTGCTGTAACCGGTCAACCATCTTTGCTGCAAGCCTGAGCGGCGCTGGCTCCGTCCATGTACTCGTACGCACGAGTAGTAGTATGGCGATGCCGCTTGATTCGCCATCCCCCACACCACGTGCGGGGTGATTTCTGGCGACGCCGGTGGGTCGTCGTGTTGTAGAGGCTGGTTATTTGCAGATACGGACCCGGTGCCTTGGGCTCAGAAACGAGCCGAAGTGGTGGCATTTTTGTGCTGCTGCAGGGAGAAGTTGTCACATCAATTGATTCGAGCGAGCTGAGCAATTCTGTACGACATTGGGCACTATCTTGGTCGGATGAAGACAAGAGCCGAATCAATGACGGAAGAGGCAATAAGTGGAGATGCTTCCGTGCGAGATACAACAATACTCCGGCGTATTACAGAAAAGTATGAAGGTATTCTGCTGAGATCATACTGTAATAGTAGCGGAAAGGTTGGAGCCACACGGGAATATGAATCGGACATACCCATTAGAGCTCCATTTTATTTGGACTCCCTATCTGCCCGATCTCTGGGTACCTGGCATAGCGAGGACAAGACTGCTCCGCAAGATGGGTAGATTTTATTCACAGCAATACTAGACGTCAGGGTTGTGTTGTCGCACCCATGCAGAGTAAGCGTACAGAACTACTATATGCTTAGGTACCCAAAGCAGAATATCTTAAGTCCGAAGGATCGAGTTCTCTCTCTTGGCGCAGCACAAGATATTAGTGTCCTACCTGTTCCAAGAACCAGTAAGATACAATGAACACGGCCGGCCGGCTCCAGTGGGCGATTACAAATTGGTAAACCAAAAGAACGTCTCTGAACGACTATTTTAAACAACTTTTCCATGTGTACCCACGGTTCTAGAACGGATCCAGTGGGGGCTGATTTTGCGGAACGGCTCCCAACGTACGGTAGCAATGGGTATATGCACAGGTACCATCGGCATCTCTCTCTAAAAGGTGCATAATTTTTTCATCAGTCCTGGGTATGCTTATTATAGTAGTACTCGCATGGACTTGCTCTTTGCCTGGCTCAACCATCCACAGAACCAATGGCCAGGAGGAGTCGCCAAGCCAGACAAGAATAGTCCTATGGATCTCTGTGCCCGGATACTTAGTAAAAACCACCTGCCTACCCTAGTAATTGTTAGTCCCTATTTCCAGGCTTACACGCGCTCGTGCTTTGCACACTGCTGCTGACAGGCATATCCATGGATGTCCAGTTCCAAGTAATACCTGTAACTGAGTACAGTCCTAGGCTGTGGCGGTGCAGGCCACCTTACTACTGTAGCTGTCCCGATACAGGGTCTTTATCCGGCGGAACACCAGACACCACAGTGGCTTCTACGCTGTGCGCCCTACCTAGTATGCATAGCGAGCGCCCATAAGGGGTCCAGGTGAAGGGCTCTCAACTCCGGCGCAGACACGGATTGTCTCTGGGCATGGCAAATAACGATCAAGTAGCCACCCGATTCGGGCAATGCCAGAATCTCCAGGCGCACAGCGGCTCCACCGCCTGCAGCTCTAGCCCGCCCACTGTGGCTTGAAGGTTTTCCCTTTCGCTCATTCTCCCTCCCCACTTGAGCCCAGAGCTTGTTCCCGTGTGCGAATCGCCATCTTTTCCTTTATCAACCAACGACTCACGTCCCCTTTGCGCTGCTGTTTGTATTGTCAAGCGCTTGAGTCTGTTGCACCGCCGGAGCTGCCACAGCATTGATGCGATTCAGGCCCCCCCTCGAGTGCGTTCCGCGGATGAGCAGACCGCTGGCTGCCTTGGATCTGATCCGAGCCCTGCGTCATTAGTTTTCCATCTGAATTTGAGATCCCGTCCCGTTGTGAGGTCATCGATTTCTCGGCACGCCTTTCCTGCGACACGGCACAAACGAGCACGACGGACTCAGGGGGCAACGCGGGAGAGAGAAAGAGAGGAAATGGCGGCAAATTTCGACTTCAGTGCCTCCGCCTCTGCGTCGTCGCCGCAGCACAACATGGCCGAACAGAGCGCCTCGTCGCCGCACCATCCGAACAACGTCACCATCTATCAGACGACCGGCCCAGATGCCCACTATGGCCCCATTACAGCCCCGGGTGACTCGGGAACACCACTGCTGAACCCGCGATCTTGCGTCACCTGCCGGAGGCGCAAGGTGCGTTGCGACAAGCAGATGCCGTGCTCCAACTGCCGCCGTGCCCTCATCCCATGCGTGTTTCCCGCTCCTGGCCGTGCGCCGCGCCAGCACCGGCCCAAGGACCCGAATGCCCCTCCCAAGGCGACGAGCCAGCGCGAGGTTGAGCTGGTCAAGCGGCTGAAGAAACTCGAGGGTATTGTCGAGGAATTGAGCGGCCAGATCGAAATCGAGACCGGCGCCAGAGTTTCATCCACCGGCGACTCGCCCTCTAATGAAGGATCACCCATAGCTCAGCGGGCAAAGTCTTCCAGCTTAAGTGCACTCGCATCGGGGCTTGTCGACCATGGCGACGGTCACACGGCCGGGGATGGCAGTGAATCACGGCTGTTGAGAGAGAGCCGGAAGCAGTTGGGCCGACTGGTCTTGAATGACAACAAGGGCACTTCTCGCTATGTTAGCAGTGGATTCTGGTCGAGGTTGAACGATGAGGTACGGTCCCTTCCCTCTCCTTTTCCCTGGCCTACAATCTTGTGGTGTGGCACAAAGGCGTTACCAACTTCCCATGCTAACTAAATATATTACATGTGCAGTTGGATGCCATTCGCGAAGAAACACAAAAGCTGACCGACGAAGACGCCGATGATTCCGAGTTTGAAGAATCGCCGCCCATCGACTCACCCACCACTGCTGCGAGCTCCGTCTATGACCACCATGCTTTCATCCTAGGATATAGATCCATCGATGTCAATCTACGAAAATGCCATCCTCTGCCCTCTCACGGCACATTTCTCTGGTCGGTCTATCTGGAAAACGTAGATCCGTTACTCAAAATACTCCATGTTCCCACCATGGAGGCTATACTGCGGGAGGCCCGGCGGAATCCGGAAAAGCTCTCCCCTGGTAATGAGACACTTGTTTTCGCGGTGTATTTTGCCGCTGTTGTAACGCTTGAGGAAGCTGATGTAAGTGGTTTCAATCCTTCAGATAATCTCCTTTAGAAGTTTGTGCAGCTGAATTTTCTAACATTGCCTTAGGTTCAAACCAATTTCGGTACTGGTAAAGAGGAATTACTTGCACAGTTTCGCTTCGCCGTGGAGCAGTCGCTTGCCAAGGCAAACTTCCTAAATACATCAGATTTTACAGTCGTCCAAGCGCTCACGCTGTTCCTTCTCGTGGTCAGACGGCACGACGAAACTCGCTTTGCTTGGTCCCTTACCAGCCTCTTGATTCGGATTGCACAAGGACTGGGCATTCACCGAGATGGAACCAACTTTGGGCTCTCTCCATATGACACAGAGCAGAGACGGCGTCTTTGGTGGGCCATCCTGACGTTGGACTTTCGTTCCTCGGAAGAAATGGGCACCGAATTGATTGTCGCCGAGGGAGACTTTGATACTCAGCTGCCTACCAGTATCAACGATTCTGACATCACACCCACGGGCACCCAGCCTCCGGTGGCAAGGGAGGGAAAGTCGGACACGACCATTTCTCTTGTGAGATTTGAAGTGTGCGCCATGTCGAGACGATTGCACGACGCAACAAATGTTAAGACCGCGTGTGGCAAGGCCGAAACTAGTACAGTCGCAGAAAAAGAGGAGCTTCTGGTCGAATTCTACAAGAGAATCGAAGACAAATTCCTTAAGCACTTGGATGAGGATGTCGACGCTCTTTACTGGGTGGCAGCTATGATATCCCGCATTATCATGGCCAAGATGTGCCTCATCATCTACCAATCCATGCTCTTTCCGGGCACGGATAGTGAGCTTACAACCGACATCCGCGAGCGGATTTACGTTGCCTCCATCGAAATCATTGAATACAATCACAGACTAAACATGGATCCCAGAGGGAAACAATACCGATGGCTGTTTAGGACATATACCAACTGGCACGCCATTGCATATATACTAGTTGAGACCTGCCGTCGCCCTTGGACGGCCCTCGTTGAACGAGGCTGGGAGGCTGTCAATGGGTACGACAACGACCTATCAGAAAACATCAAGAGGGCTGATCATGCTTCCGTGTTCCTTCCGCTACGTAAATTATTCATCAGGGCCAAGAAATACCAAGAATCGGAGGTGGCGCGTCTAAGGGCCAACCCCGAAGAGGCCAAACGATTGGATCTCGCGGAGAGGATAAAGGCGTCTCAGCGGCGATTCGACCCAATTCCCGGCGCTGAGGCCAGGATGCAGCAGGTCAGAGATAGGTGGAGAGCCATGGTACGTCTAGAAGGGGCCATACCAACCCCCTACAACAACTCCCTACAACAAGCGCCAATGACCCCTCTCATGTCCAAAGAGGTCCAATCATCATCACAGCAGATATTAGCCGGACCACACTTCCAGCCACAGACCAGTGCTGAACCCCAAATGTCCATGGACCTCTCTAATGTCACCATGGAATACATGAATGATTTTATGGCACAGAGCAATGTGACCATGGCCGAGCTTTGGAATGTAGGAAATGTTGGCATGGAGAACGGGAACGGCGCTGCTCTAGGCATGGATGAGAGGCAGCAGGCAATGTTGCTGCAAAACCAGCAGCCCAAACAGGAACATCATGTTCCACCATATCTCTGGCCCGAATCTTTTGCGCCGACGAGCCAGAAACTCGAAATGGAAGATGCAGACATGCTGGGGGCCGATTTCAACTGGCAGGATTGGAGCCAGAGCATTCGCGGCCTGGGGATGGATGGCACACAGCCGAAGCAGAGCTGGTGAAAGCAAGGCGCCTGAGCTGAGCGAATATTATGAAGACTGGTAATTTTGACGCCGTGTACCTTTATGTATACCGAACCACTGGTTTTGGGGGAGATGCTGTCAACGATACACGTTAAGAGGGGGCAAGCTGGGGAATGCTTTACGATACCCTTGGGCGAATGAGGCGTTTCCTCATGGGATTTAGACATGTGTGAATGAGGACTGTTTGATGATTTGGATATGCTTCTATATAGTTGTATATATAAATATATATTTCCGCCATTGTCGGGTTCTACCCGAGATAATAATACCTGCACATTGGCCATGCTTCATATAAGGTATCTCTTAGTAGATGAGATTAAGTCTCTGAGAGGTTCCTTAGGTACCTTACCTGTAAATCTATTTTTAGTATCTAAGTATCAGATACCATACCATCTGCCTGCAAGAGTCGCTCTGATCAACTCTCAAGTATTATTACGCGGATGTTGCTACTTGTGATACTTTTCCGCTGATTTATTGACCCCACGCAAAGTACCTCTCCACTTCCTCTCTATTGGCCTCACATGTCAACAAACGCCAATAGCCACAGTCTGCAAAAGCTCTACCCTATAATAAAACCGTGTTTCCTTTTCCCGCCTCGTTATCTTGAGTGCTAGCGACTATTGCCACCCTGACTAAAACCCCTTTTCATTCTCATTCTCATCTAGGGTAGGTGAGTGCGGCATGTTGTCATGTGACGCTAATACTGACGGGAAGCTTTAGGGATGGAGCAACAACAAGGCCTTGCCATGATCCTCTTTTAGCGGACCGAACTAAAAAAGCTTATCGGAGAGATAATACCGAGCGACCAACGACAAGTGAGATAACCAGCCATCACTTCAACTGCTTCTCGCCAGCTGTTCTGCGTGCGCCTCACCCCGAATCCCTCGAAGCAATGGACCCCGGAAGGCGAGCCATGATCGCGGACTCGAGAGGCTCCTCGTCTGGCCGTCGAGAGCCCACGGCGCCGCGATCGGATTCAGGCAACCGCGTGTCCAAACCCAGTCGACCAGGGCCATCGACGACCGCCCGCAATGCCGCCAGATACCTGAGCCAGGACGAGCAGTCGCGACAATTCGTGGCCGACGAGGACAAGTTCGTGCTGAAGCAGGCCAAGAAGAAGGCCGATATCCGGGTGCGTGAGGGACGGGCAAAGCCGATCGACGTCCTGGCCTTCAACCTGCGCTTCGTTGACGCGGACCGCGACGCCTTCGATGACGACGATGCCGACGACGAGATCGAGGTGGCTGCGCCCACAAAGGTCATACAGGATCTGTCTTCTGCCGCGCAGATCTCGGAGCTCGATTCGAACATTGTGTCGTACCATGTGCTGGAGACGGACTCGCGAAACCGTCGGTACTGGGAGGCCCTGCGCACGCTGTGTGCGGATCGGAGGGCCAAGCTGGACCCGCAGGGACACGAGGGGAGAGTGGTCAGCAGCGTTGCGGACGACATAGACAAGATTCTAGCGCCAAAGTCATTTGATCAGCTCGAGACCCTGGAGCAGCAGATCAAGGCCAAGCTGAGGTCCAATGAGGACATTGACACGGACTACTGGGAGCAATTGCTCCGCAGCCTCAGGGTATGGAAGGCCAAAGCAACGCTGGCTCGTATAGCGGAGGACATTGAAGCGAAAAAGAGGGAGCGGCTCGCAAACCGGGTGCCGCGCTCAACAGATGCGTCCAAGAGCAGCGGCATGTCCGCTGGCGGCATGAGCATCAGCAGCCATATTTCAGGTGGCGCCAAGACCCCGACGGGCAAGGTGGATGCATTTGAAACCAGGAACGAGGATGATTCTCAAGCCACAATGGCGCTATATGACAGAGAAGCGGCCCGTGGAGTCTCTGAAAACGAAGAAGTCTTTGCGGCTGAAGAGGCCCTGCCTGGCGGCTCGAAGCCTCCGCAGTGGACAGACAAGTACCAGGCTCGCAAGCCTAGGTACTTCAACCGAGTGCAGATGGGCTACGAGTGGAACAAGTATAACCAGACACACTACGACCATGACAACCCACCTCCCAAAGTGGTGCAGGGCTACAAGTTCAACATCTTCTACCCGGACTTGGTGGACAAGACCAAGGCGCCGACGTTCAAAATCATCCGTGAGCACGGCAGACGACGAGGAGAGTCGTTTGCTGCGGCGGGCGAAGTAGACACTTGTCTCATCCGTTTCATCGCGGGACCTCCGTACGAAGACATTGCGTTCCGCATCGTCGACCGCGAATGGGACTACAGCGCCAAGAAGGAGCGTGGCTTTAGAAGCTCATTCGACAAGGTAGGTGGTCGCTATTTCCCCATTACCCGGTTTGCTACTCTGTCACATTGTCTTGGTCATGCCCAGCCTGGTTTGGCCTGATTTAGATGCAATCCTACAGCGCCACCAAAATGCACCCACCAGTTCTAGACAGCCGCCACAAGCGCGGTTCCATGGCTCGGACTTGTCCCTTGTCCTTCTCTTCCCTTGCATTAGCAACCCTTGTCCTTGTTCACTGAGCTAACGCTGTAACCTTGCAGGGAATCTTGCAATTGCATTTTCAGTTCAAGAAGGTAAGGAAGAAAAGAAGAAAAGCGAGAAAGAAACAGCCACTGCGGCTACATGTGAGAGAAGCAGTAGTAGTAGAAGAGAAAACAAGAAGAGAAAGATACAGAATAAGGAGCAGAAGAACAGTCGCTAACTCGAAACTTGCAGATATTTTACAGAAAATAATGGGGGGGCTGGCTGGAGAGCGGCAGCTGTGTGGTGTGTACCCCTCCATACTCGTGCATACATACTTTTGTTTATGGGATAAGAGAGATCTTGTGATCTCGGCAAATCGGCGTTTGAAAAATGAAAAGAAGCAAAAATAAGAATGAAAAAATGGGCAATGGAAGCGAAGAGAACGAACGAAATGATGATACAGGTACACCGTAATGATAGTACCAATACTTCGACCACCCCCCAACATGAGGAAACAAAGCTAGAGAGAGACATGCAGAGAGCTAGAGTGGCAGGATAACTATTTTCGGCTAATAAACAAAAGCAAGGAAAGACAGCCAATTTGAAGCCATCGACGGTTTTGGCTGAGTCTTTGCACATGTTCTTCACAAAATTATGCACACTCTGCCGTCTCAGTCTTTGATGGTCAGAGGCTAAATCATCTCCTGGTCGTTGAATCTGGAACAATGGCACACGTTCCATTTCTCGTCGCACATCTGCGGGAGACGATGGCCGTGTCCCACTCCTGGGGCTAGAATGCTTCGCGAAGGTTCAGCAGCCATCCTCCTCTGTGGACTTGGTGATCCTCCGCAGGGGAAAAGCCCGACATCTCGGAAGATCTGAGGATCATCGTGCTGGATCCTTGACGTTTCTTGCCGGTGTTCTAGAAGAGTCGGCTGAGACGGCGGGTCAGAGATAAGGTCCGCCTGGAGGGCTGAGAGAGAGGACGGAAGAAGACTACTGGATGGAACGGAGTGGCTTGACGCAGGGCGTTCTCCTGCATAGGCTCCAGGACTTCTATTGGCATGAATCTATGCGAAACGGCTGGGCAATCAAACTTTGGTAATTCAGCTGCCATCGCCTAATGCAACTTGTTTCCGGAATCATCTCCTAGCATCCGCGGAATGCACCATTTCTCTCCCCAAAGGCCTTCAGCCGGTGCCCCGCGACCATACATTGATATAGATTGCATGGAAGGATTTCCTTGGAAGCTTCTCTCTGCCCCCTGTCGGCATGGGCCGCGAATAGACGGTTCGGCGAGACTCCATGGCACCTCTCCGGGCCTGTCGAATGCAGCGAGCCGTCGGCCAAAGCCTTGAAGCCGCGTTCCTACTAATAGGAAGCAGGACAGAGCTGACTCGAGGTAGCATCCTAACTGCGTTCAGCTATGATAGCAGTTCGTAAACAGACCAATAATGAAGGAGCTGCTCAGTCGGATCCGTGGTCCGTGTAGAGGTGGAGCCGTCTGGCTTGTGGTCTCTTGAGGCATGGGATGAGATGGATGGCATGGCAGAGCAGCGACAGCGACAGCGACAGCGAGGGTGGTGGAGGCGACAGCAGCATTAACCGTAACTCCTACTCACTGCCGTCGAGACTCATGGCTGCCGGTTTACATGCATACTCTCTCACGCTCTCTCTCCTGACCCTGGCTCTGTTGCACAAAACCGTCGCCTAAGGTTCTGCCGGCCGGGCATCTCATACACATCGACACCCACCCGGCACTGTTTCAACGAGCCCTGCCCGCGTTACTCACAGTGTAACTGGTGGCTACTTCTAAAGAGACAGGAGAAAGGATGTATGATGGCCCGATTGAGAACCTGCCAGACTCTGCGTGTGCTGGGTCATGGGGGGTGACACTGCGAACCCTGAGCTGCTGCTTGTTGACAAGGTCTCGATAGTACGGCCAAAGAGCTCCATCTGCATGGTCTGGGAGAGGAGTACGCCTGTCCAGTCCACGAGGGAACGTGTACATGGCCGTACAGGTCACTTATGAAACTCTCACACACAACTTGCCCTCTCTATCTCTCCTGACTGTCCATTCCCTCTCCCGCTCCCCTCTCCTCCTGCACATGCACGAGCACACATACACGCACTATCAGAGGTGGTGCACAAAGCTGGCTCAAGCGCACCCGGTCCACCATTGGAGGGGGCAAGGTTTGAGCAGGCACCCTCTTGTCACTAGTGTCCATGGTGTATCCAATGTAACAACTTTTGCTCACACCCCCCGGAGGGGCCGATCTTGGATGAATCTGTTCCGGGACTTTCGACAACCCTGGTTGTGGGCAGAGGGCGGTGGGCAGGCTCTCCTACCCCACGGGACGGACAGTCTTTTTATCTATCAGAGTGCTCTCCACGATTTTCTGATAAATAGCTTCACTCTCCCCAGAGGATCTGTGCTGTCAGGATCAACTCGACGAGAAGCAAGAGCCAGCCAGTTCTACTTTTGTTCTTTGGAATTTTACAAACTTGCCTCCCCTCTGTGTCTTTTTTTTTTTTTCGTCTTCTCATCACTGTCATCCCGTCGGCTGCTCTTGTTTCCCCCCCATAACTCCCATAGCTCGGGTGTCCCATACTGCCCTTCTTGTGACACTTGGCCGCCTCCACTTACATATCTACTTGGTTCATCACCTTTTCCCATTTTTTCCCGTCCCCTGACGGCGTTGTTACGACATCAGGATTTCTTCCTTCTTGCTTCGACCAAAGAAGTCTCCGGGCCAAGCAAAAGCTACCTCCTTTTGCTACCACTCTTTGCTCGTTTTCGACACACTCTTCTTCCCCCTTTGTCCCCAAAGCTTCCCGCTGTCCATCTATGGCGTCGCCAATTTTAGAAAGGGAGCTTCCGGTGGATAGCTACACGGATTTCCGACACCCCCAACCTTCAGAGCAATCGGGCTTGATGGCTTGCTGCTCACCTGCGACCCTTTTGACTTTGCCATCTGGCTTCGAGCAGGGGCAACAGCTTCACCAACCTGATACATGCTCGTTTACTCCGGCGGTTTGCGCTCTCCCCCAGCAGCAACATCAAGGACAACAAGATTTTCAAGACCCGCAAGGGGCCCAGCTTCTCTCGCCGCCGACTTGCTGCAGCGACGCCAGCTTGTATATGAGCCCATACCTGTCGTATCAGCCGACGATTCAAAACATCTGGCCATCGCCTCCTCTATTGCCGGGAGATATCCAGAGCTGTATTTCTTTCGAGGACTCGCCCATTTGTGGAAGCGTGGGCCTACCCTTCTACAATAGCAGCGAAGACAACTCGCCTACCTCTCCTGGTGGATGGTCGTCGGTCTCAGGATACCCACCAACTACAGGCTTCTTTCCTCAGCAGCACCCTGGAGATCAGGCATTTGGCCAAGTCTGCACTCCCATGTCGGCACAGGACGCCCCCTACCACCATTCAGACATGTCTACTCCATACACGGAGAGTTTTCACCTAGATTCCGACGCTGAATTATCAGCTGGCCTGAATATGTCGGTGTCGTCTTCTGATATGATGCAGAGCCTGTCTGCGGCCCCTCCTTCTTCAAGCGTTGGCTCTCCAGAGGGCCTTCAAGCCGAGACCCCTGCTTCTCTGGTTGTGCCCAAGATCGAGATCGTGGATCAACAAGAAGCAGGATTCATGGACTCGATCCTTGCCGCGCCCAACGCTGCCGATCCTGTTCCGGCAAACAGTGTTGGAAGCGACGAGAAGAACGACGAGCCATACGCGAAGCTCATCTACAAAGCCTTGATGAGCCGGCCGGACTACACCATGACCTTGCAGGAGCTCTACCAATGGTTCCGGGACAATACCAACAAGGCTAAGAACGAAAAGGGCGGATGGCAGAACAGTATCCGCCACAATCTGAGCATGAACGCTGTGAGTTTGACCCCAAAACTAGCACCTCGCTACTCTTTACGCAACTTTCATTCTGTGGCGCGACTGGGTTTCGTTTCTTTTTCTCTTCCTGCACTCCAGGGATCCTATGTAATGGGAGCCAACACACTATCCACTTTTTTTCGGTGTTTTTGCTTTTTTCTTTTCTTCGCGCCTCTTGTTGCTCCGGCAGGTGTACCAATTCCCTGGCTCATTGTTTGATATAATTTGGGGGCTGGAACAACCGAAGTGCTAACTCTCTACCTAGGCATTCAAGAGACGCGACCGCAAGCGCGGCGATGGGACTGCGGCCTCAACGTGTGTAGAGGACGAGTCTCCATTGGCAGGCGACGCGAAGCGGGCAAACGAATGGGTCCTGGAGGACTGGGCAGTTAGGGACGGTGTGCAGAGCACGACCAGATACCGAAAAGGGAACTCTGGGCGCCGCTCAAGCAGACGCAACTCAGGCCAGCTCAACCTGGGCAGTGGCATCAGCATGCGCCGAAGCAGCCAACGCAGCTCCGTCAAGGCCCTGTCTGGCCAAAAGGGCGGCTGTGCGGCCAGAAACGCGCGGGCGAGAAGCCAGATGTACAGCCAGGAGCTGTCGCTGGCCGATGGGCGCCAGTACCGGCTGATTGAGAGCGGGCTGGGCTCGCCGCCGGCCTCGAGCATGCCGGATGGCTTCTATTCCATGCCCATTGCAATCCCACGGATCGACCCGACGGCCATCCAGACCCCAGGGGCGCACGGGGCTGATTTCGGTTCCGCAGATACAGCTACGGACCTCTTTGGGCTGCAGATGACAGGACCGCGGATGGACCAACCGGTGGCTGGCGATGACGCTGTTTCATACATGGGCCAACAGGAGCACATGTACGCAGCCTTCCCATACGAACTTGCAGATGTCCATCTAGACTACTCTGGCGATGTCGCTGACCAGATCCGGCGGTATGACTCCATGACGGGCACCCCCAGGATGGGCTGGGCCACTCCCCACGGCATGTGAAGAAGCAACAGCATCAACACGGGCCCGGGCAAAGGCAAAAGCAACAGACCAGAGTCTGCTTGCGCTGTGCTTGCGGCCATGCCTCTTTGCTACCGCTGGAGCCCGTCAAGCAAAACTCTTTGCTCTTGGGGAAACGAACGAGCTGGTCTCGGGGAGGGGAGTTTGGCATACACAGCGTCACGCTGGACGGTTGGTTGTGATACACACAGGCTCCCGTTCCGATTGGCGATGCAATATGACTGGCCATGCACACAACAGACACACACACACACGCACGCACGCACGCACATACATACACACACTCACACACTCACACACACACGTTTTCTTCTTCTTTCTTCTCGCCGCGTTCCGCAGGCCCCATGTCAAACTTGCATGCAAGTTCGTACGCACTCATGCAATGCGGGCGGCTTGGGCAGACATGGACATGGCCAGGACACGGCAGAGCTTGGCAAGGCATACACACACACACACATGCAACTACAGCATCGAATAAGCAACAGAAAAGCACCAGGACGACAAAAGCACGCAATTCAGCAACAAGCGGAGAGGGGATAGCGGCGCAAGCAAGCACCACAACTACGGGTATGAATCAACCATTGGCCTGATGCCGCAAAGTTCTAGACTGCTGCCCGCTGTTGCTGCGATGGCAGGAGACGGGACTGGTACGACGGGGCCGTGGAGAAGAAGCCCGGCCCATGCGTCCTCTCAACGTGGCTTTCTGCTGGGTGACACCAAAGGAACCAGCAGTCCTCCGAGCCACAGAGTATGCACACACCTCTTGCCATCGCCACAACAAGACACCAGAGACGCCCAGCAGGGGTACCCCCCCCTCTTCCCCCCCGAACATGTACACGGCTATCTCAGGCGAACCAACAGCCGCTTTTTTTTTCCTGCCCTGCAAGGATCTGGCACTCTGGAGGCCATGTTACCCCCATGTTCTTAGACTGGCTAGGGGGGGAGGACTGCCTAAACAGGCGAACAAAGGCACTCTCACTTCGCACGGGGCTAGCTAATGTCCTGCAACATGGGGGATCCATGAATGAATGGATGGCTTCTGTGTTTCTCTCTCTCTCTCTCTCTTGTGTGCTAAGGGCGGGTTGGCTTTTAGTGCCTTGATGTGCTATGCTCCTCTGCTATACGCCTCTTTCTTCTCTCTTCTCACTCTACTATTTTATTTTCTTCTTCTTCTTTTTGTTGCGCTCTAGCAAGGGTGCCTTGTCAAGCTTAGAAGCGGACTTTTTGTTATTTTTGGTTTTTGCGGTTTGGATTACATTGAGCGCTGACGCGATGGAAATGATTGGAAAGGTATGAACTGCGATGGAAACGATTGGAAAGGTATGAAGGAACACGACACGAAAATGGATTAATGGATATTGTACTCAGGCATGGATTTTTTTTTGGTTTACTGGCACGAAAGCCTAGCGAGTTTGTTTGTGTGTGGGAAGAGCCTGCTGCTACTCTTTGTGTGTTTGCCTTTTTTTCTTTCTGTTGTTGCTTGGTGTTTGTTTTTGCGGTTCACTTCTTCTAGTCACGGCTGGTTTGCCTGCTTTTTTTGTTGAGTGTCTCCATACCCGTAGTGTTTTCTTAGCACTGCTAGTTTTTGCGAGCGGGATTTTGGGTTTGTTTTTCGTCTTGTTTTAGTTGGTAGTTTGTGTTTCTTTCTTACTGGGTCTATATAGAGGTTACTTTTCCTATAAGCTTAATTATCATGGGGTTCCAATTTTGTGCTTCATCGTCATCATCACCCAATTGCTTGCCACACGATATCTTGAGCAATCATCCATCATCCCCAGTAAAAACTAGATACAAAGTGTAATCTTCCCACCAAAGAAGGGAAGAAAAAAAAAACTTCTCCCTAAGCCGGCAAGTTCCGACTGAAAACTTTCCTAGCGTTGGCGCGTCGTGAACCAACAACACAAGATAACGGCGCGATGGTGTTTTTTTGCCTCCCAAGCAGGCAACAGCTTTCTCTCTCGTATCTTCCAATCTCTGGTGACAAGCAAATCCTCTTGGCCAAAAAAGCATCCAGTGTCCGTAAGCATCGGCCGACATTTGGCATTGGACAAGGACGCAATGCAGCAATAAGATAGCGCTAATCGGCCGAGATCAAGAGAGCACGCCACAAAACTCCCAACAAGGGGTGGTATAAGAGTCGGTGAAAGAGAGGTACATGGACTGCTCATGTGGCATCGTCGTCCTGCCCGCTGGAGGGTCCTCGATGGGATCCAATGATGTGCTTTTCGCCATCTCTCACCAACCAGAGACTCAGAAAGCAGTACAGCACAGTAGTGCCATCTGCCGGGGTCGAGCCCAGAGATGAGATTTGAGGGGGTGGGGATAGAACAACTGACAGGGACTTGTACATTCGAAAAGTAATGGTCTTTTTGTCGAGAAAGGCTGGGAACGCCTCATGGCCAAGGATGGCCCTGGTTTGTTTGGGGAGGATTCTCCTGCAGCAAGGGTATGGCGAGTGACCGGTGAGTGGCAGTGGATGAGATAGTAGTAGAGAGACGAGAGGGGAAGTCTACGAATATCCAGCCACCTGAAAACCCATGTCCAATGCGTACGTACCACCATAAAAAAAAGAAAAGCGAAAAAAAGCCATCTGCACATGGCCTTCTTGGGGCGGAGACGAGCATAGCTGGATACACATACAAGGCCATTGTGCCCGAAAGAGGTTGAGGAACTGACAAGTCTTGGTATAGATGGCTGCTACAACAGCCTATCACTAAGAGCCCTCTGTGAAATCTGTTGCGTTATTAGTCTTGACAACCTTCAAGGTCATTAGAGTGGCCGTACAGGTAGGTACAACAGTCCGCCAGTATCTGGCCCCAGTCACTCGTATCAATGGCCCTGCTTGGAAACCTAGCGCCGCTCATGAGATTAGCTCAAGCATGGCCGGGCCAATAAGGTTAGATGATCGATCTTAATGCCTCTGGGGCTCCAGAGGCCATGCCCTTCGCCGTACCTGGGCAGCCAAGAGGCCCTGCAAGCGGAGAATGTCAAGGAACGAGTCTGGGCCGTGTACTCGTACATGCAGCCCAGCCCGTAACTCTTCTACCATGAGATACACCTTGCTGGCAGCGTCCGGAGAGTTTCTTCGGGGCCGTTTGCATTGTGCATAGATAAAAACGTGGCATAAATAATGCAAGTTAGACGTTGTATCCGGACCAACTTGGACCTGCACCAACAGTGCAAACTCTGCATTGCAGATCCCAATTCCCACTGGCTCACCGCTATGCAGTGTATGAGAATCTCACTCATCGTGGTGTTCCACGTACTAACAAGCACGAGTAGTGGCGGGAGATGCTCGACGGACGCATGGAGCACGCTCTAGAAAGCTCTACTGCTTGTGGTCCCTTGCATCGTTTCCCCTCCCCTCGTGCCTGATGCGCGGGCCTTGCCTTTGTGGTGCCTGTCTTTGGCACTGACCAGGTATTGTCATGAGCGCGGCAAAGAACCCCAGAGTAGCCTGTATGTTCATCCCATGGACTTTGCTCTCTGACCAGTACGCCGACAGGTGTGGCCCATGCCTTAGGCTCTGCTCTGAAGCCCCAGCGATCATGTGGGAGTACAATGACCGGGGCATATCGGGTCCGTGTAAAGTACCGCCCATGTGTGTAGTACATGGTTGTGCGGAGAACAACAGCATTCCGCGGCCTGATCCTGGCGGTTCATCTTCATCTGGGAAGTCCTCATTCCTGTACTCCAAGAATAGTATGTTTGTATAAAACGCGCTAGATAACAGGGCCGAACAGGGTTGAAAAAGAGCAACCAGGAGCATTAGTTAGGGCTATAAGCTTCCATTATACAACAGAGAGAGAATCGCGAGCTAAGAAGCGATTACAGCCAAGTGGGCTTGGGATCCGTTTGGAGTCACAGCCGTCAAATCTGGGAATTTCAAGCGAAGGAAAGCCGGCAATGCCCACAACAGCATGGCGGGAGGAGTTGTTGAGAGGCTATCTTAGCAAGAGGCCTTCGCTAAGTTACCTTCTCCCGTATCCTCCTTCAGTCAACTAGCATCATGCCGCTCCCAATGCCGTTGTGGCTTGACTAGCCAGGCCTCCCACTCGTTGGAGCGTTGTTGGTAAGGAATGAAGGCTTGTGTGGCAACGTTTCGGCCCCGTGCAGCTGCAATAGGAAGTTGGCTGAGTAATAAAGCTACCAGCTTAGTCGTAGGAGTAATCTGTGTGTTGCTTCGATCAGACCTAACACTGATCTTACAAAGATGAGAGAGGGCTGAAGATACGGGCCGGACAATGCCATCGTTACACCGCAGGACGGGCGGATCGAGAACAGGAATGTATGCCAAGGACACGGAGCAGTACCCATAGCTCTGGCTCTAGTCCATGAAATGGAACCTGATCAAATGCCCGAAGCCAGGCTGTGAATCCTGCTCGATGGCCATAATCCTGGTCAGTAAGAGAGATCGAACTAATCAGCGTCGTTCTGTTACGATTCCGTGGGCCCGCAGCGACCACTCCCATAGGCTGTTATCACGTCTCTACCGAGATTGCAGAGTACTATGGACTCGGCATTAACCAGCTTTTTGGTTGAGGCTGAGAAGATGTTTTATCGTCTCCATTGAGGGAGGGGGGAGGGGGTGCCGGGGAGTGTTTTCTCAGGCTACTATAGGCGTCTTAGGTGCCTGGAAGTGCTTGATTGGAGGTTAAAAGAGGGAACAGAATTCGCTGGAGATAGCTGTCATGGTAGCATACAATTGCCGGTAAATACTCGCAGGTGTAGCGAGTGATGTGAACGACCAAATCCAGATGGCGGCCGAGATCATGCTGTACGACACAGACTCCTCTGAAGCAGGTCTGGGCATCCCAATACAAGACAAGTAGACAGGTACTCACATCATCGACCGGCTTCTGTTCCAGTATTGTGAATGAGTCGTGGCATCCCAAAGGCCAATCTCGTTCCAGCTGTTCAGCCCAATCCTCCTACCTGGGGTCGCATCGCATCTTGACGTAGCCGTACAACCACAAGAAGTAACCACATCCTAGGACCGTGCATAGTGTAGCACTGCTTTGAAAGACAGCCACCCAGAGACCCTTGTCCTGGGCCATGCGCATTGACACTTGACCACTGTGCAGCGGCTTACCGTACGGCTAGCCTTCAGCTGAGGCTCTGACAGCCACTCGATGAAGGGAAGCGAGCGGGCTTCTCCGCGACGGCCGCGACCTGCCTGTGATATATGATATAGTTTTGTCCGGTTTCGAATGCCTGCATGAGTAGGTGCTTCGTACGCGCCTTGTCGAGAGATGGATCTCGGGAGATTGGCGGCGTCGGGCCCAGAACCAATCCCAAGCCATCTCCGTCGCATTATGTTCCCGCACCTTTCTTTCCTTTTTCTCACTGGCTTTCTTGTCTCCCTTCGGATTCTCATTGTAGCACACTCCGACTACTTGCATCCCATGTTTTGTCTCAGGTGCAGTTAAGCGCAATGCACGCCTTCACATGGTCTTGTGAGTCCACTTAGTTCCCACATAGCAAGCCGGCGGTGCGAAGACCAAAGGAAGGAAAAAGAATTGTATTCAAGAGACTTTGAATGACACTGACCACTCTGAGGCTCTTGTTGCGTTGGATTCTTCACACTTCTGCAGCACTTCACGGCAGCATATGTTTCAAAATCGACGAGTCATTTGCTGCTGCTCCTTTTACTGGCTGCTCTGACCAAGTGCCGGCATCTTTATGCAAGTCGGCCGTCAGTTATGGCCGATTGGGCCTCTGGTGATGCCATCACACGTGCTGATGCTATGCGTCAGGCTCACAAAATGATTTCCGCGTCCGCGGGAGATACTCTCTCCTCAGAGGCTACTTCATAGAAGGTAAGAATCCACTACCCCCAGCTGTCTTGATACGGCCATCTTTATTTTCATCTCTTGATTCCAGTCACTTTTGTATGATAATAGGAATCTGAGCGAGAATGAGCGAAAAATTCCTCTAATAGAAACAATGCCAATGACCCACCTTGACAACATCTTTTTGAAGCTTCCATTCTGCGCGCTAGACATAGCTGCTGGTGTATTAGTCAAGGGATGCATGTTCAATGATACACTAGTATGCATCGTAAACTTGGGCCGGCGAGGAGTCACAGCTTGAGATATCCAAGGAGTATCCAAAGAGCTCGTATTATTGTTAGAAACGGCCGTGCTACGCTGTTCACTGAGGCTTGGTAATATCCAGAATTGGTGTATTGATCCAGTAATATCTCTTAATAGATAATCGTGTTAAGTAAAAGCACAAAAGTCTTGGCTCTTCCATTGAGAGCGAAATGAGTTCGCATATCATCATCCATCTCTTTCGACATGAACTGTCGTCTCATGTCGAGTGCGGTACTGATGGGCCGTTCTAGGCTATGAATGCCCGCAAAATGCACTGCCAGTGCGTCGATTACCTAGTATTTAGTATAGATACCTGAGCACGCTATGAATGCAAGGCATGGACCTTATGAGGCTATTCAACTGTTGCGCTACATAGTAGCGTAACATAAATGGCTCAAGGGAGGACGACGTGTTTGGCCGAGAGTAACATTCGTCTAAATTTTGCTCCAAGAGATTGAATGAGTGAAGATCACAAGGAAATATGCTTCTTGCACTGTGTCCCAAGAGGCACAAAAGGGGCCCAGAACGGTAGTGCAATCCGTTTCTCCATTGAATTGAGCGACCATCGCCGTGAAGAGCTCGTTCACGAGAACATCCATCGATACACTAGCTCCTAGTGGAGCCTCGTTAGGTAGATAATGCCTAACATGTAGGATGAAGAAGATTGGGCTGGTAGATTAGAACCGCCTCCTCTTCTTCATCGGACCCGCTGCTGCTTTTCTCTCGAGGTCTTTCTTCAACTCTTCTCGCCTTCGATCAGCGCGCTCCTGGGACGTTTCTCTGGGTCCATCTTCAACTTGAAGCTCTTCACGCTCTGCCGTGCGACCGCGCTTGGAACTATTATCCGCTGTAGGCGCTATTAAGCCTCCGGTATCAGCTTTCTTTCCAATAACTCCCAACTTCTTCGGGGCGGTCGGCTTTGCGGTCGGCTGGGCCTCCGTGTTCTCCTTCACCTCGACAGCTTTTGCCGTCTCTGCCGCTCGTGTCTTTGCAGTGCCGCCGATACGGCCTAGCCCCCCTACCTTTGTGATGGGCTTAGGTGAAACTGGTGCAGGTATGGCCGTTGGTATAGAGGATGTTGTAGGATGTATTGAAGTCATTTCATCATCACTAGCTTCAGACGCAGTTTCATCGTCATCTCTCGGGATTGGTGCCATTGTAGACCGCGATCCAGTGGGTTTGGCCTTCTGTAATGCAATCTCAGGCTTCGATTCACCCGAACCAATGTTCGCCATACGTGACGCAGGCTTTGTTGTGTTGGGTTGCGGATTTGTGTCAGACGGCATTGTTGGAGGAGGAGGCCCCACTGGTGGCTCCTCCTCGTCCTCCGTTGATGCATCGTCCATTATGGCTATGGGCGAGCTTTTATTCCTAGACTGAAGATGTGGAGGAGTTGGCTGAACTTGAAAATCGTCATCATCCGCAGTTGTAGATTTGGCAGCTGGTGATTGTGATTTTGTCGCAGATGAGGTTGTTTGTTGTTTGTTCCGGTGCACCAGCTGTGACGTGCCCTTGAAATCATGCCACCACTTATCCAGAGCTGGTGAGGCATCCACTTGTATCAGGGAACGTCTGTCCAGTCCCTCCCCATTGAACACGTTTCGTGCCAGATCGCCAACGTTGGTTGGGCAATCATCAATGTCTTTGAGGGTTGATCTCCAACTGTTTTGGCGAAACGGCGCCAGCCCTTTTACCTTGTCTTCCGCGGTAGCTCTCGACACCCTTTTCTTTCCGGAAAGAGAGGTAAAGACGTGCTCGAGGCCGGTCCCAGTAGCCTCTAATTTATCAGCCAACTTGGCGATGACTGCATCTTTCTGACTCAATGCCTGCACCAGCGATTCCACTTCTTGCTTTCTCGCGAATTGAGCTTCGAGCAGAGGCAAGACTAGATCCGTAGCAATAGCCGACGGCGGAGACTTTTTCAGATGGATAGGCCACTTGAGAGGTTGGAATCCTGGCAGTGGGCAAGTAACCAGGAGGGTCAGGCTGCTCTCTCCAGCCTCTGCGGAAGCGCCTGGTGACAGGGTGAGGGAAGTCTGCTCATGGCCCGGTTGCGTGGGATCTAGGGCCGATCTCAGGCTACCAAGGAATTTGGCCATATTCTCGGGTGTGTCACTCGGGTCTATGCTTGTGTTCTCGCTCCACCCCCTCATAAAGATGGCCTTTCGATCCAGGCTTTCAACCCAAATGTTGGCCATGTCAGTGATGCGGACAGTGTACGCGGCGGTGCCAATATCAACCGACACCAGAAGCATCGGTATGTCAGACGATGCGGCCTGAGGCAACGGCCTCCAGGTCAAGTCGCCAGACATGGTGCCACGGAGAGAATCCCAAAGACAAGACGCTGTAGTGGGAAAGCGGCGCTGTGAGGTCGAAAGCACCGCGTGCTCGTGAGGCAGCACCCGTGTGCCCTTAGGGGTGTTCTCGGTGAATACAAGCTGGGGTTCAGTAGGCTGAGCAGGACCGAGCAGGGTCGGCGTTGCACCCACTGGGACGTGCACAACGGATCTGTCTCTGCCGCAGCAGCCTGTGGCCTATGGGCTAGCAGGAGGAAAAGCTCGTGAGAGGGACGGGGCCCCTCAATATCTGGGATGCCGGCCTGTGGCACAGAGCAATATAGGACCGACCCCGTTGTGTCGCCTTGGGCTTCGCATCCAAAACGTGTACAAGCGCGGCACGGGAAGTCTCTCCAGGATATGCCCTAGGGTTGAAACCGGAATTGTTCTGGAAGTGAGGCAGAACGCGTCGAGGCCCAGTGGCGTCGCGGTCTGGCGATAAGGCACCATTGATCCTTGCTCTGCCTGGCCTTTGGACTGCGCTGTGCTGGCAATAGCCGTAGCGCTTTGCGCTCAGCCGACGCTTGGCCTGGACAGGTGGTGGCAGCTGCCGAGATCGCCGTCCAGATCCAGCATCCTTCACTGGAACCCGAATCGCTTGGTGAATGAGGTCACCATTCGCACTGAAATGCTGCAGGTTTGAGAGTCTAGGTAGGTTGGATGAATCTTGTCTTCCAAGGTTGTTTTTTGTATTTTTGCCCTTCCCCTTCTTAAGCCTAATCGTGCAGCTAACCGCACCCATCAAGTACCGTTAGGGCGGTTGGTGCCTTCCCGATTCCTCTGGATCGCTAAAAGAGCGGTACCAGCTGCAGCAAAGTGCTGAATAAGGTACCGGGTACAGACTAGGCCAAGCATTTTGTGAGCTAGTTCAAGTACTGAGTACTATGAAACATGTATGATGAGATGATGCTCTCGGCTTTGGGATTTGCCGTACTTCAGCTCACAGTGGAATCAATAAAAGGATTCTGCTAGTACACAAATAAATCAACTATATTTAAGATTGCCTCCATCTAATTCGTCTGCCAGCTCTAGCAATCTCCGCCTTGTCTCGCCGTTTGGCGCAGGGATAATAAGCCACTAGAATCGTAATGGCTTCCCAACGGCCAAAACATCGATCTCCAGACGCCAATGACGCAGACCAAATCGAGACCTAAGCCTACAACTCTGCAAAGTGAAAACAAAGTGAAATAAATAAATTGCGCGTAGTTCTATAATTCCCCTCATTCAATTCTTTTCCCACCCACATATTTTATTCATCTACGGACCCGATTCGCTGTACATGTTCCTCAAGAGCCTCTATGCTATAAGCCGGTCTCGAGCTACAGCTAGAAGCTATTTGCAGTCACCTTTCTCGCCAACTCGAGTTACTGCATTTATATCAAAGTCCTACATCATGCCTTCCAAGGGCGCAAAACGCAAGACGGCTTCTACAGTAGACAAAGCCAACGGATCCGATGCTAAAAAGCTGAAGCACGAAACCAACAATGTAGATGATCTTCGACAGCCCCATCCATTCGCGGAAGAAGCTGAAGAATATGGCATCGTGCTACGACAATTTTACCCACATGAGATGAGCAACTCCCGAGCTCATGCTTATAATTCTGATGAGATTGCTCGGCCAATCGAAGTGCTTGTCGCGGCTTTAGAAGAAACCGCTGCAACCCGTAAGCAAGTTAAACCCCAGGGAGCTGTGGTTCATTGGTTCAAGACGGATCTACGACATACCGACAATCGATCGCTTGCACTAGCCAGTGCCAAAGCAAAAGAATCCGGAGTTCCTCTCATTTGCATGTACATCGTGAGCCCTCAAGACTTTGAGGCCCATCTCACCGCGCCGGTCAGAGTGGATTTTATCCTGAGAACGTTGAATGTCCTGAAAGATGATCTGGCGGCCCTGGATATTCCCCTGTACATGGAAACAGTGGACAAAAGGAAAGACATTCCACATCGCATTTTAGAGCTTTTGGAAGAATGGGATTGCAATCATCTCTTTGCCAATATGGAGTACGAAGTTGACGAGCTGCGACGAGAAGCTCACATGATCCGCCACTTTGCAGACAATGGCAAATCATTCGAAGTTGTCCATGATACGTGTGTCGTACCCCCAGGAGAGTTGCATAGCGGCTCTGGCAAGCAGTACGCGGTTTACACCCCTTGGTATCGAGCCTGGATGGCTCATATACACGAGAATTTGGATCTACTAGAGCTGTACGATCAGCCTGAGAAGAATCCAGATGGAGTGCGACAAAAGTTTCAGAAGCTCTTCGACTGCCGCATTCCCGACGCACCGGAGAATAAGCAGCTCAGTAACGAGGAGAAGAAGAGATTTCGCGCTCTGTGGCCTTGTGGTGAGCATGAAGCCATGTCCAGACTGGAAAATTTCTGCGAAGAGGCTATTGGTAACTATCACAACAAGCGAAATATTCCTGGAGACGACGGCACATCTTGCCTGTCTGTCCATCTTGCCAGCGGGGCAATAAGCTCAAGGACGTGCGTTCGGACGGCTAGGGATAGGAATAAAACAAAGAAACTAGACGGCGGGCATCAGGGCATCCAGGTCTGGATTAGCGAAATCGCCTGGCGAGATTTCTACAAGCATGTCCTAGTCAATTGGCCATATGTGTGGTAAGTGTGAATCGAGAAATTGATTTTAAATAAACTGCTAACGCAACCAGCATGAACAAACCATTCAAGCCCGAGTACTCAAACATTAGGTGGTCCTATGATAAAGATCACTTTGCAGCATGGTGTGAGGGACGAACGGGCTTTCCCATTGTCGACGCCGCGATGCGCCAGCTCAATCATATGGGATACATGCATAACCGGTGCCGAATGATCGTTGCTTCGTTCCTATCCAAGGACCTGCTCATCGATTGGCGCATGGGCGAGCGATACTTTATGGAGCATTTGGTTGACGGCGATTTTGCAAGCAACAATGGCGGCTGGGGATTCAGTGCCAGTGTTGGAGTTGATCCGCAGCCCTATTTTCGCATCTTTAATCCGCTGCTTCAAAGCGAAAAGTTTGACCCCAATGGCAACTACATCCGCAAATGGGTTCCCGAGCTGAAAGAATTGACCGATAAGGAGATCCATGATCCGTATAATCGAGGTGCCGGGACCAAAGCAAAGAAGCAGGGCTACCCGAAACAGATTGTTGATCACAAGGGCGCAAGGGATCGTGCCTTGAGCGCATACAAGGAAGGGATCGAGAGTGGGAGGTAGAGAAAGAAAATCAGGCCCGGGAGTGGTTATCTAGTAGTTCTATAAGTCCAAATTAATACGGAAAAACTCATACTGAAATACTAAACATGTTTGACCCGTATCTGTACTATGACGAGCAACTTAACCGCCACAGCTTTTTGAAGGCCAAATTTTTTCATCTTCGGCTCGAGGACTATCGAGGTAGCCCCAGAATCCCCGATCATAGAGAACAGGATGGCGCTCGTCCGAGGAGACTTTGCTAGCCGGTAAGTGGTTATAAGATGATAAGAAATGTTCAATCAACGTCACGTCCGAATCGCATATTTCAACGTCGCAAATTTGTCTCGAAACGGAGCCAAAACGCCTTGAATTGGAATTGCTATATGCAGCCAACTCTAGTTTCCACGCCTGCCTTCATACCCGAGCTAGTCCCTGCAATCAGGTTAGTTAACCTGCTTCTTCCATATCCAAGGCTCTTGTTTCTTCGGCTCTTTTTGTACCTCTTCCAAATTTTTGTTTTGCAAAATTTATCGCTGAGCGCTCCAGACGCTCTTGACGAGACCATCTCGCTGGGCCAATCGGTTCAGGGAGTCATCGGACTCGCCCATGGCGCGGATGAAGCCGCAGAGGGCGTAGACGTGGTTCTCGCCGGGGACAGCACGGCCGTTCTCGTCGACCTTGGCAATGGAGATCTGGACAGAGCCGTGGTCCTTGGCCTTGATGATGCGGTTGGTAGCGCTGCACTTGCGCGGGACGTAGCTGGACGGACAACAATCAGCATTTCGGCATTCCTCCAGTAAGGCTGCGTAAATCTCCTTACAGGTCGACGATCTCGCCACGGTCGTTCTCCATTTTGGCTGTGTGGGAGGGGGGTAGTGGTGATGTAGAGGTGTGGTTTGGCGGAAAGTGTTGTCGAGAGCCGTTTGGTGGGATACAGCGAAAATTCGCCTAGGAAATTTGACATGGTCCTTGAATTTCGTGGGGCGGGGAGGGCTTTCTGTGCGTCAGCTGACTCGTCATGTGATGTCGTGGCGTTCTCGCGACTTGCGCCGCCCCGCTTTTCGCCAGAGCCTTTCGGGAGGCGCCAGCGGCTAGTCGAGACTAAGAGATGTCGTCGATTGTTGACAACGCCGCTCTGTAATAATAGACAAGACAAGACAAGGCGGGACAAGACAAGCCAAGACGAGGCTACCATAAAGCGACGGAGTCGGAATACACACGCCTGGAATTTTTGTGGGTTTTATTGAGTGCGGTTTCACGCGTCCATCATCGTGCTGCGCGTCAACTATCTGAGATGCGCTTTGCGCTCTCGGAGATATGCCGTCGGTGTGATGGCGTCTCCTAACGCTTTTCTCTTGTCGCCATCACGAAGCAGCAACCAGAGATCTCACTTCTTTCACTCGTCTTCGCCCGATCTGCCGGCAATTGGAGACATATTATCGCAGGATGCTAAAAGTCGACGCTTCAAGCATGGCAAGGAAGCCTTGCTCATCTCATCCGACGAAGAGACGGATATCAAGAAGGCGGGCATCAAAGAGCACCCTGAGTCTCTACCGATTGGGACAACGCCCTCAGTTTCAAACAGACCTGGGACCACGGAAGCTGATGATACTTCGCTCTTGATAATTGAACCTCCTGCCATGTATACTCCCAAGACTCGGAGACATCATGCGACACCTCCCAAATTCAGAGCTCAGTCTAGTTCTCCTACAAAAGACCAGCCCTGGAAAATGTTCAAGTCAAAAGCAAGCAGCTCTAAAGATGGGATCGACGAGTCAATGCCCATAGGAATTGAAAATATCGAGCCGCCCTCTGCTCAGCAGCCAACAGTTGACTCATCTCCTCCTCTAGTCAGAACCAAGCCTACACGGGCTGAAAACGATATCAATGAGCCGCTCAGGCTAGAGCCGGCTATGGTGCGACGGCTTGACTGGACCCCTCCATCCAACAAGACCACGGCTATTCCTCCGATTGGTTCCCCTACTCTTGAGGACCTACCGGAAGAAACTCATGACGCAGCCAGGAGCTTTGAGCAGATTCTCGAAGTCTACAAGTGCACCGATAACCTACAGCAAGATGTTGCCATGCTCTCAGATGAAGATGCCAGCATACTAAGAAAGCGAAAGCTCGTCGAACTTGTTACGACATCTGTAGCACCAATAGAGCCGTCGACTGAGGCCAAGACCAAGGCTCCTGCGAAGCGGAAAGCACCGAAGAAAAAGCCGCGCACCATAACGGAAATTGCAACATCAGCATATCGAGCGCCAGATCCGTCAGAATCGGCGCCACTAGTCTTAGATGACACCACTGCGAGCACAATCAAGGAGCCAGATGCCTCAACTACTAAAGGGGGGAGCAAGGCAAAGCCTAGGAAAAGGACCTCCAAAGCTTCAACTAAGAAAAAGAAGAAGCCATCTCCACCCCCAAAACCAATTCTATTACCCCCAACCGAGGCTCTTCAAGAAGTTGCAAGACAAGATTTTGTATTTGGAACATCAAGCCAGCTGGCAATCGAAAATTCGCCTACTTTTCTACGAGAACTTCACGCGGCAATGAGGCGCTCGAATCAAGCCGAGTATATAGATCTCGACACTCCTCTGAATAGTGACGGCATCGAGCCTCCAGAACGGAAGAGACTCTGGGCTGCTGCTGCTCGGGGTGTTGATGGAGACTTATTTGACCTTGAGATGAGCAGAATCATAGAAAGATCATCTCAGCCACTGCCGGTGATCTCTGAAGATGATCCATTCGGTTACACCGGCTTTGACAACAAGATTACTGTGTCTACGGTGAGCATCAATGGAATCGACACTAGGTCACAACGCGAGTCCTTGATCGAACCTGCAAATGTTCCGCCACCCAAGGCCATTGAGTTCATCGAATTAGTAGATGAAGACTCTATGTTATTAGGTAGTGATATCTCAACTGGATCACCACTACAGAGGCGTATCAAACCCGCTGGCGCGAGTCAATCTGCAGAGCCACACGGCCCTTCTAGTATCAGCGACCCAAGCCAAGCCGAGTACCATGCTTCAAAGCCCTCCTTTGAACTGTTCACGGATGCCCAACTATCCAAAGAAATCGCTTCCTACGGGTTCAAGGCAGTCAAATCGCGGCAAGCTAAAATTTCCCTGTTAGAACAGTGCTGGCAAGGCAAAAACCAGCTAGGACATCCTGGTTCCAGCAGGATGTTTACTACCTCTACTTCCACAGAAGGAAATCCTTCAAATAGTGAGGTCAAAACTCCTCGTGGGCGGCCGAGGAAGAACAGTGCCAGTTCGCCTGAGGCGCAAGAACCTCCCCCGTCGGCACAACCACATGCTTCACCGTCAAAACCTAGGGGGAGACCTAAAAAGGCCGCTTCTACTGCAAAACGCACGACGACGAGCACTGCCAAGGGTAAAAGGGTGTCAACAAAGACTGCAGCGGAAGCATCCACGACACGAAAGTGCAAACCAGCAGCCGCCAAAGTTGTCTTGGAGATTCCCGATTCCGCATCTGATAGCGACCGCGACATGTCGCTAAATCCAACTTCATCTCCCGAGCCTGGCTTTTCACCGCCGCCAGCAATTGACCTTTCCCTGTCTCTTGCAGACGATACGGATCCATCTCTGGTACTCAGCTCGACTCAGGATCGGGGTCTTAGCTATGAGTACATTACTAAAGCTGTAACATCGGCGCCCAGGACAACTGATCCGGCAAACCCTTCATGGCATGAGAAGATGTTGCTCTATGACCCAATCGTGCTGGAAGACCTGACTACGTGGCTGAATTGCGGGCAATTAACGCGCGTGGGCTTTGATGGCGAAGTAAGCACTATGGAAGTGAAGCAGTGGTGCGAGTCGAAGAGTATATGCTGCTTATGGAAGGTGAATTTGCGTGGTAAAGAAAGGAAACGATACTGAGAGAGAGAGAGCGTATGGGCACGAACATATAGGAGTTTTCATGGGTTATTTTTCTGTTTTATTCTTCCTTGGTTCTTCTTAGCCGGTTTAATGATGTTGTATAGAAGTTTTTGCATTGTATATACCATGGCGCTTCTCACGACGCAAACGTCTTCAAAAGCCACCACACTTCATCAATTCACTACTCATGACCCTTACAGCATAGCGCTGGCCATGGCCCATTTTATCTCCGCGTCAGATGAGATCGGGCCCCATTTCTCGGAGCACGGAGTATTAGAGCCAAGATGGTGTCTTTCCCCGCAAAATTAACCGTTGAACCGGACCTCGGCTCGTCGCGACTCCGTGCAAAATGTCACAAGAGACCAACACCCTGCAATAAATCTCACCCCCCAATCCGTCGGCATCTCTTCCCGCTTCAATGAATCTGGTCTCGTGTGCCGCCACCAGATCGTTGCCTCGTCGAGTCAGCAGCTTGGCCTCATCCGCACATAGACCGACCACTGAGCATCTCCGCACAGTCCAGCTCACCACCATCATGGCCTCGAAACCGCCAACCTGGACGCGTCTCTACACGTCGCCCGCAGCTCCCCAGAAGGAGAAGGACTCAGTGGCGGCGAAGAAGCCGATTCCAGAGGCGCGGCCGAGTTCTTCCATCGTGCTGCTGTCGCCCACCAATGAAGTTCTGCTGCTGCATCGAGTCAAGACTTCGACTTCGTTTGCTTCTGCGCATGTGTTTCCCGGTGGAAATTTGGATGCGTTTCACGATGGCGAAATTCCGGCTCCTGGAGCGAAGGATCGGCATCTGGATGGCCCGGCCTATCGATTAGGTGCTATTCGAGAGTGCTTTGAGGAGACGGGTATTTTACTCGCCACCAAGGATGGCCGTTTGGTCGATTTACCTCAGCAGGAGAGAGATGAGGCGAGGAAGAAGATTCACGGGAGCCAGATCAAGTTTGCAGACTGGTTGAAGTCGATTGGCGCAGAAGCCGACCTGGGTATGTTATGAGTGTATTTCTTAATGGTTTATCGGCTGTTCGCTAACCATGTGCGTTAGACGGTCTCGTTCCTTTCACGAGATGGGTGACTCCAGTCGGTGTTCCAAAGCGCTTCACCACTCAAATGTACTTGTATCTGATCCCCATCTCACGCACCGGCGTGCCATCCGAGATGCTGGTGCCAACTCCCGATGGTGGTGTTGAACACACTGAAGCTTTATTCGCTCCTCCGCAGACGTTTCTGGCGCGCGTTGCTGCTAACGAAATGATCCTTTTCCCACCTCAGTACTACATCCTCTCTCTTCTCACCAAGTTCCTCAAGGGCCCTACGGCATCAGTAGAAGAAGGGCCCGTTTACTACACGAAGCAGCGCAGGGAGCTACTCAAGTTTTTGAGAGCGACTCCGACGGTGGACACGGACAAGGCCAAGGCGCACGCCACGTCCAACATCTCATGGGCAGACAAAGTGATAAGTCCATACCACTTGTTCGTCAGGAAGAGCGATAAGAGGGTTGTTCTAGGCCTGGAGAAGCCGGGTCTTGAGCTGAAGGATTCAGATAGGGGAGGTGATTGGGAAAGTGTGGTACTGGTGAGCTTTGGCAAAGCGGGCCCTTCTCAGGTGGAGGTTCGTCTGAGAGAGGACGTATTGAGAGAAGAGAAAGAAACGGCTTCGGAAGGGTCAAAGCTGTGAAAGTGCCGAAGTCCTGGATCAGTTGGGCTGGTGGCCTGTATATAGAAGCGGATTGTGGCATTTCCATTAGAGATGTATTGCCTAATTAGAAATAATAAAACACAGTCATCTTGCGCCAAGAAAAGAGGAAGAAGAAGAGTAGCAGAGCTAGAAAAGAGCTAATATAATTAGTCCTCACCTCCGATATATCAACATATCATGATGACCTTTTCCGCCGGGAGGACAGTAGTTGCTCCGTCAATCTCTGAAGTAGCTCCGTGTTTTTCTCCACGGCTCGGGTATTTTGCTCCACAGCTTTAGTGTACTCAGAAAGGGAGTTTCCATGATTTCCCAATATCTCAGTCAACCAATCCAAATTGATATCCTGAGAGCCTACGATTCTATCGGAGCTACCGCCAGCTACTTCCAGGGTAGCCGGTGTTTCTTCTGGGATCACTGGTAGATTAGGAGCGTTGTCGGCTGCAGCGTATGGCTTGTCCTTTTTCTGTTTGCGAGTCGGTGGCTTGCGAACCCTTTTGGGCTCGGTGTTGCCTTTACCATTCGCATTCTCAGGAATCGCTCTCTTTCTTTTGTTCAATGAGGTTGGGATCAGGGGTTTGTGGCTTTCGTCTTCTCTGATAGCCGGTTCATTTTCTTCTTCTACTTTGAAGAGAACAACAGTCTTTGGCTCAATCCTGGCGAAATAAGGCGCATCAACTTCTTCAACTGGCTGAGATTTTTCCCTCTCATTGAGAAATCGGCTCATCGTCTCGTTTACCACCTGGGGAGCAATAGGAGCAACCTTTCCGATGGCATCATTCATTTCATCTCTATGATCATGAGCCGCGCATGAGTTATTCTTTTGCACAGTTTTCTCTGGTGCGTTTTCCTCTTCTTCAATCTTATGTGGCCTGGTATACTCCTCATTGTAGGCGTTTGTGCTGAAGTTGGCTCTTGGGTATCTCGCTCTGATGAGCCTCATGACCTTTCTGCTCTTAAAGAGAAATCCCTTGTAGATGATGCGGAGTGCAACAACATGTGCCCACGTCACCCTGTTATTGGTCATGTTTCTGGTTATCGAGTGGTTTGTGATCTTGCCAATTGTTGATGGTGCTAGAGAAGCGTGTTCGACGATATAAGGCCACGCTGCTAAGGCTTCATCATTCCAGGTATTGTAAGAGGCCATGTAAGCGTCTTTAAGCCTTTTGTAGAGCTTTTTTTCTTCTGCCGATGAAAACAGGCATGGCGGGTACGACGGCTCTCCTTCTTGCGCCTCTGGCTCATCTATGTTGGGTGACTTAGGCATGGCTGGCAATCTCGCAGCTTCTGGAGTTTAGTATCAGTAATCCAGAACGAGAGAATGTTATAAGACGACGCACAGACTGAAACTGGAATGAAGTTCGAATTGCTGAGATGGTGTTGAAGAGGGAGGCCGGGCACATATAAAAATCGACTCAAATGTAGGGAGAATTGAAAGTAAGAGAGAGTGAGGGAAACAGGAGAAATCGGAAGAGATGTGCGGAGGGGGAATTCGCGGAAAGGTTAGGAAGAAGAGAAATGAGGAAAGAGAAGGAGAAAGATATTTAAAGCTATTGGGATTTTGCCCAAGGCGGTCGAGGCACTTGTGCTCAAATAATGCCACCGCCTCCTATAGATGGCATCGTAGCCTGATATAAAAGGCAGGGAACTGCTGCTTGGGGTTTCTCTAGAGGGAGAAAGGAAATCATTTCTAGCTATTCGGGAGATTGGAAATTGAGATGTAGCGATTCGTTTGAAGGGAGCTATCAGGCAGAAGACTGTGTGGCAGAGAGGTGTCAGATTGAGGGAGCATCTATCTAGTTGATCTAATAGCGCTAGATCTCGCTACTATCTCAGATCTAGATATATCGAGGGCTATCGTGGCTAGATGGAACGGAAATATACAGTTGATGAGCAGCATACAATATCATGAGCGTCATTGTGCTATTCCCCAAGGTCAGAGATATTGGTATAGGGTAGCCAAGGTGCTTCTACAATGGGCTGTGAGCATTGCTATTTGGACTGTGAGAGAGATGAGCAGACATGTAAGCGTAGGATATTTTTGTCCGCCAAGACTTTCTTGAGACGAGATAGGAAATATACTCGTATCTACAGAGTACTCATGGTGATTGGACAATGGACGGCTAAATACTCCCAACACGTGGTACCAAATCTATCAAGGTGCCTACCAAGCGTAGATATAGATATACCTTGTTAGGTATAGAATGATATGGACAACATAGCTACAGTAGAGTTCAGTATAATATAGCAACGGCTTTCTACAGCTGGAATGCAGGGGGCCAAAAACGGAAGCCAGAAAACGACGGGGCGAATGAGAACCAGCGAGAATCGGCCCAGTGCGGCCCTGGCGCCGAGTCTCTGCGTTTGTGCGTGCATTTGAGCAAGTTTTGAATCGTAGCACAAATTGGCATCGTGAAACCCCCAAAGAGACTGTGGAGCGCGTGCAAATGTCAAGCGCAGCCGGTGCGAATGTTGCCTTGCCAGTTGTGAATTGGGTTGCGTCGCATGCATGAAACATATAGAAACAAATACCAAACTTGAAATCTAAAACAAATACTCGTATAGGTACCTCTATCTATTACGAGTATGGGATTTATCCAAAGCATTACTCAGATCGGCGCACCAACCTCTCAACTCACCCCCATCTCAGCCTCCTCTCCAAACCAACGCGGTGCGAATAAAAAAAACCTTGGCGACTCAATCCGCCCCCCCAGTAGCCAGACAGCGGTAAACAAAATTATTTGCTCAGACCACAAGACATTATCGACTAGAATTGTCGAAAAATGGGCCAACTAGACGAATTCTCGCTTCCTATTTGCTCCGGCTTATTATGCTCAAAACAAGCTTAACGGATGCTAGAGCCTCTAGCTCCTCCTCCCTTGATGTCTTGAGTGCCACATGGGTTGTGCAACTAGAGGCTTTGTTTTCATTCTTTGCTTGCGGGTATACGAGTATAAGATACTCTCGGTATCCCGTTTTTATCCAACGCTGATCTTTACTCATCTGCATTTGGTCCTTTGCCCCCTCCTCTTCTCCCCATCTTACCACCCTGCCCTACCATCCTCCTGTTCCTCCATCAAACATGGCCTTCAAGTCTCTCCTGCTAGGCCTGGCTGCCGTACAATCTGTCACCGCACATTTCGGTGTTGTGTATCCCGAATGGCGAGCCGATACCCTCGCTGCAGAAAACGAAGACAAGTACAGCCAGTGGAACTATCCTTGTAGGTTCCCGGATACTATAACCCGCCTCATTTCATCCCCAACCCACCATCTCCTCCTACTCAAAACGAGAACTCATTTCACTAACATCCATATCCTTAGGCGGTGGAGTTCCCTACAAGGCCGGCAACATCACCAACTGGCCCATTGGCGGAGGTGGCGTGGAACTCGACCTCCATCACCCCTGGACATATCTCTTCATCAACCTCGGTCTGGGAGCAAACACCACAAACTTCAACATATCCCTCACCCCCGAGCTCACCAACGTCACCGGCAAGGGCACTCTCTGCATCGACAAGCTCCCCGTGCCCCTTGACAGCATCGCGGACGGAACCCTGGCGTCCATTCAATTCGTTACTAGTGGCGAATCGGGCAGCGCCTTGTATAACTGCGCCGATATTCGATTCACCAAGAATGCTACGGGGCTGAGCAACTGCTCAACCTCAGACGGATTGGTTATGCACACAATCAAGGATGAGCAACAAAATGGCACGCAGCCTTCCCAGGACGGCGCCTCTGGCACTGAGGACAAGAAGAATGCTGCTGGCATTCTGGGCACCGACAAGACTGTGTTGGCAACAGTCGTTGGCCTTGCGGTTGCATTCTCTTTGGGGCTGGGCATCTAAGATGGACATACGAGATGGATGGGAGGATACAGGATACAGAAGAACAAAGGACACGCCATATACCATGAAATGAAAGATAATGATATTAATGCAGTAATGAGGTCTTCCAACTCCAGATGCGTATGCTGTCTGTTGATGCTGCCATGCAAAGGTCAAATAATAATAGTACAAGAATGTAAAACTATGTACATGTAGTTTCTCCAATATTCAGGTATCATGAGTAAAAATCTCGAGAGGAGAGTATAAAAAGAAAAGAAAAGAAAACAAGCAGGAAAAAGAAAAGGAAGCCGATCGCCGATTTCTTCTTCCCTGCTTCAGTCAGTCATAGCCGAAACGCATATCTGCATGCTGCTTACTCCATTTGATGTCCCATCCTGTGCCGCTTCAAATACGCTTGCCATCTGCTCTTGTAAATGTCGTATATATACTTCCGAAAAATAAACTCCAGATCCCAATGTTGACTGTCAAATGTCTGAAAAGAACAGTACCCGAAACGATGAAAAATGCAAAGTTGAAGAACAAATATAAAACTGTAAGAGGGGAAGAAGAAAACCTCTTAGAGGCATCTAATGTTTGTATGCTTCGTCTCTTTTATCGAGCTGTATTCGTCTGCTCTAGAGCGAGTTCTCTGACGATCCTATCCATGGTGATACGCTGGGCTGGGTTCGGCGCCAGCATATCCTTTACCAGTCGTTCTAAGCGGTCCTTGGGGTTTAGCTTCTCTCTTGCTTCGTAAATCTCCGTCAGCCAGTCCCGCATCTGGTTTACAGCCGGCTGGCCATTGCCGTATTGTTTATAAGCGATAGGCGCCGCCTGCCCGTGGATCTGGGCGATTTGCCAGTATAGTGGCTTGGGATGTTGCCTGCGCGCGCGCGAATCTGGGAATTTGATGAAGCGCATCGTGTACAGCATCGTGATGCCCAAAGCCCAAACGTCTGATGCCGGACCACGGCTTTTGCGCGTAATGAACTCGGGCGGGATGTAATAAGGAGTTCCACCACCAGAAGGTGAGCTTGCCGCCAATGTTGTCAGTCCAAAGTCGCAAAGCACGGCGCCGCGTTCAGGCGAGTACAAGATATTCGCGGGTTTGATATCATTGTGCACTAGTTTGCGGCCGTGGAGGTAGCTAAGAGCGCTGGAAATATCGCGTAGAATTCGAATGGAATCTTCTCGTGTTCCCACGAACTCATCGTCGCCCTTGTTTCTCCACTTGGCAGCAGCAGTAAGGTCTTTTGCGTCGATGTGTTCCATGTATAGACTCAGAAACCTGGCATCACCTCCGTAGTAACGTACAATAGAATCGTGTTGTAGGTCTTGTTGGCTTTGACACTCTCGCAGCCACATGTCGGCTTGGCGGATGACATTCCGCTCATGCACCAGTGGTTTATTGTCTGGATTTGCGGCCCTGGTCTTGAGTACCTTGACAGTGACAATGTTATTAGGCACTTGTGAGTGTGCTGCGGTGTAGACTGCCGATAGAGCTGTGGATGCAATGGGCTCGCGTTTTGTCAGCTGGTATTCGTCAAGTTCACAGACACCGGACACAGCAATCGTTTCGCCTTGCTCTGCATCCAAGAGCGCGTGGCCATTGGACGAAGCCAGTTCCTTGCCCTCTCTCGCGTTAGGAAGGGGAAAGACGAGTGGCTCTGCCGGCCCTAAAAACATGATGACGCCATCATCCGGTCTATCGCCTGCATCTGAAATACGACGCTTTGCTCTTTTGATGTCTTCGTCCGGAGTGAGGGCTCTTTTCATGCTTGCGTTGACCTGGTCGGAAGTGACGAATGATGGGGACGATGAGAGTGAGTCCTCGGGTACTGTTAACGAAAGTGGTTCTTGGTAAATCGTAATGGGCCGCTTTTCTAGAATGCGAAAGTCAAGCACTGCGACATCTCTCACTTTGATCCTAAAGGTGCCTGGCTTGAGGCCTTTGGCGAGACCTGGGTTGATGACATGGCGTTCGTTTGGCGGAGGGCTGCTGGAGGCGGCATGAGACACTCGGCCAAGCAAGATGGGCACATCCGATCTGTTTAGGAAGATGACTTTGTCGCTGGCAGGATCGTAATAGAGTTCACACCATAACGGCGGCCGTGACAAGTCGTCTTCGGCAGATCCAGGAATCCTGACTGAGAATTTGATGTCCTTGGAAGTCTGAGTCACAGCCAGGACTTTGTGTTCAGGCTTGTCCGAGGAAGCCACTTCGGCGCGGAGAGCTAGCCACTGGCAATTGTCGCTGCCGGGGCTCACTGAGCGCGTGCCGGGAAGCTTGGTGAGAGGCCGCACGAGGATGCGGATGCCTTGTCTGTGGTGGTGATCCTCGACTTGCAAGACGTCGAGCGGGACGGCCTCTGGGTCCGTGGGGATACTTGGCTCATCAACTCCGACGCCGTGGAATCGGGCTTCAATTTCTGACTGGGAAAAGGGCTCTGTCTTCTCCTCCGAGACCCCCTGCGAGGGCTCGGCCCTGGATTCGAGCATGAGAATGGCAGATGGTGCCTTACCAAAGGCCCATACGCCGTTGTGATGCAAATGTGTCTTCAAGACAGCACCGAAGAGGTGATGGGCAACAGTGAGTGCCTTAGAATAGAGTGGAGGGGAGCAGGCAGGCAGGCAGGCTGGTTGGGCGGGTAATTGCAAATAAGCGTGCGGGAAGGGCTGAAGGTACGTTTGGATGTACTCAGAAGTCTGGGCAGCTCCAACAGGCACTCGTCCAGGCAGAAGCCGGTCGGGAGAGATCAGGATGGGGGAAATCAAGGCAGAACAGTGGCAGCGGGGTCAACGGAAAGGTACTTGTGCAAGACGTGTAACAGCAGCAGCAGGAATAACCACAGCACGACGTTGGTCGGGGTTGGTTGAAAAAGGAGAGAGAAGAGGTCAATTTTCGTCCAGGCGCACAATAAATGCAAGGAACGAGCAGCTGAAGCGCTATATCATGGTCATGGTCATGGTAGTCGGTGTCAGATGGCCTGAGTGCAAGACGAGGTTGCGGGCCTGGTGATGGAGTCTCAGCCGCTACCAGCAGTCATAAACAGGTACAAATAGGAACGCTTGAAAGTGGAAAAAGCAGCCAACCACCAAGCCAGTGGGCACCGGGTGCCTTGCGGACCGCGGACAAGACACTGGACTGCACGCGATGAGCAGTTGACGGGGCGGGAACTAGATTAACAAGCCAGCAGCTGGTTGGTCTAGCCCCAGAACGCGCGCGGGAGCTGCTTGTATGTGAGTGCTTTGGTAGGGCCACACGGCGCGCTGACAAGGCAGGATTGGTAAGATAGACCTGGGGGAGACACAGGGCCAGACACAATGGAATGAGGCGGAGCGGCGTTCATTAGGCTGCGCCCCTTTGCACAAGATTGCGGATGGCCTCTCACTATCCCACGATGCCATCTGACCAGTGATAGGCCAAAAAGTATCATCTGCGCCAACGCTTGCTGCGCAGTGACCTTTCGGCTATCTCATGAAGGCGTTTTCCGACAAAACAAACTTTGGTATTCATCACTTTTCTCACCGTGATAGAGGTAAACGAGGTCAATCAGGGAAGGCCGGTAGCAAGCAATGACGAGAACAGATTGCATGCGAGTGACTCACTCACCAGACCAGATTTCTCTCTCACGCTGTGCTGTGAAGCCATCTCATGAGGGAAAGAAAGAAAGAAAGACCGAGAGCATCGGCGCTGACTCATCCACACGTGATACAGCTTCGAGCGTTGATGTGATGAAAGAGAAGAGCCGCATCACCAGCGCAGGTCGTGCGAGTGACCGTAAATAATCATTCGGAATCCAGTGAGAACCGTGTTGAACTGAGCTCGGCGTTCACGGCATCCTGCTGATCAAAAAGAGGCCAGCTCACCCAGTTCAGCGGGAGGGTTGTCTCAGCTGCCTGGAGGAATGCGACTTTCTCACCCTCTGCCTCCGTAATCGTCAGCGTGAGGCCGTCACGATGGGCGTCTCGTGTTGCTGAGCAGAGGCCACTAGTACCTGGCCATGAGGTCACTTGCCGCTCAGATTCTGAGAGCTTCCAACACGGTGGCGCAGAGAGCCATGGCGGACGGCGCACCAGCCACAACCTTCCGGAAGCGATGGGCAGGCTATTGGTACAAGTGTCATCCTTTGGGCAGATTTTTCTTCTCCCGACCGGGGTGCGAGAGTTTGTCGACGCCGTTAACGGCCGCACCAGCTGAACAGTGTGGTGTGCAACAACGCCACTGTAGTCAAGGCTATTGGGCGAGACAGGCAAGACAGGGATGCTGGACCATGATATCAGCAAGGGGTGATCCATGTGTTGTCTGCATAAGAGTGGGCCGGATTCCAATCAAAGTGTGTGTGAGTGTGTGTGTTTATACGCACACACACGCACAAGCGCAAGCAACAGCGCCAAACGCGGACAGTTGAGCCGAGTGAAAGGGCAGAGGAAGGAATTGAGATGAGCCATGTGCTGTACTGAATGTGCCTTTGCGAAAAGAGATTCTGCATGTCTCACGAACTTTGACATTGAGCATGTCGGGTTAACTGCATGGATGCGCTCATTGGTCATTTCGCTGAGTGCAAATGCAGCAACAATGAATGCACCGGGCACAGATTGCCTCTTTGCCTCTGATCCAACCTGAAAAACGGACGTGCATTAGCGCGCACAGCCCAAGCTTTCAGGATTCAGCCACTGCACCCTGATTGGATCCCTCGGTGGATCCGGAGCGGCGCTAGGAACAACCTAATCTCGATCGGCTCTAGTTCCACCCGCAGCCGAAAAAGCCAGCCAACCAGGGATGGGCAAGTGGATGGCAAAAGTGAGTGCCTCAGGCTGCAACGGTCTCACCATCGGGTGCTTTGGGGCAATGGGTATACGCGCGCCTCCCCCAGCTGCTGCACTTCGTATGAGAGAACCTCAAGGGCCCTGTCGACATCACTCTGCAACATATACAGGACTCCACGCAATCATTCACGAAGCACGAGCACTATCAGTCAGTTATTGCTAGTGGTACTCGTCAGTGACTCCTCGCCATGGCCATGATCTCAAGTATTTCGCTCTAAGCGAGCCGTGTTTTAATGACACCTGGGCTCCTTATTCGACACTCTTGCTTTGCACATCCACCAACTCGCCTATATCCGTACCTCTCGACGACCCGACTTACAACATGGACGACCCCGATCTGTCGTGGCCGGCCTGGAAGTTCGGCCTCAAGAGGGACGACTTATTCACGACATTACATGACCAATACAACACCATCTCCTACACCCTCCAAGACCCCGAAGCCTTCCACCACGACGTCTACGAAATCTCCCAGCATGCGGACACGGCCGAAGAATTCCATCGCTTCATGGCGGCTCGGCAGCGGCAGCGGATCACCGAACTCCAGGAGTCTCTTGAATCGCTCGCTGTAGAGATCATTGCCAACCCGAAGTTGATAGGTTCTGACCAGTGGCAGCACGCTCTCCAGCTTTTTCGGACCAAGTCCTACGACTCCATTGTCAGATACTTTGCAAGCTACCTCCCCGACGACTACCTTGAAAGCCATATGGCGTCTACGTCATCGTCGTTTTCCGAAACCGATTCTATCCACACTACCAGCACAAAGGCCAGCAGCGCCAGCGATGCATCCTACTTCGTCGATGACGACGACGATTTCTTTCCTCATGGCTCCCTCATGGCCGAGCCTTGCGCGATGAATGCGCCATATATGCCTCTATCACCCGAATCTGAGGGTTCACCTGCTGAATCCGCCGATTCACCAACATTCACATCAACAAACCCACCCTCGCGATCCATGTCTTTCTCCGGCTCGGACTCTGGCCGACTAAGTGCTCGCTTCATTAGACGATCTTTGATTCACGACGATGACGACGCATCTCAATCCGACGACTGCGACACCACAGTTACGTCTGTGTGTGATTCTGCGGAAACTCGATCTTCCTTCGATCCCTCGGACGTCACTGATGACGTCGCCGATGGCAAGGAAGAACTACCTGTACACATTGTAGTAGACGGTGATGAGGATGAGGATGAGTTTCCTACCGCCCAGCTTCCCGAAGACGATTTCTGCACTTTAGACTCATTCGATACCCACAACTCTTTCAACAATACCAGCTATGATACCCTTGAACCCGACACCCCCACCCCCAGGCAAGTCACTGAATCAACAAGTTATCTCGACTACAAAACCCCCACGCCACGAAAATCATCCCCATCACAACAACGCCCGTCTTACCGTCGATCCCCATCACCAAGGTCACTACTTTGTCGGCGGCGAGAGGGGAGTCCTTCCCACGACGTTCGGAGGAGTCCGGAGGAGGCGCTTAGCAAAATACAGAAGCAACCGCTGGGAGAATCCATTCGGAGGAGACCCAAGAGCGGCAGGAGGTGACAGGCTTGACTCAAGGTGGCAGGCATGCGGCGCGGCGCGCTGTACTTGTATATATACCATGATGCTGATTGTACATATCTGTCGTATGACACTAATGATTTCAAAACCAAAAAAGTCACAGTCTCTGGCCCGTATGCGGTGACGTCATCAACCATGACGCTTGTGGTACGCTACTGCTATTACTGCTACTATTAATATGGTATTAGCATCGTCCGGTAAGTTATATATTGGCTTTAATGCTCTTTTGTTTCAAATTGCTTTTCCTTTGCTTGGGTCGAATGAGCGCAGCGCATCACGGCTCTCGGAACCTGTGATCACAAAATCACTTGCGCCGGGGGGTCACATGGAATCCAGGAACCAGGAGCTCTGTTTTTGCATGTGAATGACGTCATGACCCCTTGCAGCTGGCTTTATTTCCTAATTCTTTTTTGGTTATGTGAATTACTTTTTTTGATCTTGCGCCTTTGTTTGGTTAATGGGCTTTTTGTTTTGTTTTCTGGGTGTGGTGTGGGAAGTGAGGCTGAAATTTACTGACTGCTACGTGCCACTTTGGCTTGGTGCCTATCCATGTCATCCTCCACACCATATATGGGATGCCTCAGGATCTATTCTATTCTAGGTACATGTAGCTATTCCTGTTGTTCGAAACCTGAAGGACATTTTGAGAGGTACGTGGTATTTATTTAATTAAGCGTTTTAGATATACGGATGATACCATCACGGCTATATAACAATACACAAGATATCATACTTTACAAATCTGTTCAACATCTTTCTAGTGAGAATAACAATAAGAATGAGAAAGCGACCGCCGCATACTCTTTCTAAGCCAGAAGGGGGTTGAGGTATGGCAGCTCCTTGATATGTTGGCTCCAAATCTCGAGCGGATCCTTCTTCTCGCCCGCTTTGCCCTTATCCACGCCATACAGATACGGCTTCTCATTCGCGTAACAAGTTGTTTCTTGCTCATCGGGCAGCTCTCCATGCAGGATGAAATTCTTCGCAATGGCATCCGTGCAGTCGGACTTGTCTCGTGACGAATGGCCATAACCGTGGTGCGCAATCAGTCGAGCGTTGCTGCCCATTTCATCGAGCAGTCTTCGGCCGTTCCGCAGCGGCGTGGCAGGGTCGTACGTTTCCGCAATGAGCAGAACTGGGTTCTTGAGTGTTACGTTCAAGTCGCCGCGGTATACCTCAGCTGGTGTAGGCCAATACTCTGTGAAGCGCTGGCATGGGAAAACGCTGAAAAAGCGAGAGTTGCCCGAGACCCAGGATTTGGCAGTCATGTTCGTCCACAGAGACTCCCACCAGTCGAGGCCGTCCTCAGGCAGCGCGGCGTCGTATCCATCCGAACAAATGACCAAAAAGGTCAGCTCGTCAGTTGAAGGTCTCTTATTGGGAATAGCCGGCAGAGCAGGATCATATTCCCATGCCGAATGCTCGAGCATTGCGGAAGCAAGGGTGGCATTTCCAGCTTCCAGTTCATAGAGGAGCGATGCCAAAGCGGGCCATGAAAATGCATTGTAGAGAGATCCGTAAATGGCGCCCACCAAGCCAGAGTATGTGATGAGAGATGGCCCGCTGAAGCTTGTGTATCCCACCACAGGTCGTGTAATAAGCGAAGCGATGAGCGTTTCCATGCGGGATTCCAGACTCTCTAGAGTGACAGCTTTACCATCAACTGGCTTCGCTAAATCACAATTCTCGGGTCCGGCGTTGATGCATTCTCCAAGGAAGCCATCGTGCCATGCATCAGTGGCATTGTCCAAGGCGGTCCAGCCAAAGCCTCCCAGAAGCCTATGGTCTCTGACATACTCAGTGCCATCCAAGATCATTCTACCCACGCTCGACGGAAACATGTTTGCATATGTCTGCCCAATTCCGGTGCCATACGAGATCATGTGTGCAGTGAGCTCATCTTCTCCTAGGGCCTTGCGGATCTCTTCCAGATCGCGCGCAACGAATGCCGTGCTGACGAACCGCGGCAAGTCGCCGTGCGTCTTATAGCAGGCGCCGAAAATTGCCTGATTCATGGCATCGGCAACCTCAAGCTGGGCTCTCGGAGAAGCGAGAACCTCGCGATACTGCCCGGCAATCATTGACCAGTGATCTCGATCAGCGTCAAATGGGAAGCAAGAGAGGGCGGGTAGCGTCGTGTTGACGCCTCGAGGATCCCATCCCAACACGTCGAATGCGCCACCACTGAGACGCTCAGTGAAGATTTCGGCAGATCGCCAGACCAGAGACGTTCCACTACCACCAGGACCGCCGGGCTCGACAACAATGGTTCGCTCGCTCTTGTGGCCAGCGGCGGGCTTGGAGCGGCCATGAACGGGAGCGAGTCCAGAGACCTGATACTTTGTCACGGCAAGTCGAGTGATGCGGGGATCGGAAGCGTTGGTGTAGTCGAGCGGAACATCGAGCCATCCGCACAAGTAGATGCCGCGTCCAGCGGAAGGGTCATGCTTTGAAACAGCATCCGTATCTTGGTCCGTCTTATTGCCCCAGCTCCAGTGATGGGGGTTTGGATCAAAGAGCTTTGACCAGCTCTTGAGAGGGTGGTGGTCATCAAGAGCAGGAGGAAGCGTCACATTTGTGCATGGAAGAAAGTGGAAAGGGTCATTTGGTTTGGGGAACTTTCCATAGGGAGAAGCCTTCTTGTAGCCATGGCCGTGGTGGTGATGATCGTCATGATCGTGGTCGTGGTGATGAGGAAGATGGGGCTTCGGATGAATATGATGCAGTCCAATCAAGAAGACGAGAGTTGCAACGCAGGCCGCCTTGAGATGCCAGGACCTGCGTTTCCTGGCTTGTGATGCAGCAGCACCGGTTGGCAAAGCCGTCGCTTCCACCTTCTCCATTTTGTCCATACTCCTGAATCGGAGTTTTGCAAAGTTGAGAGGAGTTTAGTATTTGCGAGTTGGTTCCGAGAAGCTCACGCCATTTTATGCTAGCAAAGGTACCCGGAGACGCGCACGCAAGCGACTGGGGGTCTTTTGTTAGTGGCCGGCACGGCACGATGAGGACAAGATGGGGGGCCGGTTAACACGGGACTCGTACACGCGAGATTCACTCAGGGATACTCCGTCCGAAGCACGAACCGGCTAATTGTTCAAGTATCCTGGTATTGTAACTGAGCCATACTTGTACATGAATGTCTCACATTCCCAAGACCCGCACTGTACGGGCACGGTACATGTATATAGATGGAGTGTAACTGATGGCGCTTATTACCATCACCATCAATGTAGAGCCATCAAAATCCGAGTTCCCAACCTGCTTAGAAGAGGCACTTCTATCTCTTGGCTTCAGCATTGCATCAACAGATGTGTTGTGACTTTCGGAAGCAGTACCCCGAATGGCCTGCGGAGATTGAATGGCACGCCCTTAAGCACAGTGCATCTAGCTTGCACACTATGCATCATATTGAGGAGCCGTCTCTACCCTTATTCTAACTGGGTAAATGGAAATGGTCCACCGTCACTGAACTGAGACAATTTGCCCATTTAGAATAAGGGTGAATGATCCTTTAAATAGAGCTTCTCTTCCAACTTCTCCAACTCCATTATCGGGATACCCTCATACTTGTGCTCGCAGTGCGCAGCAGACGCAAAACACCATTACCCCACACTCATCCATCATGTTAGTCAACAAGAAGGTCGTTTCGTCCAACTACGGCGATTGGGAATCGCCCATCTCGGCCGACTTCGTTGTCTCCAACGTCAGGTCCCTTGTGGCCCCTCGTGCTTGTGTAAGTTGTTGTGTTAATGCCATCTATCATGCCTATTAAACTAACCTTATGATTCGGTAGCCACGCACTGGACGGGCTTACTTTACCGAGACTAACGGAGCGCGAAGAACCATTGTGCAAGTTACCCAGGATGGCAGTCTGAATGAAGTTCTTCCCCCGGATCTGAGCTGTGAGAACACCGTATACGAATACGGCGCCGGCCTCTACGATGTCCTCCCAGATGGACGGCTCATCTTCTCCGACCAGGACAACGCGGTGAGGATCTTGGAACCGGATGCCAAGTATGCCTCTGTATTGATCAAATCCCCCGTGTTGAGGTACTCTAGCTTTAGTGCAAACGCAAAAAGCCCATGGGTTCTGGCAATTGAGGAAGACCACACCGAGGACACCCCTGACAAGGTCAAAAACTATCTTGTTGCAATCAACATTCTGACTGGCCAAGTTGAGAGAATTGTCTCAGGAGCCGACTTTTATTGGCTACCACAGTTCAACTCAGACGGTTCCAAGATTGCATGGCTCGAGTGGGATCATCCCGATCTCTTCTTTGATGCCTGTAAGCTATATACAGCTGACTTTTACGCGATCGGCACTATTCGGGGCAAACGACTGGTCGCTGGTGGAAATGGAGAGAGCGTCACCGAGCCACGATGGGGTGTAGATGGCAGTACTCTGTTCTTTGCCCAAGAAACCGGTGGATATCGTCAGCTGTTCAGGATGGAGCCAAATATTCACGGCGAAAGCCGGATTGAGCTAAAGAAGATTGAGCTCAGGGGCTTGGAAACGTCTGAGATGGGAGAAGTCGATTTCTTTGAGGGAAGGTGAGAATTTGACATCTCCTTGAGAAGGCGGTATATTCTAATGTTGATGTAGCCGTACCTTTGTTCCCGTTACGGAACGGTTCCTGGCAGCAACCGTGACGTCAAACGCCGCGCAACGACTCATAATCATAGATCTACAAGATAATTCATGGAGGGAGGCCGCCGATGGAGATATACTCTGCGTGATCACTTGGGATGCCGTTATTCGATTAGACGACTCTCATGTTCTTGTCGTGGGCGGCGGGACCGATATCCCTCAGGCGCTACACAAGATAAATATTCACCAGCCCAAAGAGAACGAAATTCTTCGCCTCTCTGTTGACGAACAGTTTCCGAAAGAGCTTATTGCAAAGCCTGAAATCGTCTGTTTCCCCTCTGGAGGGTTCCCGAGCCATACCATCTACGGGTTCTTTTGGAAACCGACGAGCGATAAGTATTTGCTGGATGTGAGCGTCCCATATCCTCTCATCATCAATGTCCATGGGGGTCCGACCAGTCATGAAGGGCCGGGGCTCTCATACAAAATCCAATACTTTACATCTCGAGGATACGGCTACTTGGCCCTGAATTACGTTGGATCTACTGGATACGGACGAGAATACAGGAATGCCTTATGGGGTAATTGGGGCCACGTCGATGCTGCTGATGCTGACGCTGCTGCCAAGTATTTCGCCCAGACTGGCGCTATTGGCAAGATTGGCATCACAGGCATTAGCTCCGGCGGCTACAATACTCTTCAGTGCGTGACCCGGTTCCCCAACACTTTTTCTGGAGGCGTTTGTGTGTCTGGTATCTCGGACCTGAAACAGTTTGATGGGAAAACGCACAAGCTCGAGTCGCATTACACTGCGAAACTACTCAGGCTGACAAAAGACATAAGCGATGAGGAGAGAGACGAGATCTACAAGGAACGAAGTGCGCTATACCATGTTGATGAGATCAAGTCGCCTCTGCTGTTGTTGCATGGTCAAGAAGATACAGTTGTGCCCCTTGAACAGGCACGGCTAATCGCAAAGTCGCTTAAGGAGAGCGGCAAAGGCGTAAAGATTGTGGAATTTCCAGGTGACGGACATATGCTTGAGCATCCGGAGAGTGCAAAGGGATGGCTGCTGGAGGAGGAGAAGTGGTGGAGGAAGACGCTATTATTATGAGAATTGTAAGAAGCAGCTTTATGATGGGTAATTTGACGGTATACTTGTTAGCATCTATTTCATTTATTTCATGATGTTTACCAGTGCTTTTAGGAAGAACGAGAATATTGAGAATAATATTAGTTGCTAAATCTGGAAATGGTATACTCCATCAGGACTGAGAGAATGATACGGTCGCCGCGGTCAAGGTTGATAATGAATTCATAACCATTCACATATAATCCTTTGTTTTCTCAGCACACAGCTCCCAAAATTCCCGTGCCCTCCCTGTGCCTCCTTCCTCAGTGGGTTTTGATGCGTTAATCAAGTCTGGCCTAACACCGTTCGAAATCCTGCCCCATGGGATGACGTAGCATCCATTGTTCTCCAGACTGATATCCGGGGAGAGCCCAGCGTATAACTCGGTCAGAGCTCCGAATCGGGGCTTATGGAGTAGCGGGTAGGCCATATACTTGAGGTAAAGCGCATGTCGCAAAAGATTCGTGTTAAGAGCGCCTGGATTATGGGACACGCTCACAATAGATGAAGATGCCGCCCTCCGCGCAAGTTCTGTAGCGAGGAAGTAGTTTCCAGTCTTAGAATTGGTATAGCTGCGGTTTCGATCTTTGGGAGGTGTGCGAAGCTCGTCAATGATGATGCCATCGGTAGGTGCTGAAAGCTCCATGACTTGGCTGCTAGCCCACACTACACGAACTGAGCCCTTAGGTGTGGCCTCATCTGCGGCTGTTGATTCAAGCACCGGTAGAAGCAGCTGCGTAAAGGCGAATGGGCCCAGGCAATTCGTAGCAAACTGCAGCTCGATGCCCTGAGCCGACACGCTGCCATGGGGTGGCTGAGAGACACCGGCGTTGTTCCAGAGCACATGCAGCTTGGATTCTTTTGCCTTGAATTCGTCTGCCGAGGCCTTTATGCTGCTCAAGTCATCCAGCTTCAGGGAAAGGAATTCAAGGCTGCCTTTGGAGGGACCAGCAGCCTGGATTTCCTCGATTGCTTTGCGGGTCTTTTCCTCATCGCGCGCGGCAATGTAAACCTTTGCATTCTTTTGATATAGAATCTTGGCAAGCTCAAAGCCAATGCCAGAGGAGCCGCCCGTGACGATGACCACCTTGCCGTCTAGAGAGGCCACATTGACTTCCGTGAAGGTTGGCTTTGGCGGGAAAACCTGCGACCACTGATTCCCCATGGCGACGCTGCGGTGAACTCGAAGCAAGGGCAAATATTAGGTAGAATGAAAATCTGCAGAAATGCCCCCGATCTGCTGCGAACAATTGGTTTGGCAAAGAATTGCCTCGTAATCACACAATCGTATGTAGATGCAGGCAGCGAACCGTAGGATCTGCCATCCACTCAGCGGCCAACAACGCTTCTTATAGCCGACGCAGCAAGGATGCTCCTTTGTTGGACGGCGAATGAGGGGAACGCAGCACGAGTCCGTTTAGGTGCATAAAGTCAACACCTGTGCATTCCACGGAGAACGAAGAGAAGCCGTGTTTCAGAGTCTGGTGACATGATGTTGTGTAAACGAGAGAGATTGGTACCTCAGGACCGAAAAATGTATACTTGGCAGGGAGCATTTCGTGTGATGGAAGGCGGTGGTGCTACGTGTACCCACCTTGCTCCCAGGATGTAGCTGGTACCTGGGATTTGGGAATTTGGGAATCCAGATACCACCAGCCCCTGCACGACGCATGTACTCCATACGAATCCCTCCATGCATGCTACCTTGTGTCTGTTACCAATCAAAGTCCAACATCGGTATATTATTGCGCCTTTCCTTTATCTCTCTACCTTAACCTCCAGGTGTGAATCCAACGTCAACGCTGCACTACCACCCTCATCTTACCCGCCATAATTACAGTACAGCCATTTTAAAATTCATGATACCGGGGGCAGTAAATGCTCCAAACGAGGTTGCCGCTGCAGCTGTACATGACCGCCTCGATGTACGCCCGAAGATCCCTCGAGAGCGCCAGGTTCTGCTTTGTCTCGTCGACATTGCGGCAGAAGATGGTGGCATACCGCTGGATCTCTTCTGCGCAGATGGCTTTGGCCTCGTCTTCGCTCACCTGCTGCTCGTTCATGATGACCCAGATGGCGTTGAAGACGTAGTCCTGGCCTGCTTTCTCGGCCGCCTGCCTCTCCTTCTCCCACGAGTATAGGTCGTTGGTGAGTCCCAAGACGGCGTATCCAGGGCGAGCCAGTTCCATGCAGAGATCGTACTCGTCGTCTGGAATAGTGAGGGCCATGCCAAACGTCAATGTGCCGAACCATATCCTCGACATTACGTTAGCACCGGATGCACTGCCTTTGGAACTCCTAAAACTCACAGTTCTCCAGCATCAATCACCCTTGCGGGGACGTACTCCGCCAATGTGCGGAACGGCGATTCTCTCGTCTGAGATGCCAACTGCACAAACTTTGCCCAGGCTTTCATAGATGTGATGGCCCGTTGAGGGTCAATCGAAATCATCTCTTTCAAGATTTGAGCCTGCAGCCGCTTCTCGGGACGCGATTTGCCGTCTGTATTGCCGTCCAAAGCGCTTTTTCCGAATGTTTCGAGCATCCCCGGCGACGTGGCTGAGACATTCTCAAGATCCAGATTTTCCATCTCGTCTTAGCAAAGGAGTTAGCTCTTCAAAGGTCCCTGAGTCATTGTTTTAGGACTCACCATCATAGATGAAGGCATATTCGTTTGCATATGAGATGATCTCAAGTCTCTCCGGCAGGCACTCAGGAACAGTCACCTGCATGAAGCTAAACCTCTGACCGAGCCCGCCTTTGTAGTTGGCGAGAGGCTTTACGTGGGTAGACCAATCGACTTGAGCTCGATGTGCGCCACGGATTTCCTTCATAGGCTCTTTGTGCCCACGAAGAGCAATGCCGTTGGCTAACCCATGTGTCTCATAAACACTTGGATCGATGATCTCTGAGTACCGATACTCCATGGTTCCGTATGATTTGGTGTGCAGAGTGTACACCGATAATACAAATGATGTGATATGATGATACCCTATGTGACAGAATCAAAATCCGGATGAAAGTCAGCGGCATTTTATCCTCAACGAGTAGCCTTGGACCCTGTTGGGAACATCTAGCCGCCGGACCACGGGATAAGATCATTACGCATTAACCGCCTTGCTTGATTGAATGATGACCTCCTTGGCGTTACACTGTACAAGATGCCGGAATTCCTGGATATCTCTTTCACAAATAACCCACGGCCCAAAATTGCCGCTTACAAAAAGTCACGATTGCTAGCATATCCCGGCACTTGCGTCTACAGCCATCATCCTGGGCCGGCACAAACTGCATTTAGGTCTGCCGGAATAGCGACCGACTTCACAAGAGGCGCACTGATGCTTATCCACTCGCCTCGCAGTAGTTGGGCAAGTGGGCTATAGTCTGCATATAATGGGCTATAATATGCATATAATGTAACCATCCATCTTGTACCAACAAACAAGCCGTTAGTTCTATACTCGATTTTGCAGGTCCTTCGGGTATTACCCACAAAAGATTGGATGGAGGATCAATCCTTCGGGGAGGGCTGTAGGAGCTCTTATGCCGGTACGTGAAGATTCATCTGAGTATCGGTGCCAGAGTAAGATGACCTGGAGCGGGATAATTGAGGGCCCGATACGACACGTAGTCAATACGGCGCCACATTATCATAAGGAAATATGCCATTACGTTGATGTGCTGGAATGCAACAAGATGCACGTGTGATTGGCCCACCGAAAATGCTGATGTATTTCTACACGTATAGGCATACCTACTAAGTTTCTCCCAATCCACCACTCGCACTCTCAAGAGCAGTCTTTTGTATACACTTTAATCATCATGGAGGCGTTGGTATCGCAACCTGTTGCGACGACTGTCCTTTTGGCTACAGTTTTGGTATCCTGCATCTACAATGTATACCTCGTGATATATCGTCTCTGGTTCTCGCCCCTGGCCAAATTCCCCGGTCCTAAATTTGCCGCCGCCTCGTTTTGGTATGAATTTTACTATGACTATTGGCTGGATGGCAAGTACCTATTCGAAGTCGAGAAAATGCACAAAAAATATGGTGCGTGGAATGCTGCCTTACCATTTTTACTGTCGCTAATTTCTCTCTTCTTCTCTCTTGGACCACAGGTCCCATTGTTCGAGTGAATCCGGATGAGCTATCTATTCATGATCCAGACTTCTACAATGAGATATATGTCACAGAGAGCAAGCGGCGAACTGAGAGCTATGATGTGTTTTGCAAAGGCATCGACTTTGATGGTGAGAATGATGCACATACTCCTAGAAATTTCCGCTAATTCATCTGTTGTAGGCTCGCATCTGCTCACAGCAGACCACGATCTGCACAGGAAGAGGAGAAAGCCAATGGAAAGTTTCTTTTCACGGAAAGGAATTACTCAGCTCCAGCCAATGCTTGCAGAAGTTGCCCTGCATCTTGAGTCTCGCTTCAGAGAGCTAGAAGGTAAAAACGCGATCATTCGACTGGATCATGCTTTTTCTGCCTTTTCGGGGGACATAATTGGACGAATATGCCTTGGTACGGGCGATAGAGGCTCTCACGGTGACCGGTTTCTTGATGATCCCGATTTCGCTTCTGACTGGTAAGCTTCTGCCAAAAATTTTTTGGGTGAAATCGGTACTAATCATGTTAAAAATCTCAGGTTTAACATTATTCACGCAATTGTGAGATCTATTCCGCTGTTTACGGGGTTTCCTCAACTCATTCAGTACGTGCTTTCTTTTTCCTTGGCGTAGCATTTGACCATACTAACATCACCATAGATTTTTGAGTCTCCTTCCTGAGAGTTTACTGCTATGGATTTATCCAAAGGGGCAAATGTTCAATATTTTCCGACAGGTCAGTTTACAGACATCCTCATTGGTGGAATTGCCTCTATTCTAACACGAGCATTTAGCGAGCATTGCAGCAAATACGTCTTGCAAATAGTGACCAATCCAAGGAGGACAGTAATGGGGTCTCTATTTTCCGGCACATTGCAAATAGCGACATGCCAGAAGAGGAGAGAACAGAAGAACGATTAGCCAAAGAGGCACAGGTTCTTCTCGGAGGCGGCACTGCAAGCACAGCACGCACTATTGGCTTTGCCTCCTACTACATTCTATCTAGGCCCGGGTTGAGAAGCAAGCTTGAAGCCGAGCTGAAGGAACCCATGGCCAACTGGCCCGAATCAGTTCCATCCTGGGCGGAATTGGAGCAGCTGCCGCTCTTACAGGCAATCATCAAGGAATCCCTGAGGTAAGCAGATGAACAAGCCAACGAGGACACGTTTCTAACACACATGTGCGCATATAGGCTCAGCTATGGCGTCATGCATCGCTTGCCCAGAGTATTTCCCGACCAACCAATCCAGTACAAAGATTATGTGATACCTATTGGGGTGAGACAATCCGATCACCTGGTCCTCTTATTTTGTATCTAATGATATTCTACAGGTCCCCGTGGGAATGTCTGCATACTTCATGCATTCAGACCCTGAAGTATATCCAAATCCGGGCGAGTTCATACCCGAACGGTGGATTCATGATGTGACACCGGCCATGCATCGGTCGTATGTGCCGTTTTGTCGTGGATCAAGAAATTGTTTGGGAATGAAGTAAGCATCTATTATTATTACTCCTGCACCCCATATCCGATGGGTAGTGGTATAGGGAAGCTAATCTATCCATCATTCCTATAGTCTGGCTATGGCGGAGATGAGCCTTGTTTTGGCAGTTCTATACCGCTCCAATGGGCCAAAATTAGAGCTTTACGAAACAGACGAGAGCGATGTCAAACAAGCGCACGACTTCTTGATCCCCCTCCCGAAACTTAGCACCAAGGGCGTGCGCGCCTTGATTCGGTAAAACACGGGGACTATGTAGTATTTTGGGTGATGAAGTGATGGTAAAGACAGAGATGGTGTGCCATAAATGAAACCATGATGAAGGATGATGCAATGCCACTATACCAAAGGGTGGGATAATCTTCAGCGAGGGCGTTCAGCTGTTCACCTTGCTCGTCTCAGTTTGGGGGTCAGGACTGGGAAATCGGAATCGATGAGATGTTCAACGAGGTAGATGAGTGGATAAAAATCTCCCGACAGGGAAGACGTTCCTTTGCCTCCAAATGCCGAGATGAGATAGCACTATTCAAGACAGTTACTCGTATGTGCTTTGGCCGAGTTTTGCCTAATCAAGCGCTTGCTAAGAGTCTTGGAGGACCAGGGTGTGAGTTTTTGGGGGGGGCCGAATGCAGATTCCGAGGTTGGCAATTGCTTACGCACAGACAATGATATTACGCGCTTCAAGGGTCGTATCTATTATAGATGCTGGTTGATATCCGCCATATTATACATACCTAAGCCATGCAAGTCTGCAAGCGAGGGTGCAAGTCAAGCGGCACAGAGTAATGGCATGCCCAATAGTAAACGATTGTGATCAAAAAGGCCCCCAACGGGCAGATTGCAATGTAACGCCGGGCTGAGAGACTCGGTTGCCACCATATTCTAGCGCTGAGATGCTGCTTCGGACGGAACGCAGCAAGCAGAGATAGGTGATGGAATAGAAGCGTGAGGGCAGGCAAAATGCAAAAGGCACCCACACGATGCGACAGCAGGCTTACGGATGCCAAGAGGGGAAACCGCCTATACAGAGAGAGACTTGACTTTATGCATGTATCTCCACGGGGATTGCTCCATATCTGCTCCATGTCTGCTGCGACGCTGAAGACTCCATACATGCAGTGACACTCAACGGTTCTGATTGCATGCAGAGTTTCGGCGTGCAACTACCAGCAAACATGTCATGGATCTATCCACGTGGGTGGCACAGCACATGTAAATCTGTCTCTTGGCTAACACTGGATCCCTGTCGCTTCGGAGGGGAGGGACAGAAGGAAATCATCGGACAAACGCAGCAACCTATGCGACGGAGGCAGTGTCCCTGAGTCTTGCCCGCACCTCGATCGGCCTCTTTTCCACTAATAGAAACGTCCTCAAATCCTCCCACCTCATCTTCCGATCCTCTACCACCTCAAAGTCAAACACCCAGAGCAGTTTGGAAAGGATCAGCCGCATCTCCGCCCACGCCAAATGCTGCCCCAGGCAGGCTCTGGGCCCATCGCTAAACGGCTGGACAACCTGGAGGCGATCATGGAAGAAGGGCGACTCCGGGTCTGTGCGCGTGTCAGGAAGCCAGCGCTCCGGAACAAATGACGTGGCCGAGTGGAAGTTTGCCGGGTCGCGGTTCATCGTATATGCTTGTATCGAGACGGGAGTCTGAGTCCCAATGTCACAGTCAGCCAAGGATACAACGGTTGCAACCGAGGGATTCAAGAAAAGATACGCAGGCCTTTGCACATACCCCTCCCGGAAGCCATGTTCCGCATACTATATCGCCTCCCTCTGGAACCCGTCGTGGGAGAACCCATGGGATGGGCGGGCAGAGTCTGAGTCCCTCGTTAAGCACTGCGTTGAGGTACGGTAACTTCCGCAGAGCGTCGAGGTCGATGTCACTCTCTTGTTGAAAAGTCCCACGGATTTCTCGTGTTAGATTCTTCAGCTTGTTTGGGTTGTTGACCAGGTAGTTGAGGGTGCCGCTCAAAGCTGTCGCCGTTGTCTCACTTCCTGCGGTTGTCAGCACCATGAATGTCGTGTGGAGAGTACCCTCTGGCAGCTCGCGGCGTTCTGTGCCTCGTATCACATGAGACATGATGTCTGGCCGCTCAAGCTCGAAATTGAGACGCCTGTCCACCTTGTCCACAATCTGCTGGTAGTGGTCCATTTGCATCTTCCTTAGAGAGGGCGGGATGCACATGAGAAGTAGACGCTCAACTATTGGGTAAAATCGTGCTGCTGCGACGTAAGATGCCGCCTTGACACTGTTGAACAGCAAAGCAATCCAAGGGTGGTATTTGGAATCTTGAAGGCAGTTGAATGATTCTCCAAATCCAAGGTCTCCAAATATATCAAACGCAATGAAGTTGAACCAGGGCACCACGTCAATGACTGCGCCGCTCTCTGGTGTCTCATTCACGCGCTCACGGATCCTTTCAACTAAAAGATTGACATAAAAATGCAGAGTGTGCTCTTGCTCTTTCAAGGCCCGAGGTGTGAATCCAGGAGCAAGAAGACCACGAATGCGTGCATGATGTTTCGGGTCGATAGCGCTAAGTAAGCTGTCTGGCATCCCAGGTTGCGATTTCCACCAGACAAGGTCCTTTAGAAACTGTGGGTGATCTTTACGAAGCTGGAATATGTCTCTCCAAGCGTCTTCATGAGCAAAAGTGACTTCGTCGGGCGCAATACGAAGAATAGGGCCATATTGGCGATGCAGGCGCTCAAAATCATGGACAATTGTTCCCCTGAGCAGTGACCGGATAAACGGCAGTCGAGACGCCTTCCATGCAACGGGACCTGGAACTTTGGACAGAGGATGAAAATACAGATTATAAATTATGCGAAGCACGTTATACTGGAGTATGGTCAGCCCGAGATCTGATTTCTGTCTATTTGCGCTCGTACAGTAATGAGTGTGAGGATGGTGGTGCTGAGCCACGCCGAGGCCGTGACGGGCCATTCCCAAGCGATCACCATTATACAACAAGATGAAGACTCGAGACTATATCGTCAAAGAAGCCATTTATAAAAAAGATGATGGTTTCTTTCAGACTGAATAAATATGGGCATTTGAATGATCCCTCTCCGTTGCTACATGATCAGATTCACGGACCATCTCCTCGCGTTGGTCTCGGCACGCCACCAACGGCAAACATTCCTTGCGCAATGCAACTTCGCCATGCCTTTCCCGTGTCTTACCATTCCATCCAAATGAGTTGGGGGAAGACCCAATTTAAGGGCGATCCTTGTTCTCCAATTGGCAGCCTCGTGGGGGTTACACGTAGCCAAAGGATTCGCCGTGTGCCACTCCCATCCGGTATTCTGCAACACATGTGGGTGAGATCATATGGGTGGATGGAGAGTGTGCGTCTGTGTACATGTATGCTATGTGCATAAAATATTGGGTTAATTTAATCAGGCAGGCGCTCACATTACAGTGTCGCAGGATTACCATCCTGTCCTCCATTTAGATTAGCATGTCTTTCAGCTTGGCGAGGCTCGGCGCATTTCCTTCAGATGCGTAATAATAGTTATTACTCGTATCAGTTCTGGGTTCCCCGGACCATGCATTTAATAATACGCACCGACCATCTGCTGCTCGCACTCTGCAGATTTCTGCTTCCACTCATTTGAATCCATCACCAAGCGACCGCGAGCTTTCCGGAGGTTCAGGACTCATGGCTTCCCAATGGCTTGGGTCGATTCCTCCTCCTCCGGGAGTCGAGCCCAACTTCATTAACCCTTATGATCATATGACGGAGAATATCGCATTGCACTCGGTCTTGCTGACGCTGACCACGCTGGCCGTGGGTATGCGACTGTATACGCGCATGCGGATCACAAAGAGCAGACTGGGGGTGGATGACTGTGAGTCTGAGCTGCTATAGTAGACTTTATAGGGGGAAATTACTAATACTTTACTCAAAGATTTTTGTATCGCTTCATATGTGAGTATTAAGAAGAATTATGATGTTCTTGATGGGTGTCGACTAACAAGATCAGGTTATGATTATAGCCTTTTCAGCATTTATGTTAAAATGTAAGGGAAAATCTCTCATACCTCTCAACAAATATTGGTAAAATAACCAATAAACACAGGCTATACAAAAGGAATCGGTCGCCATATGTGGAATGTGCCCATTCAAGATGTCACGGAGATGTTAAAGGTAAGTTCTCGATTGCTATTGTTCGCGGCAACGCCGTAAACTGACAGACATATCTATTCAGTGGTTTTCCATCGGTTCATTCATTTACTTGCTCCTCGGTGGTTGCGTCAAACTTACCTTTCTCTTCTTCTATTACCGAATCTTCTCGGAATCAACCAGGATGAGGTATCTCATAATATTTGGCATCGTGCTGGTGGTCGGATTCAGCGTCAGCCTGTTCTTCGGAAACGTCTTCAGCTGTATTCCGGTGGAAAAGGCATGGAATCCGTTGGTCCCGGGCCACTGTCTGAACCCTGTGATTCTGCCTTACGTTTCTGGAATCTCGAGCTCGGTTTTGGATCTATATACGCTTGTTTTGCCTGTGCCCGTCGTTGTGGGACTTAACATGGACTTGAAGCGAAAAGTGAAAGTTGTTGCGGTCTTTGGAATTGGTTTGCTGTACGTGAAACCTCTCGTGAAACATTGAGTGAATTTATAGTAGCTAACGAAAGAACTCTTAGTGCCGTCGTTGCCAGTCTTATTCGCCTCGGCATGACGCCGATACTCCATAGCAGCCCCGATGCATCCTGGAATCTCTCCAAGATGTCTGTATGGGCGTAAGTCATCTCGGCATGTTCCACACTATTGAGAGCGCTTAAGGCTAATGTTCTGTTATAGTACTGTGGAGGTTAACGTAGGCCTCATTTGTGCGTGTCTGATGCTGTTGCCTGCCTTCCTCAACCACGTCTTCCAAGGTCCGATTATGGATTCCATGTCCCGCTTATTCTCTAAAACTTTTGGTCGATCATCTGGGAGGGGGTCTCATGAGAGCAAATCCCCCATGGGGAACCGGGATACTTGGGCAGCTTATGTTGAGCAGCGAGATTCCGACTCTCAGTTCAAGGGCATCCACCGTCACGAGGTCTCTTCACAATGAGGCACTTTGCTGTGTATTATCAAAGCTTGGAAATTATCAATATTTGCTTCGGATTTACCCTTCTCTCCATGTTCTTCGGGGCATGATCGTTTGACTGCTACTTGCTCTGAGTGCAGGTGGTTTTGGTGATTGTATGATTGATTGCGGCGCAAGCCATTCCCTTCAACAGACTGGCGTTGTTCGCTCGCACATAATTGATCAGTTTCCTAACTCTTTCTTTCGCCATCCAAAGAATCGTGATGGTAGGCTGTAGATGCGGTAACAACTGGTTCAATAAAAGGGCTCTGCCCCAGACTTTGGTTCAAAATCCATTATCAGTCCATAGTTCAATTCAAGACGAAACTCAAGATGCGCAAAAAGGCCCGAACAACAAAGTTCAACCGTTGCATAGGTATGGGATATTGTGGCAGAGTAAGTACTTAATAGCTTACACCCCGCCATGAACTTAGGATGTAAGGTGGCTAAATATTCGATCGCGCACGAAATAGTAACGCGTATAGATCTCTCTATCCACCTACAATTTTGCTATGGGCGTGTTCAGACCAAGTACATGTATATACTTGTCCATGCATTTGCCACGTCGAGGTTTTTTAAAAGCATCTAGTAAGTGGTGAGGAAATGCGCTTTCGCCTTCTTGATTATGAAATTTCATAAAAATAATTGATGATTCGGTAGAATCCAGCCTTGTTATCCCCCACTTTGGAGGCCTACTCATGTTGTACATGTGCCACCCAATCCCTTCTTCTTGTCGGCCTCCCGCATGAGCAGCGCATGAGCAGCGCCTCAGAGGCCAATACATATAGGCAAGGGCCTCAAACAATGTATCGAAAAAAACAGGATAATAGAGTAGTTTTGCAGATGCGCAGAATGCTATTTGTCTCTGCTAGTCATAACCATAGTCCTCCTGCTTATACCAGCTCTTATTAGCTACAACCATCGTTGGGTATTGAAAGGGAGAGCAGAGCCACATACAGCCCATCAATCTATCTCATCCATCTCATTTTCCCCTAAATCCCCAAATGTGATTTAATGCAAGAAGTCGCCCAACATGCATAAATCTGTAGCCGGCTTGCTGCATCAGGATTCTGCAGGCCGCCGGTTGGCAGCTTAGGCACCAACTCCAGACAACTGGCAACGCCAACGCAAGAAATATTTATTTTGGCGTGCTCCTGTTTTTCTAAACTTCTCTCTTCCAAAATTTTCACACACCCCCAAACTTTCCAACTTGTGTTCTTCTCACCTTCTGTTCTGCGATTTCGTTCCCAACTCTCCCACCCCCCAAGCCCTTTGGCATGGCTTCACTTCGGTCCATCATCGACCATGCGGTCCTCCCTCCTAAGATACCTGGAGAAAGAGAGGACAACTACGAAGAAATCTCGAGTGAGCTTCTCAAGAGACTTCTCAACGCCTGCGAAACAGTGCGGCGTGTGGCTGGCCCACCGTTCGCCGATGCCCTTGACACTCTGAGCGAATCCCTTCAAGCATGTCGAAATTTGAATCAAGGACGGCTTGACAAAAAGACAATGCTACGATACCTCAAGCAGCTTCAGCCAAATACCGTTCTAATTTGTTACGTTGTTGAGCAAAATGCTGCAGTTCTCATCAGACGCGAAAGCGATCAGTAAGTACCCAAGCCACTCTCCAAATGCTACTGAGTTCTTCAGTTTGCTAATAATTCTATGACAGAACCAACGGACAATCCGTCGTTATCGAATCCTTTGAAGCCTCGCCAGTGACCGAGCAAGTGCTGGCCGCCGATAATGCCCTTCTATGGGATTTCCCAGGGCGCGCTGTGCGTTTAAACCTTGCCGAGTTCAACGACGCCAAACTGCAGAGGAATCTTGCTGCCTTTCTTGAGCAGGCCAGTATCGAGGCTATTCATAATATACAGGCTCAGGCAAAAAAGGCGCAGGTGTCTGTCGCCGAGATTCGTGACACCTCTGATCCAGCTCTCATCACCCAGATGCTCATGGTCCTTCTTGAGGCCATCGGCGAATCGATCAATGTTCCTAAGCTCAGGAAGAGAGTCAGGGACGATGTCAACTTTGCAATAAAAGCCTCGTTGCCGTGGAGAAGATTGCCTTTCTGGCTGGTTTTGCGAGTGGCAGCTCAGAGACACCTTCACCTTGCTCTCGGCAAATCGGGGAGGTCGTGCTACAAGCTGTTGATGTGCACCTTCTTTTCCGAATTGCTTCAAGACACTTCGGCTAGGCTTTCTATACTCAAAGGTCTTGAGCCTGATCTGGTTATTACCCTTCGAACAAAGCTGTGTCGTCGCATGATAAAGCTGCAGAAGGAGAAGGCCGATATATCGTTGACAGAGAAACACCTTTTCGAAAGTGTTTTCTGCAGCATTGTCCCCAGTATTGAATCATCAATTCGACATGCAACCAATAGCGTCGAAAAACTGTGGAAAGATTTCAAGGACAAGACGAATCGGCGTGTCCATAAGCTGCACGCAAAGGCTTCAGAGGATTCCCTGCGACTGTCACTTCCGAATAGTGGCGACTATCTTGACAGTCTCTTGGCAAGACACAGCACCGTTTATTCACTCTCCAGCAGAATGTCGCTAGGCGTGCCTGACCATCTAGACAAACCAATGCAAGAAAGGCTGGCCTTTACGCAGAAAATATCTACATTGGCTCAACTGGAGTTGAACGTTGAGAGAGATACCCGACCGGCACCAGCCGTTCTGCACGAAGCGAGAGGCCGCTGCCAAAAGCTCGCCAGCGATATCCACGACATGTTCAATCAAGTGGGCGATCTCTACAATGGAGACCCTATCCAACAGAGCATCAAAATACTCTCCATCTTTGAACTTTGGATGCGAATGGATGAGTGTGCCATCGTGTGCTGTCCACTACTGGCCAGCTACTCCCCGATGTTCGCACCACAGATGCTGGATGCCCTTCAGCTACCTACCCTGGCTGGCATGAGACGATTACAAGTTGTCCAAACGTATCTTGCCAAACGACAGACAAAGGCTGAGCACGCCCATATTTTACGCAATCTAGGAAAAGACAGCTTTGCCGTGCAATATATGTGCCAGTCGGAGAATATGTTGCAGCTAATGGATCGCATCCAAGACGCTTCGGATAATGACCGTGCAGCCAAGGAGGCGACTTGGAAACACCAAACGGACGAATACAAGAATTACACTGAAAAGATCAACAACTTGAGTTGTCTGTGCACATGGGATGGCAATAACAATGCTCGCGATGTCTCCAAATGCACAAGATGCTTATATCGGCGCCGTCGAAAGCGGCTTCAAGTCAAAGTTCACGAAGATTTCCTTCCAGAGGATGAATTCAGAAGGCAATCGATTATTTTTGAGCTTGGTATGCCGCAATATTTGTCCGTATACCGCAATGCAACGTGGATAATCCTGAGAGATTTGGCGCATCCTTCTCAACAATCGTCCACTGCGCCTCATACGACCCTACACAAATGCCCTCAGCTTCAAAACTTTATGACGGCAGACAGCAGCTGCCTCTCGTTTGCATCTATTAAAAAGTGTTTCACCGAGACGCACTATCATTTTAATAGTGGCCTGGTTCCGCTCGGGAAGATACTCTTGCCGTTCGCTGCGGAGTTTTATCTATATGATCACAGTGCAAAAGTTTGGGTGTCGGATCTCAACAAGCCTCTGACTTTGCAGCATCTTTGCGGAGTACATATTCCATTGGGGCTCTCTAGTACTGTGATCAAACCGCAAATACATCCGGCCTCTGATTTCGATGGTCCATCATCTTACGAGACTCAAGCCAATCTCACCAAATGTCCTGCCAATCTGTCCGCGGCTGAGTTTTCAACATACCAGAAACTCCTTGCGGGTAAAACGCGTCGCTGGTTAAACATTCTTGTTGAATTGGGTTCCTACAATCTCAACTTCAGCAGCGAGGATACTACTCTGCTGCTCTCTCAGCTGGCCATTCAGGCTGGCCCCTGCCTTAAGAAGGACAAGGGAGTTCTCAGATCTGTTCATGCATTCATGGAAGAACGGGAGTTCGTCAGCAGCTTGATGGAGCAAATCAAAAATAGGCTGGCATCTATCCACAGCAACTGGAGAGAAACAAACTGCATGGAGCTGCTGATCAACTTGAGTTTGCGAATCTTCTCTCTATCGACTGATGGCGAGATGATCTCTCAGTCGCTACTTTTACTCAACTCAGCTCGAGTAGCAACCTTGGAATGGATCTCACAGTTGCAAACAGAATCTAGAAAGACACAGGATGGAGCAGTGGCTAGTCGCATGGCCACGTATGGTCTAAAAGCAGCCTTGCTTTGTCGCCGAACTTTCGAAACGCACATCGAATCCAAAGCGAGCCTCTCGTCGTTGGACCTTTCAGCTTGGGTCAGAGCATCGGTAGCACTGAATGAGAATTTGACAGGTCAGATTAACAGTATGCCAATTTTAATAAGAAACATGATGATTCGGGATGCTAAGATGGCTTACCGTTTGGAAAATCTGCTTCACACTGCTGTCAAAACTCACTGGGGAATTCTCGAAGAGGCGCTTGGAATCAATGGCCCAAGTCCGACTGACCATAAGGCACAAATTGAATCCCCTTGGAAAAGCTTTCCAAATTCCCATTGGATAGAATATGTCAAGACTGAGTCATACGGATGCTCGCAAATCAAGCAAGTGTTCCACCTGAATATTGTGGAAGGATGTTTTCTTGTGAATGGAAAACCCCGTGGAAGTCTTCCTTCTGAAATGCGCGATGATCCGGCAGTTCGACATCTTTTCGGAACTCGCAATCTATTTGTCTATCCTTCGTCTATCCCTGGCATGACACATAAGCTTGCAGATCCCGTTGGAGACTATTCTATTCATTTTGGCATGCACGATTCCCAGATTCATATCCGAGCGTTGACACGGTCCAATGACCAATATGAGTTCATTCATAACTCGGTATTTCGAAACTCGAACAATGGTTCTTTTGATTTACCAGCAAGCTTGTTGGAAAACTGTGTCCACTGGCTAGATCTAAGGAGGGGAATTGTTGAGATCCGCCGAAAACCCTGGGTTCGGCAGATGCGAGATTGGCTCCTTGATGTTCGAAAACGATGCGCAACTCGTAACGGAAAATCGAAGCTAGTTGATCCAAGATCCCCTGAGTTCATGCAAATATCTAGAGTATTTGAACATTTTGAGTTGCCGGGAAATTTGACAGTCTTTCAACCCCTGTCTCTTAGAGGGAGATTATCAGTTGAGCTTCATCACTTAGACCTGTCATTTCACGTCAATCAAGTCGGCGGACTCTATAGCCGTGAACTCAAGGCTTCTATTGACTTTGATCAGGATGTTGGTACATGGTATGGGCTTGCCAGCAAGATTGTGATACGGGATGCTGGAGATCCAAGCAAAAGAGGTGTCATTGTACCTATTGGAGAGATGAGGTGGAAGCGCAACGATATCCACATATTTGTTGAATTGAGTACTTCCGATGGATATTGCCGATTTGAGATTGACGACATCGTTGGTCGACTGTTATCGCCACCAGAGCGCCGCTTACTACTTTTAAAAGCCCAATTACATGCCCTGACATCCTTCTGCTTGCCGGATCCCTTGACAGGGCGAACTGGCACGGAGGAAGCTATTCAAACTCTCCGATCAGGTGCTGCTCAACCATGGGCTCCATTTGTCCAAGGTGATTTACAAAAATTTGCCAACCTTCTCCCTCAACGGGAATACTACCCCCAAAACCTGAGGCGGATGCAAAGGGTAACTTGGGACCCTTTCCTGACGACAACCATCCAAAATGATGAACTCGAGCAAGTAATTAGGCCCATTGAGGCGAGATTCAATCGATTGGCAAAGTTTTCTTCATCTGAATTAGAGCCAGTCAACTCTGTCGGAGACTTATCTCAGCTTCGTCACCGAGCACAAGCACGCCGCCAGCTTTACGAACGTCCAAACAAGGACACAGCAAGTTTCAGTCAAATGGACCATGTTTACCTACCTCGTGATAGGCTCTCAACCCGCCGAGGCGATAGAGTCTACCAAATTACCAAGCTTGTTTGCGCTTCCGAGCCGTGTTTGAACATGAGCAGCACCTTAACGAAAATTCTTGCGAGTTGGGATACAATTGGGGGCTTCAGTGATGACGGATCTTCATCAAGTGCCCAGCCACTCGTTAGCCAACTTGAGGATCCCATTGATTTACGCTGGGGAAGCTTGGTTAACATGTGCCGTAACCAACAAGACAGATTTTCGTGGGCCTTTCAACTAGGCTTACTAGCTTTCAGCCCTGATGTTAGCATGGACCTTCTGATGTCGTTTGTTGCATTCTGTCGCATCAAGGAGATTCGCCGATTGGAACCTCCGCCGCATGCTACATTCTCCCGCTTAAACGACCGTGGTCCACCTTCGATTGAGGTTCTTGAAGAACTCATTTCCAAAGCCAATCTTCCTCTGCCAAAGATAAAGCGGAGGAGGGAGAGAACTGATGAAGAGAAAGCAGCTCACCAGAAAATGTTGGAAGAACGAGGCAAAGAGCTCGCTAAGCTCGTTCTGGATAAATGGCCTCATCTTCCACCCGAGAGTCGTTTAACCAGTCCAGAGTTCATTGATGTTGCGCTAGCTTTGCAGAATATCCGACCAGAGTGGGATCGCAGGCGTCATAACGATGAGCTGTTTGCCTATGTTACCAAAGTTGATGCAATTCTGTGTCAACATCAAGGGGCTCTATCAAAAGAACGGCCACAAGAATGGATCAAAAGTGACCCCCAGTTTATTGGTAGGAACGTTGGCCGCTTAATTCCTTCTCTCTCACAGGACTTGGTGACAAAAACTGGCCCAGAGCTCAAATCGTTCAAGAGTGGGCTTTCCGCCAAAGCATTTGCAGAGGGGTCGTCGACTTGTGACAACCACAGAGAGCAGCATGAATTCCCGAAAGAAATTCTTGAACTAGAGGGAATTCTCACCTTGTTCGCCCAATCACCTAATGATCTTCGACAGAGCTATAGCAAAGATTTGTTGAGCAGCATGGCGGCCTTCAAAACTACCTACCAAGAACCGCGCATTGGGTCAACTTGGTCCAATCCCCATGAAACGACCGTTAACAATGCCATTTTGAGAATAAAGTCACTAGCAGCCCACCATATTGATTCAATCCAAGATGCATTTTGGGTAGCTGACCCAAGCTTTAAGTGGCTCAATATGGGCAACCTTTTGCCATGCTCAACACCTGTCGAGTTGCTTGAGCTTTTGCAATCCCGGATGAATAACCGATTTGGACCTAGAATGAAGAATTCCCTGATTGTCTATGGATGTGTAATCGCTGAGTTTCAGCGACTGAGACGGCTGCGAACTGCTATTCTTCGAGAGGACCAGCGCGCCATTGATGAAGAACTTCGAAACACTGGCCACCAGAACTGGGATCCCCTGAAGGAAAATCCAGATTGGCTGCTTCTCGAGATTGACAGCAACATCCTTATTCGTACAGATCAGGTGGATGTTGCGCGAGCTATCATCGACCCAGCCTCGGGTGAAAACAGCCTGGTGCAATTGAATATGGGCCGAGGTAAGTCACTCCAAGCTTTCTCCCTAACCGTAAAACTGACTGACTTCTGTGATACAGGCAAAACTTCTTGCATCATGCCTATGGCAGCAGCTGTTCTGGCCAACGGGAACAATGTCTCTCGACTTGTCGTTCCAAAGGCGCTCATAATGCAGACAGCCCAGATGATGCACTCAAGACTGGGCGGCCTCGTAGGGAGAGAAATCTGTCACATACCATTCTCTCGACAGACACCAACAAGAGATGATGTGCTTGCGGCATACTATGAACTACATAGAGAAATTCAAAGTTCACGAGGCCTGATTTTGACGAGCCATGAATACGTCCTATCTTACAGACTGTCTGGACTGCAGCGACTCGCTGACAACAAGCTGGATGAAGCTGAGAAAATGATCATTTTTCAGAAATGGCTAGATGCACACTGCCGTGACATACTAGATGAGTCGGATTTCACTCTTTCGCCGAAAACTCAGCTCAACTATCCCAGCGGCCTAGAAAGGGCAGTGGACGGAGATCCCTTCCGGTGGCAGGTTGCACAGGGCCTACTTTCCATGGTAGCTGAATTCATGCCGCAACTGGAGGCCAACTTTTCAGGAAGTATCGAGGTTGTTGCTCGATCTTGTTGGTTTCCTTCTGTACAATTCCTGAGAAGCGATGTTGAAGATGAGCTTCATCGACTCATAGTCGATGGTATTGCCAATGGCAAAGCGCCATTCCTTCACCAAGACAAGGTAATCAATGAGAAGGCACGAACAGCTATCAAAAGAATCCTCACGGAAGAAACCTTTGATCGCCAATTGTTTGATAGAGCTAGCAACGCCTTCAACCACCCAAAGAGCGCAATGACGAAGCTATTGGTTGTACGAGGTCTCATTGTTCATAAAATCTTAATTCTCTGTCTTGGGAAGAGATGGAATGTCCAGTATGGCCTTCATCCGAAGCGGTCTCCCGTCGCAGTTCCCTTTGCGGCCAAAGGAGTCCCGTCAGAGCTATCAGAATACGGCCACCCGGATGTTGCTATCGTATTGACATGTCTGAGCTTTTACTCAGCCGGACTATCCTACGAGCAGCTTCGACAGGGATTGCAGCGCGTGCTGACCTCGGAAGATGCCGCGCTAGAATACGAGCGATGGATTTCAGAGTCGAATTTGCCTCCGGCCCTTGAATCGTGGAATCTCATCAATGTGGATGATGAGATGCAGATGCGAACTCTTTGGAACTATCTGCGAAAGAATCGAATAGTGACCAACCACTATATGAACAATTTTGTTTTCCCGCTTCACGCGCGACAGTTTGCCGTTAAACTTCAAGCTTCGGCATGGGACGTGCCCCTCCAGTTGTCGAAGATGATTCCTGGTGCGCGGACAACAGGTTTCAGTGGAACAAACGACAATCGATACATGCTTCCTATGACTATCCAACAAGAAGATCTCCCCGGCTTGCTTCAGACAAACGCCGAGGTACTTTCGTATCTGCTGAAGCGCCGTAATAGAGAATATGTAGTCTTGACTGATTACGACGGTCGGCGCCTCACTGAAATCGATATGTTGAAGACGCTTCATAGTCGAGGAATCAAGATCTTAATCGATGCCGGAGCATATATTCTTGAGACAGGAAACAGAGCTCTGGCCCAGATGTGGTTTTCGATTGATAACGGAGCACAGTCAGCTGTTTACTTTCGAGACGACAACAGGCCTTGGGTTGTATTCAGAGATGCAGCGAAACACGATATGCCGTTGGTAGCGACACGGCTTGTAAATGACCTCACAGACTGCTTTGTCTATTTCGATGAGGCTCATACCAGAGGAGTAGATCTGAAGCTGCCTGACACGGCGCATGCGGCTCTGACTTTAGCATTGAAGCAGACCAAGGACAACACTATGCAAGGTGAGTTACTTTTCAAGCCATTCATGGCTATCTTTTGTTAGATGTGATATATTTTCGACCGTCAAGCCCACGTCACCTTTTCCTATGAGACAAAAGTCATGCTAATCATTGAATATCATTACAGCGGCCATGCGCCTTCGACAACTTGGCACCACGCAATCCGTGACGTTTTTCGCCCCTCCGGAGGTTGATATGAGCATCAGAGATATTTGTCAAAAGTTCGATCACTTTTCAGCTCAGCGAAAAATCGAGTCTCCTGATGTCATCTTCTGGCTTCTGGAACAAACCTGTAGGACCAACGAAGATTTGCGACCACTTTTCTTGGCCCAAGGGATGGATTTCTGCAGGCGTTCGAGTGCATTGTTGCAATACCCACAGTTCTTGAGCTCGGCATCTTCCAGATCCAAACTGCTCAAGCTTTTGCAGCAGTCGGAGCATCAGACCCTTGACCAGCTGTACGGAGCCTCCTCGAATGGAACGTCATCAAAATCGATTGGGCCTCTACAGTCCCAACGACTCCAGCGGTTTGCTGATGTATTGGGAGGATATGGTGACGTCGGTATCTCTCAGATCGAAGCCACAGGCGAAGTAGAGCAAGAGCGACAAATTGAGAGTCAGGTTGAGGCAGTGCGCGAAGTGCAGAAGCCCATTCAATACCAAGCCCTCAAGTTCCCCGGCCTGAAACCAAGCATCTTGAATTTCCTACAAACCGGAGTTTTGGACTCAACTGACGGCGAAATCATCCATGCCCTCGACTACATTGGCAAGACGATGGTGGGTAAAAAGTTTGCGGTCCGCAGCACAAAATCTGGACTCTTCATTTCGCGAGAGTTTGATCAGACTATTGTGTTGCCCAAGTTAGATAAGAATGCCGGCGATCGCTTTTTGGTAAGTTTAACAATCTTATTACAGCAAGGGGTTCTAGACAGATACTAACGTTTAACAAATACAGCGCCCTGTGGAATGGATTCTCTGGAGTCCGTCTACTCATACTGCCTTAGTGATTATCCCAGAAGAAGTTGAGCTTCTTCTTCCGAAACTTCGACATGCCCCAGACGAAGCAAAGGTGCACTTGATCGCCTACGCGGCTCCTATTACGCGAGCCATGGTTCCCTTCAACCAGCTCCAATACTACTCACTTCCACCCATTCCTGCTCATTCGACGTTTCCTGCATGGCTCAAGATCGAGCTCGGCATCGTAGCAGGCCGGCTCTACACGGACTACGAAGAATGGAAGCTTGTGGGTGACTATATTGGAGACTCGCGCCATGGAAATCTCAGCCCTGCGTTCCTCCTGGAATGGCTCGGTGTCCGTTGCAGAGCTCATGATGTGCTCCATACTCCCATGGGATACATTTGCCTTGGCCGAACAGCGACTGCGACTCACCCATTCTTTGTTCGAAACACGTCTATGATCACTCCTGTGCTTACGCCCGTCCAGGCTGAAGATGCTGTCAAGGAGATCGAGTATGAGTTTGAAGAAGAAGAAGATATAACTGACGAGGAATGAGGAGTGCTTTTTTTATTGTCATCTAAACTATATGCGGATGGGAGGTATTGGTTGCGAGTCTCGAAGCAGTTGAAGGACAAAGGAAGGAATATCTTGACATATTGGTCAAGTTTTTGAGAAAATGGCATGTATGAGCATTTGTAAAGGCTATAAAGCCAACCTAGGGATAAATATGCAAAGGGTAACTATGAGACTGTCCCAACGTACAACGTGAGAAGGACCGAGTGATGTAAGGACTTGTTCAGTTAGGCGGGATTATGATAATTATCCGTGTAGACAGGTGAATATGGGTGTCTTCTGCTTCAAGTGAACTTATTTCATGCTATCGCCAGTTTACCTCTCGGAAATTATACAATGTTCACACCTATAATGCAGCCTTCTAATCTTCAAGGCTTACGTGGCTTCTGTGTGATATTGGAAAGAAGGCGTAATTCGAGTTAAATTGTATAAAATCGACTCATTGGTTTTGCTTCCAGAAGCCAGATCTGTAAATACCCTAAAACTTTGAGTAGATGGTGAAGCTGTAAAAGTCTATTCGATACCAGGTGTGCTGTATGTTACCTCGTTTGGCCGTGATAATATCCACATAGATTGTTGAGCTGTCAACTTGCCGTTCAGCATTGGCTATCAGATGTATCCATGGCTGCTACCATTGCCTTATCTATTCAGCGACAGCATAGATTAAACCCTATCGACCAGACCTTCTTCAGATCCACTTGTGTGAGAAGGATGTGAGAGAGAGATAAAGTGATCAGAATTGCCTTAACCGGAAGACCCATAAGGAAATCAGTGTGTGTAGCACCACCGGAATGGGTGGATTCAAATCGGTGTGACACAAGGAGTAAATAAATAGCAGCTGGGTCAGTAAACGGAGGACCAGTCATGCCATGCAATGTAATGCAATGCAATGCAGTGTTTCTTATCTCAACTTAATACTGATCCCAGCAAAGCTATACATAATAGAATAGACCTTGATATCGGTCCTTCAGTCATGTGGGAGTTCTGATTTCGCCACAACCAGGAGGACATGTTTCCACACGACTCCAAGAAATGATTCCTAAGAATAGCACTTACAAAACATAGAAAGAGAACAACATAATGCCTAACTACACTAGGCATCTCGATGAAAATCGCCACAACTATAGACGGCAATGGCCCGAGCATCCTCTGAGCCATTTGGTTCACTCCGTCCTTACCGCTACTCGAATCTCCCTCATCGCCACCCGGGCTTACTGCCTTGTCCTGCTCGGAACGACCCATACACACGGCCCCAGTCTCCTCTCCCTCCACTGTCCCCTTTCAGATTAGATTCCCTGCCTTGTACCCCAAGTTACGGTACAAGCAGGCAGGAAACCAGCATGTATACGCCATGTACGCCTCCTCCAACCACTCGGCCGCGGGCAAAACCCCCCGTCCTGTCCATGACTCTTGTCAGGTCACAGACGCAAAGTCTTTCCCCCCCATCTGGTGCCCAAGTACGGTCTAACATGCGAGTGACATACGCCCCCCTTACACGCCCTCTCTCTCCTCATACCATTAGCCATACATACACCCCCTTTCTCGCCCAGCAAATCTCCAAAACACCCCCAATCATGAATCCAAGTAAACAGCTTATTCGCCTCCAACCCAAGGTTCCTCGCATATTCCCCTCCCTTCCTCCTCTCTTCTCACTTTTGCCCCCTATTGCTCGTACCCCCTCCCCCCCCTTTCCCAACTCTCCCCTCTTAAATCCAAAAGTTCCAGACAATCATAAACTCTTCTCCCATTCTACTTCCGGTTGGAGCTATTGAATTTTACCCCAACTCAGCTCTGCGTCTAACATGAGGGGCAAAAATCAAATAGATTGAGTGTACCAAGTAGTCCTTCGAATCACATTGACGAAGGCGTATTAACGCTAAGGCAGCCTGGAGGTCTTCCTCTTCCCCGATACCGAGATTCGTCCGGTTACGAATCTACGTGAGGGGGAAGACTGGCGCCATCCATCTTACATGCATTATAGTCTCAGCTCTACACTTTGTGGTCTAGGCAGCTCTTCTTTTAGTGTGCTGTTGCGGTATAGTCTGTCAGTCCGGTGCTGGCTGATCGGAATGCCTCGGGCTCGCAGTTGGGGGGGGTTCAGTCGGTTTAGTCGATTATGATCTCATTGTAAAAAGGCTACGATCTAGGATGATACCCAAATCCTCAAGAATGTAAATGAAAAATGAGTCTCGGTAAAATTGTAAATTGTGAAGCTAAAATTGTTGCTGAGTACTCTCTCAGCAGTGTGATATCGAGATCATAATCGTAACGTTTGCCCATGTCCATCGCAAGAAATTCCTATTTCCCAAAACTCCTCCAGGGGTTACAAGCCCCTGTCCCTAATATTCCAACACGCAAGTCCTAAATCCAAACTCTTCCTCTGGCATCGCCAACTCAACCCCTTACACATCCAGCGTCTTCTCCACAAACTCAACCTTCTCGTCTTTCTCGTCTCCGTCGCGATGCAAAAGAGCAACCTCAAAGGAGGAGTAGATGACGTCTTCATTTCCGGTTCTCTGTTCACCTTCACGAGCGAACTCCCATTCTGAGCGAGTAAACCTTTCCAGAACCTGTGGGGCCATGTTGACAAAGCGGAACTGCAACTCCTTGCCCAAGTACTTGCGTAGAGCCATCTTTAACTCAATGAGCAGTAGAACGCCGGTTGTGTCGATAAATGAAATCATTCCAAAGTCAAGTACAATGTAGCGCAAAGGAGAAACGTCGGTTGAGATGGGCGAGATGTTTTCGCGGTGACGGATCCTAGCAACTCGGCGTTTCGTGGAGTCGTTCCACATTCGGTTTTGCTCGGCGGCCTGTGCCATTTCCGTGGTGGGTGAGTAGCGGACCTTGATGTCATCAACAATCGAGTTCTTGAGACGTTCGGCGTTGGGGAACAGGAGGTCGTTTGTAAATCTGACCAAGTACGCCTCAGGGGGAACATCAATCTCCGAGTCATTGGGGCGGCTCTTTGAGAGCGTCCAGTGGTTGTTCTCAGTCTGTGAATGGGAAACTTTGACCAATTGAGGGAAAGCAAGCCTGAGAAGGGTATAAACCAGACTGAAGCCAACGGACACGGCCAGTCCAATCTCAGTGGAAGTGAAGAGTGTCACCCAGAAACCTAGCATGGAAGCAACAAAGTCGATGAAGCTGATTCTCCAGTATCGGTAAAAGAGCTTGGGAGGCGAGACGAGATGAGCGACAGCCATAATCTAGAAAGAAAAGCAATCGGTTAGTTTAACAGGGGGTACCAGTCAGATGAGATTGAAAGACTTACGATGATAGCGGAAAGAGTGGCCTTTGGAATCCAGTACAGAGCCGGGGCAAGTTCGTAGAGTGTCAAGAGAACAAATCCAGCAGTAAAGATAAAGTTGAGAGGAGACCTGGAACCGGCCTCGCTGGAAACGGCTGTGCGGCTCATGGCACCTCCAGACGCCATCGAGCCTTGAATACTGGCAACCATGTTGGCGGTTCCAAGGAACAACAGCTCTTGAGAGCGGTCAATATCATATCCGTTTCGCAGACCAAAGGCCTTTCCAACACCCAGATGTTCGATGGACATGGCGATGAATGGGGCAACAGCTCGACCAGCCACTTTAGCGAGAAGGGCAGTATCATGAGACTTAGCCTTGGCAAGACCGTTGGACTTGATCTCGGTCACAGCCCACATATAATCAGGCTCAGCGCGATCCTTGTTAACGCCCCAGGAGATCAAGGTGTAGATGACAAGAACAACTGCTGCTCGGCTGGTGCAGACAAATTTGATCCACTTGTTCTTCTTACCAAGAGTCTTGCCAACATGCTCAAAGACGAGAAGCATTGCAATACCAGTCAAACCAATGCAGGCCGTCATTCCCTTGATCTTGTCAAGATGACCAAGCACACCGCGAATGATTTCGACAGTTGTAGAACCGACCGTAAGACCGACGAGAGAGCCGACTTGTCCAAGCAAAATGACCAAGGCAACGGCCGAAATCCAGCCAGTCAAGACTGGTCCGCTGACGAAATCGAGGAGGAAACCGAGTTTGAGAGCACCAACAATCAGAGCGTAGACGCCAACCATAAAGGCCACGGCCGAAGCAACTGTGGCCGGGTCTTCGTCTGGCAAGGAGGCAACCGCCTCAGCAGTGAGGAGACCAAGAACCGATGTTGGGCCAGTAGACACCTCTGCAAATGGAACAACACGCGTCAGCAAAACTGAAGCAGATGAGAGATTCTCATTGTCAACAAATGAATTTGACTAACCTTTCGATGTACCCATGAAGAGGTAAAGCAAAGATGGAATCCAGGCGGAATAGAGACCATGGACCACTGGAATAGTGGCAATCTTGGCATAAGAGATGCCCTGCGGCACAAACATGACACCGACCGTGATGCCGGCAATGAAGTCGTTCAGCAGCCATTTGGGATCGTATCTGGGCAACCATTGGACAATGGGAAGCTTTTCGAAGAGATACTCAGCCGCGGCAGAGGGGATGCGGCGAGCAATAGGGCCAGCCCAGCGCTTGACCCTGTTGTAGTTGGCATCTGTACGATAGCTCGTCACAGCATCTTCTTTGGCCTTTGAGAGGCCCTTGGATAGCTTCTCCATGGCTGTAACTCGGAGAGACTCGGAAAGTGTCCGTCGAGCTAGAGGTCTGGAGGTTCGGAAAGGGCTCGGAGTTACGGCGACTCGACAAGCCTCAGCACCTGCGTATGCAAAGCAAACGTATATATAAATGACAACTAGGGCCAACCTTGATGTTATCGATGGAGCCAGACAAAGGTGGTCAAAGCTGGGGGAAGACAGAAAAGGGGGGAGCCACTCGACTCTATATAGGTGCGAGTATGGCAACTCCAAAACCCAGTCGTCTCCTTGGCGATGATTATCAATGCCTAGGCGGTTGACAGCAAGTCTGCTTCAAGCTGAACGGCGGTGCAACACTCGGGCTCAAGAAATCAACGCGAACGAATGGTACCCTCCAAAGGTACCGGTCCTTAGATTTGACAAGAAGAACCGAATCTGTCGCATGCAGCACACCAACTTTATCCGAACAACCACCCTCCCTGTGTAGCACAAAGGCGAAGACGAGGCACACCAACCTTAATCAGAATCGACGAGGGTTCACCGAGAGGGGTAACATTGGGAGCTAAAGAATTGCGTCGACTGCAGCGAACGCGGATCTGAAGACACACGAGTGCCTGGTTCGGCAGTATTTCAAGGTCCTCTGGAAATGGGAACGTCATGTTGCATGGCCTGGATTCCCATTACGTTCGTTGCATGCAGAATAAATGAGCAATTGCTCCGTACATGCAGCATCGACAAGCATCCGTCTGTCATTTCTGTCCCATGTACGAAGTAATCTGAGCTTCGTGCTAGTGCTCCATGCGACATGTACGGAGTACATCGGCCGCATATTGAGCTGGGCTTATGGCCGGCCTGAATAGATCCCCGAGGGAGCAAGGGCACGTTGCTCCGAATACTTGTTCTGCTATGCCTGTAAGTAGGTTGGCCAGGTCCCCTCACTCCTCCCCTACAACTGCCTCTGCCTTGAACGCAGGATATACGAGTACATGTCTGCAAGTACAGTACATGAGGCGTGATGGAGCCTGCAAGGCGATGACGCTTAATTCTCATCCCAGAAGAAAGACAATTAGTCTAGCAAACGCCCCCGAGTTGACGGGGTAATATTCGCTAACTAGCTTCTCCAGACTGCGTGAGAAGTCAGGCCCAGGTTGAAATGCCAGCCCCGGGCCAATGAAGGGGCCAAGCAGGCCTCACGTCCCCCACGACGAGGCGAGCTGTGCAAAGTCACAGTCCCAGTCAACAATGGCAAGCCCCTCAGTGGCGTTTTTTCGACGATAGCTCCAAATCTAACACTCCCTGTGCAGGGCTAAACGAATTTAGCGGCCGGCTAGCAAGACGCTCCCAGCAGTGGAGATTCCCTATTGCATTCTTGCAGGCATCGTTGACGGGGAGCCGGCCAGGTTTTGCCCCTGTACCCGTTCAATTTACCTTTTGCTCTCTGTTCCACACTGTCGCCTGAATGAGCCATCCAAACTTCCCCACGAGCCTTGAAAGAAAAAAGGCCTCCACTCGCGATGAAGACCGGCGTCAAAGACTGATCTGTCGTTGGTATCCACATTGAAAGAGACGGGCGGGGTCGGGAGAACCCACGGCCTTACAGGTTTTGTCGAGAAATGGCATCAAGCACGCACACCGGTGTCCAGGATGTGTTGAGAGATACAGGCATAGTACTTCGTACCTGTGCTCAGTCCTGGTCCATGCAAGTATCACGGCAAGGCTTCAGGGTCCCCTCTGGATCCCAGGGGAGTATACTGCATGGGAATGGCAGATTAAGAAAATCGCTTCCAGCCGTGCCGGTTTTCCGAAGTTGGTGGTATCGCGTTGCAGTATATGCGAGCCAAGACTGTTGCACAGCATGTGCCCAGAAAACGGGACTGCCTGATTGACGCCTATCACGTATGCGTATGGCGACACTGAGCATACAGCATGGAGATCTCTGCCTGTCCAAGCTACATACGAGTACACGACCTCTAGTAAGGACTGAGGTACCCCGATTGCGACATGGCACGAAAAAGGGAAAAACCTTGGAGAGTTGGGGCTGGGTTTTGGGGGAGTGGCTTCCGGCCGTCCCCTGTTCCTGGCAAGGGGAATCTCTGAGCGCCTCTCCGGACCTCAGATGAAGACGACGAAAGCAGCATCTGATGGCGATGGGAATCCATGAGTGGTTGACACAGGCTCTCCGGCAGATGGCTTTAGTCTAGGCGGCTAGTGCGGAGGCCACTTCTTGATCCCGGGCTGTGATGCTCCAGCTCGTCTGCATCTCCAATTCCCAAGGCCTTCTCCTCGACGATTTAGCTTCTTGTTCCAGCCCTGTTAGTGTCGACTTGCCATATCTGTACCAACCGCCCATGTGCTGTGATTGGGCTCGGCAACCCTGCAGAAACCCCTCCTGGGCAAAATGTCCACCTTGGGAACACTGGGTCTCTTTCAACGGGCAAATGCAACGCTGAGGCTGCATGGGATGGTCCCGTTTTAGAAACAGGCGACGGATAACTCGGGCAGCGATTCCTGGTTAGAGTTGCATCAGCCATACCGGCGGCCCTAGTCGAGATGCTCGTCAGCGTTTTCGACTACGTGCGGTACCTGTACCCAGCTGGTAAGCCTCGGGCTGCTGACGTGAAGACGAGGACAGGCTGATTCAACATCTCCAACTCTGCTTGTTTCGAATGATTCTTTTCGTCTCTGCTAGCTAACCACAAAGTCAGAGGCCACTTTGATAGTTCGGCGCCTCTTTGCGGGGTACATTAGGGAAATGGAGACGGAGTGGAGAGATTGTCGCGGAAAGCAGCGATGGAGCTAGAAGGCGGAAAGACCAGCGAAAACATCCACTACCTTAGAATCTGGGCCTTGGGAGGACGAGGTACTAGGGGGTAGCGCCTGTTTAGCGCGCTGGAGCATGTACATTTACTCGCGACAGAGCATCAAAAACAGCCAGTCGAGGTACCTCGAGCTATACCCGTGCCCTAACCTAAGATTTCTCCTCTTTCTGCGCTATCACTTTTTTTTTCCTTCATCCTTCATCCCACACATGCGAGTAACATACATGCCTTAGCAGCTGTCACCTGTCTTACCACAACTGGAGCCTCAAACTAATCCCTACTGCAACCTCGTCCACACCGAGGCGAAACTGTCAGAATGAAAAAGAAAGAGAGGCGTGCGTATGCACCACCGGCACGGCGCGTGAGAACCCCCGACCAGCGAGCGACATGGGTCAGCTTCACCTCGACCAAAGCTAGAGGCAGCAAGTGGAATGCAAATTATGGGACCCAGGCAACCAGGTAGGAAATTTCCTCCCCTTGTCTCTCCGGCTGTCGTCGTACAGATACCGCGTATTATGGTCCAGATCCGGTGGCCAGGCTCTTTGACAATACACGCTTCACCTACCGGAGACATGTGCTCACATGTGCGGACAACTCCGTGTTGAGCCTATTGGCTAGGAATCCGATTCATAGCCAAGGGCTTACATAAAGAAAGCCCATCGCCAAGCTTCCTCATCTACGTGCTCTCCAGATGCCCAGCCTGGGCGTGTTACGTACATGTGCGTACTGACGGGGCATTGTGTACGGGGTGCAGATTGACAGATTGACAGATTGACAAATGACGCCTGCAAACCATTGAGAACCGAGTACGGAGTAGTATCCTTCCTGTTGCCATTGTCATATTCATCTACTACATCCAGCAAGGATTGCCTCTAGGTCCTGTCAGGTCGTCCAACCTCTGGTGAGAAACTTCGTGTTCCGGCTTCGGATGCCGCTTTGTTGAGAGGATAGGGAGGCGTGTGCTGTCTCGAAATACACCACTTGGAGGCCTATCACTGCATCTTACCCCTGTCCTACCTCACTTGTTTTGCAGCCCTCAGAGCTTCCCTACACCAACCATTGGAGGAGGATCACCAATTTCGCCGGTCTGTCCAGTGGGATTACAACATGTAAAGCGTTGAAGGCCTCATGCTTCGGCCATGTCGGTAACTGCTCGAAGCCGATTTTCCTCCGGCTTTAGCTTGTCACTTCTTTTGCATTGCCTGCGACGTCGAGAATACATGTCGCCATGTTCCATTCAAGCCTTCTACATTCATAGGTGTTTTCATATCAGATTTGCCCCCTCCTACCATCCCACCCTCCTTTGTCGACACTCCTAGAGCACTTGGAATCTTCCATTTCCTAATACAATCAAAAATCCGAGGCAATCTCGCAGCTGTTCGGCACGTAAATCTTTGTTCCGAGCGCATGGCATATCCAAAAGTTCCCCCATCTTGCAGCATGAAACAGCTTTACACCGAGATTTCTTCACGCCTCAACCAATCTAGTTCGGTTTGAAGATGCCGTCATGTCCGCTCTTAGCCCAGTGATCGACATGCAGACAGCCGTGGATGTCTTTTCGCTGCACATTAATCAAACCAACGCCTCTCATTTTGCTCCGGTTTGCCTTTTTCTGGCCGCCAGGGTCACATCAAAGATACTGACTCGAGCTCTCTTGATACTAGCATTATGGGTCGATGGCGGGATTTTCCGTCAAACTGCCGGTCTTGGACCCATTGGGCACTCATTGATATACGAGCAGGCGATGCGTCAACCTCACATTGCTATCTAGTCGTGATGACTTCCTTTACGCCGTATCCTCCCCCCCCCCTTGCCTGGCTAACACCCAGACTCCTAGCCTATTAATAAAATCGCCACTACGAGCCACCCCATGCGGACCTCGGGATATTAGGTACTGCTTTGTCACTGCTTGGTGGTGTGCGGATAACATAATCGCATTGAGCTGCTACCTGTTCAGGTCGTTTACCAGCTGCCCAAACGGGTCGACGCCCGCTCGCCCAACGTGCCTTATCTCAAGCAAAATAGCGGCCGTGGCCTCGGGAATTTTTGCATTGGACAACACATAACTCTATCTGTGAAGCATGATTTCGTAGATGCAAGACGCCGCCCTTTGATAGATGGTTCTTTTGTTGTGAAGCCTCAATATCGATCCGGGACGTATTATAGCTGCCGAGCTGCATGTGGCTAGCCGGCGCAAATGGAAGGGCGCCTTTCCCCGAGACTGAAACAAACCTACCTAACAGCCTGTGAGGACAACACATGGGCGTTGGGAGTTGCGCAGGGAATTTTTGATACCTATGCAGTTCCTTCCGGCTATTCTACGCCACCAGCCTGTATTATGTTGTTTATGGCTGTTGGTTTCTGGGCTAAATCCCATGTCCATGTTATGAGAGGAACACCCACACTGCCTGCAGCTAAATCCCACCCCCTTTTTTTTCACGAACAACAACCCTATTTCAGAGGTTATCGTGAATTATTCCGCAAGGGAGCACGTGTGGAATCAGAGGACGAGGGGCGTTTTGCTTACAAAGGAATGTCTGCCCACTATTTACTTTTTTCAGAAGAATATTGAATAAAAGAGCAAACTGGCATTTGCTGCAACGAAATTCACGCTCTGATAAACACGACGAGCCTTATTGGCTACAAGGCAGCGCGTAGTTTTCGTACAGGTCATATGACTGATTATACGACGGGTCTGGAATATCTGATGAAATGTAGGTAGAGGACAGTGCGCGGGCACGCACGTAATGGCAACAATTCGAACAATAGCCACAGCCAGAAATATCTGTACCTAGGTACCTGTACCTACCTAGTAGTTCTGTACCTAGTTCTGTAGAACAACACAGGCATGTCCTTTTTCACTTAGCAATCTCACCACCAGACGCGGACAAGCATCCGAAATGACCCCACATCCGCACTGCCTGTACAAGTACGCGTGAATTCTTTGTAAGACGTAAGCCGATTACTATTCTGTTCCCAGGTTCATACGGGAATCCGCAACCTCATTTAAGCAGGGGGTTTTGGGGGGTTTTGGGGGGAGGATTTGGGGGGAAGGGAGATGTTGCCTATAGAACACAGTACTATTCAAGAGACGCCTGGCAATACGGTGTGCAGCCATACAGTATTCCCACCGCCATGCTGTCGTATTGTTTGATCGAGAGTCGCACGCCGGTCTCTTTTGAGGCTACAGTGTAGACCTTTTGTCACGTACAAAAACTCCTTCCGGCGTTGGTGTAACCCCAGCGTAGCTCCGAAACGACGGACAGCTTGCTTTGGTAGCTTCGAGAGCTCGTTCTTGTTCGCAAAAAGGAAAGACGACGGGGAGAAACACGGAAAAATCAACAAGATTATTTTTATGCTTAAAACTTTGTAAAATATTTCGCGATTGATAATCAAAAAACTACAGTGAGCCTCACATCTCGAGGCAAGTGAATTAAAGATATGAAAAAAAGAAACGCCCTCTCCAGATGACACATGACCCTTGAATCGTCGTCCCACAGTAAATACATGTACAGTAAGTTATGGTTTCCTCATTACGTCCTTTTCTCCTTCAATTTTGGTTTTTCTTATGTCGTCAACTTTTATTTCGTAATCTCGTCCTTCTTGGCGTCCTTGACCTGCTCCCAGAACTTCTCACCGGCCTCCTTGTCGTCGGCGAACAGGTGGTCGAGGACAAGGCGCTGAGGAGTCTCACCCATCCACTGGAAGAGGGAGAAGTCACGGAACTCGTCGGCGCGGAAGATCTCGAGCATCTCGACGGGCTCGTCGCCAATGTTCTGGACAAAGTGGCCCATGTTGCGGGGAACGATGCCGACGTCACCGGCAACGTAGTCAAAGGTGCGGGCAGTACCCTCAGAGGCGAAGATGGTGACACGGGCGCGGCCGCTGATGAAGAAGGACCACTCGTCGGCGTTGGGGTGCCAGTGCATCTCACGGATCGCGCCGGGCTCGATGACGGCGTGGGCAGCAGCCACGGTCTTGGAGATGGGGAAGTTCTTGGAGTCAGTGATGCGCACCTCGCCGCCCTTGGTCTTCTTGGGCTCCTGGTCAAGCATCTTGTGGGTGAACTGGTAGTTGGACTTCTTGACGTTCTTGCCCTTGGGCGCCTCATCATCAATGGAGCCGGGGACAGAGCCCTGGAAGATGTACTTTTCGCCGGTGGGGAGGTGGTCAAAGAGCTCGGGAGCGAGGTGGAAGTTTTCGGCGATGACGGACTTGGGGGTGTGAGCTGTGAAACCCGTTGTTAGTATACATCATACATGCAGAAGAGTAGTAGCAGTAGCCGTAGCCACTTGCAAGAAAAGACATACCAAGCCAGTCGGACAGAATAAAGGTCGACTCCTCAGAAAAGTTGCCGTCATCAAAGATGATGAGGAACTCGGTTCCGTTCTCACCGAGACCCTGCAGAGAGTGAGGCACACCGCTGGGGAAGTACCACAGGTCGCCCTTCTTGAGGTCGTCGATGAAGTTGCCGCCCTCGTAGTCAAGAGCAGTGACGCGCACCTCGCCGTCCAGCACATAGGCCCACTCGGCCTCCTTGTGCCAGTGAAGCTCGCGAATGACGCCCTTGTCGAGTCTCATGTTGACTCCGGCGAGCTCGACGCTGGTGGGGAGCTCGCGAACCGTCGTCTGTCGGGTCCAGCCTCCTTCCTACAGTTTCAGTGTCAGCATGGATCAATCGGGATCGCGCGGGTTTCAGGCGATTGCAGCGGGTTTCTCTCCTTACCTCGATTCGCACGTGGGAATCAGTGAAACTCCAGCGCATGTTGGCAATGTTGCCGTGGTCGGTGCTGGGCGGGCGGATCATGTCGGGGCTCTGGCGCGATCGGTCGCGGTTGTAAGGGCCCAGGACGGAAGCTCCAAATCCGTTTCGCCACGGCTTGGGGTCCAGCTTCTTGCCAATAGCATCGACGTAGTTGTCCTCGGCATCGCGATGGCCAGGAGTGTAGGGCTTGCTGTTCTCGCCGTATTTGGTGGGCAGATCCATGCCATTGAGCAGACGCTGGCGCGGGCTGTCGAGGTGAGGCAGGGCAGCTGTCAGGCTGGCTCCGGCAAGGAGCAATTGGGATGCGGAGAGCTTCATTTTTGCTGGGAGGGTTACGGGGTGCTTCAGTCAGTGCGGCGGAGAGCTTCCTCTACGGTTCAATGCGGTTGCAAAGGTCTGGGTGAAGCTTGTCCGACACAGGGCGGGCGCCATGATTTATAAAGCAGGCCACGACTTGCCTCGTACGACAATTCATGCCTCCGCTGCGTTGCACGGCACGTCACTTCTGTACATCGGGAGTACAAGGCTGGAGCTCCTTATGCTCGCGTCGTCTGGGGGGCCGCCGTCGCAAAGCTCTGGTATAAGCTTTGTACTTGACGTCTCCAGTTCGCGGTATTGCCTCACCAGCCCACTGGTGATGATGGGCGAGCGGGACCAGACGGTACTCCTTGATCGCTGTGGTACCTCCATCCGCCGCGAGCTGCCACCACCATCGCAAGTATCTCTCCTGCCCCCCGATACCGCCAGGAGCCGCAGGGGCAGTCGAGCCTTGACCGATTCCGAACCAAGTCCGTGTAATTGCAGCTGCGCGCAAGGCGAAGGTCGGCGTCAGATCTGGCGTCCACCAATGGGGAGCTCGTATTTCCGAGTCGAAAAAGTCGCGGTTCCTGGGCATTGGGCGGCGCAAAAGTAGGTTCCGGCTCTTGGGCAGGAGAATTATTGGAGACTAGCTGAAGGGCCTGAGACGGCAGGGGTCCGTTTTGCGGCGTTGCAGAAGGCCAAGCTTTGGTTTAGCTCCCTTAGCTCATTGCGCAATTGCGGTAGCTCTACAGAGGACTCTAAGTGTTTGCGGCTACATGAAAGCCCGAAGGAGAAATTCCCTGTCGGATATCATTGATAGGCGCGGCTGTCCCTCGACTGGACGAGGCTTCAAGGAATTATTTTTTTTACGTTGATCTTCTTCTTCTTCTCGTCAACATCACATTGACATTGGCAACGACATTGCCCTTCCACAATGACCACCTACGGCACCACCAACGGCTCGGCTGCCGTGCCCAATGGCACCTCTGGCGATGAAGAACAGCCGCTACTGCGCAACGGCTCCTCCAAGCCGCGGTCCGTCGTCTCACGGCTGCGCAAGCAGATGACGGCCGAGGTCTCGCGATCGTGGGCCGACGTGGTGCTTCTTCTGTGCTACGTCGTCACGGGCCTGCTGGACAGCGCGTCGACGCAGGTCTGGGGCGCGTTTGTGTCGATGCAGACAGGTTGGTCGGCTCTCGCTGGATGAATGGGGAATCTCATCGCGTGCCTCACTTTGCAGATGAATGAGATGAAGAAACTCAAAGATTAAAGGCCGGAAAGGCTAACCATCACATGTCAACGCTTAGGAAACACTGTCTACGTCGGTCTGGGTCTGGCCTCGCTCATCTACCCCCCTACGAATGCCCGTCTCTACAAGTCCGGCATCTCCCTCGTCTGCTTCTGCGTTGGATCATTCCTCTTCGCCCGCTTCCACCGGTACTTTTCGCCCAAGAGGAGGTGGGTGCTCTGCGTGTCCTTTGCCGCTCAGACGCTCTTCATCGTCGCCGCCGCCCTCATCGTCACTCTCACGAAGCCATCTGAGGACAAGGACCATGTCGGCTGGACCGTCCTGGCGCCTCTCGCGCTCGTCGCCTTCCAGAGCTGCGGCCAGGCCGTGACGAGCCGCGCCCTCAAGTACAACGCCTTGACCAGCGTCGTCCTGACCAGCATCTACTGCGACCTCTTCTCCGACCAGGATCTCTTTGCCTTCCAAAACGCCGAGAGGAACCGCCGTGCGGCTGCGCCTACGCTTCTGCTTGTCGGTGCTGTCCTGGGTGGGATTTTCTCGCATAGCTCGCTTGGCATTGCAGGCGCATTGTGGACTGCCGCCACTCTCAAGGCCATCATGGTCATTACTTGGTTTTTCTGGCCGGCAGAGCCTTCAGACGATGAGGAGTAGACAGCGCCGCCATTGTGTTGGGCATGATATAGCGTTGAAAAATAGAGCACACCCATTTTGAAGCATTGTACAGCCAGTCACAGTCACAGTCACAATCACAGCAGCAGCATTGATAACATCCATAACATGAAAGAGACTTGACACCATGTGTCACTGTGAGACCACCTACAGACATGAGACACCTCCAATGTCTTGCTTCGGCGGCAATTGGACTGCCAAGTGCCCGCGCCTTTGATCAAGAGGTTTACCCGCACTAAGCGATGCTTCACTAGCATGCACATCGTCAGAAATGAATCCAGCGATGTTCCCCTCTGCCACCCAACCAGTATCTGCATCGCGGTCTCGTCGCGGTCTCGCCCGCTCGGCTTGTATTTCAAGGCGCCGAGCCACTCTAAAAAGGCCCACAAAATTGGCCGCCAAGGCGATGCCGCCAAAGCGGGAGGGAAGAACAAAAAGCATCTCCGAGACATGATGACGCCGAGTGACGGAAGCCGGACCAAGTGCGGTTGTCGGAGATGGGATGCCTTCCTCTGCAGGTATGAGAATGAAGAATGAATGTTGCATGTATTTAGTGAATGAGGAATGAGGACAAGAGATGGTGACTCATATGTAAGAACAATGAATAGGAATAGAAATGCGCACAACTACTTTGAATATATATACATACCTTTTAGAATCTGTCAATATGGTTTGCCTCCATCAACCTTGTCAAAGTTGTCCTGAAGTGAAACTCGTTGATGCCATGTCTGGTGAAGCCGTGATGAGATGCCAATGCCAAGCCTCAACTTACCCGGAACCTGTACATTGAAGGCGCCAGCGTGACAACCTCATGCAAGAAGATTGGTTTAAGAGCTCAGAAAAGATATAGGTAAAGTTGAATTAGGTATAGCACATAGTATGAGCTCGATGGAGGCCTCTGCCATACAGAGATGAAACAACATGCGCATGGAGTCTCATCTCAGCGGGCGAAGTAAGAGTAGATGAGAAGCTACATGTACGCATCATTAAGGGCACCACTCACCACAATAGAACAAAGGAGTGACCACCTAGCATCCCAAGAGGACTACCCAGCATCCCGTACCATAAGTCACATACTTCCTTAATACAGCTCAGTTTGAGTCTAATGCTGAGCAAACTTTGAATGATGAATGTATAAAACAATTGCGTCTTAAGGCATATGGTGAACAAGCGTTGAAAGATCTTGGGCTTCATGATTTTACTCATGGCTTTCTCTCATTCAAATTCCCACACGGATGAAAGAGGTTACAATTCCCACCTCAACATCTAAAATCCCAGAGGATGTAAGAACTCGACTGAGGAGCAAGCCCGGGGCAGCAATTTCCACAGACAAATCTATCCCCAAAGACAGTATGCCTAGGGTAGCAATCTCCAAAGTCTGAATCGCAATCTCACTCATCAATATGGATTGACACCTAACTGCAACTTCCAGAAAGCCTCGTGCTTTGTTACCCAGGCATTTAATACACGCATGATCAATTAACCCTGCCACACTGTGCATCTAACGCTGTAATGTTAGGAAGAGATTAATATTATCCCCGTTATGCAGGAGGCTGTTTGTGAGGCAGAGGGTGAAGATGTGGCTGGAAGAGGTAACACCGACTTCTATTACATACTATATAGCTACATGTTCTTTACCAGATACCAGGAAGAGGTAGTGGTAGTAGCAGATACCACCTATCAAAAAGGTAACAACACTAGTAGAATAGATACTATAAGGACTGGGTAGATTTGTAAGTAATCCGTCGTAATATGCCAAGTCTTTACTCCTTGTTCTGTGGGCTTCATGTAGGTCAGATTTCCATCTCCTCCCTCCTGCAGCAAATTGTCACATTATACGAGGTGGTGCCTGGTGAGTATGTAACATGGACAAATAAATTGGATTGCCTGGTGTTGTTCCGAGCCGCATAGTCGCATTGATGACCTCAGTCCGATAGCCGACGTCGTCTTCTTTTCCGCCCCCATCTCCGTTATATCCATATATTTGCCGCTACCTTCACCACCATCACCGTAAAATCCATAAATATCCGTAACCTCTTTCAAAGCTTTTCTTTTCTCTTGGGAGTCAGTGTCTTCAATCATCGTCAAATCCAGTCACCTACCTCTTTTCGTCATTGGCCAGCCAAGCTCCGCGTCCCTCTCCAAAGCCGCGATGTGACGCTGCCAGCGCGTCCACGAGACGCAAGAGCAGGGATTCATGAGAGCTGAGCGAACCTGGAGATCCTCAAAAAATCTCCACCATAGCTTCTCGACGACCAATCTTCATTCGTCCGGTTATCATCTCGTCCCTGTTCGGCAGTTGAACCATGCTCGCTTGGCGCAAACATGTCTTAGACAGAGCTTGAGCCGCTCATTCTCCCCGCATTCCTACCATAGGCGGCGGTGCGACGTTGAAGATTTTCAATTCTCGTCGGTGCGACGTCTTTTGTGCTTTGGAAATTCTCTTTCTTTACAAACCTCTTGGGCTTGAGGCAACAAGATTGGAGCGCGTGGGCAGTATCAATTGACTCGAGTCGACCATATCGCTAGGGTCATTCCTGGAGGAACTTGAACGTTCATCCACCACGAATTGCAAGTTTCTGGCAATATTGGTGACAGGTTAATCTCCAAGATGGATGCAAAGCTGGAAGAAGCGACGGTTTCGCAACAAATAGACGTTGACATTGCTGGCCTCAAAGATGTATGATGAACTCGTTCCTCCATCTCTACACCATACGACATGAAGATATAAGTCGGGCAGCTAACACAAGCCCTCTCAAGGAACTTCCACCTCCCCAGCAAGGCCCCATTACAGAGGCAGAGAAGAACCTTCTGTGGAAACAAGACCTCCGAATCATCCCCATCTCTGCGGGCATCTACTTCCTCTGCTTCCTCGACCGCGCCAACATCGGCAACGCAAAGGTCCTCAATGTATCAACCAACGACGACCTGCAGCACACAGCCAACATGAGCAACAAGCAGTTCAACGTCGCTCTCATGGTCTTCCTCGTTGCCTACGCCGTCTTCGAGGTCCCCAGCAACATCCTGCTCAAGAAGCTGCGTCCGAGCCGGTGGCTGGCCTTTTTGATGTTTTGCTGGGGCGCCATCACCATGTGTATGGGTGCTACGGGTAGTTTTGCCAGCGTGACGGCGGTAAGATTCTTGCTCGGGGTGTTTGAGGCGGGCTTATTTCCGGGACTGGTGTATTACTTGACGTTTTGGTATAAACACGACGAGCGAAGTGTACGGTAAGTTACATGTAAGATCCGGTTCAACTTTGGGAATGCCTGGCTAATGTATACCTTGATAGAGTGGCTTTTATTCTCGCGTCGGCGACATTGGCTGGAGCTGTAAGTTCAATAGCATTTATGTCTTATACAATATGCTAATCAAGCCTGTTCACAGTTTGGTGGAGCCATTGCTTATGGCATCGGACACATGAACCAAGCACAAGGCCTTGCCGGCTGGCGCTGGCTTTTCATCATCGAGGGCATCCCATCCTGCTTGTCCTCATTCCTTGTCTATTTCTTCTTACCCGACTACCCTGAGAGTGCCACCTGGCTGTCCGAGCCGGAAAAAGACCTCGCTGTTCAACGCCTCTTTCACGAGGGCAGCAAAGGCCATCATCCTAGCATGACTTGGCAGGATGCCAAGGCCACTCTCACTGATTGGCGTCTGTATGCTCACTATCTCATTTACTTTGCCATTAGCCCGCCGTTTGCCAGTCTCAGTCTCTTTTCGCCGTCCATCACGAGTGGTCTTGGATATGTTGACTTGAAGGCGCAGCTCATGACTGTGCCACCTTGGGCTGTTGCCTACGGTAAGCCTCCCCGAACGATATTCTATAACGGTGAAATAAAACGTCAGATGCTAATTGAAGTTGGGGCTTCATAGTTTGCCAAGTCATCGTCGCGATATCAGCTGACCGCTTCAATGCCCGAGCCCTACACGCTGCAGGAGCTGCTATGGTTGGTGCTATTGGCTTCATAATCTCAGCCGCTCTACCGGCAACCTCGTACAAGTCTCGCTATGGAGGCCTCATCCTCGCTACCGCAGGCTCATTTGCCAGCATCCCACCCCTGCTGGGCTGGCTGACCTCAAACGTGGTCAGCACCGCCTCCACAGGGTTGGCAATCGCCATCAACGTGAGTATTGGTGGAGGGCTTGGACAGATCCCTGGTGTGTGGATTTACAAGGCAGATGAGGCGAAGAAAGGCTATCCAACAGGCCACTGGACGAATGCGGGCTTTCTGCTGCTCGTTGTGATTGTTACTCTTGGGCTAAGGGTGTTTTATGGGCGTAAGAATAAGGCTTTGATCGCCCATGGGGAGAGAGAGGGAGTGCCTGTTAGACTTTATAAGCTCTAAGAAGATAGGTTCATGTTGCTACACGATTTGCTGTGTTTAATGGCTGCGTTAGCTACTTGAGTGGAGCATATGGCTAAAATTGGAAATAAGAATCATGAGATATGCCTTTTTTTTTAAAAAACATAAATGCTTATGGTGGATGCTTTCACACTTCATCACGCTCATTTCTGCTTCTCCCTTTGTGAATATCTGAACCTATGCGGTTTCTCAAACCCGACAAACCGACACCTAAAGTAGTGTAGTGCATAAAGAATGGAACATAAAGAAAGAGCAATAGGGGTTTGACTCGACACCACCTACATAGCTTTAGTTGGGCAGGGGTATATCAACTCAAAAAATGTCTTCGTCAAATCATTCAGCACGTTTGCTCTCACTTTGCCTTTTAATATGCCCTTGAACTTTTGCCGTACTCTCATTCTCGTAAACAGCTCAATTATCTGACTTTCTGTGAAAAAAGGATTATGAAATGCTTCATTCCCTAAAGAGAATTCTTGCAGCACCGTGTCTCGGCATCTTGTCGCAAGACTTTCGATTTCCTCGATTCCTGCGTCATGTCAGAATGGTAGCAGTCTCTGTAAAACATGAACGGCATCTTACCGCATTCCTGAATGTGGCCTGTAGAGCTCAGTCTCTGGAACATTATTTGATTCAGATTGAAGGGAACTTACTGTTAAAGGCAAGCTCCTGAACCATCCAAAGATTCTGGGCACCTTTCTGATCCATTGTAATTCTCCACGATAATTGATAGCTCGGCGTTTTTTTCAACTTGATATCATTCTCAACGGCGATTTTCATCAGGACGTTAAGTCTGCTAGGTTTAATGATGTGTCGCGCTATTGAAGCCCATTAGAAGTATTCGCTTGTAGTAACAAATGTTGGGACCACTCACCTCTGGCGATAGCATTTTCGGGTCCATCATCGCTGAAGTCTTGTGATTGAATTTGCTCCTCATTGGAGGGACCACCTGGGCCACATAAGATTGTATACCTCCAGTGCTTTGTGTAGATCCAGAAGCGATGGGGTGGAAGCCGAGTATAAGCATCCATGAGGAGATTACGATTTCTCTCCCGAAGGCTTTCATCAATTCCGCGAGACCAAACATCAATCTTGATCCGCAATTTCATCATCAAGCGAACTTGTTGCATATCCTTTGCAAGCGTTTGCTTCGACCCGCCTGAAGTTCTCCTTAGCAAATATAGAAACGGGGTCGAAAAGTAAATTACCTAAGATATTGTATATTTGCATATGTTCAGTTGGATTATCGTCCGGAATAGAGTCTAGTAGTTCAGGAAACATATCAAATATCCCAGCCCGATCGACTTGTTGCATGGCATCATATTTCAGCCCTGGGACGTCGATTTCCTCCCAAACGGGTTCTTTGTCAGAGCCCATCTGCTTTAACACTGCTGCCAGCTTCCTCAAACAGAGGCGTTGTAAGTCATCTGGGAGACAAGTAACACGTTTCCCACTCCAATTAGGCTTCGTGAGGTACCACTCAAGAGTCTGGAGAAAGGACTCCTTGGATCTGAATACCACACTGGTGCAGGAACTGGCATTGTCAAGAAATACGCAGTGGATCTCGTTGACATGGTGCGTATCGATCGGGAAAAACTCAAAGAAAAACTTGTGATGCGGCTTTAGAGAGCCATCTTCATCCTCATTCAACCATGGAGCGCCATCTTTGTCATGGGTATAGTTGTTACTAGCCTTCGAGATAGGAAGATCAGCTAGTGTAGACTTGGTGTCGCTTCCATGAAATTTCTCGACAGCTAGATACCATAGCTTAGCTTTTTGAGCCTTCGCTTCGGGGTCAGTGGCATCCTCTGGAGACGGAAGTAGGTTGCTCCGAAGGACAATCATTAATTTCGGAGATATTGGGGCAAACTCGTGGAAGTTCGTCCATGCCACCTCTTTCGACTTTCCCGTCTCCAGGTCGAGCATCAACTGATTGGGGCCTTCGAAAATATGGTAGCAATTGTCGGTAAGGATGAACTCGTCCTGAGTATTAGACGGGGTGCAAATAGCCATAAACATGGACTGGCAATGGTTTATAACCCACATCGCGTCGTCTGGATACATACGTTGTGGGAGTTCTGATATCCACCTCAACTCATCATCCATATCTAGTTCGATGATGGTTTTGATGTTATCGAGCCAGACGTCTATAGGTCTTTCAAACCCTTTCTCCTGCATGTATTCAAGCATCTTCTCTCTATCATTGGCGTTGTACCCTGCCGCTGTTTCGTGGTTGTAGCGCCTGTAGAAAGTCGATCCTCGGTACTTCATAAGGAAGAGAAACTTCCTGATATCATTTCGGTGACTTCGTGTAAGCCAGATGCCGCCCTGGCGTTCATTGAAGGACTTGGTAATGTCTCGGAAGATAGCGCTGACCTTTGATTCAACTCTGCTAAACATCTTCTCAATATGCTGCTGTTGTTGATAAGGTTTGTTCGTATCCCGATACATGTCAATCTTGCCAAGTATATTCTTTACTTGCATCTCTACGACTTTCGGCGCTTCGGAAGACAAGTCCAAGCGGTTGACGACGGGATCCCTTTGGCGGACTTTTTTCCCAGCTCTATGGCGGGTAGAGGTTTTCGAGCCATTTTTTGGAGCGGCGCTTGTACTGGCAAAATTCCTCAGAAGGAATTGCGGAACAAAGTGGTGATATTGCGATGGCTCGCGGTCAAGAGTCTCCATGCTGGACTTTGGTTGTGTTGGCGCACTGTGCTGTGTTGATGTGTTGGGCATCTTGGGCATTATCGTGAAGTGGCCTGCGCCAAGCTCGCCGATATTCTCTGAATGGCGACTGATTATATCTATGCGGCAGCCTGACATTGCGCACCGACTATTGATCCGGCGCTGCAATCATGCAATGTGACGAAACAAATTAATATACTCACAGCCGAACTCGAAAACGAATGCATTAATTTATAGGTACCCCAGTCGCAAGTGTCAACAGAGACAAATGACAGATAACACCGACACGTACACAGTGGAAGAGATTAAAATCGTAAAGGATAAACCACCATTCTGGACGAACTCGAACGAACTAGAATAACTCCAGTATAACGAGAACATCAAGGCCACAGCAGTGCGCCAGACTGTTTAGGTACAGTACTGTATACATGTATTCTCGCGACGGCATTTAGAAGCAAGATGAAGTATACTACATAGCCAAAATGTGAATACATGGCTCTCCGCTGTCTCACAAGCTTCATAATCGTAACTGAAAGTTCATATATTATCACTTATCAGTTAATGAATTTTGATGAACAGCCTCAATAAGGTACCTTGTAACTCTGGACATGTACTGCTAGATACATGCAGTCACTCTCTTGGTGTATTACACCACATCAAGCTGATTGGCGCATGTTGCCATAATTAATGTATGGATTCATCTGATCTTTCAGCCGCTACATCTAAGCCATCGTGGTTGTACTATAATCAGGGGTGGAATATGTATAATGCTTAAAAAGGGTAGTGTAGGTAGTGTAGCCGTGCTCTCAGCTGCTCATCTATCCATTCACCGTAAGCAACTTGTGTACATCTTTACGAGGCCAGCAACCCGTGGAATACTCCCAAAAAGGCAGATTCGCAAGAACGGTAGCCAATCATCAACAGTTGTATCTCAGACGCCATATGTAGAAATCTATCGCCTCCAGCTTCAGCGATTGCTTAAGTGACCCGTCCCCGGCTCAGAAGCTCCGGCGCCAGAAGCATCTTGCAACACACTACCCGTTGACAGTAAGTGTATTGGCTTGGGGCCGGGGAACATGTCCCGCTGGTCCGCCTCGACCCTCGGAATGATGCTTCTTGTAGATCCTTTGTGGCAAATGATAGCATAGACTTCCTTCAGAAGAGATTCCGGCCAAGTCATAGGCCTTGGTTTTGCATCAAACAGCATGTCTCACTTCTCATCCTCTCTTTGACTGCATACTCAAATTATGCCGGTAAGGTGTAATCGACTTCGCGCTGACACTGTGAGTATTGCAAGTTTGCGCATGACAGCCTTTCTACTTGTAGGTCCGGATTACCGGAGATGGCAGCCGTCTGGTCTATCTGGAAGGCAATGACGTGTAGTGTTCCTAATCAAAGAGTACAGGTGCATGTGGACATGCATTTGCTTAGGTACTGATGTCATGGTGCAACTCGCTTCAACAGCCTAGAACGTTGTGATTATGCTGCAAAGGTTCTGGAACATATATACAAAGCTATTGTCGAGGTAATGATTATATTGTTAGTCTTGGAAATGTAGTAGCCTAGACTAGCCCAAGGGGTCGTGCAAGGTCATGTATTCAGAAACGCTCTGATTGGAGTGGGCTTGATGCCCCTGGTGTATCTGGTGATGAGTATGGCTACTGACCGAACACACCTAGGTAAGCAGTATCTAATTTGGGGATTAGATATGCTAATTTGTGCCTTTATTGTTCATTAATGGTATGTACACCCGTCATATGTTGATAAAGTCAACATCATCGATCAGGTACGCGGCCCACTGTGACGTACGTACCTATATACATGTAGCTTTAATGTTTAAGCTGACAACAAAGGCTATCTTAAGGAGCTGAGCGATCAGATCAGGAATACGGAGTACAGTAAAACAGTTTTCTTTTTCTTTTGTTTCCTATTTTACTCATTACTCATTCTGTCGACAAGCTCTCAGCTGCCATGATGCATACGCAACGTAAGCGAGAGGATCGACAGGTGTGCATACCCGAGCCAAGGAAGCTTGATCAAGTGGGTGCGGCAATGGCTTCAATCCCAAAGGAGATGATCCGAAATGAAGCGATTCCCTCTCATCTTGTCCACGGCTCTTTTTACCACACCCTTTCTGTAGACCACAGGCTCAATGTCTCTCCATTCCAGCCCAGCTCGGGTGAGTCCTGGATGGCTGCCTCAGGATGAATCACCTCAGGCATCCCAACAGGGAAAAAAAAAAAATAATAAATAATAAAGAATACATCACGGGTAGCCGAGACATTAATGCTACATACAACACGGCAGAGCCGTATTAGCATACAGAAGCAATGAATGATCCTTTCGCCTCGTCTCTCGGGCACGGCTCCGGCACTATTGGTCGCGTGGCGTCGCAGAGAGAAAAAGAAATGACGTCGATTGCGGCGTCATAAACGCGGATCCAAATCGCGGCCCCGCCAAAACGCCCTGGCACTTGCTGCATGTGCCTCCCCCTCTCAAGTACCGGCTTAGCAGAAGAGTGCTTGACGCTGGCCGGGGGGATGATGCGCGATACATGTACATTCTGGGCTTTGGCTGTGTGGGAGATTTGCTTTCCGCCCATGGCCTTGGCATCGGTCATCAACATGTGTATCTGCATGTACATTGCATTACATCAAATGTAGGTATCGACATAGTCAAGACGAAACAATCAGCGGCGCGGCATTGGTTCCTTGCTTTGGCTCTCTACACAACACAACACGCGGAACAGCACGGAGCAAAATGGACACTTCCTCGGATCAGGTGTCGAGGAAGCGAAGCATCCTCCCGTGTCGACCGACAAGGACACGCCGCCTTGCTACTGCTTTGGCGGCTGACTGGCTACGCCTCGCCACCCGGCATTTGCAATCAACGACGACGACATAGACTACAGTGTGCCTTTGGATGAATGAAATGTCAATAAACAATGCGGCGTACTCCGTAGCTTGGGCAATGAACCCGCCCCGCGGGTGAATCTGCACGTCTTGTTGCACTTCTTGTTGCACTTCTGGTTGCACTTCTGCAAGCCTCGTCTCCTCCTCTGCGGTCTCGACCCGTATCTGTAGGGTTGCCCAATGCCTGAGGGCCAAAGCATGATGCTGGATACTGGGTCCAGGCAGGTCTAGGCACTTACAAGTTGCATCTACCTTGCAAAATAGCGGGCTAGTGCCTACCTGTAAGCAAGATTACCGCCCGGCACAGGCACCGTCAAACCAACTGCATTTTTCCTCGTGTCGTATTGATCTTGTTTTTTGCCTGCAGATGGGACGAGGAATGTGACCCAGCTGTACCTTCTGGCCTCTTCCATCCCGGGACATGTGCATTCCATAAGGCATTTCATGGCACAGGTTGCAGACGAAGCCTGGAAAGTTGGGTGATGAAACAGCTGTTCAGTCAAGCAGCTGTCGGGCTGGGGTGCGTCATCAACACCCTTTCGCAGTGCTGTACGAGTACTTGTACTTCCCTACTAGTCCATGTCGACAGGCAGCAAGGCGAAGTTTAAGTCGCCCGTTATAATAAAAATAAAACAACCTTGAAGGGAAAAATTCAAAAATACCACGCCCGGCCCCGTCTCCAATTGCGCGCATTTCCCTCTTCTCTTCTTCTTCTTCAACTCCCTCGCCCGAATCGCCAGCTTTGCGTTGCTGCCAAGTCTCTGCAACAGCTGCCGAGAACAAGCACCAGCACCAGCACTAAGGAAAAAAAAAAAAAAAAAAGACCTGGAGCGTTACCCACTACCAGGTCCTGTTAGTAGCTGTCTGCTAGCCTCTTGTAGGCGCAGCAGCCGCACGTCACTTTCCACCCACTTGGATTTACCGTGCCGGAAGCATCACTAATAAGTGCCTACACCACCTTCTTCCCATCCGCTGGAGCCATTCCCTTCCTCTTCTCTCTTCATTTCCTCCCACTTCGCCAGCGAGCAAAAGTATCCCCTGTTCTCGATCCAAATCGCTTTTGCCGTCAGCTTCTACCAAGCCTTGTCTCTCCGCCATAGAGCCTCTGTCAGCTTAGAAAGGGGATAAAAAGGAAAAAAAAAGTACCACAACGTTTGCTTGCCTGCAAACTCATTTTAAAACCCCGCATCATCGCACACCATCCGCGCAGGACACACGTTGGGTCATTCCTCGCTATCAGACATTGTTGCAATTTTTCCATTTCATCCCATAATCTGAGCCTCCGCCAAACACGCTGAGCTTCTTTATTTTCTCATTTTTCCTCTCTACACGCCAGATTTAAGAGCACAGAGCAAGAAACTTTTCAATTGCGCAGCATAGAACAAATCATCCGCCCACGCCAACTTGTACCTTTCACCGCGCCGTCGCTCGTCAGCGGCGCCTCTTCTTAACCATGTCTACCATTCAACAGCTCAAAAATTTCATTCGCCATGGTATGACCAAACTCATCAGTTTCCCCAAAGTCTCGTCTTTTTTGACTTGATATTATGCAGCTCATACTCTTGGAAAGTAGCCAGTATAGTCGACTAACTGAACTTGATGCCAGGCAAACAAGCACGCACGGCCAATTTCCCCGAAGAACAGCGCAAGCATGAGGTCCCTCCTCAGTCCATACCACAGCCGCCCCCAGAGAAAACCGTTCCAACAGGTCCCGTGTATGGCAAACCTGCCGGACACCAGGATCCCTTGCCAGCATACTCGGAAGCACCCGGCGATCAGCAGACCCGCGCAACACAGGCTGGCTATGCCGCAGCTCACCATGTCGAGCCTGCTCAAGCCAATGGTACCAAGGGCATAAGGGTTGACGAGGCGAACCTAGCTCAGATCATTGCCGAGGAAAATGCTAGCAAGAGCAAATTCCCCAAGTATCCTGATTTGGACCGATGGGAGCTCCTCGAAAAGATGGGCGATGGTGCTTTCAGCAACGTCTATCGTGCACGCGATTTGCACGGAGAGCATGGCGAGGTGGCCATCAAGGTCGTGCGCAAGTACGAGATGAACCGCATGCAAGTAAGTTGTATCGATTTGTTTGTCTTGTTCCTTTCCTTGTTGTTTTTTGCCATGATATTCGATTTCCTTAGCTGCCTCGTCTCTTGCTCCATCCCGCTCTTACCAACCACGGAGAGGGGGTTTCCCCTGAAATAGGGAAACAAACATTTACATCCAGATTTCAAAAAGATTCCAAAGGCTGCAGAGGTGCGACTTATATATTTCCTATATTGATACCCTCAGCCCCTCGCCCAGAGGGTGCTTGCGATATATCGCGTACACGGAGCCAGAAGTTGTGGCCTCGGATGCAAGGAGATGATGGCCAGGAACTACTGATGCTAACTGCCAGTCTAGCGCTCCAACATCCTCAAGGAGGTCCAGATCATGCGCCAGCTCGACCACCCAAACATCGTCAAGCTCATTGAATTCTCCGAGTCCAAGCAATACTACTACATCGTTCTGGAGCTGGCTCCCGGTGGCGAGCTGTTCCACCAAATCGTACGACTGACCTACTTCAGCGAAGAGCTGTCTCGCCATGTCATCGTCCGAGTCGCCAGAGCACTCGAGTACCTGCACGAGGAGAAGGGCGTTGTGCATCGGTAAGTCTTGGCAGCACATTGTCTCATTTCTAAGCAAGCCAGACAAAAGTAGTGGGACAGGGGTAGTCCCGCTCTGACGTCATGGCTTTCCTCTTTGCCCATTGCCCAGACAAGGCATACCTGTGCTGACTCATCCATCCTTTGACAGTGACATCAAGCCCGAGAATATCCTCTTCAGCCCGATACCCTTCATTCCATCCAAGCACCCGAAGCCCAAGCAGCCCGGAGATGAGGACAAGGTCGACGAGGGCGAGTTCATCCCCGGCCTGGGAGCTGGAGGCATTGGCGAGATCAAGATTGCCGACTTTGGCCTCTCCAAGATTGTCTGGGAAGCGCAGACCATGACCCCCTGTGGTACCGTTGGCTATACTGCTCCCGAGATCGTCAAGGATGAGCGATACTCAAAGTCGGTTGACATGTGGGCCTTGGGCTGCGTTCTCTATACTCTGCTCTGCGGATTCCCGCCCTTCTACGATGAGAGCATAGAAGTGCTCACCGAAAAGGTTGCCAAGGGCCAGTATACCTTCCTGTCGCCGTGGTGGGATGAAATCTCCACATCTGCCAAGGACCTCATCAGCCACCTGTTGACCGTAGATCCCGACAAGCGTTACACTATCAGAGAGTTCCTTGCCCACCCATGGATCCAGGAGGTGGGACCAACTCCCCGAGACGAAAAGGCTCCCGGCATGGTGCCGCTCAAGCAATTCTCGGCTGCTCAGTTTGAAGAGCCCGGAAAGCGATACGACTTCCGATCTCCCGCTGCCGTCAACCTTCGCGAAGTGTTTGATGTCAGCTATGCCGTCCATCGCCAGGAGGAGGAGGCGAAGAGAAGAGCGCAGGTTGGAGTGCGGGCTGGAGGTGCTGGACGTCCCCTTGGAGGCCTCAACGAAGAGGAAGAGGAAGAGGAAGAAGAAGATAGTGATGTCGATAATATGGATGTCGACAACGATACCAACAACAAGACCCAGGCCCTGGAGCAGAGCATGCAAAGAACCAACATCCACGATCATGACACCACCCATACCCGTGGCCGCGAGCGAGAACGAGCCGGCGAGAGAGGCTATGGACAACATTCGGCAGCCGTGACCGCTGCTGCACGACAGCAAGTGCGGGAGAGACAACGCCAAAAGGGCGCGTTTGAGCTCAACCTTGACAACGCAACGCTCCTGGGGAAGCGAGGCAAGAAGGTTCCCGTCATGGGAGCATAGAATGTCGATGTGGCGGGGCCATCGAGGCCTGCTACACCACAAGAACGAGCTGCCGTCGATGGGATTTTCGACATTGACGTGTCGCCTACTGCAAGCGAGACCTTTAGGCGGGAGGCGCCGTCAGCTCGCGAGCAAGAGTCCTTTATACGCGATATTTTACAATCAGGCATTGCGAGCGCAGTGGACAAGAAGGAAAATGTGCCCGTCGCATCAAACAGGACGCATACGGCTTGATGCCGTTCAAGGAGGCGTATTGGAGTAAACGTGGCAACGGGACGGATATGTTCTGAGCGTGATTTCTTTTTTTGTATCCAACTTGCTCCCATCTTGTAGAACAAGGAAATGGAAGACCAGAGGGTTGAATTTTTGCAAGGCAATGATAAGACGGGCGGGGGAGTTTCGGCAACTTGCTTTGTGAGTGTGTATTTTTTTTTTTTTTTTTTTTTTTTTTTCATTTTTCTTTTTATCAAAATTTGGCTGCCCGTACAGATATATGGGTACGGAGGGATTTGACTACTACCTATTATAAGCTCACATATGTTCTTGATTCATGGTCTATTGCTGTTTCGTTTACCTTTGTTGACATACCGTTGTTACTCCGTCGTTTCCCTTTGGTGTATCTGGGCTCAGAGTAAGAAGTTTACAATAATGTACAAAAGCAGACTGCGAGATAAATATGCCAGTCAATGGATATATTTCCCAATGACGCCCCCTTTTCTATTGTACAGATGAACTATATCAATCTATGGGTATGGATGTGTTCGAAAAGAGCCCACCTTTTGGCTGCGTGCCCCCCCGCTTGATTCTTAAATTCTCAATTCTTGATTCTTATAATTGTGTGTTCTTTTTTTTTTTTTTTGTTGTTTCTTCTTCTTAGCATGACATTGTCATCCCGTCTCTCTTTGCAGCATCAATCCTACATATTTCCTGATTCATCAAAATATTAAGAGCACCTTGTGTCATGTCATGCGTAAAAGAATACCATCCCCAAAGCCATATCCGTATTCCATCAAATCGTTCATTCTTGGTACAAAAGAACTCCACCGTGTAACAAAATAATAAGAAAACCGACACAAGGAAAAAATTGAAACATAAAAGTGGCTAGGAGAAGAAGAAAATAAAGAAAAGGATATCGTGGCCAAGTTGTATTACCGGTCAATTTAGACGGCAGAAACACAGTAGGAAATAATAGGAAAAATGACAGATAAAAATGACAAAAAAGAAGTTGAACCGAAATCCGTAGATTTGGCTGTCCAGCCCATGACGTGCCTCGCGCTGGGCAGTGAAAAGGAAATTGTAAATAAGACGATATCAAATTGGCGCGCTGTAAAATCGATTGCGAGTGTAGATAGTTTTGAGTTTGAGTATTGTTGGTCTCCCGTTGTGCAAAGATAGAGAGAGGGAGGGGAGAGGGAGAGGGAGAGGGCGAGAGAAAGTAGCACATGGCAAATTCATGGCTGATCTGATATTCATGTCCACGGCCTTGGTTGTTGGCGAGTCGTTAATGCCCTCCTTGGTAGTGGGGGAGGGCCTAGTGGCTGCATATTCGGAATAGAGTTTGCTGGAGAGAGTGGGGGGTAATGATGAAACGATGAAATCGGTGGTGGTGGCATCTGCGCGGTGGGCGATATCAGAGGTGACGCGAGAATATACTGCGGTGAGAAGGCGCCGTCTGAGTGTGAGAATCCCGAGTCGGAGGTGGAAGGCGAGGAGAATGTCGACATCAGAGGCCGGACACTTGGTAGACGCTTGGTGACTCTGCGGAGGGATGGAGGCGTGATGCCGTTCTCGGACTCTGAGAGATCTGAATCGTGGTAACTGTGGCGCGTCTGGCTCTGGCTGAAGGCCGGGTTGTAGTTGTTGGCGAAATTTTGGCCGTAGTTTTGGCCGTAGCCTTGACCGAATCCTTGGCCAAAACCTTGGCCGTAATCTTGACCGAAACCTTGGCCATAGCCTTGCCCGTATCCTTGACCGAAACCTTGGCCATAGTTTTGGCCATAGCCCTGGGAATAGTTCTGGCCGTATCCTGGGCCATAGTTGTTGTGGCCATAGTTCTGACCGTAGCCGTAGCTGTGATTACGGAGATGCCCACTGCTGCTGGCGCTATTGAGGCTGTAGCGGCTCGCCGAGGTCCGAGCCCGCGGCCGCGGAGGTGGCATGCTCTGTTCCTCGGGCTGCTGCCAGGCCATGAGGTTGCCGTCGCCCTGGATCTCAAGCCCGGCGGCGGAGAAGAGCGGTACGGTCTCTGGGTATGACAGGGTGAAGGGGATCCAAAAGGAGCGGTTAATGATGTCGCGCGCGCGCTCAGGCGTCAGGCGCTGGACCGGGTCTGTGGGTGGAATTTCGGCCATGCGCTTGAGTGTCCAGGCCAGGTACCGCGCATAGAGGGCCTGGCGGTCGGTGGACGACGAGTGCAGGCGGAAGACGTAGCTGCGGGCAATGGTGTTTGCGATGCTGGGCAGCGTCACCATGCTGGCCTGGCCGGGCCCGATTCGCACCACTTCGAGGGCCTCGAAGCCGTTCTTCATGAACTTGATGCACACGGGGCACGAGCGACCGCTGGCAACGCGCACGCTGAAGCCATCGGGGTTGTCGGGCAACGGCGTCATGCCCTTGGCCAGCGCCCAGCAGCGGATGGCCTCCTTGGATTCTTCGGGACAGGTGATGCTGACGTGGTCGGGCGAGTAGGCGCGGTAGCCATAATAGATGAGGGCGGCGGTTCCGCAGACGGCGTAGGGAATGTGGTCGAAGAGGCGGCCGACGCAGTCGATGACCTCATTGACCGTGGCCACGTCCATCATGGTTTATGATGCTGTGTTTATTTCGGATCTGGAGGGTATTCGGATTGGATTGCGGGTTTGGCGGATTGGACTGCGGCTTTCACCAAGGGAAGCGAAGTGCTGCCAATCCAATGTTTGCTGGTGCTGGCGACGATGCTCGGCTGGCAACGCCTTTGGTGTTTTCGACAACTGGCCGGCACCACCACGGCCACCACAACACGGCGTCTCTGTTGGTGAAGTAGTGGTGGCGATCGCAGTGCCTCGGGTAGTGCAGTACTAGGTTGCAGGCGTTAAATGTATGGATGATGTGTAGAAATGCTGTGTGTACTCGTATGTAGCTATAGCGGGACAGGCGCTGCTCTGCTAGTCCAAGACCCCCCGGAGCCCGACGCACGAAATGCCGGCGCAGGGGAGGATGCGAAGATGCGATGCTTTTTTCTTTGTTGTGGCTCCTGCAGGTGATTGATGGCGACGGCGATGACAGCGGCGGCAACAGCACAGGACAGGGGCTGGCGAGCAGGGCTAGGACTGGAGACTGGACGCTACGCTGATGATGAGACTCAACGCTCACTCTCATTGAGAGACTCACAGCGTCGAGTCAGGGAGAGGCAGCCGTTCGCCACGGGGGGCGCGCAGCTGATTGTCGCAGGTCGTGGGCGCAGAGAGAGCAGCGGCGGCAACAGCAGCAGCAGCAGCAGCCTCAATCATCCTGCTGAGCCGATTGAATTGGACGAACAAGTGAATGTACGTCCAGATGCGAAGTCGATGCATGTCTTGAAGAAATGATTTGAATGCAGGCGTGCGTTCGCTGCGCCGCCCCCTGCAAAACCCGACACTGTACGGAGCTGGGAAGCGTAGCCGCAGCGGCCTGTTGAGCTTAGCGGGCCTTCAGTTGGTCCACCAGTCCGTATTAGTGGTCTCCTCGGCTGCTGCTGCAGCGGTTAGTGGTAACTGTTGCCTTCCACAGCATACGAGTAGGCGGTCGATAGCTGCTACGGGAGCTGTGACTAACTGGTGGCGCCTCCAATCCGTGTGGCTGCTGCCGGAAAAGGCTCAGGGCTGCCTCTGCCGCAGCTGATGAGATTGGACTTGGGCGCCGCCGCTGTCGTGAATGGTGGGAATCCAGCGGTGCGGCACGGTGCGTGCACTGTGGCTGCTGCACGCACAGCTAAATGGGGTTTTTGGTGGGATTGAGTGGACGGGGGACCGTGTGTGCTGCAGCAAACCTGCTCCAGTCTGTCTCCGTCCCACCGCAGCGGCGAGGGGGCCCCTTGTTTTCGTCCCGGTGCCTCGTTTATTAGCACGCACTGGGGCTGTTTTCTTTGTTGATTGATCATTCACGGTTGATGTCATCAAGGGTATTATTGACGGTGTTGACAGGTACTCGTACCTCTATGTTGTAGGTTCCTAGCTTGGTCATTTTTTGTGCCTGTCGAAAGTACCAACTAGGCAACCCATCATTCACCGCCCGTTGACCAAATGATTTTTCTCCTCCTTCATCCTGTATTTACTGCACAGCTGCATCCACCTTCTTCCCTCTATAAGTCACAATATACGTCAAAAATCTTGCAAATATGCATGCCCGCAGTAGCCGCACAGTGGTTGCTTGCTTCGTCCCCACCGCCGCAAGACCCTCGATGAATCAGCCGTCATCTGAGACCATGGCCTGTCGCCGCCAATCCCCTCGACCGCACTGATTGGCCCCGGGCTCTGCGTGCTCTCCAGGGGGTCCCAGTGCCCTCTCAGCGCTCCCGAGACGAGAATCCATGCTGCTTCCAAGGGGAGGGAGGGGTCGAGGGGTCCGAGGGCTGAGTCGCCGCCAATCGAACCAGTGCCGCCTGATGCCAAAACCACCGTGTGACTGCTGCCAAGATGCATCCCAAATGCCCAAGCGAGACACAACTTGCAGCTTTGTCTTGGATCGGTGGCGAACCAAGAGAGGAAAACGTAATCTGCGTCGTTTCGTTTCGTCGTTGGTATGTTAGCTTATTCTTCTACTTCGTCTTTTTTTTTTTGTTGGGGGTTCGCATATACCCAAGTAGTAGTGTGGTGTTACTCAAGACACACATCATGATACACACGAAGCGCTCAATTCCAAATCCTACAAAACCACTGCATCACTTGAAATTTCCTCTGCAGTCCTCGCAAATGATATCATCGCTAGAGTTGGCAACCACACTACGGAGTACATTTGCCGTTAATACGCAACCACCAACTCTAGTAACATCTCAGCCCAACCGCAACCACAACTACAACCTGTCAAAACACATTCACACACACACAAAAAAAAAAAGCTAAATGGGTTTTAACAAAAAAATTAAACTTCATTAAATAGTGACATGTCATGAATCGTGCTGCCCGACGACGGCTTCATGTCCCGGTGCAAGGGGGGCCTAAGCATTCCTCCAGAGTAACGACAACGACGACAGAGGCTATAAGCTCATGGTCACGCAAAACCACCATCTGACCGGCCTAGAGACCCCCAACTGGTCAGAGTCGCCCATCCTCGCGGCTACGTTTCTCATCGCCCCGCGTTCTTCCGACCCCGACTCCAACGGCGGTGTGCGAAATTTTTGGCAAGTCCCCTCTTCTCAAGCATAAGGCGTGCCCCAGCTACCATGCGTGTGTGTGCAGAAGCGGTAGCACCGAAGATATAGTGTGAGCGGACGATGATAATGGCTGCCCTCCTTGCTTTGCTACTCGTCTATAACTCTTCCTCTGTCTCCATCTGCTCGCCGTTGGATTGGGCAGCTACCCCCAAAGCTCCATTCTTCTTGGGCATTGTCGCCTCCTTGTCAATCATCTGCCTTGACACCGACACAATGTTGTCTTCGATCAGCTCCTGACCAACATCCTCCAAGTGCTTCTTGGGATCCAGCTTGCCAACGTAGCGGGTCTTGAGCTGCTCCTTAGTCAGCTCCGTCTCTTCCTTGACTCTCTTCTCGTAGCCATCTGCCAGGCTGACCAGCCTCTGCAGCCGCTCCTTGTTCTTCTGGCCCTCCGTCCGGAAATCGTCCATCTCTAAAGCCTCTGTCCACACGTGCTTGTGGAGGTTCATCAGCATGTTCTCTTCCAGCGCTGTCTTGCGGTAGTTGATCGCAATCGAGTAGTAGTGTCGGTTAAGTCCGTGGATCAGCGCCTGGATGGATGGCTTGTTGAGGTGGCCGAGGTTGCTCGTACTCTGTCGAGGTTCTTGGCCCATCATGAGCAGCTGAGGGTTGATGAGTCGGAAAGCATCAATCACAACTTTGCCCTTGACCGACTGAATGGGGTCGACGACTACTGCCACCGCGCGCGGGTTTAGCTGCTCAAACGATTGCTGAGTGTTGATATCCACAGACGACAGCCAGCAGCCAAAGCCAGGATGCGAGTGGTACCATCCAACGACTGATTCCGGTCTGTCCAGCTTTGTTAGCTACAGTGGTTACAAAATCTCTGCGTGGTGGCAGGAGCCAGCTGCTCGTGGCCAGTGTCGGCCTACCTTCCGGTTTGCCGCAGCATATCCATCATCTTGGTCTGGAACACAGGGTCGACAGCTTCGACACTAACACCTGTACCGCTCTGTGGCATGGCAAACACGTCCATGACTTTGACTGTGAAATCGTCGACGAACTCGCCCAGCATCAGGCCCATGACCTCCATCGGCACGCCTGCGCGGCCGTGCCGGAGCATTTTCAGCAGGGCCAGGGACGAGATGTAGACGGTTTCCGAGTTATCGATCAGGCTGGTGTTATCCTGCAACATTCTTCATCAGCAACATGTTTCTTTCTTATTCTCTTCCGCCACCTCCCTCTCTCTTTTCAATTTTGACTCGGCTGCTCCGTTGGCCAACGCCACGGGGGATGGGGGAGCTTCGAGCAGTGCAATGACGGATAAAGGAAAGCTTACAGTGCCAGGCGTAACTCCTCCCAAGCCCATGCCACCTCCGCCCAACAAGTTCCTGAATCGCTCCATGGTTCAGATGATAGAGATTAGCGATATATGTGGAGAGGAATGGAGAGAAATTGAATTCGATGATGTCGTGGCGGCGCAGTAAAAGGTGTGTTGTTCAAAGCTTGGTGTTTGGAGGCTAGGGAGCCCAGGCCGTGACTTAGTAGCTTGCTGCTGATATCCCAAGTTGACGCAGTTGTTCGGCAGCCTGCTACCAGGGTCGATGGCTGAATAAGCGGATCACGTGAAGCGCCGCGAGTCCACAAATCCCAGCCCGTAGCTTGGTCGGCATTGTGCGAATCGTGTGGAGTACCTGCGGAGCACGCCCAAACTGTATGATGCGGCCTAGTACCTATCCTGCGTCGGGCCAATCCGAGGGCGCTGCTAGATGACAAACTTTGATAAAACTTCCAGCCTTGTCGCCGCAATGTTTATCCGCGTCTCTGCAGGTCCCGGCCTTGCTTTTGGCTGCCGCGCTTCCCTTACAACTTTCGCCGGCTACTAAGTACCTACCTAGTAGTATTTACCGTCGACTCAGCTTTCTCTCACTTTTTCCTCGCCAACACAAACCATGCGGAGGTGCCTTTGACCAAATATCAATCGCACTGCCGCTTCGTCTAATTTCTGCTTTTCCCATCTTTACAAATCGGCATCGCCCGCAATTCTGCCAACCGACGCCTCTCACACGCTCACAAGCAGCTCCTTGCGTCCTTGCAGCTTTTCCAAATGGGCGACAGCAACATGGCGGGACTCGGCTCGGTGGCCCTCAACGGCTCATCACCGAAGAAAGTCGCCTACTTTTACGATTCCGACATTGGAAACTATGCCTATGTCACCGGCCATCCCATGAAGCCTCATCGCATTCGATTGGCCCACAGTCTGATTATGCAGTACGGCCTGTATCAGAAGATGGAGATTTACGTATGTGAAGCTTGGTTCTTGTCCCTTTTCCCTTCATTTCTATTTAGCATCGGCAGATTTGTCCTTGTCGTGAGTCGTTAACATGGTGAAACAGCGCGCCAAACCGGCCACCCGTGGCGAGATGACCCAGTTCCATACCGACGATTACATCGACTTCCTCCAAAAGGTCACCCCTGACAACATGGACAGCTATATGAGAGAGCAGGGCAAATACAATGTCGGCGATGATTGTCCCGTGTTTGATGGCCTTTTTGAATTCTGCGGCATCAGTGCCGGTGGCAGTATGGAAGGCGCAGCGCGTCTCAACCGACAAAAATGCGACATCGCCATCAACTGGGCTGGTGGTCTACATCACGCCAAGAAGTGCGAAGCCAGTGGTTTCTGCTACGTCAACGGTGCGTTTTGCTTGTACAACTCGTTGCCACCACTTCTACTCAATCTAACTGCCTACACACAGACATTGTTCTCGGAATCCTCGAACTTCTTCGATTCATGAAGCGCGTGCTCTACATCGACATCGATGTTCACCACGGTGACGGTGTCGAGGAGGCTTTCTACACTACCGACCGTGTCATGACCGTGTCGTTTCACAAATATGGCGAATATTTCCCGGGTACCGGCGAGCTGCGTGACATTGGAATCGGCCAGGGCAAGAACTACGCCGTCAATTTCCCTCTCCGCGACGGCATCACCGACGAATCGTACAAGTCCATCTTCGAACCTGTCATTGAGAATGTCATGAAGTACTTCCAGCCAGAGGCCGTTGTCCTGCAATGTGGCGGTGACAGTCTTTCCGGCGATCGTTTGGGCGCCTTCAACCTGAGCATGGACGGTCACGCTAACTGCGTCAACTTCGTCAAGAGCTTCAACCTGCCCACTTTGGTCCTCGGCGGCGGTGGTTACACCATGCGCAATGTTGCCCGAACCTGGGCATTCGAGACGGGTGTTCTAGTTGGTCAGGAGATGGACCGGGCCCTGCCGTATAACGAGTATTACGAGGTTTGTTCCACCTAGCGCTGTTTCATATTTTATTTTCTCATAGCTTGTGCGCTGACATACCGGCTAGTATTATGCTCCCGACTTTGAACTCAATGTGCGAGCTTCCAACATGGAAAACTCCAACAGCAGGGAGTACTTGGAGAAGATTACCGCCGCCGTTATCGATAATCTCCGCCAGACCGGCCCCGCTCCATCGGTTCAGATGCAAGATGTCCCTCGTAAGTTTGGTGGCATGACTGATGAAGAGGAAGCGGAGCTGGACGACCTTGATGAGGACGAGAATAAAGACGTCCGCATGACCGAGCATCGCTGGGACAAGCGCGTTGAACACGAGAACGAGTTTGAGCCCAGTGATGATGAAGACATGGCCGCCGCAAACGGAGTGACCCCCCGCAACGGCAACAAGAGAAGCTATACAGATTTCCGCAAGGGTGAAAATGAGGACAACAGCGCACGCGCGTCCCCTGCTGCTGCCACTGCCGCTGCCGCTTCCACGAATGGCGGTGCTGCTGAAGCCACAGCTGCAGAGGATTCTCATGATATCAACGATGACACCATTGAGGACTTTGCTGCTGCAGGCGAGCAAGACAAGGCGTCTGCAGACAAGAAAGAAAAGTCCAAAGAGCCCGAAAAGGAAAAGGAAGCCGAAAAGGAGAATGAGGAGGAGAAGGAAGAGGAGAAACAAGAGGACAAGGTGGACGACGATGGAGATGTTGGCATGGCTGACTCGGAACCTAAAGAAGAGATGACCATCAAGAAGGAGGATGTTGAGCCTGAGCCAGCGCCAGAGCGAGTCCCCAGCAAGAGCCCCGTGGTGGAAGAAAAGACGAGGGAAGAATCCGAAACGCCTGTTGCTCCGGCTGCCCCGGCTGAAGAAACAGCTGTTCAGGAAGAGGAAAAGCCTTCTGAGGCCGAACCAGAGAAGAAGTCTCCCGAGGCATCATCGGACGCCAAGGAGAAGGAGGATGAGACCGCAGACGCCATGGAAGTCGACCAAGAAAAGGATGAAGAGGAGCCAAAGAAGGCCAGCACACCCCCCGCCTAAGTCTCTACCAACAGGGAAGACATGTAGGGGGGAGGGAAGCATACCAGCGATTCGGTTTATACGGAGTTATTCCTACTCCAGCTCGATTGATGCAATTCGATGCAATTCACGTTGTAGGGCAATGGGAATAGGGGCGAGGGAGGCGTTTCCGGCGTGAGGGATACTGACAAGCCACATGGCAGATGGCGATGATAATTTGAGCCCTCTGTATGGTGTCTCTTTCTGGCTTTCAGTTGGTTCATCTATTTTCTTTTCTGATTTACACGGAGTCTATATCAATAGCGCACAGTAGAATAGTATCACAGTCCATTCAATACATCTCGATTAATTGAACAGGTACCTTGTACTCTTTGGCCCACGATGTTCGCCCCGCCCCCACCAGTACATGTACATGGAATGGAGTTGGGTGGCCACCGAGATTCTCCCGACATGCAAGCCAGCTGCAAGGTACCCACCCGCCTTTTTTGGTGATGGCAAAGTCCAAACGAAAAAAAAAAAAAATTAAGACAGAATCGAGGCTCGTGTCCCACCACGATACCATTCCCACCTAATGTTGACCTATCGCCCGACCAGATAAGAAACAAGAGAGAGGGAGACTCTTCCATCAAATCACCTCCAAAGTCAATGTAGCGCAAAGACACTCGTCTACCACCGCCTCACCGAGAGGGGACAACTGGTGACTCAGAATCTGCCATCACAAACCCAATCCCAACTTCCACATTTTCACTACATCACGGCAGGCCAAGGACCGCCCAGCCAACTTTTTCCGGCCTCGCGCAGGCTTCCATCCTCACCACCAGCCTCCAAAATGTCGGCGTCGGCCGCCAGCGCCGGCCCCTCGAGGGCCAATGGCAGCGATGCGGATTCTGCAAAGCTGGCGGTGCTTAAGGAGCTGCTGTACGACCGGTGCCGGGAGGAGGGCGACATGTTCTCGCAGGACGACTTGCTGCGCATGGAGGTGATTCCGAACCGCGACCTGCTGCTGCTGGCGCGGGTCGTGCAGTCGCTCAGCGATGACAAGCTGTTCATCACCATGAGGGAGGCGTCGGGCCAGGTGCTGTGGAAGTGGCGCGACAAGCAGGAGGCACACAAGTGAGTTAAAACATACACTCAGAGAGGGGAGAAGGGCTAACATGAGTCTCTTCGTACGACTACAGGTACAAGCAGTGCACGACGGACGAACAAGTCATGGTGTACTCGCTCATCGACGACTCCGGCGGCGACGGCATATGGACCCAAACCTTGCAGAAGCGCCTCAACATGCACGACTCGGTGCTCAAAAACGCAATCAAGCAGCTGCAGGCAAAGGGCCTCATCGCGCCCTTCAAGAACGTCGAGCACCCCAACAAGAAGATGTACATCAAGGCCTCCATCCGACCCAGCGACCGCGCCACCGGCGGGCCATGGTACACCGACCAGGACCTCGACGAGGCCTTCATTGAGGACCTGCAGCGTGTGGTCTTTGACTTTATCAAGAGGCAGAGCAGCTATCACAGCACCCACGCCGGCGCTGCAAAGGCCGCCGCCCAGGTGCCCAAGAAGGGCATCATCAAGGGCGGCCTCGGCGATGCAGCAAAGGGCAAGAAGCGCGATGCCGCCGAGATGGAGGCAAAGCCCGTCGCCCCCTCGGCCAAGATCCCGCCCGTCTCGGTCTCGGCCTCGTCCCGCAGAGAACCCGCCCTGCTGCCGTTGCCAGCCGGCTACATGGCCTACCCCACCGTCCGCGACATCGCCCGCCTGCTGTCGTCCAGCGGCATCACCAACAACACCATTCTGTCCGAGGGCGACGTCAAGAAGCTCGTCGACGTGCTCGTCTGGGACAACCTGGTCGAGCCCATCAAGGTCGCCGGCAAGGTCGGCTACCGCGTGTCGCGCGTCGCCAAGCAGTCCGTCGAGAGCTGGGCCGGCCGCGAAGACCCCTCTGGCCGCAGCGGAGGCCCCGAACTGTACGTGAGCCCGCTGACCGAGGCGCCCTGCGGCCGGTGTCCCGTCTTTGACCTTTGCGAAGAGGGCGGTCCCGTGGGCCCCAGCAATTGCGAGTATTTCAAAAAGTGGCTGGGGAAGGAGATTTTCTAAGCAAATCCGCGGGTTCCTGGGTCTGATATCAATTTGCATCACTTGGAGTTTTTCTTTTCTTTCTTCTCTTCTTTTTTTTCGGATTAAGGATATCCCCTTGTATTCATTGGGAATGTATATATACATACTGCTTTGGTTCTACATTTGGGTACACTTGGCACTCGGCGCATAACGGGTAGGTACATCATACATGTAGGCTATTTGCACAAGATTGAACGTAGGAATACTCACTCTAATTGAGGCTCAAGTCTAAGACGACGTCATCTCATATGCCCTTTGGCAAACCGTTCTCTACATCACTACGCATTCTTCTACTAGCAGGCACGCAAACATGACACTTTCAATGAGTTGGACATGGACCATTTCATGTTCGATGCAATGGAGAACTTGTATTTTTCGTTATGCTTTGCAGCACCCTAAATGACTGGCTAAAGGATATGGCGAGGTACCTTTTCAAGCCTCTTTTAATCCGCCCCATATATTTTCATGGTTCCAAAACTGCCACCAGATGGACATGCAGAGCATGTTGCTTCTTTACACAAGCTTACAGGACACCGGAGTCGGTAATGGTGGGGCGGGGCTCGTACTTGACCTTGCCGTCATCACGGCCGGTGGCCTCGAGGGCAGCAACAACGGCCATGGACTCCTTGTCAGCGACCTCGCCGAAGACGACGTGGCGGCCGTTCAACCAGGAGGTGACGACGGTGGTGATGAAGAACTGGGAGCCGTTGCTGTTTTGACACCAGAGTTAGATGCTGCGCTGGCACTTGATGACATATCCAAATCAACTTACGTGTTGGGGCCGGCGTTAGCCATGGACAGCAGACCGGGGCGGTCGTGCTTCAGCTGGAAGTTCTCATCGGCGAACTTCTCGCCGTAGATGGACTTGCCGCCAGTGCCCTAGAATGGGTGTAAGTCAATCATGTCTGGCAATTGTCTTGCAGGGGCGTCCATACGTTACCGCGGGTGAAGTCACCACCCTGGAGCATGAAGTTGGGGATGATTCGGTGGAAAGAAGAGCCCTTGTAGCCGAAGCCCTTCTCGCCGGTGCAGAGAGCCTTGAAGTTCTCGGCGGTCTTGGGGACAACGTCGTCAAAGAGGTTGAAGTTGATGCGACCGACCTGATCTGTTGTCCAGGACGCATTAATGCCAAGCTTCTTCAGATAGCTACGGGGGGATGAGGTGATAATTTGGAGAAGGGGGGGGGCCAGCCGTATCCGCTGGTCCAATCAGACGGGCAGGGTGTGGTGGGTGCCAGACCAGAGCGCAAGCTCCGAGAGAGAGGGAAAAAGAGGCCAGTCCATCGGTCCAGCTCAATTCTCTCTCTATCAGGATTCCCAATAGGCACCGCGCGGCGAATTGACGCTATCGGGCAGAATTGGACTCACCCTTGATCTCGGTGGTAGGACGACCGTCCTTGAAGACGGGGCCCTTCCAGGCAATGTCGAAGAAACTAGATCCAAAGGGTCAGAGAAGGGCGAAGGGCAGTAGAGGTAGAAGCAAGGGCACGGGACTTACACCTTGGTGTTAGGCATTTTGGCAGGCTGTGAATAGAATCGGGGAGTCGCAAAGGTGTTCGAGGCAGCAATGCGTTGAGGGAGAGAGAAAGTTCTTAAGGCCGGGGAGCAGAAGTTATGGCGGGGTAGGAGGGGTTGGAAGAAAGCTGATCTCATTTTGAACGTGACTGGAGGGGTAACGTTAGTAACGCGCACTGGCCAATCACGGCGCCGAAGCAAGGGAGACGGTGGGGTGCGACGAGAGGAGCCGGTCACGTGGCGGCGGTCCAGGGTACGCGGCAGCTTGACGTCGCGGCAAATTTAGCTGCTGAGGTGCTAAGCTCGCAAGCTCTGCCAGAGCTCGAACTTTCAGAGCTCTCGCACCGCCAATTGCCCAGCCATTGCCCTTCGCCGCAGCAGCACCATCGCCAGGCTCGCGCTGGAGCAGCAGCCGGCCAAGCAGCGCCCGGATTTGCTTTTTTCCCTCGCGCCGGAATGCCGCTCAATTGGACCGTTACCGTTGGCTTCCGATCGCAGAGAGCTGACGTGACTTGGTGTGCGCCGAGCTGCAGGTGGGCTGTGGGCAGAGGGCGGCGCTGATTGGATGGCCCGCCAGGGAGCCCTTCCAACCCATTCGCACGGGCGGAGATGCTCCGCCTATCATTTGGTCCATGCCCAGAGGAAAACTGGTTGTTTGGAATTTTCAAGTGATTGGCAAAAAAACCGGTTCAACGGCCGAGGCAAGCGGTGCGATTTGCTGAGCGGTGGCAATTGGCTGGTGTCCCGGCTGCAACAAATTGCAGCCGGCGACAAGCTTTTGCTGAGACGAGCCCTGGTGCTGCTGCCGGTCCATTCATGCGGTAATGCGGGCTTCAAAGGACGAAAGACAAAGGACAAGACACAAGGGAAAAGAGACGACAAGGAAACGGGCGCAGCATACCTTGGGGGTCAAAAACAGTCTCTACAATGGGCAGTGATGTGATTCTATGCAGGAGAGGAGACCGGGGTTGATGGGATATAAGTAAGTAGCTCGCAGGGAAATGAAAAGTTTTGGGTGATGTCAGTACTAAGGTGAGGTACGAAGTGGCCGTACCCCGGCGCTGGTATTCTGGCCTGAAGTCTAAGGTTGTGGCCACTGCGAAGCCGGGCTGGGAGTTAGTACTTAGTAATGCATGGGTTGGATGGATGTTAGCGGTGAAGCGAGCAGCCCATTTGTCAGAAGCCCGTCGAATCGATCAAAAGAGAGAGAGAGAGAGAGAGAGAGAGAAAGCAAACACGAGCACAGGCGGACAGGGCACATGCCATTAAGCGAATGCTTGAATATTAATCCTTGTACTTTGTACTTAGTACTTGGTATAGTACCTAGTATTATGCCTTAGGTAGGTATATGGCTGTAAACTCCAATCGTAGGCAAAGCTTCTACTACTGCCACAGAATAGGTACCTAGACGGAGGTTGGCTTCAGGCGGTCTCTACAGTGCTCGCTCAACTACAAAATGGCCATCTCACATCACGTGATCCCGCCGTTCCTCCTTATGTCCTAGCCAGCGCCAGCCTGTGGAACCCCCAGCGCTTGTGTCCAAGTGTCCAGCCAGGCTCGGCGACACCGTGGAAACTGCCATACTGCAGTCTCGTCACCCGTCTGGATTGCAACTCCTCCTCGACATCGCCGCCGCATCGATTCCCGCCCAAGATGGATTTCAACGACCTCAAGAACACCGTGTCGAACCTGACCTTGTACGATCTCAAGGCCGGGTTCCGGAAGGCGCAAAATGGTACGACGCCCTGTCCGCAGCCCAGGGGAGCAATCCGTCAGGGATTCATGCTAACGCGAGCGGACACTAGCCGTCATGAACTACACGGAGATGGAGGCAAAGGTGCGCTCTGACAATGCCAATGCCAATGCCAATGGCAGCGGCTATGGCTGTGGCAATGCGGCGCAGGATGTTTGCTAACATGTGGCGCGTCAGGTGCGAGAGGCGACAAACAATGAGCCCTGGGGAGCTTCGTCCACCCTGATGCAGGAGATTGCCAATGGCACTTTCAATTAGTACGCACGCGCTGCCCCCGGATACACGGGGTTATGTTCTTGACACGAGTCTAACACCCATGTAGCCAACAGCTCAATGAGATCATGCCCATGATCTACCGTCGATTCACGGAAAAGTCCGCCGAGGAGTGGCGTCAAATCTACAAGAGTCTGCAGCTGCTCGAGTTCCTCATCAAGCATGGCTCGGAGCGCGTCATTGACGATGCGCGCGGCCACATTACGCTGTTGAAGATGCTGCGTCAGTTTCACTTCATTGACCAGAATGGAAAGGACCAGGGCATCAACGTTCGAAACCGAGCCAAGGAACTCGCCGAACTCTTGGGCGACGTGGAGCGCATCCGCTCAGAGCGCAAAAAGGCCCGAGTAACGAAGAACAAGTATACCGGCGTCGAGGGAGGCATGTCTTTCGGCGGCGGCTTCTCGAGCGGCGGCGGCAGCGGCAGCGGTCGCTTTGGTGGCTTCGGCAGCGAGTCCGGCTATGGCGGCGGTGGTGGCTCTACAGAATACGGCGGCTATTCTGGCGGCGTATATGGCGATGGCGGTGGCTTTGGCGGCCAAGCAAACGACTTCCGCGACACTCAGAACCGGTCAGAGAGATTCGAGGAGTATGACGAGTTTGATGAGGGCGAGCGTCCCGCCGCCAGCTCTCGTCCCCCACGCACTTCAGAGCGCTCTCCGGCCAAGAAGCCAACAGCGCCGCCTCCTAAGCAGAAGGAGCCTGAGGTCGACCTCTTTTCATTTGATGAGCCTGCCTCGGCTGCTCCAGCAGCGGCACCAAGCAGCTCTGGCTTTGGTAACTTTGCCAGCGCCAACACGGCCACCAACGATGACGACGACGAGTTTGATGACTTCCAATCGGCGGCGCCCGCAGCGCCCTCAGCGCCAGCGGCCCAACCTCTATCGCCAACGACAGCAGGATTCTCGCAGCCTCTGTCCCCGACTTCGCCCAACTACTCGAGCACTCAATTCGCTGCCCCGAAGCCGCTGTCGGCTCCTCAGCAGGCCGGCATCAGCCAGATGGTCAACATCGCTTCCATCTCACCAGCCGGCAGCAGCAACCCGACGCCTGTGGCGGCCTCAGGATTCAGCGTGCCAATGCAGCCCGCCAAGTCTACTGGCTACCAGCCCACAGGACCAAACTACTTTGGCACTGTCCAGGCTCAGCCAACAGGGTCTTCAGTCTCATCTATGACCCCAACTTCCGGTCTGCAGCCCGCTAACAAGTCCAACGGCAAAGCTGCTGCCGCTGGCGGCGACGCCTTTGGTGCGCTCTGGGGCAAGGCCAGCGTCGGCATCAAGAAGCCCAGCACTCCCACGGCCGGGCCAGCATTGGGCCAACTGGCCAAGGAGAAGAGCAGTGCCGGCATCTGGGGAGCGCCCGCTCCCACATCTACAGCTCCACAGGGGGGCTCTGCCTCTGGAGACTTACTTGGATAGGGAGTCGGTTAAAGTAGAGAGGCAGAGGCAGAGGGAGAGGGAGAGGGAGAGGGTGTATGTATGTGTGTTTGGTCATGTTGGGCAAGGATGATGACGAATGGTCTAAAATAATAACTGTGGTGGCTGGAACGTCTGTATGAAAAAGTAGAGTTCAAGGCCATAAATGCGAGCGATGAGGATGCAGCATTTGTCATGTTGGGATCTTAGATAGGCGTTAAGGGCGCGACTGTTGATGAATTCACAAAAACACCGGGTTGAAGCAGCCAAAAGGGGGATCCCAGCAGTGAATGCTATGAAATATTAACACCGATACAAACCAAAACTAAAGCAAAAAAAAAAAACAGGTTTCAGTCGACGCCCTGGTCTCGCTGTTCGTGTTTCACCTTCACCATGATTACATGAAGTCCGGGTCATCTTACCGACGAGAGTTGTTGATTGGTTTCTTTCCCCTTGCTGTCTTCAAATATCTCCGGCCCAGGAAAAAGTGCATGTGGCCGATCATGTAGCCGCCCCCCTTTCGAAACACCAGAACCCACAGCTGAGCCTCACTTCGAAATCTGAAATCCAGACAAGGGGGGTGAATGGGTAGCGGAGCACCTCCGGGCCAATCGTCGGGAGAGTGGGGCGCGACCCTCCGGCTGCCGGGATCCATGCCGGCGCTTAAAAAACCAGGAAAAATCACGACATGTGTTGAGCCAAGGACTCGCTCTTTGGGTGTCTCTTTTTTGCTTTTTGCTTGCTGGAATGGATCTGGGTTGGTTGGGCGGGCCCTGAAACATGGCGCGACTATTTTTGCGTCGCTTGGCCGCGGCTATTCGAGACCCAGATCTGAGAGAACTGAGGGTTAATAAGAGTTGCAGGTTCCCCGTTTGTGTTTCTTTTCCTTTGTCTTTTCAAGCCATCCAATAACTGTCCCTTTCTTTCTTTTTTTCGTTTTTAATTTCCTATTGTTTCTTTGTCTGTTTCTTTTGTCTTACGTTTCCTTCATTCTTTGTTCTCATCATTCTCTTGATTCACATCCCACAAATCATTGGTTTTCACCGTACCACAGACTCACGTCAGGCATTGCAGGATCAAACGCCTCTTTTCACCGTCTAATTCAAGCCACGTATTAAGAATTTCACCAGCAAGAGCAAATCTATAATTACCTCCTCCTCTCCCCCTGTTCGGCTCTCACCATGCCATTCTTCGGCAACTTCCCGGGTCGATCCTCGATCAGCAAACTCCCGCCCTTTGCCAAACCCACGTCCCCCATCCCTCTATACTCAAAACATCTTCCTCTCAAGACCGTCAATAGCACGCGTCCCAAGCTCTCGCTCGAAACGCTATCTTCCTTCAAAATGTCTTCCGGCAAAATGTCTTCTGGCAAGAAGACTCGTTGGATGCCAAATGACATACGGGGCATTTTACACCACATCGTCATTATTCTGCCTTTATTTATCCTCCTCCCCATCATTGGTTTCATGGGCACCTTTGTGTCACAGCTTAACGCGGCCTCTTCTCCTGTCCCGTCTTTATTGAATGCGACATTCGCTTTTGTGAGTATTCTTGCCCTTCTTTTGGGAGCTGCGGGCGTTGAAAGAACGAACCTAACCGACTATGACAGGCCTGTTTAGCCTCGGTGTATGTCTTCATCCGATGGATCCTACTCATTCGTAATAAGAAGATTTGGGTCTGCTTCTACTTCTTTCCCGACTTGTGTTTCTTCGGCGTCTTTCTCCTTCTAACTATTCTCCCCCACAAACCTATGGCGGCTATGAAGTGCACCTCTCTCCCCAAACATGGCGGCAACACGGCCAACTTCATACACTCGTTCTACGCCAATGCCGGTCAAGCAACAGGCGACAATTTCGAGTGGTTGGTTGATCCTAGCCAGGAGCTATGCCGTCAAATCCAGGCCATCTGGGGCCTGTCCTGGGCAGCATTCTTTTGGTTCAGTGTTTATATGATCGTCGACTGGATTTACGTCAGCCGGGGCGAAGGTTGTAAGGAGCCCCAGTGCGAGCCGGTGCAAGTTGCATGAGGATACGGCTGCCGTGACGGCTCATCGGGGGTGGCTCCAGCTGCAAATGCCCTGCGCAGTGCCCGAAGCCTTGGGACAATGGCCATGGCGACGGCACAGCACCAGGACTGGAGGCCACTGTATGATGGCGACGAGAATCTCGGCGGGAACATCCCCGTTCAGATATCCAACGGCTGCTATCCCAACTTACCCCGGCCACCCGCGGCAGCGAAAAAGACGAAGCGCAGAGTCAGGCAGCAGGCTGAGGAGATACCACCGCTACCACCACTGCCGGCCTTCGTGGCTCAAACGGCTGACAGTTCCCTCATCTTCCCCCAGGTCACATCTTAGTCTTGAGTTCGACGGCAAATAAAAACAAAACTTAATATTTGGAAAGCGACGCTTTGGTTAAACAGGACATCCCCGGCGCGGGAATCAAAATCAGCACATGTTTTGGAATAGGGTGTTTGCCCTTGGACAGGGAAAAGGAAAATCAAAATGAAAAACCTCTTAATGCATGTATTCGGTAGTAGTTGTAAATTAGGTTCATCGATAATAAGATTCTTATTTATGGAATATGCAAACATAGCACATGTGAGACCAAGCAGTAACGTGATAGATGGCAAGCCTTGGTGGCCTAGCAGCCGTCGCAAAAGGTAAAACCGGTTTTGCCCGGAAGGGTATCATAGCAACACAACTCCATGCCCCAGGATGTTCATGCACTGGGCAACGTCCCAGCTCTCGTCCATGGGTCGTTGGGCCCAGACCTGCTCCATGATGTGCATGGCTTCCCTAAGCGACCCAAAGAGCTGCAGCCCACCAAGTCGAGCCACTATGCTCTTATACTTGACCTCATCTTCCGGAGGTGCTAGGCAGCCGGCCACGCATAGCGGCCAGGCTAGTGCTCCCAGGCAGGTTCCGCTTGGAAGGTTGAACAGCATCTCGGTGGTGTTGGCCACGGCAGTACTGATTTCCGGGCACGAAGGTTGCCAGCCCGCAAGGACCGTATTCAGGTAGATCAGGGCCGCGTTGAGCCAGATGGTGTTGTGCATCGCATAAGACGGCTGCTCGCCGAGGACCGGCACCGAGATGACGGTGGCGACCGTGTCGGGGGGCGGGCATGATGTTTGGATGGCCATAATCCCCCCTTTGATTGCGTCTAACAGTATTGTGCCACGGCTCAAGAGCTCATTGATGGATAAAGAGCCGGCTAAGCTCTGTGCCTTCTTCCATGAGTGAAGAGATGCTATGTCACCGATGACCTGGAGGACCCAGTTGTGCAGCCCGCGAAACTCTTCCATACGGAGAGGTCCCTCGCCCATGGTGCAAGGGCTCCATTCCGACGTCTTACACGAAGGTATAATCTTGTTCTGATAGTTGTACAGCCGAGGAGGACATCCAAGCGAGACGCTCGACATCACGTCAATGTAGAGCAGGTTGGCCGTGAAGAATCTGCAGGCAGCCTGGCTGGTGCTCCAGGGCCTCTTCATGCCCATTTCTGGCGGCGGCCAGCGATGGTTGACGAGGCCGTACAGCATCTCCTCCCAGCCATCGGCGTCCGGGAGGACCTGCCGGAATAGAGCAATGGCAGCATCAAGATGTAGCTTCCAGTTTTCACGGGTACCTGTGGCGACTTCGAAGATGAGCAGCTGGATGATGCTCTCCATGACGACCAGACCATCTCGCGGGTCCATCTTGCGGCTGTGCAGCGAGCTGACCTCTCTCTGCAGCTCGCGCAGGCCCAGCTCCATCTGGGACTGCAGGTTCTCGTTCATCTTTTTCATGCATTCCTCGTGTTCCGGTTCGCCATTGTTGAGGATCAGGGCGAAATAGTACGATGCCAAGGACACGGTGATGTGGTAGAGCGACTTGTTATTGGACTGCAGCGCATCCAGCACCCAGCCGCGACCGCCAACCAAGATGTGAGGGCGATAGTGAGGGAACAGGTGCGGGAAGACGTAGTCCAGATACATGCACGCGTAGTGGATGTCGGCGGACCGGTCCAGCTCCATCGGCTCGTCAGCGCCGCTGAAGGCCTGGCTATGCCATGGGAGCTCCGGCGGCGACGTGGCAGCAGTGCTCCCCGAGACGTGGCTGATGGGCGACTCCTTGGTGGACGGCGCCGACGCGGAATAGCCTCGCTCGACATCGGCCCTGGGCTCGTCGCTGAGGCTCACCTTGCGAGTGCCCGACTCCAGCATGTCGAGATACTTGCGGTCTCGGCGCTGGCTGGCCTGCTTCTTGACCTGGGCCTTGACAAACTCGGCCATCTCCTTCTGCCTGGGCCCGCCATCCATCCAGTCGGGCTTGGTGTCGCCGAAATGGCAGGTGATTTCCAGCGCGGCGCATCCCGAGCATTCGGGGCGACGCTCATCGCACTTCTTGCGACGCAGCCTGCAGGTGTAGCAGCCGGACTGCGACCGCACCTTGGACGACAGCAGATGCTTGATGGAGGACATGCTGCTCACAGCAATTGCCCCCTGGACTGTTGCGATTAGTCACCCTTGGACCGAGAATGGATTCGTCGTGGCTGTTGCGATGTCGTCGATACAGAATCTAGGCACAGATGGGCTGGTAGTTGGTAGTTGGATGAAGACAGGAGTTTACTAATGCAGTCAAAATACGGGGGGTACCTAGAGTTAATACGAAGCCTTAGTACCCCAGTACGTACCGCTCCCCAGCTTAACGTTTAGCTGCGGTAGCCGGTGTTAGCGAGGGGCATGCTGTAAGCCAGATGAGGCGAGTACAGTATTAGTGAGTACCTAGTAGTGCTAATGGACTAATTTGCTGCAGGGGCTGCGACAAGTGGCGCTACGGACACATCAAGCAGAAGAGCAACGCCCGGAGTGCAGGAAAAGTCCGATTAGTCAGCTCATCTGACAGGCTGAGCCAAGGTAAGGCTGAGGTGAGTTGGGTGTTCCGCACAGTGTGAGATATGTATTGAGTTTCATCTTACGCACAGTGTGATATGAGATTCCCGGTAGACGCAACTTGGAGAAGAAGATGGCGAATGAAGAGGATGGCCACAAGGGAATAGTTCTTTAGATGACTGCTGTTATTGCCACCTTTATGATATCTTCTGTAATCACTTAAAGAAGTTGTAGTACAAGGAATGTAGAATCATATTGAAACAGCCGTCCCATAATATAAAGTCGAAGCGCTGGTGTGAATCGTCCTCAGAAGAATCACCATGTTGTAGGACTTACAAGGCTTCATCTCGTTAATGACGACCACCATTTCAAGTTTCAATGTCCTCATTGATATACTCGTATTGTTCCTAGCCTATTAATTACATGTCCGCCGTGTATACTGGAATGACTCTTATTCTACCCCGCCCAACTAGCATTACCCTTCCTGATCTACCTTGATCATGTTCCGCACACATACCATGCCATGTTTATTAGATGTGCCCTTTGTCGACTCAGCGAACGTGTGGGAATGCAACAATCTACTTCTAGCCGCAGCAGACTGTAGTAGAGTTTGTTGCACTCGTATTATCCGAGCTACCAATAGGTCAGCATACAAACAGGCCGTGAGTTTGCTCTTTCTTCATTACTGGCTTACCCAACAGACAACGTCTCCCAGTGGAAAACAAAGGCGCCAATATAGGCACCGATGAAGATGCAGATGATGAAATACCCGTTGTAGTACATGGCTAGCAACATGACAAAGTATGCAACCGCAAACTGAACCATGTGTAGCAACGCACGGATGGCCTGCTGGAGCACGTTTGGGCGGAAGGGAGGCATGGCAATCCCGGCAGGACAGGCTGCCTCCTGCGCCTTGACCGACTCGCCGCCCGCCTCGACGGCTGTGTTTGCTGGCGTGACTGAGACGGCGGTGGCAGCAGAATTGTCTCGATACTTGGCGGCGTGCTGCTTGATCAGGAAGCGGTCGTATTCCTTGGACAGGCGGCGGAGACACTCCAGGGCAATGACAAGGAGGATGACGCCGATGCAGGAACCCGCAAACATGCCCTTGGAGGTGATTTGCCAGCTCTCAGAAATAAAGCAAGTGTCCATGACGTTCCAGTTCCAAAGCATCTAGAACGGGGAGTCAGCTCTTGCTACCGCGTATTTGTGATTTGACGAGAAGAGCTTCCGTACGGAGATCTTGCACATGCCTGCCGGTCCCATGCCCATGCCCATGTCTTGATCCATGCCGTCGCTCATCATGGCACCGGTGGGATTGGCGTTGGCTGCTGTGGTGGTAGACGGCATGTCCATGTCCATGCCCATATCCATGCTCATCGCTGTGTATCGTCTCAGGAAAGAAGAGGCCTTTGCCTGGTGGAGATGAGAGAGAAATAAAGAGTGAAACCAAGAAGCTGGTCTCGAACTCAACGGAAAAAGTTGATGTTGATGTTGCTGAGACAAAACAAAGAAGTACCGCACGCGAGCTGAGAGACGTCGGGTGGCATTTATAGGGCCAGCGAACGCACTGATCGCCTATCACGGATGGAAACACAGCGTGAAAGGGGCGCCTGATGCACAAATTCAGGGCGAAGAGGCACTGGAGGCACTGCGGGAAGCACTGATGGCAGAGGTGCCACCTGCTGAAATCTTGGCAGCTGCCACCTGGATTCCCATCGTAGCGAGTGGAATTGGCCTCAATGGCCTCGCAGATGGAAAGAAACAGAAAATTTTGGCTGGTCCAGCGCGTCTGAGAGCATTTGAGCAAGTTTTTCGAAAAAGTGGTGAGATACAACAGACGAGCTGGCTTGGCGAGAAGGAGCTCGTGCAGATTCTGCATGTAAACAATTGGACGATGCATGTGACAGACGGGCTTCTAGTTGATTTCCAGATGGCTTCTATTCCGTGGATGTTTACATCCAATTGGATGCTTATTTTTTAGTGCCTTAACCCTGCCAATCGTCTAGTACAAGTAGCATCTCTCCACCGCTTCTTTTGATCTCGCTCCTTTGTGCTGCCCAAGATTTGATCAGCCGACAATTCCTTAGACATGGATGTCACCATCTGTGCGTGGGAAAACAGCTACAGCAACGGCAAATCCAACGTCTGAAATGCATCAATTTATCCGTTACGAGGTACCAACTGCCTAATCTTGCCAGACAGAAGCTCGGTCATGACACCAACACGTTCCCAACGCCTCGTGCCACCATCCACAGAAAAAAAGAAAAAAAGAAAAAAAGAAGAAAAAGAGAAAAGAGAGACTGGTTGTGAGACAATTTGTCCTCCATGTTCCTTTTCGCATCCAACATCAGCATCGCCTTTTCTCTTCGAAAGCCGGTCAGTTTGTCACTGCTGTTCCTAGCTTGACTTGGAACCCGAACCGCGGCCGAAGCCTGAATTTGAGCTTGAGCTGGAACTTGATGAAGATGAATTCTTCACATGGTTGTCGGCAGATTCAAGAGGCCGAACAGGAGCCACGTCAAGCTCTGCAACGTCGTTTGTCCGAGATGGAGGGACGTAGACCGTCGGCTCGAGAATGATGTGTCGTGAAGCTGGCGATTCTGAACGCCGAGACTCGGATGAGCTTGGACCAGCCTCGTTGGGAGTTATGGCATCGATAATGGCCGCCCCTTGCTCAGCCCCTGATATCGCCACTGGGGCGGCAATGGGCGTTGTTGCAACGACAGCCTCTGGTAAGACGCTCAAGTTGCCGGCGTCTCCTTGTTGGTGCGAGATTCTGTCACAGTCAGTATTCGCAAAGAATGCCGAAAAGGGCTGAGACAAAGAATATCGCTTGGAACTCACTGCTGTGGAGGAGTAGCAGGCCGTTGATTCTCTCCATGAGACGCGGCACTCGATGCCTGACTGGAAAAGCAGCAGCCCATTTTGGGAAAATAGGGGGGGCCGGCGATGAACAGCACTCGGATCTTGGATGTGAGGCTTTCGAAATAGGGTGTAGATTTTCGCAAAAAAAAAAGCAGATACGGGGGAAAATTTCGATTTTCCTTCTATTTCTCCTTTGGAAAAGAAGAAAAAAAAAAGGTTGACGGTTCGGCAGGTGAGCAAGCAGGCAAGACAAACAACGGCGACTTGTACCACTCCAACGCTGGCAGCTGTCATGGCCTGGTGACGCTCTATTGACAGACGCTTGTGTCTATTTGCGCTAAGTACACATCTTTTACTCTTTTCCTTGACAGAATCTTTTCATCTGATTCAGGGTACACTTGCACAGAAGCACAGCAGACGCAATTGGTAGCGCTGATTTTGTTTCACCTGCTGAGGTGAATGACTGGCTAAGTTTAATTGACTTGTATCTTTGGTCATGGGATGATATCTGATGGCAGAGTATCTCCCGAACCATACCTTGACCCCTAAAATATATGAAATATCACAAAATCGGGATAGACCTAAGTCTTTTTCGGCTGCTTGGAGTTATGAGGCTCGTCAATGCCTTCTCCATCGTCGTCCCCATCGGCAGAGGAAGCATTGCCCCCATTCTCTGCAGCCTCGCGGGCTCCAGAACCAGCTTCTTGTGGAGAGCTCGTGCCGCCTTGTGCCCGCGAGGACTCGCCGATCCAAAGCGCAACTTGGAGCCGGTTCTCGTCGTCCGCGGTCCAAGCACTCCCGACATCAGTTTCAGTATCTTTGGTGAAGCTTTCATTAGCTATTCTTTTCATTCTATTGCTTCAAAGTTTTGGGGAAGATTCTGCTTGCTTACATTGATGGCTGCTTCGTCTACTTCGATGACTTTTCTTCTTCTTTTTGTGGTGACTAGACCTCCTGACGACCTTCTTCTTTTTCTTCTTCTGACTTCTTCTTCGAGATTCAGCGTCCTCGCGATGCCTGTCCCGGAGTTCAGTTGGAGGATTCACATTCATCGAAACAGAGACGATGGTCTCGCAATGCTGAGGGCACCTAGGCTGGCATCGAGGCTGAGGCTGCTCGATTGGCTCCCGAACCAAGACCGTTTCGTCACCTCGAGTGGCATAATAAAATTCATACTGAACTGGGACACACCTGGGCTGGCTAAACACGCTCAACATAAGTATTTACACTGCAGTTAAAATAGCTGATGGATAATTCTTATTCTCTTTAAAAGATACGTACGATCTTGAATGCCGCCGCCGCCGTCGCGGGGGCTCAGGGGCAGAAAAACACGAACCCATGTCGGTGACTACGAGTGAAGAAACCCTTCGCAAAGCTGCCGTTAGATTGGAGTAGAAACCATTATTTATCAGGCACAATGGGAGCAGTGGCTACTTTGGAGCCCTATATATTCCACTTTTCCTTAAGGTTTACTTTATGAGCGGCAGCTCGTCACCGAAAGTTTCCCAAGGAGGAGGTTCTCAATCACGGTGTTTTCTTCTCTTTAATTCATGTCGATTGGTCTATTCATCTGGAGGCTGAAGCCTTGAACATGTGTAAACGATGTTGTTTAGATGAGAGCAACAGCGCATACTGCAATAAATTGTGTTTTGCTGCAGTCATCTCATCTCTACACGACTACCGAAACTGTGATCAAAAGCAAATGTGCCGCTTGGATCCGTTTTTTGTCTTCCAACTCTCCTTGAATTACCTTTATCTCGGTACTATCAAATGGGGCCCTCCACTCGGGCCTTTTCTATAGTTTGTTGAGTCCCGTCAAGCCTTGTGGTTCGGGCTTATAGATTGGCTTTCGACCCCTTAATACCTAGCTGTTTACTTATAGGTACCTAGCCAGCACCCCAGCGACTGAGGTGAGTTCCGAATGGAGTAACAAGTATAATGAAGATCTTTTATCATCGTTACTTAAATAGATATTACACAGTTCCTGGCGTATCTGCTACTATCGCTAGTTTCTGCTACGATCTACATATTCCTCTAATGTCTGCTATTATTACTACCGGGGCTGCTTTAAATTTAAGAACGGGATGCTGAATAGCGAACGTGGGGTGCTGAATAGTCACTCCCAAGAAATGGCACATCAATACATCATCAAATGAAAAGGTGTAATTCACTACGAAATCTGCATGAACTCGGACCGCATATAGGACTAATAAGTCATGAACAAGACGCAGGTGAATAAACGATTGCAAGAAAAGAAAACACATATATTTGCTCGCAAAATTCCGATCACGGCCCCCATCTAAGAGTAGATGCTACATGCTACATGCTAAAACAAGGTTCCATGTTTCTATAAAGTTTGTCGCCCTAACCTACCAACGCCAAACGGCAGTGTATAAATTCATGATTCCAATCAGAACGGGGGGAAAGAGGGGGGGAAGAGAAAGAATGTAGAATATATCAACGCGAAGATGCAACCTCCTTTTTGGCCAAACATACACACACACACACACAAATGCTGCAAAGACGCTAGGCTAAGCAAATGCTCCCACGGCTGCCATGAGCGCTGCGCCGGCCACGACTGAAAAGTAGGCCTGGACGCGCTTCTTGCCCTTCAAAACGCGATAGCTCTTCTCCGTCAAGAAGTCCTCAGCCAGGAGCTGCACAAGGCCCGCATAGAGCAACAAGCCCGACGAGATGGCGTTTGTGACGCCCACGACCACTAGTCCCGTGGCGCTGCTGGGATCCCATTTCCGTTGCAGAACAAGCCCGATTGCCTGGCCGATGGGCGTCGTGGTTCCGTAGGCGAGGACCATGAGCCAGGGGCGGATAGATCCCTTGGGGAACTGGATAGCCGCGATACGGCTCCCCAAGGCCATGCCCTCAAACGACTGGTGGAAGCTGATGGCGACTAAGAAGACGACAAAGGCCGGGCCAGTAGCAACAGAGATGGCCATTCCTATGAAGACGCTGTGGAACAGGATGCCGGCTTCCAGCAACAGACACTGCAGCATCCGACGCTTCTGCTCCTCGGGAGACTGAATCTGGTTCCCATCTGGGCCCTCGCCGCCACGTCGCACATTGGGCTTCACAAGCGAAGAGTAGGCGCCATTTTGGGCACTCCCGCCAGGAGGGGCAGGATCGAGTTCCGCCAGATCCAGATCCAGGTCGGATTCTCGGTCATCGTCGTCTGCAGACCTTCGCCGCTGCAGCGCCGGGCTCGACTCGGGCAAGGGTGAAGCGCCTGCAATGAGCCCCTCTGCCGCCTCCAAGTGATCGAGAGAGATGTCCGCCGGTCGTCGAGCCGTCACATGTCCGCGCCTGCCAGACAACCCCTCGCCGGCCATCTGTAGCTCTTGCGCATCGCCCTCAGCTTCGTCGTTCTCGTCCCAGAAATCGTGCGTATGCGAATGCGAGTGGCCCGCGCCTCGAGCGGTCAGGTAAGATTCGACTCCCACGACGACAATGGCGGAGACCATGGCGATGAGCCCTGGGAAAGGAGTGTATCCCTGGCTGAAGAAGTATGGCAGACATGGGTCGGTCAGGGATGAGAAGGCGGTCGGCAGCAGGTGCACAAATGCCGTGGCGAGAAGAACGCCGGTGCCAATATGCTGGCAATAGAAGATGATTGTCTTTTGTCGATGCCCCGTCGTTGCTCGCCGTGATAGCAGTGGAAAGCCGCAACCTATGGCGCAAAGCCCTGGATTAGCAAACTGCTATTTGAGTCTTCACCCTCCTTAATCTGCCATCCTGCGAACAGCCTTACCGAGTGTGCTCAGGACGAGAATCAGGAGCAGCGCAAAGATATGCGCGGCCGTGTCATACCATCCCGAGTTGTGCCCGCCGCACTGCGGTCTCTCGCCCTCGTCTCGTCGTCGTTGGAGTTCGGCGTGGAGCAGGCTCGATGGAATTGACGCCCAGGCGTCTGCACAAGAGAAACAATGTCACGTCAGCTCTTGCTACGCACTACGCGAGTCTGCAGCCAAACAGGAGCTTCCGCTTACCTCTCGCCATCACCGCATCGGCGCCATCCATATCGAGTGTCTCGCTTGGCCTTGGCAGTCCGACACGCTGGGCATTGGGCAAAGGCTGATGATGCCCAGGAGTCAATCTCTAGTGTGCAGGTAGCTCTAAAGCGAACGCCTTGCGCAATTCACCTGGTGCATCAAAGGAGCCAGATCATGAATACCTGTAGGGAGTACGAGGTCGGAGGGTTTAATTTGGTATGGATGACAATAGAAGCACCCTTCGCGCCTAATCCTCGGCTGAGGCTCAACACGCGCGTTCCAAGCCGTGAGCTCCGGACAGCAAATAATATGGACGCCACTGAGCACTGACACAAGCAACGAATGGCTTCTAAAATAAGAGGGGGGAGACTAGCAACGCCAAGTAAACGTGCTGTCAGCTCACTCATCTATTTGGGGGTCTCATGCTCAACTATCGTCTTGGTATTGCATCTTGGCCGCTGCTTTATTCAATATTCCCCAGTTCCTCATTGATGCATACGTCATTGTACCTGTAGCCAATGCCGGCGAGTCACTTAATAATACGGACAGGATCTCCCCGAGCCAAGTCCGTACAGTAATAGCTGACCTCGATCGATATACATGAACTCTTGTAAATGAGCAGTTATATTGCATTGATTGCACCTCAGCATCTCTAAGACACCACTGCTATACTACCTGTACAATAAGTATCATAGACAATACCAGGCATCGCAATGTCAACCATCGGCATCTTCCCCGCCTCTGGGGGTCTCGGCACCAGCACTTACACCCACCTCCTCAAAGCCGTGCCCGCCTCCAACGTCGTCCTCATCAGCCGTTACCCGGACAAGACTCCCCAGATCTACAAGGACCAAGGCGTCCGTCTCCGCCAGGCCTCGTTCGAATCATCGCCCGCAGACCTCGAGGCCGCCTTCCGAGACATCTCCATCCTGTTCCTCATCTCCTACCCCAGCCACGTCCACGAGTACCGCTCAGGATTGCACATTCCAGCCCTCGACGCCGCCCACAGAGCAGGCGTCAAGCATGTCTTTTACTCGTCCCTCGCCTTTGCCCTGCCCGACAAGAGCACCACGCTGGCAGAGGTCATGGGCGCCCACCTCGACACGGAGGCCCATCTGCGGAAACTCGCCGACCAGGATCCCAGCTTCTCGTGGACCGCCATCAGGGAAGGTCTTTATCACGAATCATTCCCCATTTACACCGCCTTCTTGGACCCAAAGGACGCCGCCACCACCGAGATTCGCATTCCCCACGACGGCTCCGGCCCCGGCATAAGCTGGGCTAAGCGTGACGAGCTGGGCGAGGCATCAGCAAACCTGATTGCCCAGTGCTACCAAGACCCAGCTGGCTTCTCCTGGAAGAACAAGCTCGTGGTTCTGACAGGCCCTCGAGAATGGTCTCTTGCTGATACCGTCAAGTTGCTTTCTACCGTGGCGGGTAGAGAGCTGACCATCCGCCCCGTCACAGTGGATGAGTATACCGCCCAGCCGCAGGTTGCCGCAAAGTTTGGATGCAACTCTCTCTCGCGGACATGGGCAACTGCGTGGGATGCCATTCGCGTGGGAGAAACCTCATATGTGTCGTCATCTCTGGAGCAGCTGTTGGGGCGGCGACCTGAAGAGTTTGATGTTACCATCAAGAACCTCTACGGTTCACCCGCTGAGAAATAGCCAAGGCAAAATATAGGCATCTGCTATTATAATACTGTTATATAGTTCCTACCATTACCATTACTACAAGATATACTTAGGATCCGAAAAATATATATCTACCTACGTATGCCTGTAGATATACCTAACCACTGTACAAACAGAGTAGGCACCTGGACATGTTGATAGCTCCCAAGTCCTGATGAACCTCCATGAGATGCTGGGCACTGCTAGGCTAGGCAACTGACTTGGTGTTACTGGTTCATCTCATCATTTACTCCCCCAGATTGCAACCAGTCAAAATACCCTCCATGCCATTTGTGATTTGTCAAAAATTTCCCATTTAATCTCCAGTACACCCAACATGCATTGGTTCTAAATAAAATCCGTGACTATCCCCAAGGACACCGGGCACTTATCGATCAAGAACAGCAAACTAAAAAACAGAAACATGCTAGCAAACACAAACGAAAAGGATGTGACACACCCCAAACACAGTCAAAGCTCATAGGGTATCAATGCATTAAAACCAGATCTCCTGGTAGTAATGTGGCTGTAGTCCAGCACCGCAAAGATTTCCGTCTTCCAGTCATCTCGCGTGTGAAACTCAATTGGCGCCGGCTGCGCAAGGATGTCTGCCATATCCAGTCCATTTGGTACAAATGTCAAAACACCTCCTCATTTGCCAGGTAGGCCCCCTAAACAAAGAATACATACAAGGATATCAATCACTTTCACGGCGCAACTGTTTCGCAAATAAACGCCCCTGAGAAGAAAGAATAACAAACCTTGTCCGACAACATGAGAGAGCGACGGTATCGACGAGAAAAAAAAAGAAAAAAGAAGACTGAGAGTGCAAAAAGGAAGAAGAAATCCGCATACTGTGTGCTGCAACCCAGGTTCCATCATGGGTGGTTCGTGAGTGGGGTAAAGTGGCGATGAGGGGGGGGAAAACCCCGAGTCCAATGTTTCCAAGTAAGATGCAAAGGTGCAAAATCGAAAAGCGAAATAGCGATTGAAGGCCGGCATCAAAGCATGTTCTCAAAGGCTGCTTAAAAAGGGCAAGGATATCATCAAATAGCAAGAATAACGTAAACATTGCATAAAAAAGGCCAGAATCATCGCTGAAATGACTTGTTTCGGGCCAAGACCGATTGTCAATGGCAGTACTAGTACTTGGTATCATGACACTGGGGCCAGCAGAAGTACTGGCTCCCAATAAAAGAAAGAAAATCAATCAATCAGCCCGTTTAGTAGGCGGCGGCGGTGTTGGAGCCTTCGCTGGTGGCAACGGCCACCAAAGCTTCGAGTCGTCTCAACGAATCAGGGTTATTTGAGCGTTCCTGTTGTTGACGCTGTTGCTGCTGCTGTTGCTGTTGCTGCTGCATTTGCTGCTGTTGGAGCGGCTGCTGCTGATGGTAATGCTGCTGCTGTTGATGCTCTTGAGACTCTCGTGCCGGAAAACCAGCAAAGCCATTGAAGTTGGGGTGCACCATCCGATCAACATGGGGGTTCCGCATGTCTTGAGGCGATTGGTGCCATCCATGGCCTCTTGGTTCCCTAGCAAGGGTAGGAGCAGACATAGTATGCTGGTGAAAGGATCGACCCGGTGTGGCCGAAGGTTGGACCTGGTGGCTTGGCCTTGACTGCTCTTCAAATCGGACCGTTGGTGGGTTCAGGCGTGCCTGGTCAACCTTGTTTTGGACCGCTTTGTGGACTTCAGATGCCCATATTCCGGCACTGTCGCGAGGAGGAGTCTTGTGTCCTATGTCAAGACGACCCAAACCGCGCTGCAAGCTGACGTCATACATGTTGAGGTTGCGCCTCTCGTCAGCTTGAATGGCCTCCATCACTGGGGGTCGAAGGGCAGGTTCAGAGTCAACAGTCATTGGGGATGCGTTACGCCTCGGGGGCGAGGCTGAACGAGGGAGAGGGTCAAAAGACTCGATGCCAGGAAGGCGAAGGTTGGACTGGGGGCCTGTTGGATTCGCAATAGGCGGCGGGGGATTTGGCCGCACGGACTGGCTGAGAGCGGCGTTCAGCTGGGCAGTACTGCCGAAGCTACGGCTATCAGGATGCCAGGTTCGCCGCCGCCATGCCTCCTCGCCTGTGCTCGCAATGGACTCTCTTCTGCCAGAAAACACAGAAGGCGAAACGGTTGGTGACGAAACCATATTCGCATTTGGAGGTTGAAAGGCTGCAGCATGGGAGCTGTTCATGAGGTGGGGCCCAACGGTCGAGCGACCCGGAGGCTGAACCTGGCTGAACTGGAATGGGTTGGCGCCTGACGGAACGCTCAACCGACGGCCAGGAGTCCGAGATCCCACGACGTACATGCTCTGAGATCGCGAGTGAGAGTGTGACGCTGGAGACGCCACACTAGAGCCCCATCGCGGGCTGCTTTGGGCGGTTGAGAAAGTGGCAGACGTCGGGGTGCTGAAATCTCCGGGTGACTGAGGTCGATAGGAAAAGGTGCTGTCGGTGCTGCTGCGGTAGGATTCCATAGACAGCCTGGAGCGGGGATCAGCTGCCATGACAAGAGGGGGAGGCCGTCGACGAGGATCATTTTGAGGGCTGTAGGCCGATGCCACAGACGCGATGCTGGAGATGCTGGAGGTTGAGAGAGACTTGGAATGTCCTCGAACAGGACCGCCAGCGCTGCCACCAGTGGACGCTCTCGCCCTGTTACCGGCTTGACGAACCCTATCGGTCCTAATCTGCCGTTGAAATCTCGAACCAGTAGCCGCAAGAGAGTCGATGGGGATATCTTCATTGACGTGGACAGTTTGAGCGTGTTGTCTCAGGTTATCCAACCTGGAGAACCGCCTGGAGCAGTGGCATTGAAAAGGTCGCTCTCCGGTGTGTTTTCTAGCATCTCGTTAGCCAAACTTGCAATCAGGAAAGGGGAACGTCGGTGGGTTCATCGACAGACATACCGTATATGTCTAGCCAAGTGCTCGCTCCGTGTGAAGCTCAGGTTACATGGTGGATAGTCGGTGCAGTAGAAGCGCTGAGACTTCTTCTTCTTATTTGACCTTGATCCATCCGCATTCACGCTCTCGCCATCGGAGCCAACACCATCATCGACCATGTCTCCATCCGAGTCGTCCATATCTACGTCCAGCGAGTTTCGGTTGGGCGATTTGGTAGAATGCTGTGAGCCGTCGTGGTGCAGGGCGTCCTCGGGAGACTCAGCAACGGGCGTCACTTGGGGAAATGGACTCGGCGGCAAAGGCCTCTGGCTGGCCATATTGATGCTGCTAAAGGTAGCTCGGGTTGGCGTCTTGCCATCGTCGGGCGAGAGTGCGGGCTGTAGCTGAGACTGCGGTGCTGTGCTGGGACGAGGAGACGAGTTTTTCGGTGACATGATGTCCTGCCTGGAAATTTCCGCTGCGAGTGGGGTGTTGACGGGGCGAAACGCAGCCGCCATGATGGGCGCAGCGAGGCGACCAGGCGGTGGTGATGGCGAGTGGTATCGGCAGACTTGCGAGCCGTCAACTCGGCAGTGTCGTGCAAGTCGGAAGAGGAGGAGGTTTGCGAGAGGAGTGATGCAACGCAGACCGATTACGCAAGAGAGCAGGGTAGAACAAGGTGGCGCTTGTCACTGCCTGCACGTAGAGAACTTGGACGGTGCTCCCAAAGCAAGGCTGTGATGCAGACAGAGACAGAGAGGCTCTCCGATATGGATGAAACCGACCGAGAAAAAAAGACGAGATTAGCAGCTTGGCAGACGACTTCCCGTGGTGACAGGCGGCGAAGGATCGAAACAAGATTCCACGAAGCTGCTTGCTGGAGCTGGAGTTGCAGATGCTGGGCCAAGGCAACGGGCAAGAAGGCTGAAGTAGGGCCGAGGGGGAGGGGAAAAGATGGTGGGGATGTTTGAGGTCAGCAAGGGAGGCGGAGGCGGAAGGTCAGGAAGGACAAGGGGGCAACTAAGGTAAGGTTGCAAGGGCGGCCAGAAAGCTTGTGCTTGTAACTTTGGGCTTTCGGGGTAGCAAAAGGCAAAGAGCTGCGAGATGCTCGTCCTGGGCCTTGGGGAATGGATTGATGACCAATAGAGGCAAGGTAGTGGCTGCGTGAGACGATTCCTAGTAGAATAGCGCCTCAACTTTCCAGGTACGGCCGGCGAGGGCGAGTACCAGTGCGGCGAGCGCCAGGTACTGGAGTAGTGGCTGCTAGCACCGGCAGTGACCTGCTGAGGGCGCGCTGGGTACTTTGCCGCTAGCCGACAGCATCGAACCTGGTGCCTCTTGGTCTGTTGCCTGAGGCGTCGCTGGTTGCGGCCGTGGGATGGGGTGGGCAATCAGGTTGCCAGTGCTAAGGATCTAGCGCTGGGCCATGCTGGGCCATGCACCTCCGCTAGCAGCAACGGTGGCCAGGTTCGGACCAGCCCTGGCCACTGAGCAGAGGCCCTGCGACCCTCGTTGCGGCCGTGCCATTGGACGATCGCCAGGATCAGAATCGGAAACCAGACGACAGCTGAGCGAGCCAGAGCAGCGACCGACAGCAGCAGCAGCAGCATCGACGAGCCCAGTACTAGCAGCAGTAGCAGCAGCAGGGGGTCGCCGGACCCTGCGATCGGTGACACAACGATGCGTGCCTGGTGGGCTAGTGCTGGACTGGATGGTCTACTGTAACTAGAGAGTGTCTGTCTGTCGCTAAAGCACTTCCATTCATGATTTGAGATTTCAAAAGCCGTTTGTTGATGGGCATCCATCCATACTCGTACTCGTACTGTACTCAACCCGAAGGCACAACCCATACTGTCCTGGCTTGCTGGCTTGCTGGCTTGCTGACTTACTGACCTACCCCTCGGATAGATTCCTCAACACGACGGACGGACGAAGCAAAGACAGACGCCCTGAGCTTGCCGATGGCGAAATCGAACAAGCAGGGGCACCGTGTGGCGATGTCTGTCTCTGGCTCGCTCGCCTTTTGCTCCCCCAGACCAGACGGCGCGACCCTCGGTGGAGTCCGGATCCGGATTGGCAGGGCAGGGCGCCAACCAAGCTCGTAGCGATGGCACACATTTATTGACCAAGGTCCGGAAGGGCTGCTGTTTATCTTCATTCTCGCATTCGAGCCGTATGCACCCGGTATACGGTACCTGCCGGGCCAAGATGGTGCATCATCTGCTGAGGTACACTCTGCATCCTTCCAACCTACCAGGAGACACCTAGCTGAAGACAGTTTGGTCTGTGTATGTTCGAAACGGACTTGGCGAGAACAAAGACAAAAGGCAATCTGGCAGCGAGTGGCTGGGTGCTCTCATCAGGTAGCCTGTACCTGGGGATACCTGAACTGGGCCCAAGGCACCATACCTTTGCTCTAAGCTGCCACATCAGAACCTAGACTCATACAAGCACGTAGTATGCCCATGCCCATAGGTGCTCGTGCTGTCGCTGCTGCGCAGTTGGGGCTTGGCTTCGTCTCTCCTCTTCGGGAAGGACGGAATCCCTGTCTGAGGCGCAAACTGCAGACAGATCGCAGCGCGCTACGGGCGGGCAGCAGAGAATGCGTATTCATGTGACACCCGGCAGCGCGCTGCGACTCGCCCACGGCGGTACGAGTACTCATACCTCTGGGCAAGGTAGTCGTAATGCGAGCTCCGTACCCTGCGACTCTGATACGAGCGTTGGCTCGCTACCTGCTCGACTTGTCTACTCGTGCTTGTCCGAGAAGCTTTGAAACACACCAAGGATGACGAGAGGGCAGCGCAGCGTCACAGCTGGCCTTAACCGGGGGATCCGCCGGAGCTGGCGGACGCGATACTTTGCGCGCATCATACTTTTGCCGTCTCAGTAAATAAGCTCGAGGCGGGGAAGTGGGAAAATGGCATGCCAAAGGCGACAAGACAGCAAAAGTCAACTGTCGATAGTATGGCGCCTAGGAAGCATCCAGAGTAGTTGGCATGCCACACAAAGTTTGGCTGCTGCGTGTTCCGCGGGCATGGCGAGAGGCCACGCAGGCGCCTAAAAAAAGATGCAAAAAGTCAACGTGAAGGCCAAGTACCTCGACACTAGAGAGGCCGAGCAAGGGTACTTGGGGTGCTAGTGGCAGCGACTGACGTAGTCGAGAGGGGCCGACGTAAGGTACAGGTCATCTGCGCACACCTTAGCGTGCGCGGCCCAGGTACATTGACGGCAATCCAGTGGGCAAGCCTCCTGCTGAAAGATGGCGTGGGCCCAGCGGCATGGCTAGCGGACGCCCGCTATCCAGGGCCCTCTCAAAAGGGCGTCTTGTCCCTCCTCCAGCCTTTTTTTCTTAGGTTGCTCTGTGCTCCATCTTACGGCGCTATATTGTACTGTATTGTGTTGTGTTGTACTGTACTCGTACTCATACCCATACCTCTCACCGGACGACGGCATGATGATGAGACAGACAGAGTGCAGAACCTAGGTACCTTAGTAGATTGATGCAGCAGTGCAGTTCAATTCTGCATTCCTGAATCTGGCAGGTACCCAAGGTACTTGCTTGTACTTGGTACTAACCTCACCTGGGCATCCGTATGTCCCTGCCTGGTAACTGTTACTGCTGCGACTTGAATGCTTGCCAAATGTATTCACTGCACTGTCCATCTGTACTCGTACCTCAACGTTACCTCACTCAGGCCCGTGACAAAGCCAAGGTACTAGGCAGGTACTGCACTTACTCGTGCAAAACCCAACCGTGATGTGATTTGGCTGATTGTGTGGTCCATTACCGCCCAAATGCCCGACAGCACGCATTGATACGGAGCAGAAGCGGAACCCCCAGCCCCTACAGTACATACCTGTACACCAGCCCCTACACCAGCAACCAGCATGACTTGTACCTGGAGCCCGTCTTATGCACCCGAGAGTCATTCACAGAAGAAAAAAAGCAAAACAAAAAACACAAAACAAAAACAAAAGAAAAAGAAAAGAGAAAAAAGTGGCCGCTGGTAGTGCAAACCTTCTCTGCCCTTGGGAGACATTCAAAAAAAACTTGGACGCTTCCAATACCCCACATGGGCTCGATGCCTACGCTAAAAGGGCCTCAGTAGCACTAGCCAGCCTCTTTAGCTAGTCCGTGGGCGCCTAACCATGGCTTGGGTGCCCACAATTGCGCAGCATGCAAGTGATGTATCGGTTTTGGACGACATTCGACAGTGGTCGAGTTTCCCTTTTGAATTTCTCATGTACGTGCACGGCGGCGGCGCAAGGGAGAAGCGTAATTCTTTTTTGCTCGGAGGAATGAAATGCATTGAAATGATTGCCTGCCTGGACGCTCCCCCGTATGTGGACGGATACATGCGCTAAATACATGCGTGCCCACCGTTGGCGATGCATGCAAATCCGTCCTGGGACTGGATGATACGATATAAATATATCCAGCCATCAGCCGGACCAGCATGTGGATAGCAGGCAAAAGCAGGGGAACATGCCGAGCAAGCGAGCCCTTTCCGACACACATATCCTGGCATCACTCATCTTTCTTTTCTTTCTTTTCTTTTTCTCTTGTTTAAACGAAACACTTCGTCAAAGGCTTGTCTTAGAGTCTCGGACGGCCATCCCACTCCCCACAATCTCACCTTACCAGGTACGAGGACCTACCTCGGGTGACTTGCACCGGCCTGCGCCGCATCAAGCATCGAATTCGTGTTCGAGCATGTACTACCTGTACACGAAGGGGCTTCCCTCAAAGACGCGGTGTAATTGGCAAGGATAGGCGTCGACCGAATATCCGGAACCGCTGCTTGCATCATCGCCATTCATAGTAGACTACCTAGCTTAGACGTAGACAGACCCCCATATATGTAGGTACCAACGTTGAAGCCAACTTATACAAGCTGTACCACCCAAGGGTCTCAAGGTTTGAAGATAATATTTGCAATCGGCTAGTCCCACGGGCCAGCTTTCTTCACGAGGGAAACATGAAACTATCCCATCATATTCATGTCATAAGTCCGTCGTTTTGTCACTTTGTGCCACCGCTCGCTCTCATCCCTCCCCCCAAACCAGCCTCCCCAAAAGACGGCGTCCGCTTACGGTGGTACAGTATGTAGTATATATGTACAAGAAGCCTGTAACGTCAGTATTAATATTGAAGCGAAAGTTACATATGACCACGATCCCAAGTAGACAGCATTCGTGCAGGTTGAAAAGCCCGAATCCACGGCATTTCCGCTCGACAGGGCCAGATATGGTTTGAGACACTTCATCAGCCGATATTCGCTCGAAACTCTACTGGAAGAGCAAGGTGGCCCCAATGTGTACGTCGGTTTGACCACGAGGCGTCGAGCTAAGATAAGGTACCCAAAGGGAGGCAGGCATGCAGCTCCCGGTAGATTGCCATCCATCCCATCCATCCCCCATCCCATCTTACCCACCCGGATTCCCCATATCGTCGACGGGAATCTTCGGAGCTGACATCATTGTCGACTAAAGCCGCTCGTTGCAATGCATGTGACCCCGGCGGATAATACGGTTGCACATTTGCCAAAACGAGCTGTAACTCGCAGGCCCGGCAAAACAAGGGCGACACGGGTTGACGGGCAGAAAAAAGGCAAAATTCGAAACATGGAAGCACCAAGAATTGCAGGTGCGTGTACCCCGTAGATAGTGCAATGCAGGAAGAAGGGGGTGGCGAGCCGGCATCTCGAGTTCACGTGCGCTAGGAGACATCAAAAGATCACATAACCTACCTAGATACTACTAAGGTAGACTATATTGCTATACTAGTAGTATAGGTAGGTAAGGTAGTAGCTTGACCATGCATTAGCATCAAGGAAGGGCTGGTATCGATACTCATGGTGTATGTCTAATACTACTAGCATTGCATTTGACTGGATTCACCACATACTCATGCAAGATTGGCCTTGTCATATTTCCAGGCTTCATTCAAAATCTAAAATTTACGGCGTCGTACATGTATATAATCATTAAAACACCACCCCAACCCGAAGCGAGCAACGTGTAGTTGTCACCAGGTCTGTTTTGGAGTCTTCCATTTCCACATCAAGTTGGTCATTACTCTAGTCATCTTTCACTTACTCATTAATAATTATGCAATTTGGTCGACCGTCAACACGTCGCCAAGGTACTAAACGTCCAGCATGCTTCTGACTTGCTGTGGCGGGGCTGCAATCGAGTTTGTGGTATCCGCGCTGCCGTTTCTCTGCCCGTTGTTTGCCCCATCTTGCCGGGACGAGCGACCCCGTTCTTCGTCCCGATAGGGTGGAGGCCCGTCCTGCGAGATTTCGGCAATCCGCCGAGCTCTCTCGGCATCCGCGTGGCTCGGGTTGTTGGGGAAGAGGACACCTGCAAACGACTCAACGATTCGCTCATTGTGCCGGCGCTCAGACTTTCCGTCGTAGCGACGAGGCTCTGTAGAATTCAAGTTTGCAACGCCAGCCCTGTCGACCCGAGGATTGTTCTTTTGAGACATGTTGTTCATCTCAATGCCATCGTTTCTGGTGGTTGTAGGGTCGCCCTGCTCTCTTTCTGCCTCATCTTCGAATCTGGCTCTGAGTCCGCGCTTACCTCCGACCTCGTTGACATTCTTCGAGATCTTGTCTCGCATGCTTAAAAGGTGATCACCTCTAACGCGCTTCCACCATGCCGGCTTCTTGACGATGCCCAGCTCCCGGTCAATAAGGTCACCTCGCTGTCGCCGCTGTGCGAGTAGGGCCTTATCTTCGTTGGGGCTGGCGAATCCATATGCGACTTGCACAAAGATGATCAACAAAGACGGGCCGTAGCCCCAGGCAAATATGACTGGCACAACTCCGCCGTAGCGCATGACGGAAAAGGTCCAGTTAAAGGAAATGAGCGTCTGGTAAGCAACAAGAGCGCCAGCAAGAGGAATAGTCAAGACGAAGCGCAGCGGAATCGCCCGAACAAGGCCCAATGTACGGTTGAACACTCCACGGTTACGCGGCTTGTAGTGATAGATTGAGTGACGAAGCGAAAACACGATTGTAAACCAGGCGATGACGAGACAGAAAGCGCCAGCTTTGAATCGCGCTCCAGTAGCAGTGGGAATCGCTTTGGCCAGGGTTTGCTCGGGGGATCGTTGCATTTCCACAAACGACCAGCTACGAGGCACAACGAGAAAGAAGTTCTATAGTATGGCAAGATTAGACACCGTCCAAAGGGTTTTGATATCGACATGATTAGAAAGGGAACTCACCATCCAGGTCCAGAAATAGAACCACAAAGGCAGGTAAAACTCCACTTTGGAGCGTCGATCATCGGTACGGTAGACGAAGGGATTGGGGTCGATGAATTGCCTCTCTTGCCAGCTTCCCCAGTGCCTCACTGATTCCCAGACTAGCGCAATGGTTCCCTGGCAGATGAGGAACCAGAAGAAGGAAGTGACAATGATGGGAAGTTCCACGACATGGTAACGGTCAATATCGATGTTGGTGAAGAGGCTGATCAAGGCGCACGCGCAGACAAAGCAGGCCCAATACCACTGCCACCGGCGACCAATTGGATAGAAGCGCTTCTCCTTGGGTAGATATAGCCTGCCATGCTTGGCCAGAGCAGTGAGTGTGAGCATGAGGCCAATGGCGTACACGGCCGCGAAGCCAATTCCCACGTAGCCTCGAACGCCAATCGGGTCCACGGCGCTGTAACACTTGGTGGCGTTGATAAAGGTTCCATTGCTGATGAGAAGCTTGGGCTGGTACGGCTCGTACGTCAGGTAACAGCGCGAGTTGTTGGACAAGGTGCCATTGCTGTAGTAGGTGTAGTTCCAGTGCTCAAGGGTTGTGAGGTTGAAGTGAATGCCTCCAAAGACGGTGTCTGTGCTGTTGTCGCCGCCGGGGAAGGACAGCAATTCCCGAGCATCGAAGATCTCGAACCGGACCATGCTGTATGATTGCGGGCCTCGCGCCGCCGAGTTTTTTTAGAGTATCCTCAACGGTGAATTGTTGTTACCTCCTCCAGTCACGGACAATGATCTCGAGGGAGGTGTTCAGGTCAGCGACGCCCGTCGCTCTCTGGATGAAATCAGCAGCAGAGCATGAGAGAAGAAGACGTCTTCTTAAGAGAAAAAAGGGGGTTGGGTTAGAACAATGGAGAAGAAGAAAAGAAGAAGCTCAATGCGAATTAGAGTAGAGCAATTGGGGCGTGGCGGGTTTGACTACAAGGGCCGGCTGGGGACGATTGCCGGCGGTGCCGCAGCCCGTCGCTGAAAAGCCGCGCACACCGTTGGAACGTTTCGTTATAACGATATTCACCATTGGATGCGGGAAAATAAAATACGGCCACCATGTTCTTGGTATGATATCATTGATGATGGGCACCCTGAGCAGCGAAAGATGATGTTCACGCAGGCAGCTGACAATTGGATTCCCATGAAGAATCATTGCCGGATTCATGGCATTGCATCCAATTAGAGGCATCCCATGTTCAGATATTGCATTCACTTGTCAGCGCGTCATTGTTGCTGTCCATGTCATGATCGATTTAAAGTGCTTTTTAGCGCCAATGTTTAAAAGCATACGCCCTTCATTAGCCCAGATCTCCGATAACCTTGACGACTCATCCCCAATTACAAAAGAAGAAGAAAAAAAGGGGACAGCACATCAGCTCCCATCTACATACCATCTATCTATCAAGCTACACGATTGTTCTTCCATCTAACCTACAAATACGTATATACTGCTACACTGCACTACACACAGACACACCGTATTCGCGCACAAGCGGTTAAGCTCGTACCTGTAGCTCGCTAGCCGTCCCGCTTTATCTGACAAATGGAGTCCAACCCCATGATTCGGTGCCAGTGCGAAGCCATTTCGTTTCGGGCCGTGCTCTCAAAGCCTCTCTCCGTCGATATATGCCACTGCCTCGAGTGCCAGAGACAGTCGTCCTCGGCCTTTGGCGTCTCGGCCATCTTCCCTGTCGAGGGCATGCTCCCATTCCCCGAAAGCATCCAGCCTCACGTCGGCATGTGGACGCGCAAGACCGACTCGGGATGCACGCTGGAGTGCTACTTCTGTAAGACGTGCGGCGTCCGGATCATCCACCGAGGTCTGCTGCCTGACGGATCGTCACAGCCGACGCTGACGGTCAAGGGAGGGTGTTTGGAGAATCTGACGCTCAAGGACGCAAGGCACATCTATACAAGAACGGCCAGAGTGCCGGTGCCGGAGGGGAGCTGGCCTGGGCCGCCAGACGAATACTGATGGACACGGATGATTACTGATGGGCATGGGAATAGACTTCACTTGGCGAGGCGTTGGCATTGGCATTGGATCTCGAGAGGGCACAGAGCATTAATGGCATGGCAGAAAGGAGGGGAAGATGGACCTGAGGAAACGGAAGCATCTATATTCTATGATTGTGACGGACTCAATCTTTGATATAGTCTTATTCATCTTTTACTTTTCTTTTTCATGTTGTACAACATATAGCAGCCATTGATCGAATCTGTATGCATGGGATCGCTTGCTCTACGGTATCAAATCGCCTATTTTATCGAGGCATGCCAAGTGAATCATTTAACCTCGACGACTCCTTGACGGCTCCTCAAGAATGCCCTCCATGCGTGGCCTTCAAAATCATCGTCCAATGTTGTTCAAGACGCTTCCCATCATAACAGCTATTTCTCGATCCCAGCTTGTCTCGACGCTGGGCTTCTTTTTGCTGCTGGAGAAGACGTTCGGGGTTTGGCCCCCCTTAATGACTGCTTGCCGAATGGCATCCCCAACAACGTTCTTATTCGTCCGTAGGGTGCGAGCAACAATTCCTCCTCGGCTAGCTATCTCTTGAACACGAGCGGAAATGTTGCTTGCCATGGAGCGCCAAAAGTAGGAAATTAGAGAACTCGTTTCAAAACGAGACAGCAGCAGCTGGATGAGGCTATGCTGTTTCTTCTTCGCAGAAGCCGGGAAGAAGGGGTGGGCCGGAGGCTCAGTAGCCTCGAGTATCAACTCAAGCGAGGCAATATTCTGACAATGGGACACGACTTCAACGAGAGATTTGTCTAGCGTGGGCAGCTGCCCTAGAGAGCGCGAGAGCGCCGCGGTGCTTCCCTGTAACGCAGAACGAACGTAGGTATCGAGGGCTTGTAAAAGCAGTTTCGGGGACCACTTCTCGGGCTGGACACCCATAGAAGGAGATAGCAGGTACAACGTAGACATGGCCGATGTCAGTCGTGATCGTGCGTCTTCGCTTTGCGCAAAAGTGATGTTGCTCGGGATGGCGAATTCCCGAATCAGGCGCTCAGATACCTCGGATATCCGTCGCTCTATTGGTACAATGACAGTGTCTTGTAAATTCTTGATTGCGTTCAGCTTGTCGAGCCCATGGCCTTCCTCTCCCGGCGCCCTGCTGTCCAGCACTTCACGCAGTGAAAGGATTGTGTACGAGCATCGAACAAGTGCTCCGTAGTCGGTTTTCCCCGTGCTGGGGCCGCCCAATTCGGAGAACTGGACCTGCAGCTGTCTTCCGAGCTGCAGACATCGTCCCATTGACCTCCCCAGTCTCAGCGTTTCCCACAGACGCAATGCGACCTGCCGTATCTCTTCCGCCTCTGCATGCTTGTCGATGACTTCCTTCTCCAGCTGCTTGTAGCTGTCGTTTAGGCTAGAAATCTGAGCATCGAGCTGGGCAACAATGGCCTTGCTTGCCTGCGTCTGCGATTGGGTGTACTGCAGCAAGGGCACAGCAGAGCGGGTTGTGAGGAGGTCAATGTGCGAGTCGATCTCTTGAGCATCAAAGAGGACCCGTGACAAGGGTGTGGCGAGATCTAGCGGGGAGTCGTCGGGGTTGTTGGTGGCGAGGACGAGAGAATTGGCGAACGAGGCGGGTGCAAAGTCGGGAGACAGAAACGTCTCGTAGTCGATGTACGAGGGCTCTTCAATGGACTGAGGATCCGGTAGCGCCGCCATGGTTGGAGCAGTGGCTTGACGGGGAAGTTGTCGCAATGTCGTTTGCAGTGCCTCGTCTCGCCAGATTGGAGTGGAGGGGCCAGCTCCAGGGGAAAAGTGGCGCCAGTCATTGGGCATTAGGCGCATGTGATTTTAACGGGTTAGGGACAGCAGCCACACTAATAGCGATGTGTAGGTACTAAGGTACTGTCCGTAGTACATGTCAGAACCCCCGATGGGAAGATCCGGAGAGAGATGCATCGACATGTCACATAAGCCTATCGCCGTAAATGCCTGGTATATAGATAGGTACTAGGTAGGTGCCTATAATAGATCAAACCCATACCTGCAAGCTCCGTATCAAGCAAAATGTTTATTAACCGGCCTCGGCTCAGCGGAGTCTACGGAGTATATAGATAGATGTAGACCGTGGTACAAGAGTGGCATGGGGTAGGTGGTATTCGTTGATGCCATCGCCCAAGCCAAGGCACAGACCGTGGCGCATTCTTGAGTTGATTGTTTCTCCTTATCCAGCTTGGCACTAACTCGACAATATTGGGGGCCATTAGTTGCAAGGCAAGCAGCTTTCAGTTAGTTACTACTAGGTAGTACGGAGTAGATGACAGTAATTTGCCCCGTCCAGGTCTGAAAGGGAGAAGAGGAGAGGCCAGCAAACACAATCATATTATGGATCCAGGTAGTTTAGTGTCTTTGCTTTGATTAGGTATGAAAGGAATTCAAACAACACTGCAGGCAGATCCAGGTTCATGCATCTTGACGTAGAGCACAACTGCTAAAACACTCTGAGGATATCCATATCCAAAATGGCAGTTGTCAATGCTTGATAGTGGACATTATTGATCTTACATGCCCCTAAAACAAAACAGCCACTATCAGCTACGAAGCCCGCCGTCTAAGCCTGCGCAGGGTCAGCAGGCGCGTGAGGATTGCATGCCTTGCATCAGACTTCCTGAGGCGCATCGCCACACTGTATTAGTCTGCGAGTTAATTATAGCTCAACCTGTTCCAAACAAGAATCCGTGTTCAGCAACCTCAGCCTCGATATCAACGGCGCGGTCCCTCAGCCGGACAGGAGCTTCTTCTTTATTTCCTTCATCTCCCAGCTTTCAGCCTCTGCCGCGCCGTTTGCCTTGTGGCCACGCAACCCTTGCGCGACAATCAAAGGGAAGCAACAAGAAAAACGACGAAGAAAAAACCGGTCTTTCGCTTGGCCCTTTTCTGCTCTAGCCCGTGCTCCGCCTCATGACATGCACCGTACATAATTCCAGGCTGCCCGCGCGCATATACAGGTATTGACCTTATACAAAGTACTGCGACGTCTGATTTGATTATTATACCCGAATCCGCACCAGGGTTCGAGGCCCGTTGCCGCCATCCTCGCTCGCTGCAGAAGTGCAGACGCCGTTCGAAAATACCCACCGACATCTAGAAGCAAGCAAGCATCCATCCCGCACAAGTACTGCTGCCGTAGACAGCGAGCCTCTCTGTATCCCGTCCGTTCCCCCCGAAGCCATGGCCTCCAAACTCGGCGCCACCTTCGTGCCCGGCAGCGACGATGATTATTTTATGCCAGAGGTCGTTGCGCCGTCGCCTCAGCGGTAAGATATCCATATCCACAGCACATCCACCCCAATGTGTCTTTTTTATTCCACACCCATATCCCTGTCTCTAAGCCTCCTTGTCCTTTTTTTTTATGTCCCTCCTATCTCCCATTTCGCCTGGATGAGGCTGGACCATGTCAGAGGCTGAATGGAGCCGTTAAGCCATTCGAGGTGGGGCTGCTGCTGACGTTCTCGTCTTGATCCTTTCGATTAGGGTGACCCCTCAGGTGCCGCAGAACATGCAGGAGGACCTGCAGCGCATGGAACTGGAAGCCCGTGAAGTCCACGACTACAATAGAAGCCGCGAGCCCTCGCTGTCGACCTACACCGGCCAGAAGCCCGATCCTAGAGGCTACGGTCAGAGCCCGAGCCAGATTCAGAGCCAGAGCCAGACTCGGACACGGCTGCCCGACATGGACGAAGACGCCCCGTCATTCTCGCCTTTCCCCAAGGTCGTGGGCGACAACGTCCCGCCGGCCGACGACGAGAAGGAGAACATCCTGTGGAAGGCGCGCAACCATGTGCTGCACTCGCAGAACGTCAACATGCAAATCACCTGGGCCCGCGACGTGCTCAACTGGGCCGAGATCTCCATGGACGCCGCCGTCAGAGAGGCGGCTGAGACCGGTAATCGCCCCCCAACCCCACGAAAGGAGCATGAGCTGCGCAACGACGCGGTCAACATCATCAGATACCTGGCCGAGCAGGAGCACCCCGACGCTCTCTACATCCGCGCTAAATGGCTCGAGTTTGGCAAGTTCGGCGAACGCGTCGACAAGCGTGAGGCCTACTCGGGGTATAAGAAAGCCAGCGACCTGGGCAGCACACGGTCCGTCTACCGCATGGGCATGCTGTTTGAGCAGTCCAACGACATGTCCAAGGCGAAGGAATACTACTACAAGGGCCTCAGCCTGAAGGACTCGGCCGCTCTGTACCGTATGGGCATGATGAGCCTCCTCGGCCAGCACGGCGAGACCAAGGATTATCACGGCGGCCTGGAGCGCATCCGAGCCGCTGCCGACAGTGCAGACGAGGACGCTCCGCAGGGTGCGTACGTCTACGGCATGCTCATCGGACGAGACCTGCCCGACATTAGCATACCCGAGGGCATGTTGCCCTATGCCATTGATACTGCAAAGGTCTATGTCGAAAAGGCGGCCTATCTTGGCTTCGCCAAGGCTCAGCTCAAGATGGGCCAGGCGTACGAACTGTGCCAGTTGGGATGCGACTTTAATCCCTCCTACTCCCTTCACTACTACGGCTTGGCCGCCAGGCAAGGAATCCCAGAAGCTGCCCTTGGTGTCAGTCGGTGGTTCCTCTTCGGCTACGAGGGCGTCTTCAAGAAGAATGAAGAACTGGCCTTCAAGTATGCCCACGAGGCAGCATCCGCAAAGCTACCTACTGGCGAGTTTGCCATGGGATACTACCACGAAATCGGCATCCACGTTAACAAGGACGTGGTTGAAGCCCAGCGGTGGTACCAACTGGCGGCTGATCACGGCAACAAGGACGCAGTCGGTAGACTTGAGTCGTTGAGCCAGGGTGGTGGCCTTTCCAAACAGGATCACGAAACAACAACACTGGGACGAATCAAGTCTCAACATGGCTCGATGAGAGGCAAGCGCCCCGATCGATTCAAGCAGAACAACCCAATGCCCACGCTCAGTGAAGGTGATGGTCCTGCACCGCTGCCCAAACTAGTTACTGCAGTTGGCAATTCGCGAGTCTCGCCTTTGCCTTCACCGGGCATGCGTCCCACAATTGTGACAGAGAATAACAGCTTTGCCGAGCCATCCAGGGCGTCCTTTGTTGATACCGCCGATCGACAGCCGGCTTTTAACATCCGCGTCGATCCAAACGCCCCACCCATGCGATCTCAGTCTGCCGCGCCTTACCCCGTAGATGATCGGATGCAGCCGCCGCGGAATGCGCCATATCCAGATGACGATGGCCGACCTCGCCTCAACAACAATTACCCCCCGAATCAGGGCCCTTCAGCAGACCGGCCAGGCAGCGCCTTCGGAGTCAGGCCGCAAGGAAATGGTGCGCCACAGCCAGGTGGCAACTTGTATCCCTCCGGTCCGCCGGGCGCCGGTCGTGGCAGAGGAGGACCACCCGGACCTGGTCAGGGTCCCGGAGGCTACGGACCGCCAGGAGGCGGACCTGGCCAGGGACGCCCATATCCCGGGGACAGCCGGCCTGGAAGCGCTCACAGCGGGAATCGCATGCAGAACAAACCACCCCAGGGATACGGTGGTCCTGGAGGCCCAATGATGGGCGGCCCTCATGGGGGACCAGAGCCCGGGCAATTCGCTCCTCGAACGTCATCACGACAAGACGGACATCCCGGCGGCGGCCCAGGCGGCCCAGGCGGTCCCGGAGGCCCTGGTGGACATTTCCCAGACAGGATGGGCTCTCTCCCCGGCCAAGGTGGACCACCAGGAAGAGTCCAGACTGGAGGTCCCCCTCCTGGACATGGACCCTCACCTGGGCCCCAAGGTCCTGGAAACGGACCCCGACCGGGCCCCAGCCGGGTTGGCACTGCTCCTCCGGGACCAAGTCCTCACCATAGTTCAAGTCCTGCACCAGGCCCCGGCCCTGGCCCGGCTTCTCCTCCGGCCAAGGCCAAACCGGCGGGCAAGCAAGGACCCGCAACGTTTGAAGACATGGGAATTCCGCAGGGCAAACAAGACGGCGATTGTGTAAGTAGACTTCCAATTCGGCCGAGCATACGAAAGCAGCTAACATTGAGTTTGCAGGTTGTCATGTAGAGAATATTCTATCTACATGTCGTAGAGCATACATTTGCATATATACTGAGGAGAAAGGGGAGTGGAAGGAGGCTGGTCACTGGCACACAAGACGTCAGCACCTGGATAACGCATACGCCTCCAGCATGCAACACATCAAATTCCATCTACAGAGCGCATCTATTTCTGCGTGGCGAGCTGACTCGAACTCTTGTTTTCTCAATCAACTGAAGCAAATATCTCAGACGACTTTCGAATTCGGCAAGATAATACACACAGGGAGGCAGGGGAGGGAAAGTGATTGGATGGATGATTATTAAAAGCCTACTTATTCGTGGCGCTGGGTTTATACAATGTATTTTTTTTCTGTTTCCAATACATGCAAAAAGTGATATACTGCAGGCGAAAGACGGGATCGGGGTTGTCTTTGGAACGCCCCGTTGCAATGGATTCCTCGAGCGTGATTTGTGTATATACTGGTCTGATTATTTTGTACTTTTTGGAATGTCTGAGCTATGTATAACTAATCTCTATTTATTTTCCCTGCTTTGACTTGTATTTTTCGTACCATTCGCATTTGATGGATAGAGAGTCATCATCATATCCGGATATGCTCCAATCTTTGTCTGTCACCTTCACAGTAAGCATTTAGATTAGACGTCAATCTCAACTCAGAGCTAACCCCGCGATTCTTCTTCTCTCATCATCTGACTTCGCCTAATAAATAGACTATGCAGGGAGAGGTGAGTTTGCATGTGAGTGTGGGGTACTACTGCTGATGCTCTCTCTGTAGATCATCTTGTTGCTACTACTAGCTGCCGTAAACGGGGTCCATTGTTTTGCCACGTTTTCTGGCTGAAACAAGCAGCAAAGGAGGCTTTTATCTTCTCCAGGACGGCCGCCATCAGCCACGATATAAGCATATCTGCATACCCAGGGATCTGATATAACCAAGACTCCATCAGTGAAGCCATCCATCCGCCGGGAATACTGTCAGCTTTCGGGCTAGGCCTCAGCTCCAGCGCTGCATCATTCCCCATCGGGTACCAGATCCGCCCGCCGGCCCCTCTCGCGCCGCCAATCCCACGATCCGCCTTATCTGCCTGGATCAGGACATGATGCCCAGCAGTTTTCCCTTGTCTCGCCTGGCTTGCGTGGCTCGGATCCTACGATGCAAATCGGGGGTTGATTGACGGTGGCAAGCGAGGTTTGCTGCTAGCGATGATTCAGATCCGGCAACACCAACGGGAGCAAGCAACTCGATAACCGATAATACAGTGGTTTTACAGCCTCTAATATCCAGGTACTATTTAGTAGGTGCCTGCCTATGCGGTAGCTGCTTCTCATTTGGTAAGGGTACTGTACACTTGCCATTCTCGGTCGCTTCATCTTCATCTTCCTTTTCCTTTCTTTCCTCCTCTTTCCTCTGCCCTCCTCTTATCCCCTCCCATTATCATCTATATCAATATATTCGACGACTGATCAACCCGGCATAGATATCACACACTCAGGGTCACCCAAAACTGCAAGCATTCGCCATGAGGTCCTGCCTTCGACTTCTGGTGGCAGGATGCTGCCCCACACTGGCCATCGCCGGAGTCAGCACTTCCCAAGAGGCTTCTTTCAAATGGGAAAACATTAAGCCCAGTCATGATCTCGAATACCACGACTGCTATGGCGAATTCAAGTGTGCGCGCCTGGAGGTACCCCTAGACTGGCTCAACGAAACAGACACAAGAGTGGCCACCATTGCAATGATCAAGTTGCCCGCTGTTGTGCCAGATGAGGATCCTACCTTTGGCGGCGCCATCTTCACCAACCCTGGGGGACCTGGTGGCTCCGGCGTCAGCTTCGTGCTCAAAATGGGCCACTATCTTCGCTACACCGCTGATAAGCCGGGGCGCCGTCATTACGAGATCATCTCTTTCGACCCCCGCGGTATTGGAGAAACGCTTCCCGCTTCTGATTGCTTCAATGGGAACCTACTGACACGCGATGCTTTTCTGCTCGAAAATCGTGGCAACGGCGCCCTCACCAGGGGCGACAGCACCATTGCTTACAGCCTTGCTGTGATGGATGCTTTTGCCCAACGCTGTCAGGGGGCCGAGGACGCCATGGCCTTTGTCGGAACGCCCAACGTCGCTCGCGACATGGTCGAGATGATTGACAAAATCGACGAGCTGCGCAAAAGAGAGGCTGCTCAGAAACCCAAGGGGCATGAAGCACAAGGCACATACGACTCCGACACGCGAGCAGAGCTTAAGAGGCGATCTGCTCCCAAGAGGAAGTCAGCCGAGCTCCATGACGAACCCGGCGATGTTCCGCGTCTTCAGTACATTGGGTTTTCCTATGGAACCGTCCTTGGCAATTACTTTGCTTCCATGTTTCCTGGACGTGTTGGTCGCCTCATCCTCGACGGGGTTTGCGATATTCAAGACTATACAGTGGGCCCAGTAGGTTTCTCATCTGATGAAGCTCTTGTCGCTTTTACTAACCGGTTTCTTTCCTTCTTTGCTTACTATTAGGGCTGGCAAAAAAACACTGTTGATACGGATGAGATATTTGATAATTTCTTTGAGGGCTGTGCCGCTGCCGGCCCCGAAGTCTGCGCCCTGGCTCGCACGTCAGATACTAACGGAGCATCCGACTTACGTCGTCGTTTTGATACTTTCCTCTCAGAGCTAGACAAGACACCTAAGCCTGTGCTGACAGATTCGGGAGACGTCGTCATCGTAACCGGCTGGGATGTTCGAATGCTGGCCGCTTTGGTGCTTTATTCACCTTTGAAGCTTTTCAAGGAGCTTGCTCAACAATTTAACAAATTCATGTCCGGTGACCTGACAGAGATGGCCGTCATGGCCGTCAGCACAGGCATGGTGCCCGCCATGAAAGACGCATGCCTCTTGGACAAGGCGGCCCGGCCGAGCAATATTGTTGAAGCTCAGAGCGCCGTCGTCTGCAATGATGGCGATGATATTTCTCACAAAGGTGTCTCTTGGTGGCGCAAGTACGTGCAGAGTCAGATGGACACTTCCAGCATCTTTGGCGCCGAATGGTCCACTATTCGTCTCCCATGCTCAAGCTGGCGTATCCGCCCCAACTGGAAGTTCAAAGGCCCCTTTACCACTCCGGATCCGGATCCGTCCCTCCAGCCGGGCCGTCCCGCAGCTCCTATTCTGTTTCTCTCCAACCGGCTTGACCCTGTCACGCCGCTGCGAGCCGCCCAGGCCATGGCTAAACAACACCCCGGAGCAGGTGTTCTCATCCAAGAGGCAATGGGCCATTGCGCTGTGGCGTCTGCTCCCAGCGAATGTACAAGGCGCGTTGTAGCCGACTACTTCGAATCTGGCATCATTCCTTCCGATCTGTCAGCATGTAAGGCTGATTGTGGCCCCTGGGATGAGTCGTGTCCATCTACAGATGGGCAGGGTATCAAGAGCAGCGATGTTGATACCATGTCTACTTGGTTCAATAGAGACCAGCCGTTGTGGGAGCGGAAATCACCTCTTGGCTTGTTGTAGGCTCTCACTTGAACTGCTCGCTCTGGCGTGCGTTGGATAATGTTTATGCACTACTCACTACTCACTACTTGCCTATCCAACATCCTAATGACTGCGGTTCAAGTGCCGGCGCGGGATGCACCTTTTATTCAATTTGTTCCTCTACTGTATGATTTGGTGGTCGGCGTGCTGGATAGTCATTCTCACTCTATATATATATACACACATTATCGCTACTCATCACTTGCCCCTACGCTGTAAAAACCCGCCAATTGTTTGCCTTGTGATATTTGAACCAACAACTCTACTCGTATTTCGGCCTAACCCTGGAGCGCAATCCTGCACAGAAAGTTAAAGCTCGATGCCCGCGTATTTTCTCTCATCATCTGTATCTCATTAGAGTTTTAACATCAAACAGAATGGCACTAGGTTGGAGTTGAATCGCCATCAGAAATGTATCGATCTTATTATAACAATGTAGTTCATATGGCCTAGCTCTCATCACACGGCCGTTCGTCAATACATCTGATACCGCAGCTACAACCATATTATGCTGCTCGCCAAGAAATCTAGGTTCAAATTGTCCCCATCAACAATCAAACAGCAAATATTATCCCACCGCGATTCATCGCATCTAACTACCCTCCGAAATTATCAAATGATAGCTGCTATACTGATTCCCAGATGTACTCGTCATCCATTCGCTTAAGCCCACTCGGAGTCCAGTGCCAGACGCCTCGGCGAGCCGCCGATTCGATAACCTCACGCTTGGTGGGTTGGGGAACAGCATTCGCGCGACAAGCCGCGGCCTCGCAACCATTGTCGCTCCACCCGAATTTGAAGTCATCTCCCCACCAGACTCGCAGTTCAGCGCCAACACGTAGGTTAATCAGAATCGACGTGATATTCGCGTAGCCATCAAACAACACGGGTGTCAGTCGACAGTTCCCATGAGGGAAGCTGGGGCATGCTGGAATGCGCTTTGTCTCAGACCAGGCGATTGATTCCTCTCTCCCCAAAACGTCGTTGTAGCGGTATGCTGAAACTTCAAACTCGCACCAGTTTTCAGCACCTTCTGCCGCGCAGCCGAGACTCGCGCCCTGGAAGTCAAATCTGAAGCAGTGGTTTGGAGCATTTGGGCCAACACCAATCTCAGCAGTGTCTCCTACACTAGAATGAGATGATGAAGGCAGGGACGGCGGCACGAATTCAACAAGCTGACCACCAGACGAAGGGTTGTAAGATTGAGAAGTCTGGGCCGATGGAGGGGCAATGAGGAACCCTTGAGAGAACCAAATATCACGAGACGGATTGAAGAGTGGACCCGGTTTGGTTTCATCAAACTGTTCAAGTTAGACATGGATATAACAGGAGGGGATATAGAATGTACTCACGTCCAAAGTAAAATTGCCAATCTTTCCACCAGTGGGACATATAAGGGAGGAATCTGATCCATCCACAAAAGAAGCCTGTGGTGGCACGGAATCTGTAACAGAAGGAAGAACAGGAGTAAAGGGGCTCTGGGTGCTAAAAGCTGGGACCGAGAGTGCAGAACTAGAGTTATCCCATGCAAACTCTGATGTTACCAATCTAGGCCAGGTTAGAGACAGTATGCAGCAACAACCATTTGTGACTTACTCTTGTTGGCGTCGCATGACTCGCCGGTTGGGAAGGGTAAGAGTGGCCATGGTAGTAAGAGGGAAGTTGATTGTGTATGTGGTAGTTTGCTCCGGTATAACGTTGGTCCATGTACTAGTTTGGAGAGCCGTTGCAAGATGTGATGGACCAGTTGGAAGAGTGCCGTAGGCGTTCTATGACAGCGGCGAAGGTTCCAACACTGGAGCTTTGTTGTCCCACTCATTGCTGTATGGAACGAGAGTAGCAGGCTGTCCATCAGGACCATTGATGACAGTAAATGTCGAAGTGCGGGTGCCAGTGACAGTTCCCGTTGGAGCCGCAAGGCCAGAAACCACTGCAGATGGTGGCAAAACAACTGGCAAGTTGGTTCCAAAAGTCCCATATTGAGTGAGAGTAGGGAGATTAATAAGACTGCCGCTGGAGAATTGGGGATTGGGGAAGGGTAGTCCACCAGATGACAGAGGTTGAAGAGAGGCCCCAAGTTCTGCACCACTCGGCAAGCCGACAACGGTTTGGACAACAGGGGTTGCCATGCCATCTGATCCTACTGTGGTAACTGTGATGCAGGTAGTGAAAATTCCACTTCCAGCAGGAGTCACAGGGAGGTTTCCTTGTGGAAGAGGAAGGCCAGTTTGGGCCGGTACAAGAGAAGGGTACCCGAGGTTGGTTTGAACAGGCAGAACACTGCCCAGACCACTGGTAGGGATGAGGATGGTTTGAATAGCAGGTGTTATAAATCCATCCGGTCCAACAATACCAACCGTGATGCAAGTGGTGGCAAGGTTAACTCCATTGGGAAGGTTTTGAGTGCCTTGTGGAAGACCAGAAGCTTGGGCAGGGGGTATTGGCAGTCCGTTGGTAACAGCGGGAAGAGCGTTGCTCGAAAGCACGACAAAGGTGGACTCAACAACAGTGGGGGCGCCGTCAGGCCCCAAGACAGTATAACTCGTACAAGTCGTGATAGCACTCACACCACCGACATTCGTTGCAACTTGTGACGGATACCCAGAAACTCCTCCAACTTGGCTTGGGACCCCAGTGACAACGTTGGCAGGAATCGCGCCGGCAGTAGGGTTGGGAACGACCCAAGTGGTGCCGACGACAGTTGGAAGACCATCTGGTCCCAATACTGTATAGCTTGTGCAGGTTGTACTGCCAGGCACACTCGCTCCAGCTGCAGTTCCAGTGAATAGGGGCGGGATACCAGTGACTTGATTTGGAACACCACCTATGGAGTTCGGGCCAGGCACACCCAGCTGCGTCGTAGTTGGTGCTGGCAACAGCCATGACGATTCAATGACAGTTGGAAGTCCATCAGGGCCGAGGATAGTGAACGCAGTGTGTGTGGGAATGACTGGTCCGCCAGGCAGGCCCGTAATAACACCGGGGTTGGTTGGAAGGCCAGAAGCAAGGCCAGATGGAAAACCGGATGGAAGACCAGATGGAAGACCAGAAGGAAGACCAGAAGGAAGACCTGAGGGAAGACCTGAGGGAAGACCTGAGGGAAAGCCAGAAGGAAAGCCAGAAGGAAAGCCAGGCGTGGCCGTTGGGTAGTTTACCCAAGTGGAGTGGACGACTGTGGGAATTCCATTGGGTCCGATGGTGGTGTAGCTTGTGCACATAGTCTCACCAGCTGTTGCTAAGACATCTGAAGCTGCTGGGGCAGTGCCTGGGGTGAAACCAGGGAACGGAGCAGTGACAGTGGGAAAGGGATGACCAGCGCCATTGCCATTTCCGTTCGTGGATTGAGCACTGGGGAATTCAAGAACTGTTGGCTTCCCGTCTGAGCCAATGACTGTTACCTGAACAGGCCGGCTGCCGTCCAAGCCAGCACCTGTGGTAGCGGGTGAAGAGTACTCTGATGGCTGCCTGTCATTGGGATTGGAAGAAATGCTAGGGAAATCATCCGCATCGCCGTAAGCGGAGTTCTCAGGAGGAATAGCAGTAGGAGAACCAACAACTGGTCCAGCGCTGAAAGATGCCTGCCCGTCTGATGGTGTGGGATGACCTCCGTGGTTGGAAATCTGGGAATTGTTGGGCCAAGGCTCTTGTGTGTGTGCAGGAGATTCACCAGGAAAGTCCGCAGATGTCTCAGCAGGGTCAGAAGCACCATCGGTGTAGATAGGGGCAGACGCAACATCAGATGTAAATGCGTTTGACGAGTCAGGATCACTGCCCCAAACGTCAATAGTGAGTGTGGTGAAAGGTTTGACACTGGTGTGTGCGGCCTCAACAGACTCAGCTGAAGAAATCGGGACAGGCGTAGTAGGGAACCCAGTTTGGTGAATTGTCTGGTCAGGGTCAAAGTCACTGGGCTGGACAACACCGGAAGGCGTAAGATGGCTAGTAGGGTATACAGTGACAAAAACTGTTGTGACGACTTGGAGGGCACAGGTAGACATGTCAGGAGTTGTACCAGGGAGGTTTCCAGGGAGGCCAGCAGGAGAGCCCTTGGGATATCCACTTGGATTTCCATAGGCGTTGCCATCAGGACCATCATTGAAACTGCCACTTGGAGAGCCAGCGGGAAGGCCGCCAGAGCCACCATTGGGACTGTTGTCCCGGTTGCCGCCATGCGTTCTGTACCAAAGTTAGTGAGAGCCAAGAGGAGAGAAGGGGAAACAAGCCGTTACCCGTAATCCACTTGAGCACTTGCGTGCTGCACTACGGTGCCGGCCATCAAGACCGCCAAAGAGGTGAACACCCGCATGATGGGCAAGTATGGCTGTCAGAGCTGGTGTAATCACAGACGATCCGTAAATGATGACAGTGAGATGCGTCCAGCAGAGATGAATGCGGATGAGGGACAGAAACAAATGAACGACTGAAGAAAGGCGAGGTTGAAACGAGAGAAACGAGGTGAAGTGGAAGAGAAAAGATGAAGAAGAGGGGGGGAGAGGGGAGTTTTGATGCTAGCAGAAGAGTGCTGCGGACTCGAGCTTTGAAGGGAAAGAACGTCCATCCAGTCAACGGCGGTCATACGATGGTGTGTGTGTGTGCCTGAGGAAGACTCAGTCTCTTTCCCGGAGTTGGCGGTGTGGTGGGCAAATCTACGTTCCAGAGGGACCGCTCCTGCCACAACGGCACTGCTTCTGGATCGAAAAAGAAAGCAAGAGCAGTTGACAACCGAGAAGTTGACGTAACAGTATCATCTCGGCTTAGAGATTGGACACCACCGACGGAAAGAACATCGGGATCTCGGTCAGCGTCCGTGTACCAACGTGGCCGGCCTCGCTTCTGTCGCCGTATTCGCATTTTGGATTTTGCAGTCGTGTTTGGCTGCGATCATGTAGCTGAACGGATGTTCTCCGAAGGGCAGGTATCTGGAGAGATGCATGTGGAAGTCAACATTCACCAGAACGGCAGTATAAGTGCAAGTGCTCAGGTAGTCCATAAGGGGCACAAGCGGGCGTGAAATGCCATCATCTCCGCTCCGTGTGATGTGCCTATGTGATGAAATAATACGGTTGGGACCAGCACCAGATGAGTTGAAGCGTTGCATGTTCTCCGGGCTGCTATTTTGCCGAATGTTGAAACTTCCGTGCAAAAGCTCCCCAAGCTACCCATGTAGAATGAATAATCGATCACGAACGCAGTCCTGAATCAGAGTGAACACGGCATCGGGTGTAAATACTTTCATTGGCCTATAAAATACAATGTAAGACCATTGGGTGCATTCTGATTGCACTAATTAGTTCATGGTTGCACCTTTGGGCCAATTAATGTCCAGACTAGACGTCATCAACTACCTGGTTAGAAAATCGCACGTCTATTGGCGGGAATCTTGCTGCGTGTCACCATAACGCATCGCCTCGTCTGACGTTATTTAAGCATCGCGGCCAGCCTCGCAGGGCTCCGCCATTTACATCCTTCTGCCATACATGATGCAACCATGTCTTCACACAGTCCACATATCAACACTCTGCCACCGCCCAGAGAACATGCCCTTTCCAGATATTTAAACAATCGGCCATTCCTCTACATCAAGCGTGGAGCTATTGCAGCATCCTACCCCATTCGCGGCATCTGGTACTTCACCCGGAACAGAGAATTTTGGCCTCTCCTGTTTGGCAGGCTAGTGCCTCTGTCTCTGATCTCATTCTTTGTATACTTCGTCCTATTCTCGTTCGCGTTTCTTCCGCAGTTCTTATTCCTAGCTATCTTTCAAGGCTGGGGCGCCTGGTTTAATGCCGTTGTCCTCGTGTTGGGCGAGGGGTTGGTGATTGTTCAGGGCTTGTTTGAAGGCTTCTTTGTCGATGAATGTCGAGTGGATGTTTTTGACGTAAGGCTGCAATACGTGGCGAGCCGCCCATTCAGACTCCAGCTAAATCATCGCCAGGCCACGCTTATCAAGCTCTCGCTGAAGGATCTGATTTCTCCTCATCGCCTTCTGTTTGAAGATGCCCCCGATGCAGTCAAAATGCTGGGGAAGCCAACGAGCCCGGCTAGCTTCAATCCATGGAGCACGATTCAAGTCGTAGAGCTAATTTTCTTTCTCCCTCTCAACCTTATCCCATACGTTGGGACCTTCGCCTTTATTGTGATAACGGGAACTAGACTCGGGAAACTATCGCATCACCGCTGGTTCCAACTACGAGGTTTGTCGAAGGCAGCACAGGCGTGTGAAATAAAGGCGCTTGAATGGGAATACATCTGGTTTGGGACCGTAGCCATGATTCTTGAGCTCATACCGGTGCTGTCCTTCTTCTTTCTCCTAACTACGGCAACCGGTTCGGCTATGTGGGCGGCAGACTTGGAGAAGTCGAGGAGAAGCGAGGCGGAATCCGACGCTAGGCAAGGCACAGCATCTCGATATACAGATGACTTTGCGTAGGGTTTAAATAAACGATATCACTGGGTTTCACGAATGACAGACGCATGAATAATGGATACCTAGATTAGAATACCTCAGAAGCGAATACTATGCAGTTAATACACCCTCGCAACAGCATACCTACGTTGTACATGTTCCTTTAACAGCCCGCAGCTCTGCGTGGAGTTGCGGTATCCATTTCGTGGCCACCCATTTGGTACCTAGTAGGTACCTCAGTACCTCTAACACGCCGCACATGCTCCGCCAGTAGCAGCTGTGCTGGGTAGCTGTTTTAGGAGCATTCACGTCAATTTGCACCCGGTAATGGACTAATATTAGTAAGAATTCACACCCATCGCCCACCCTTTGGCACCCGTCTAACACCTCTTCGTCATCATTCAGCCTAGAATACCTCTACGCTTTATGCCACCACACAAGCAACGCCTGCAGCAACCCAACGGCAACCACGATTCTCAAGCATCGACACATTGACATCCTCTCCATCACGTTCTCTTCTCAATTCCAGCCTCTATTCCGAACCGTCTCTCAAGGAACGCGACCTCTTGGCAACCATGGCTGACCGTGGCCTCTCCCAGATTCTGGCCCAGCTCAAGCAATCTCCCCAGATGAGCTACCCCGAGGCCAGCGCCCTCCTCTCCAAGGCCAAACTTATTCTCCTCAGCCTGAACGCTCTCACTCCGACTCCCTCAACACCATCGAACCTTCTCGCTCTTGCCCGAGAGACGTACGAACAAGGTGCCCTGTTCTCTATCCGCGCCAAAAACGCAGATGCCTTCACGCGCTACGTCCAGCAGCTGCAGCCGTTCTATGAGCTGCCGTCAGCTACCCTGCCGCCAAACCTGCCCGAACGCAACAGAGTCACGGGTCTGAGCTTGTTGCTACTTCTCACCCAGGGCCGTTACGCCGAGTTCCATTCAGAGCTGGAGAGTCTGGCAAACAGAGATGGAGGCGGAGCCGATGTCGAAGGCGACCGATATCTAGGATACCCTGTTCGCCTGGAGAGGTGGCTAATGGAGGGAAGCTATGATCGTGTATGGAAGGCAATGAAGAGCAGCGAAGTACCCTGCGACGAGTACAGCGTCTTCTCTGAGGTGGGTGTCTGATGATTTCGCACTTGCAACTGTGACGCACGGCTAACCAAACGGATGGGGACAGATTCTCAAGAACCAAATACGATCCGAAATCGCCAGCAGCAGCGAGCGAGCCTACCCTAGCCTTCCGATAAGCTCCACCAAATCGCTATTATTCCTGAATTCAGAAGGAGACGTTATTCAGTTTGCTAAGCACCGCGGATGGCTGGTTAAGGAGGGCCATATCTATTTCCCCAACACTGCCGCCGAAGGCAGTGAAGATGGAGTTTACGTCAAAGACATGAGTCAAATGATCATGGAAAATACACTAGGCTATGCTCGCGAGCTAGAAACCATTGTGTAGAGAAAGTCAAATACGGCACGGTCTGGTTTAGTCACATTAGATGCAACATCTCTCAATGCTCATCAGCATACAATTAATTATTCATCAAGTAAAACAATTCCAAAAACATGATAGAAAGGCATCATTTATGATTTGTAAACGAGCTTGATACAGCTGTTCACTGCTCTCAATCACCACTGAAGCCTCTCCACGAGCCACCTCCTTCGATACCTTTTCGTTAGATTCCATGACTATGATATTGTTACGCCCCTGTGAGCCCCCCTTTTACAATTCCAAGTCCAAATTAGTGGTCTATGAAAACAATCTTAAGCCGCTGCCGTGCTTGCCAATCTCACAAACGCCGCACACTCTACAAACCGATCCCTTGTAGCTGGAGTGGTACTTTGACCCATCAAACGCACACTCTTCGAAAGGAGCTCCGCTGTAGATTGGAGTATGGCTGGCGGCGCAAATTTCAAATTCGGCAAATTGGTCGAATTCAATCTCAATGCTGTCATTAGGATTCCTTTCGCATTGGGCTTTCGTCTTCTTGGCCTTTGTTTAGAAGCATCTCGTTAGAACTGAACAAAAACGGGTTACGAGTTGGGGCAAGCTTGATTCATCACTTACATTCTCGACGATTTTGCTGGATCCTCCATTAGCAATGATGCGGTTTGCAAAACCCAAAGCCGAGTTATAATTCTTGCTCTTGATCGCCACTTTGATGGCACTTAGCAGTGCGATCTGCCTGTGAGGTACCTCGATCTTGGGGATCGTGAAGTAGGCAGATAACTCTAGGCTCTTCTTGAGTTTCGCAGGGTCTTGAGCGATCTCATCGAGCGAGCCAAGGTTTCTCCTGGCAAGTTCAATGCTCATTGCAATGCTGTACTCTCTCGCTGAAACAATCAGCTTCTTGGCCTCCGCCACTTCGCTCTCACTGGAAACTGCATTGATAAGAATAGCGTGCAGGATACCCTGGAAAATCTGAGCGCCATCTTCCAGCTTGTTCGCCTTCATTGAATCGTAGCCTCTTTGCAGATCATTGGAGGCCAAATGCTCCAGATCGCGTGGGATAATAGGCAAGACTTTTCGAAGGTCCGTTTCATCAACGGTGCGGCGAACGTAGTTAAGAAGAGACGGCAGGTTGGCCAGTGCTGGAAGGAAAGTCTTGGAAGATTGGTACACTTCCAAGAATCGAGGCTTCAAAGGAGCAAATTCGACTGCGCCAACCTGTCGATTCAAGAGCTGCATGGCCGATTCAAATGAGCCTCCAGCAACGTGGTCAACAGCCAAAGGCGAGTTTCGCGCCCAGACATCAGCCTCGCAGCTTCCAGCACCACCAGCTTCCGCACTGTCAACATTCACAAAGTCATTCTCGATTTCAGGAACATCATCATCGCCCATATCCCAGCCTGCTGCATCATCGTCATCCTCGCCGGGGATAGCGGTGAGTCTGTCTGCCGGTTCCTCTTTTGCAACCTGCTCGGTTTCGGCTCCGTTGGCGAAGTTTGGTTCATCCTCGAGCGACAAGCCTTCTACCTGCCCAAGTAGAGCATTTTCAAAGTAAGACTGTGAGCTAGCCTTAGTGGGCCAGTTGCGCTTGTATGTCGACACCACCGGCTTTGATGGTACCAACGGTTGGCCTATGCTGGGTATGGTTAGCTGGTCCTCTGTGAGACCAGAAGCCTCGAGAATAGCTTCGCATTCTTCTTGCAGCCCATGGGATTTGGCCGTTGTATACGCAAGCGGGTCTATGATACAGTTAGTGCTCTATTGCAGTGGCAAGAAGGAGCGAGTTCACGTACACAAATCAATCTCTTTCAACATCTGGATGCGGTCTTCAACATCGCCAAGGTAGAGGGCGTTCTGAAATCGCGAGGTGAAATCTCCACGGTGCTCTGCAATCTTGGCCATTCGGGCAAGCTTGGAGTAATCGCCTGTTGCCAAGTAGAGGAATGAGAGCTTGTCGAATTGCTTCAGTTTCTGGTAGCACATCTCCACAATCTGGTGGTTGCCATGGGCCAGTGCTTCTGTGCCCAGTCGAGTCCAGAACTTTGGCTTGTCCAGTTCCTTGGCCATCTCCACAGCAACATCTAGATTGCCGCATTCAATTGCCAGGTCAAATCGGGTGGTTGGGTCCTGAACAAACTGCAGCGCGATTTCAGGATAACCTTTCTTCTGGAGGTATGAAATGATAGACTGGCCGACAAGGCTGGAAGTGCGGATGATGTGAAGCATTTCTTCATAGTTTCGCTTAACCAATGCCATTTTGAAGCGATACTCCGTTGGGTCAATACGTAGAATACGAGGCTTCGCTGCTCGATCTAAGCAATAGACATTTCGGCCCTTGACACGTACAAGGTATACCGTCTGGTCCAGTGTCCGAACGATGCCATTGTCACCGTTGAGCAAGGCATATTTGACGTGGTTCAGGGTCGAGTACAGGAGAATGCCCGCATCGTCCCATGTGGCGCTTTTTATGCGAATAGTCTCATGCAAGGTGCTGATTTGCTCAAGAGACTTTGTCACAATGGTCACGTTGTGCTTGCTCAGCAAGGCGGCGTAAAGGCCATCGTTCGACCACACAATATATTTGACGCCATTGATGGAAAGCTCTGCAGTGTTCTTTTTCTGCTGAATATCGTAAAGATACACGGTCGATGGTGTTATAATGAGGAGGTTGCCGGTTCCTCCAAAGTATATGTCGGTAGTACCAGTCGGAGGCTTGAACGAACGAGCCGTGTTGTTCGACAGATCCTTGATATCAATGGTTTGGCTGGCAACATTGAGTACAGCGAAACGATTTCTGGCAACAAAAATGGCAGAGTTTCCTGATCCCCGCTTGGACTCGGTAGGCTCAATCACGCCAGATCCATCTCTAGGCAGGTTGAGAAGTTCGTAAGAGCCACCGTCATTAGGCGTAGTGACGAGAATAGATCTCTCGGCAGGGTTGTAAGACAGGGTTCGGGGGCTGACCCAAGGGCTTCCAAGTTTCTTGAGAGACAGGAGCGTTGGGCTTTCTACATCCTTCTGGAAATCATACGACCTAACGTGCTTCTCCTTGGTTATGTAAAAGAGAGTATTTTGGTGGACAGCCGAGGCAGGACGCTCGCGTTCCAGCTTGAAAACCATGACACCATTGTCATGGCCAGCTGCGAACAAGTTGATTTCAGGGTGGGCTGCGATAACCCAAAAGCGGTCATTTTCCCTCTTAAAGGATTGCACAGCAGTCCTCTTATTAAGATCCCAAACTCGAATCGTTTTGTCTTCTCCCGCCGATAAAATCAGGTCTTGGTGGGGGTGGAATAGACATCCCGAGGCATTCTGGAAATGGCCTCGACAAGTGTCTACTTCCCAAGCCTTGGTTTCACTCATGCGCCAGAGCTTCACTAGGCGATCATCGCCGGCCGAAACAATCAGTGGCATAGTGGGGTGGAAAGCGACCCAATTGACACCACGATCATGGCCCTCCAGAACGAACTTGACGACAGCATCTGTGTTTCCAAACATATCAGTTTGGTTTTGGTTTGCACGCGCAATTTGGTCTTCGTAGCTCATCGACGTCGGCGCTGAGTGCTTCTTTCGTAGGCCCGAAATATCCCAAACACGAACCGACTGATCAAGCGAGGCGGACACCACAAGATCTTCCTTGGGATGGAACTGGGCGCACATGGCATAGTGGTTATGACCGGTCATAGTACAAACTGAGAGAGAATTAGCAATCTGCTGCGTTATCGCACCCGATGAGGATGCAACGTACTCAAGCTGCGGTTCTGCCAGTTCCAGATTCGAATTGTTTGATCATCAGAGGCGGACAGAATCCAGGGAAGCTCATGATGGAAGAAGACGGTTCGAACGTAGTCGAGATGGCCGTTCAGTGTAAAAAGGCATCGTCGGGTCTGGTAGGACCAGACTTTGATTTTGTAGTCGTCGCCGCCAGATACGAAGAGAGGCTGTGTTTTGTGAAAATCAACGCCGCGGACCGGGCCATCATGCTCTTCGAATCGATCTATCAGTGTGCCCATCCGGTAATCCCAGAGCTGGATTGTGGAGGAGTGAAGGGCCACGAGGATCCATGGTCTAGTGCACCACATCAGTTCTCCGAGCTTTATCGCTCAACATGGGAGGCACTCAGCTACCTTTTAGGATGAAACGCGATTCCTTTGGCCCTGGACGATTTCGATTCAAACTGAGGGGCATTAGTTCGGCATCTCGAGCTGAACAGCTGTTGAATGACCTACCTTGGTCAACATTCCTGGGGAAGACTGCATTCTGGCGGGGAGGTGAGGTCGGAGCCTCGCACATCAAGGGAGAAAAGCGAATAGACAGATCAATACACGCCTGAGGAGATGTAGACGAATGGCTTAATCGGTCGTGATTGACCACGACAGCTATTCAAGCCTAGCCAGAGAGTCAGCATAAAAAGGAGCGAGATGGAACAGTGCGTCGTATTGGCCAACAAGCTTCCAATTGAGCATCGTGTCCATCTCCAATTGTGGGTATTGCGCCAGTCGCAGCCCCGCAATCTCATTGGACGTGACATCTCACCGCCTTGGGCGCCTCACCCCTCTTATATGGCATAAACTCATAAGCCACTATCCCTTTACTACATATCGAGCAATGCTCGACTCCATATATTGAATACATCCACAGAAACATGACGCGTTTCAGCATACTAGGTGCTTCATAAGAGGAAAAAAAGACCATTACATAATAAATATTCTACAATGAGTGTTTTGTTTCTCCCTCTGCCATTAAACTGAAAGATAAGTAAATAGTTAAATAGATTTTTTATTGACTATTAAAATATAAAGATTGTTTTAAATAATACTTTAATTTAGAAATACTTAGAAACAATGCTAACGTAGCTAGTAATGGAATAGGAGAAATTAATAGCATTATCACTAAATAACTATCTAAAGATGTGATATACTTCTTATCATGCTGGTATTTCGAGGCTAGTTGTCTTTATCTCTGTTGCACCTCCTGGCACTAAAGCGTCCCCTAATTGTCGATTGTGGGGGGAGCTTTGATACATGCGGGACAGTTTGGGGGCACGGTTTCGTATATGTATAGCTGTATGCTTTTGGACAGCTCTCGAGAGAACTGCATTACCGACTTTTCGTGTGTCGCATCATTCGAGGGGGAAATTCCCTCCTCAGATTTAATTACTCTGCAATCGCAATCCGTCTGCTTGTTCCTTTCGTCAGTGGTACTGCATGTCCCAAACTAAGCTTGTCGAAGGAGTACTTATAGGTATTCGGCTCGTCCTATTTCACCCATCATGACACGGCATCGCTGCTGGCCATGGAACTTAACAGTCGGCCTTATGCTTGCTTTGCAAGCCCACAGCACTCCCTCTGTGAATGTGGGCATGAATGCAGCCTTCCCTGCCGGCCCATATCTACTTGAACTCTTGTACTTATCCAATACCCTTTCTTTCTTCCGTAAGATTGAGCGAGTACTAAACAGATGGCAGAGAGACCGCAGCGGCAGAGAATTCCTCGTCATATTTTCCCCTTCTAGACCGAATTGCGGCTGGGTCCTTTGCCTCCGCTTCTACAGATGCTGCTTTGTATTCTGAGGTTCTTGATGTCTTGCAAAAAGATGGCAGCATATCTGGCTCCGAGGCCTTGTCTACATTCAAGCTTGCTTTGTCTTTGCGCTCGGCTGCCCCTCGGATAGAAGCTCATTATCAATACTACACAACCGCGGTTGCACCCACAGTCGACGATCCAGAATGTGTCAACTGGGTGCTACTAGAGGGAAAGCAATATTGTACTCCCGAACTGGACAAAGTAAACAGGGATGGTCTACTTTCTTTGTAAGTGTACCCACCTTTGGATACAGGGTTAATTCTCATATGGAAAACAGGCAAGCGAAACATTTGCCATTCGATCGAACCCTTGGCACCGGTAAAGAAGCTATCCTCTATGCCGACCCGACTTCCAACACATTTGGTGCATTCCACAAGGCTCTTGCCGAGGCCGCAAGGCAAGGTTCTTTGAGTTATCGGATTAGATACCGCCGTACTGAAACAACACATGCAGCAGCTTTGCCTATGAGCGGATATGGTGTTGAGCTAGCGCTGAAGAAAACCGATTACATCGTCATTGATGATCGATTACACGGTGAAGAAGCTCATCATGAGAGCCCTAGCTCCAGCACCAACCTTGACGACAGTGAGGATGTGGCCGATATCAAACCTTTGGCAGCATCAGACCTCTCATCACTCGGAATGAAAGCGGCATCATTTATATTACAAAGCGACGAGCCACTGGAGACACTTGTAAAATTATCACAGGATCTGCCCAAGTTTCTGACGTCGATTGTTGCCCACAATGTGTCAGCGCAATTTGAAGAGGAGTTCCAAAGCAACGGCGTAAAAGGAGTGCCGGATGGAGTGAACATCCTATTAGTAAATGGCGTTCAAGTCAGCGAACGGCAGATTGAGCCTTTTGCTCTCATCGAAAGACTACGCCAAGAGCGAAAACTTATTGACGGTTTCCGTACCCTTGGTCTCAGTGGGAAACAAGCGGTATCTATTCTTGGGCATCAAGCTGTATCCATTGCAAAGGACTCTACTGAGCCGTTGCGATACGACTGGACAGATCGTCTCGAAGATGGGCGAGTTTTAATATGGCTGAATGACCTCGAAAGTGATGATGCATACAAAGACTACCCAAAAACCTTGGCATCGGTAGGCCACAACAGAATGCATGGAGCAAGACTGAAAGCTGACGTTATTAGTTATTGCGAGGAGCATATCCTGGACAATTGCCCCCCATTGCGAAAAATATCTTCACTCTCGTGGCGCCTGTCGATTTTTCAAGCTCGGAAGATATATCATTCATTACGCAACTACTGTCATTCATTTCACGAGGCATCGCTATCAGATTTGGTCTTGTCCCTTTGATGTCAACGCCTGAGGCTACCGCCAAAGCCAAGATAGTCTATCACATATTCGAGAATTACGGCATCCAAGGCCTTGCTAGCTATTTAGGGAGGCTCCAGGACTATGCTACAGCATTGACCAACGAAGAGCTTTTTGCAGAGATAACCAGGGACCAAACACTCCTTGAGGATTCGGAGAAGATGGAGCTCGTCGACGTCCTTGAAAGGGAGACTTACGAGCAACAGCTCAAACTTGCCCAGCAATGGATTAATCGGTTGAAAGCTGAAACCCCGATTCGACCGATATTTTTCAATGGCCTGTTAATTCCACGCGACGACAATTGGATCCAGGGACTTGGCATGCAGATCGGCGACGATCTTCAAACAGTGCAAAAGGGAGTCTTTCACGGCATTCTCTCTGACGATGACTGGGCTCCCAGTGTTTTCCTAAGCAATGCAATTACCAGGAGGAACAGCTATATATCCCCCGAAGATGAGAAAAAGAGTCTCAGGGTGCTCAACATCAACAAACTTTACAACGAGCATGCAGATCTTTTTGAAAGCGTCCCGGTTCTCGATGCGCTTGCGGGGTTGCAAAAGGAAGACTGGGCAGTAATGACCGTCATCGCCGATCTCACAACAACAAGCGGCAAAGCGTTAGTTTTGTCCGCCCTGGAGTTCAAACGCAATAACCCGGGCGCCAGGATCGACTTTGTTCACAATCCTGTGGCTGCTGCTGGCGCTGCCTCGGTTAATGCTGCCCTCCGAGCCAACCAAGGATCGCTGAGTGATGTCCAGGATGCAGACAAACTTACAAGCTTGATGGAAACACAATCTGAAGATCTTAACGATGATTACTTCGCAGCTTTAGAGCAGTTCCTTGGCACCGCCAAGATCCTCTCTGGAGCTCAGATGATTATGCTAAACGGTCGATTGATTGGACCTATTTCTGAAGACTCTCAGTTCGATGTGGACGACTTTCAACAATTTCTGGAAGTTGAACGAACGAAGCGTATCCTCCCTGTATATGCAGCTATCGAAGAACTCGGTCTAGGCGATACACTGGCTACTCCAATTGACGCAGCTAAATTAACTTCCATCACTGCCCTCTCTACAATTTCCAATCTTCCCGAAGGAATATTCGAATCAACGTCATCTGCCCGAACTACTCTTTATAATACCTGGGATTCAACTTATACAACTATTGAAAAGGGCGATCAAGAGACTGCAAGCATATACATCGTTGGCCTCGTAAATCCAGTCAGTGAGCAAGGCCAAAGGTGGGCTCCCATTTTGAAGGTGCTCTCTGAGCTACAGGGGGTTCACCTAAAGCTTTTCGTCAACCCCACGGCAAAGATTGAGGAACTTCCAGTGAAGCGCTTTTTCCGATATGTGTTGGAGTCCCAGCCGTCATTCGACGAAGAGGGGGGCGTTAAGAGGCTAGAAGCTACCTTCAATGGCCTGCCCTCTGAAGCTTTGTTGACAACCGCCGTTGATGTGCCACCTGCATGGCTGGTAGCACCTCTGGTTTCGATTCATGATCTCGACAACATCAAATTGAGTGCAGTAAAAACCGACGTCCACGCAACCTATGTGTTGAAACACATTCTTATTGAGGGACATTCTAGGGAGGGCAAGGGATCGGCGCCACGAGGAACTCAGTTGGTTCTTGCTACAGAGAAAGATCCTCTTGTCACAGACACCATAGTCATGTCGAACCTTGGCTTTTTCCAATTCAAGGCTAATCCTGGAGTTTACACTATCCAACTGAAGGAAGGCCGCAACGCTGAGATATATGAGATCGAGAGCATTGGTGCCCAGGGATGGAGCCCCGTGCCTGGCGACAACGGCACTGAGCTCGCGTTGATTGACTTCCAAGGCGTGACCCTATATCCCCGTCTCAATAGACGAAGTGGCATGGAAGCGGAGGATGTTCTTCAAGAGAAAGATGCTCAAGAGAACAATCTAGTCGCCAAGGGGTTTAAGCTGGCAGAAGGACTCTTTGGCGGAAAATCCAAAAAGAAATCGCTTTCTGAGCAGGAACATGCAGAGATCAACATTTTCTCTGTTGCCAGTGGCCACCTCTATGAGCGAATGCTGAATATCATGATGGTCTCAGTGATGCGCCATACAAAGCACACAGTCAAATTCTGGTTCATTGAGCAATTCCTTTCCCCCTCCTTCAAGGAGTTCATCCCACAAATGGCAAAGGAGTACGGTTTTAAATATGAAATGGTATCATATAAATGGCCTCACTGGTTACGGCAACAGAAGGAGAAACAGCGAGAGATTTGGGGCTACAAGATCCTCTTCTTGGATGTCCTATTCCCCCTGTCTTTAGACAAGGTCATCTTTGTAGATGCAGATCAGATTGTGCGCACCGATATGATGAACCTGATGAACCTCGATCTTGAAGGCGCCCCGTATGGATTTACCCCAATGTGCGACTCTCGCACCGAGATGGAAGGCTTCCGTTTCTGGAAAACCGGATACTGGGCGAATTACCTCCGCGGTCGTCCATACCACATCTCTGCCCTCTACGTTGTGGACTTGCGGCGCTTCCGAGAGCTCGCTGCAGGCGACCGCCTTCGCCAGCAATACCACTCGCTCTCCGCCGACCCGAACAGCCTCGCAAATCTGGACCAAGACTTGCCGAATCATATGCAGTTCCAGATCCCTATCCACAGCTTGCCTCAGGAGTGGCTCTGGTGTGAGACTTGGTGCAGCGACGAAAGCCTCGGCGAAGCTCGCACCATTGACTTGTGCAACAATCCTCTGACGAAGGAGCCTAAGCTTGACCGAGCGAGAAGGCAGGTTCCTGAATGGGTTACCTATGATGAGGAGATCGCAGCCTTGAGCCAGCTCTCTAAGGGAGAGGCGGGAATCACTAACAAAGAAAAGCTTTCTAACAATGGCGACTCGGACGCAGCTGAGTCGCAAGGCAAGAACACTAAAAGTCGGAATCTAGAAAGTGAAAAGACACACACGATGGATGAACTGTAAAGAGAGAACAAACGCATATATGTATTAGATAAAAATCGCTCCCCAAGCAATCTTTCGTTTATTAGCAAGGCTAAATCACTCATATACACACGCATTCACGATATATTAGTACGTAGATAGTTGGATATTCTTAAGAAAACAAAAAAGTCTATTTAGGCAAACGTCGTTATAGAATAAACAATAAAAAAAATACTATGATAATTCATAAGGGCCATTGCTCAACAAATGTAAAGCAAGCATATACTAGTAACCTATCCCTTAAGAGACCAAGCCAGCTACGGATGCAGTGATAGACATTCTAGAGCTTGAAAGTCACTCCATAATGGAGGTCATTAGGTTACATTGAAATTAGACCTACATGATCAAAATAGTCTGATCTTGCCAGTGACGCCAGCACCCGAACCTGACGTGGTCGTTTTCCTGCCAGCACCGCTGTAGTTCGACGCGCCTGTACCAGTTTGCTGGGTTCCATTTGTGTTGTCATTGTTTTGGTTGTTTGGCTGTAACAGTCGGAAGCCTGCAATGTCAGACAAGGAGTTGTTCAATGAGTCTGGAATGGACTTGGCAGCAAAAATTGGTCCGACAATCAGAGCAATGAAGACGATGGCAAGAACGAAATAGAGAATAGCAAAGCGAATGACGCGGCGTCGCCTAAGTTTTGACTGTTTCATGGAGTAAATCGGAGGACGAATTTGTCGACTGCGGGAAACATGTTAGCACGAAACGAGATTACGGAGTCTTGATATATAAAGTGTTACTTACCTTGGCAAAAGCCAGAAGAGCATCATGGAATGCAGTGTATCAACCCGAGGAATCAGGATGACAGGGATCATGAAGAACAGCAACCAGTGTCCAAGAATGAAATCAGCTGCAAACATGCTGAGTTCTGTAATCTTGGCAAGCCACTCACGGGCGGGCTGTGTGACGGTGTGCCAGCCCATGGAGTACCATTTACCAGTCCAGAAGGCGATGTTGGATCCATCGCCCTTGAATTCTCGCGTCAAGAACAACGAAATAATGAGCTTGAACAAGAATCGCTGCATGCAAATGACTGCAACCATACCAGCGATTGTACGGGAAAAGTTGAATCCTTCAAGCAAAAACAGCACTTCAAAGAAAACCAACATGAAGATGACGGCAAGGGCGTGTGCGATAGCGGCCAGGACACTGCCAAACTTCTTGCAGCACATGCTTAGTAGAGGTCCCATAAAGCATGCCATGGCAAACATAACCATCAGCACACCAGCATTGACGGCGACCGGTCCGAAAGCGACGATCAAGATTCGAATGAGAGAGTCAGTAGGCTTAATGGCAGCGGCTTTTTGACCCTTGGCAACTTTCTGTTTGTCCTGGAGTACACCGGTTTGCGCGTTCATGAACAGGTACGGGATCAGCGTGACGACAGCGAGCAAGAGCGGCGTAAAGATTTCAGTGAAGAAAATATTAGCAATGGCTGCTCTGGGAACATCTCCCGACAACTTGGCAGATGCGTCACCCAAATTCTTGCGCTTGTAACCAGTAACTCGTATACGAGACAATCGGCAGAATGAAATCCATGAAGAAGCGTGCGATCGCGAGTTACCACGCGACAGCCAACGAAGGTAGTCACGATAATCGATGAAAAAGTCAGTCCATGCAAATTGATGCGGGTTGTACAAGAAGGGAGAGATGGTCAATCCAAACAAGGTGATCCAGAAGTAAACGAGCGCAGGCTGCCAAGCGGTGACGGTTGCGAAAAGAAGCATCATCAACAATCTTGCACCGAAATAGATTGACGGGGCAGCGAATCGAGAGTACAAAACACCAAATGGAATACGCGCTGTGGCGAAACCACGACCTGTTCCGATATATCGGGCACCGCCAAACGAAATGTTCTGCTGCACAGAGTTCGCGTAAATCTGAGTGACGAAGACTTCAAAGAACGGTGAAAGCGACAGGAATTGTTTCAAGAATCGACTAAGGGCTCTCCAGATACCACGCTCAGTCAATTCCTGCACAATCAGAGGAACGAAAGACAAGAAGAAGACGAAGAAAATTGAGAAAACACAACGTTGGACCCAATCCATTAATGCGTCTGTGTTGGCACAGCCAGTGGGGAACAAAGGATCGGTGATGGGAACATCTCGGTTGTATTTGCATCTGATCGTCTCATGTCGTAGAGCTCCGATGTTGATGAGTGTAATCATGAACATTTGAATGGACAGCATAATAAACATGTTGTTGACGTGGAAGCCGGCGTGAGCGTAATAGAATGACAAGAAGCGATCCAGAGGAAGTTGGGTTCCTAGGTAGTGGTATTCTCGAGAAAGAAGTTGCTCGCCCATACCAGTACCGATCTTGGTTGTGAAGTTAAGAATGGAACCGAAACCCAAATCACGACCTTTACCACACTGGTAGTATTCGCAGTGCTTGATTCGACCTCCTCGCAACATGGCATTCATACCAGCGAAAATATCTTCGTTCAAGTGCAAACCCTTCTGGGCCTTCGAAACACCTCCACGCGTTGTCATGAAAATGCCGTTGAGGAAATCAGGATGACCGTAGTGAAGCTTGCCTCCGATTTGAGCCATGGTACGCGCAAAGAGAGTACCGAATGTCTGTTCCTTTCCTGCAGCAATATCACCAAGAATACCAATGTTTTCCGAGAAAATGTACTCACGAGCACCAAGAATAGCAACAGGTGCAGGTGAGTTGTTTTTCACACCAGGGGTATAAGGAGACACATTTTCAGTCTTCATCTCTTCGAACTCGGCAAGCACGCTTCGGATTTTCAAACATTCCTCCAGATAGTTGTCCTGATTGGCATCAATGAGCTGAATGTATTCGCCACGGTAGAAGATAATCGAGTGGTTTTGGTTGTCAGATTTTCCATCACCAAGAATTGGGTTGCCGGAGAGCTGAACGCGGAACTTGGGGCGTCGCATACCGTTCTCCATGATTTCGGAGTGGCCGTCAATAAGGGCAGAGTACAGTCTAGGCTCTTCGCCTTCAGCAACGGGGGGCTCCTCATCCAAGTAAGCAATCTGGAGGTCAGGGTAGGCGCGGAGTAAGAATTCGGCATTCTCCATTTCTTCCTTCTTGAATTTGGAGTAACGCTGCATGGCCACGCAGATTCTGAACTTGCGGCGGGCCATGCGCTCCAGCTCTCGCTCCAGCTTATCCGTGTTACCACCAAACATTTGCACGACTTCAGGGTTTTCGACTCTATACAACAATTTGATAGCACGGCTATAATTCATAAAACCAGAGATTGTTCGGTACAGTGTTTGGAAGCGGAGCGAGGCCCAAATACGCGTTCGAAGAGTATACTCGGGAGCAGAAGACTTGAATCCGATACAATAGAATGGAAGATCGTCGATTTTGCTTTTGGCCGTGTCTTTCTCGTTCTTCTCTTCGTCGCCATTCATTTGAGAGGTCTCATCAGCCAGGATTTTGGTGTCTTTGACGAAGCAATCCCATTCATGAGGGTGAAGCTGCTTGAGATACTCCAAGAGTGTAACTCTTGAGTAGGGCTCATCTTCACGAATAATCTCTCGCAGAGAAAGCAGGATCTTTTCACCATAGTGGGGAATCATGACAGTAAAAGTTGGCATGTTGTCCACCGGCAGCGGCTCTGGAATAGGAGTGGACAGCGACTGAGCAAAGAAGGAAATTCGGCGTTCTGCCTCACTGTTGCTAGGAAAGAACTCCGTCTTGAAAGAATGATCTTCTTGGGAAACGAAGAAGGTTGGGGCTCGCAATGTTCTTTTTCCTTCTTGTTCAGACGGAACTTGATGATACAGCAGCTTCTGTACGTGATCAATGGCAAGAAGATGTTCTCGGTACATGGAAATGACAATAGCATTCCAGACTTGAGAAATGAGGACTTTGGGCTTATATTTAATTTCCATGTCCGTGGTTGCCAAGACTTTGGAATAAATACGCTTCGGCAGACGAGAGAAGATGTTTCGCCACGGTGTCCAAATCGAGGAACCAATGTAGAACGATCTTGCGATGGAAAAGATTGCGTTGATCAAGACGTAGAACAAGTACGTATCGAGGAAGAAGAAAATCAGGTCCGTGAAGATCATGAGACCCAGAGTAATCTTGGGCTGGTTCTTGCACAAAACGTCGCCGAAGAGATTGTCACCCTGACAGCTTAAGTGCATAATTGAGAGATACCTCATAGGATCACGGAATGAGAGTGCCAAGAAAACGTACGACTCTCCAAACTTGACTCCGAAAACCGTCAGCCACAAGAAGTATGAGACAGCCATGTCATTGAACGGCAGTGCCGGCCAAGAAGCTGTGAACGTTTGACTGGCCACGTATCGTCGAGAGTTGGAGATCAGGTAGCTACCGAACAAGCCACCCAGAGGCATAACGGCAAAGAACAAGAAAGTAACGATGGCAATAATGAAATGCACAATTCCGAGAGCGTGGTCGATTGTCGAGTTTGGATTCTTGTCGGCAAACATGAAAACCTTGACGCCAGGTGCAACATTGAGAACCAGCATGAAGAGGAGGAAGAACAGACGTTTAGTAAGATGTTGTGCGCCGGCCCATCTTCTTGGAACATAGGCCCATTCTGCCAAGGTTGCAAGAACCTGAATCAGAGACGCGATGGCACCACCAAAGCCAACGATGGAAAACTGCTTGGCCGCGGAAGGTGACTGGTTGACTTGCTGTTCGTAGTTCTTCACCAACAGCGTAGGGGCGTTGTGGGAAGTATAGAACCAGAACATTGTGAGATGGATAATCCAGATACGGTTGAAGTTGGTCAGGAGATGGAACCAAGAACGAGATTCTCTGTAGGTCTTGAAGAAGCACTTCTTCCAATTGACGTCCTTCAATTTCAAATAACGCTCTGCAGGAGGAACATCGATGAGCTTGCTCTTGTCTTGGAGAACAATGCGCTCGATACCTTCAGGATACCAAAAAAGTTGGTTGCAGTCGTCATAACCAATAATGTGTTTGTGATCTCGCTCTCGTCTGACGTAAACACCGTTGAGAATTTCGTAGCCTTGGTCTCGACAGTACTGGTAGAGAGGCGTGATGATGTTGTTAAGGAACGTGAACTCGTCCACCGGCTCAACCAGCGCCTGGCATGCCGGGGAGAGAAGATAATCATGAGCACATTTGAAAATGAAGCAGAGCAATTCTGGCATAAATCGAACTTGATTCGCCTCTCCCCAACAAAGCAGATAGAGGGCGATTTGACGAACCCGGTCGTGCTGGGACATGCGGTTCATCCGGGTTTTCCAGCGGTACTCGGCAGCCTCAAGACTGTCATCGCCTTCAAGGTCTTGCAACATTTCCGCCTCGTTTGCGGGATCATCCTGTTTTCCCTTCTTCTTGTTTTTCGCCTTGCGCTTCAGCCCCTTGGCGGTGGCGTTGGCGAAACCGACCGAGTCATCCAGATCCAGATGAGCGGCGAAGTACCACTTGCGATAATTGGCATTATCACCACCAATGTAGTCGCTATGCAGGGATAGAAGGGCTTGGTTGGGCGTCATTCGCGAAGCCCTAGAGTCCAGCAATGTCATGAAGTGGTCATACATGTTGCGCATGCTATCTCTCTGGAATCCGAACTTGGAAGTGAGATCCATGAAGATGTCCTCAATCTCCTCCTTGGACAGAGGGATTTGGGCATCCGAAGTCCATGCTGGATAGGGTTCGCGTGAGCGTTGTCCGGCTGGCAACACGTTGCCATAGTCCATGCCGTAGTTGGGTGTTGACGCGCCCGATGATCGATTACCGCCATAAGAAACTTGGGAAGACGGAGGTCTGTATCCCCTGTTGCCCGACTGAGGGTCGCCATAGCTGTCGTATCGCTCGTCTCCACGACCATAGTAATCCATCTCGGCTGCTCTGGCCATGTCCGACCTCATAGTAAAATCACTGAAGGTCTCAGAATCCTCTTCAGATCCTTGGCGAGGGCCTTGGTTGTAGTTTTGGTCGTAGTAGCCTCCATGGTTTTGATATTCGTCGTGGTATTGGTCATCGCCATCATAATACCCGCCGTCGTGATGGTACGGATTGTTGGGATCCGCATTATAATATCCTCTGTGCTTCGTGGTTAGCTTTGCTCGTCTTCCAAGATATCACGTCTGGAGGCCGTACGATTCATCGTAGTAACCATCTCCCCCGTGGTTACCGCCATGGCCTCCACCATGGGCGTCGTAATTGTTATCATAGTACTGATCATCCTGATAGTATGAATCGGTTTGGTTATTTTGTTGGTGGCCGTCGTACCCATCGTGATGGCCGCCGCCACCGCCGCCAGGATACCCCGACATCGTGAGAAAAGGTTACCTGTGGGCAAAGGTCAGGATTGACGCTCCAACGATTTGGTCCGGTCCCGCAGCATGCCAGTTTTGATAGCAATTCTTACCTAGAAGTTGGAGTGCATGAATGGACTGAGATGTAAACCCAGAGTATAATGAGCGAAATGGGACAGCGGGCGGTAGCTCGCACGAACAGAGTCCCGGCTGTGTGACCTTGGAAGTGAGGAGCGCTTGGCTGCAATTCAATGTATTGTTTCAACCACAAAGAGGCGATGCGACGTGCGTGAAAAGCACTGGGTCAAGAATCAAAAGACGAAAGTCACAGCAACAACCAAACAGTAACGAGAGACGTAAGGCACTATGTGAGAGCAAGAATGATGGATGGCCCGTCAGAACGAAAGACTGCCAAGAACAAGCAAACTTGGTGGAAAACAGGAAACTTCAAAAGGATGCAAGATCACGTGGAGGAGGCCTGAGCTGCGACTTAAGGGGGCGCAACTCCCCCTTTACCATCCAGACGGAGTGCGGAACGGAGGTGCTGTGTATCAGCTCTGCAAAGGACGGGTGGGGATGCCAGGAAAGGGGGAGATGGGAGCATGCAAGCACACAAGACAATTGGAAGCTTGCACAGGCAGGCACACGGAGTACGGAGTGCAGAGTACCTACAGAGTACCTCCTACCAACACCATCGTGCCCGTCACTGCGCTGTACGTGTGTCTGTACCTGTTACCTGTGCGTCCATGGAAGGGTGGGCCATGGTGGTAGTGCAGGTACCTGGGTGGCGGGCTACAGTACAGTACGATACGGGACCGCCGGACACAGCCCAGGCGGGAGCCAGTCCTACAGTGCTGGGTAGGTACCTGGACAAGCTGGACTGCTGGAGCACCCCCAGGTGGCCGGCCCAGTCCATCCATAATATCCATAGCATCGATGGGACCCGGCATGATACGGGACAGGAATCCAAGTATTAAGGACCAGTTGCCCTTCTCGTCGCCAGCATTCCCCTAGCACAGCCCCTTCTTTGGCAGCCACTGTTGGGAGGACGGATTGGCTCAGGGGGCATCGGAGTGGCCATCGGAAATATAATGCAAGGAACGGATTGGGTGGATATGGGCAGAGGCCGTGCGCGCCACTCTTGCACGCACCGTCGCGTCTGCGGCAGCCAATGAGTGCATAAAGTGACGGAAGCGGAACGAAAAATGCAATACGCGTCCAGGCGTCATACACATGTCAACAACAAGTACTAGCAGCGGCACAACTGCCAACACGGAGCGGCGCTAACGTATCAGCCTTGGAAAGCTGGTGGAGCTACTGCGCCAGTGGGAGGCATGGAGCAAAATGGATCAGTTGATGGGTTTTTTGTTACTTTGAATAGGTACGGAGAACTCGCACACTACCTTTCGGGTTCTTCACTACCGGGAACCAGCCTTGGAAACGTCAAATTTAACGGCTTTGTAAGACTTAGATATCAACATTCACATAAGAGGCAGCTTCGCAACATGATTTTGTCATCAATCGTGAGCAACTCGTCTCGGAAGTCCGACCATTCCATGCACCTTGGTAATAGTACCAAATACCTGCTGTTTGCACCCTTAGTACCGTAAGCTAAACCTGCGGAGTTTTGAAACGGCAGACCTAAAGGGAGCTTGTGTTTTGACGCATATGGTACCTCAGTACCTCAGCAGAGGTACTAATCCTCTCGGGCACATGTGGAACGAATAGGCGAGAGCAAGCTAGCAGCCACGTATTATCTTAGTCAGCTACGTATTTGGTCGGGGAATTGTTTTTGCGGCCATTGTTCCAATGCGCGGTACCCTGGTACCAGCCGTTGATGCATCGCGAGGCTTTCGCATTGCTATCGCGGTTTTCACGATCATAGCCTTATGGGGCGTCAATGGAGACTGCTGCTGCGTCCCAGATATCCCGTGCCATTCGCCCAAGAGATCCCTTCCACGCCTCATTGTGAGAACGGTTGTAATTGAAAATGGAGCAAGAGCGCCCCAAGGATGCCGTCGATGGCGATGTCGACATGAAGGAAAGCCTCGACGAATCTAGTGTAGACATGGAAGGCAATCCTGGCCAAGATGAACCTCACGACTTATTTCAACTAATACATGACCTTTCGAAGTATCTATGTAGCGTCGAAGAAGGGTGAGTCGTCTTATAAGCAGGAATCGCTAGCGACGCGTACCGATTTTAACAAATTTCAGTGGCGAAGAGCTTGCGGCTGGGTTCCAGCGCATTCCGAACAGGCGCCTTTTACCCGACTATTTTGACATCATTGCCGAGCCTATCGCCTTCAGTACTGTTCGAGTATGTTTTCTACAACTTGCCAATTGCCTAGCAACGGCTTTGTTAACGCAATGACAGAGCAAAATCCAAAAGAAGCAGTACAATGCCTTCTCCGAGTTCGTCAAGGATGTTGCACAAATATGCCACAACGCACAGGTCTACAATCGCCCTTCGGCGCCAATATTTGGTGCTGCTGAACGACTTCGAGAGATCCTCCAGGAGGAGCTCAAGAAACTCGTCGACAGTGGTGATATTACAGCCGAGGATGCGCGTCTGCCAGACTTGGGAGAGCTGCCTCCCGTCGAAGAATCACCATCGCAGCAGTCCGAGGATGAGGACGAACAGGACGAAAGATCGAAAAGAACCAGGGGGCGAAACAACAATGACGACGACGAAGACGACGAGGACGATGAGGAGGAAGAGGAGGAGGATACCGATGAAGACTCTGATGACGAAGACTACAAAGGGCGAGGGGGAAGACGCTACACATCCGATCGAGGCAGCCGCAGCAATGACAAGGACTCAAGATTCCAACAGAAAAGAGGCCGGCCACCAATGGTCCTAACTCCGACGGAAGCCAGAATCTTCTCGCTCCTCAAGGAGCTTAGAAAAATCAAGGATGCAGACGGAAACACACTTGCTGCGCCTTTCGAGAGGCTTCCTGATAAAACGGTTGTCCCAGACTACTACCAAATAATTGCGAATCCAATCGCTTTGGACAACATTAAGAAGATGACGAAGCGAAAGAAGTATCAAACAGTCGACCAGGCACTCTTAGACCTTGAACTCATGTTTGAGAATGCCAAGGCGTATAATGAAGATGATAGCCCAGTGTACGAAGCTGCTGTGAAACTACAGCAGCAAGCTCGGGTACTGGCAGAACAAGAAAAGTTGAAACCAGATGACGATTTCCGGGACGAGGATGGCAAACTCCCTCTATCAAGCATCGAGTACAGCGGAGAAACCTGGAGAGTTGGTAAGTCCACTGCCCTGCTTTAAACACCCCTACTCTTTTTTTACTTGACTCACGTTTGGCTTACTCGTGGCATCAAAAAGGTGACTGGGTGCACATTCGGAACCCCAACGACCTAGCAAAGCCTATTGTTGCTCAAATATTCCGCACATGGCAAGATCGTGATGGCCAGAAGTGGATTAATGCATGCTGGTACTACAGGCCGGAGCAAACAGTTCATCGATTCGAAAAACATTTTTATGTACACGAGGTAGTCAAGACGGGTCAGTACCGCGACCATCCGATTGCAGACGTTATCGACCGCTGCTACGTAATGTTCGTCACTCGATTCAACAAGGGACGTCCCCGGGGACTTGCACCGGACAAGGACGTCTACGTCTGCGAGTCTCGGTACAACGAAGAGAAGTTTTACTTCAACAAAATCAAGACTTGGGCCAGCTGTGTTCCTGACGAGGTGCGGGATAAAGACTACGAGATGGATTTGTTTGAGGTTCCCCGTCAGATGAAGAAAATACCCAGTCCAATCAAGCACCTCTTGCGCGACGATGCCAAAGAAACAGATGAGCTTCCGCGACCGACTTGGGGCAGCCCAAATGCTCCGCCCATTATTGGTGCCGTCCATCGTCGACCACCAGGGCCTAATGTAAGTTGGTTTCAATGTCTCTTCATTCTCTTCAACGTAGCTCTTTGTTGGCAATACCGGATATTCTATGGTCCTTAATAACTGCCCCTTGAACATCATGAATATCTAGCTAACCCGAACGCACCTACCGTAGGAATCACCTCCTCCAGATCTCATGATGCCTGCAATGCCAGCCGTTTCCAAGATGCCAGCAGAACCAACCCAGCGCCTTCCCATAAATCCCGGGGTTAAGGATGCCACAAGCGAGGCGGCAAGAAACGGAGCCATCCCTTACGGCATGGTTGGTGCAGTGCCACCTCCCAACCAGTATTACGGACACGTTCCACCACATTTCCAGCCAGTCCCTCCAAACACCGGACCTATCCCACAAACTCCGGTTCCCATACCTCATCAACCGCAGCAGACGCCTCCGCATATGTCGATGCGATCCATGCAATACCAATATCAGCCTCACCAACAGCCTGCCTACATGCAAAACTACAACGGCTATGCCCCATCACCTGCAATGCCTCTGCATCATCAACCCGTGCCCAACCCACGGCCAACAGGGTACATGCAAGGTCACACTGCGGCAGTGCCCAGGCCGCCGGGGATAGTGACCCCTGGTGTTGCTCAGCCACATGCTAATATGTACAATCCGCCGCGGCCCCCTGAGGTGTATACACTACCAGACAACATCAATGAAACTTTACCAGAGGCGGTGCGGCGGGAATTTCAACACGATGAATCTGGTAGGGTGCTGTTCTTTTCAGCCGCCCCTCTGGACCGCTCATGCAGTGGTCTTTCGCCGCAGAGCTCAGGGCTTGGGCATAGTGCCAAATACCTTGCCGGACGGAGTAAATGGTTGGCCGAACGCGAAATGAAGCGAAAGGATAGAGATGAGCTATTGCATGGGCTGCGAGAAAAGCTACGGCGGACTGAATTACAGTCTGACGAATCTCCGGCCATCTCACAAGCCGCCCACGCAATGGAACTATTCTTTGAGCACCTTGGCCAAGACACTGAGCGTCTAAAAGAGGACGTCGGTCTGTAATTTTAGAATGGACCATCCATAAAAGGATCAATGCGTAATCATACCTTTAGTCTGCTACATCTTACACAAGGCGAATATCGGACGGTTGGTGTTTTTGGAGTATCTCGGCCATACTGGGATAGTATGCTACCATACCAGGTGGGAATATGGACTTGAAAATTCGAACGATGAATGATTTGGCAAACGCAGAGATGGGAATCACAAGTGAACTATCACGATGTTGTGAACTATAGCTCGGCAAGCAAGCTTAATTTTAAATTGAATGCATGTCTCCAATTTGACGCATTGATCTACCGCAGACAATTTCCAGAGCCCCATGCTATACTATTTATATCATCCGTAATGTCGTGTCAGAACTGCGCTTCCAACTGTTTGCCAGTCAGTATATTCTGCAGATTCAGCCTCATGCTCCATCGGATAGACTCTGTCTCTCCCTTTTCACGAATACTACCATCGCTCCCAACATTCTGAATATCACTGCCGGAAGCTACCAATCCCTTTGCCTTATGATGGAACATGATTGTGGGATTAACACTAATGCACTTCACGTCGAGTCCGCCGCTTTGATTCCTACCCAGCCCATACATGGCATCTCTGCAAAGCTGTGCTAGTGAATTGTCGAATGCCATGTGCAGGCCATCCACGCTCAAGGCGTAGAGGATTTTTCTCGCTCCTCTTTGAGAGATGGCGTAAGAAAAGGTGCAAATAGGCGCCGCGGACAAGTGAACGATCCTCGTACGGGGCTGGTATTGTGACCAGTCCACAAGTTGCGACACTTTTCTGTACGGTGGAACGGTATCATCGTCGTGGATGAAGTACTTGACTGACATTTGTTCTACGCTCTTCGATGGCAATCCAGTATTCTCCTCTAGAGTCTCCGGAAAGGGTTCACCACAATGGCCTAGCCATAAGATATCCCAGTCATCTCCATAGGGAGAATGAGGCAGCGCCGAGGATTGGTGCAGGAGCTGGCGGGCTCCGTGCGCAATGTTGCGGAGCTGAGACTTGAGATTGATATCCCAATCCATATCATCCTCGATGATAAGAGCTGACCCAACCTCCTGCTCGACAACTCTGTGCTACTCTTAGACAAGACGAAAATCAAAGGGGCGTATTTAACGGTACTTACCGCCGAATTGCATTCATGTGGCCCCTCCAACTTCCGAGAAAGTTGTCTCGTATTGCAGAAGGATCGATTCCATATGGTATAGCTTTGTTTGGGATGCTGGAGGGCCTTACGCCATCAACCCATTCGATATCAAAGCCAGTTAGTGATGCCATGAGCTCCAAAGCATCTCGCTTATCTGACCGCTCCGGCAGCCCGATAGCAATGACTTTTTCAAACCCCAGTGTCTTATTAGTCACTCGTTCAAAGTCCAACGGAGCGGATTCTAGCGATTCCAGGTCTTCATTTTCGGTGTGAGCTATCGATTGACCTTGCGTGCCGACTCTCTCAATGGGAATGGTGTTAATGATGATCCTATTGGCGCCGAAGAAGAATTCATCGACAGCAATGAGAGTAACCATATATGTGATGATAACTACCGGCACCAGAGCCAGTAAACGAAGGCGAGGGCGGATGCGGGACAGGCACGCTGAAGCATTCATTGTGTAAGCTATTTCTTTATTGTGGATGCTTCAATGTGGTAGTGACTCATGAGGAAGCTGGAATGCCAGAGAAGCCAAGGAATGTCTCGCTATCTCCAAGACAGTCTGAGATATCGTCCCAAACTGAAGATGGAATGGTAAGTAGAGGCTGGCATGGTATAATAGGGTTTCCCCTCACAAAAGAGCTGGTGAGAGAGAGCCTTTTTGTGGAGGCTCGCACTCCTTACCGTGGCTCCGGTTGCGTATTGGCATTGGGTTGACCCTAGCCAGAATGTCGCGACATTCTCAAGAGATGACACAGGTTGTTGCCATAGTCACCCTTTTGCGGCCATGCTACGATAAGATTATTATTTCGTCCTGAAGGCTCTAGCAATTCAATTCATGGTGTGTAGGGTGTAATCTTACACACGCACTTCAGAGCTTTTTGTAGCCGAATGCATCTCCAAGACTCGTACTCTCTTTGCATTCGATCCAAGCGAACCGGTCAGCAACACGAATCCGGCTCAAGAATGCAGTCGAGGCTTGGACGAAATGGTGAAAATTGCAAATTGTCAAGTACTGCTCCGTGGAACACATGTAATAATCCCCAACTACTGGGTAGGTATCTACAGAGTATTGGTTCTCTACGTGGTAAATACCTAGGTACATCTACCGACTTTGAGGTTTATACACATCTGTTAGGTAGGTAGGTTTAGGGAGTGGGTAGGTACCTACCTACATGTAGGTATCTAGCACTTCTGGCAGCTACATAGGTACAATTCCAGTGTCATCACGGTAGGTACCTATGCAGAGGTAATACCTCTTTGTCTGCTATATGCCTACCTTAGTTCCTTGACTACCTGGTACATAAGTATCTTGTGTGCTACTACTCCGTACCTATCGCTACTTTCTTCGAGTATACGCCAAGTTCCGGACACGGGTGGACCGCCACCCCTGGATTTATATACTCTATCCGCCTCGAATAGGTACTCCGTAAACTTTCTACATTTCTTTTGTAAATCATTCTATCCTGCTAAAGAACAACTGCTAGTTTGTAAGTCTACGGCGCGCATATATTATACAATCCTGGTTATCCTGTTTGCCTGTCTATAGCCTGGGATTCAATCCCCACAAGGCTTATTTAGGCAATGTATGGTGCACGACATGTGCGATGTGGAGAAAGTTGCGATATCACCAGATAGTGGCAGATACCCTGGACAGATGGTATCAGAGGCCTTGTCATCCGTTATCAGTCTCTACGCGCTCCATAAACACTTGCCAAGTCTTTATCTTGAGCTTGCATTGCATTTTTGGCATATAAGTGTCCCTCTACCTACCATTGCTGCTGCTATTTGGATATTGTAAAACCAAATATTGTTTTAGTTGGTAGACTCGGGGGGTGGGGGTCCCTGTGTAAAGCCTTTACACCTTCTGCGTGTACTTGTATGCTACAGAAGTCTGCGTGTGAGTCTAACATACATGTTCACCCCCAAGGTGCTACGTTGGTAGGCATGTTCTACCGTCTATGTACTTGTATGTGTGTACGAGTGTATGCTCGACCCGCACGATTTGATTCACCCTGGTGGAAATTGAAGTGCCGCCTCCATCCACCCACATAGAGCTGGGACGCGATTACATAACATCCTGCTCCAAAGTCAGATTGGTGGGATAGCAAGCCGGATGGAATACTCCGTTGCGGGAGGTGTTAGTCAATTAGTGCATTACCAGGGCAAAACGCTACCTGGAGAGATACAGCATGCCGTAATAGCACATTTTCCACTGCAAGTCGCATCGCTGAATCATTCGACGAGTTACATAAATGTTGGTGGTTAGGATTTGCCAAACCCCCAGCTTCCCAGCAGCTGACGTGCCCGCTGCGCCTCTCTCGTTCTCTCACAGCGCACTCGTCAAGGGTCGCTTGATCCTCCATCGAACCGACGTTGTGGCTGTCGCATCTTCATTTACCTACGATTAACAGGGTCGAGGGAGCGCACTGCAGAGGGATTCCCCCAAGATCAAGATCACGACCACGACCACGACCACGGAGAACCAAGTCGGTATCATCTCCCGCACGACCAGGCCTCGCACACAGCGCCTCAAGTTACGTCGGAGCTACTCCTCTAACAGACTGGGTCTCGTTTCTGCGTCTCACCCCGCGCAAGCACGCATGCTTACTACGGTCATACTCCACCGTCCACGAACCGGCAGCAAAGTGAGGACTGAAGACCGTGACAAGTACTCATCTCTCCACAAACATCTTCCTCTGTTCGATTCCCCGAAGACCAGTGAAACTTGGGTATCTGGTCAGATGCTGCCGCTATGGAAGGCTTCTACCAGACAAACCCAGAGCTGGACCAGCTTTCACACCCAGCTGAGGAAATGCAATCAGGACACCTCCAACCCAATGTCTTAGCCGTGCCCATTCAGGATGCCTCGCTCCCACCCCAGCTTCAGCAGCAGCTTCAGCAACCACCACCACCAACATTGCCCAACCACATGATTCCCAGCCAGACTGTAATCCCAGGCAGTCAAATGGAAGGCGTCATACGTGAGGGACACAACGATATGCAAAGACGAAGAAGCATGCCCCAGGCCTACGGGACCGCCCTAGCCTCCAACTCGCAGGTTACTCCACCTCGACGCATGTCGACTATCGGTCCTCCCAGAGACATGATGGCGTTCGATCCCGGAGCAGTTGGGTTTAGCAATTACCAGTTTAACCCAGAAATGCCACCTCCCTTTTCTGCTGTGAACACCAGTATCGGCGTGCAAGACCAGATAGGCAGCTATGTGACAGATGCTGGCAGCTTCTCAGCCATCCCCCAGGATATCATGGGTACCATGATGCCGTCTCAATTTGCCAGTATGGATATGGGCGGGATAACGGCCGAGCCTTCGGCCATGGATCTATTCCCTGGCACAAGTGCCCCAGCACCGGACCTTGCTGCTTCGTCTATCGCTGGCCAGCTAGATGCAGGTCAGCTCGCACCCGGCAACAATGACTTTGTCCTGGCTGGTAACCCTACCGGCGGATCGCTGGGAAGCCGCTCAAACAGCGGCCATAGAGGCATGGCGATTGTTCATGACGAGAATATGATGAATGCGACCCCTCAGCCATTCACATCGATTAACGCAGGTCCTTCCCACCTTGGTATCGAAACTGACATGACGGGATTTGGGCCAACTATGTCTCCTTCTCTCCCTGGGCCGGTGGCAGTCGCTCCAGCGCAGCAAAATACAGCATCAATGGACATGGTTCAGTCAAGCTCCGCCGGCCCTGCAACTCCAATCCAGGCTTCGACTTCCAGGGAACAATCCAAAGAAAAGACTATTTACTCTAAAAGTGGTTTCGACATGTTAAAAGCACTGTGGCTAGTTGCGACTCGGAAGAACCCTAAAATCCATCTTGGCGCTGTCGATATGTCCTGTGCCTTTGTCGTTTGTGATGTCACGATGAATGATTGCCCTATAATATACGTATCTGATAATTTCCAGAATCTTACTGGTTATAGCCGCCATGAGATTATTGGGAAAAACTGTCGTTTCCTTCAGGCACCCGATGGAAAGGTCGAGGCCGGCTCAAAACGAGAGTTCGTTGATGACGGAGCAGTATTTAATCTCAAAAGGATGATCCAGGAGGGCCGCGAGGTGCAGCAAAGCTTAATCAACTATCGAAAGGGAGGAAAGCCTTTCCTCAACCTCTTGACCATGATACCTATACCGTGGGATACCGATGAGATTAGATACTTTATTGGCTTCCAAATTGATCTCGTCGAATGCCCCGACGCCATCTCTGGTCAGGAACTGGGCGGAGTTACAGTCAACTATAAGCACAGTGATATTGGCCAATATATATGGACTCCGCCAGTGGCCAATCAGTTGGAGCCCGACAACGGACAGACGCTCGGTGTGGATGATGTCTCTACCCTCCTACAGCAGTTTAATCCGAACGGGCTCGTATCGGATTGGCATAGGCAATCCTGGGACAAGATGCTCCTCGAGAATACTGATGATGTGGTCCACGTCATATCACTCAAAGGCCTCTTTCTCTATCTATCGCCTTCATGCAAACGCGTCCTTGAGTACGATGCCGCCGACCTGGTTGGCAACCCATTGTCTTCGGTTTGCCATCCTTCAGATATTGTTCCCGTGACACGGGAGCTGAAAGACGCAACGACTGGCAGCCAGGTCAACATTGTTTTCAGGATACGGCGGAAACAGAGTGGGTATACTTGGTTCGAAAGCCACGGGTCACTATTCGTCGATCAAGGCAGAGGACGTAAGTGCATCATTCTAGTCGGCAGAAAGCGGCCCGTGTTTGCACTTGGTAGGCGCACTTTGGAAGCGAACGGCGGTATTGGTGATAGCGAGCTGTGGAGTAAATTGTCCACGTCTGGAATGTTTCTCTCGGTTTCGGCGAATATCAGGTCGCTTTTAGACCTACAGCCTGAGTCGTTGGTTGGAACAAGCATTCAGGAGCTGATGCGGAAGGAATCACGAGCCGAGTTTGGGCGTACGATTGAAAAGGCAAGGAAGGGGAAGATATCTACTTGCAAGCATGAAATGCTCAATAGGCGCGGGCAGGGACTCCAAGCTCAAACCACTCTATATCCCGGGGACGCCTCTGAGGGCCAAAGGCCGTCTTTCGTCTTGGCTCAAACGAAGCTGTTGAAAGCATCGTCCCGCCATGCTCCGTCGACTCTAACTGCAAGCAACGCGCTATATGCCGCCAACTCTTTGAGAACTGATATGCATAGCCAGGGAACCCCCCATGGCGGCCAAATTCTTCAGCCAGCAGCTGGAGTGATTGCTGCAGCGTCTCAGGATGCAGCTCTAGCGTCCGATGACAACATCTTCGATGAACTGAGGACAACGAAATGCTCGAGCTGGCAGTTTGAGCTGCGGCAGATGGAGAAAATTAATCGCATTTTGGCAGAGGAGCTGGGCGGTTTACTGTCGAACAAGAAAAAACGGAAGAGAAGAAAGGGAGTTGGGAACGTAGTTCGTGATTGCGCCAATTGCCATACACGAAACACTCCAGAATGGAGAAGGGGACCAAGCGGACAGCGAGACCTGTGTAATAGTTGCGGCTTACGGTGGGCCAAACAGGTGAGAGGCAGTGGCCACCCTCAACCTGATACAGTGATTTCATTAACACGTGCATTTAGACTGGACGAGTCTCTCCACGCAACTCTACACGAGGGGGCCATAGCGGGAATACTGATTCTCAGAGTAAGAAATCAACATCCCCAATTCACTCTTCGCCGCTACATAGGAGTGAAACGCCAAACCAAACACAGAGCAACAATGAGAACAACCCAGATCTGGCGCAACTTGCGGACAAAATAGCAGCGGCGACTGCTGGCACGGACTCGGTGGCAGGACAACATCCCCCGTCAACCATGCCACCTCCAAGTCAATCATCTCTAGCTACTGGTGCTACCGGCTCAGGAATGACGTCGATACGGGAAGAGCGCGAAAATAGCCAAACATGAGAAGCTAGCCGAGTCCATCTCGCTGATTTGGTTACCAAACGTAAGAAGAAGCTTCCTGCTCAACCAAGCATCCCCTCCCCCTTTTTTCTTTTTCTTCACATGAGAGCTGCTGGCTGGTCCTGGCCCTTTGAAACTATACAATAACTGAAAACGACGCACACGATCTTGTTTTTCTTTACTCACCCTGCCGCAGCATATGTATAGAGGGAATGGAATGGTGGCTAGCTATGATGATTGTGCAGCCATTGTCCAGTCTCTTTTGAACACCAGGCAGCAACCCCCCCCCCCCCCCCCCCCCCTACTTCACCAAGCCTTTGGAAGCAGTGATGTCTTTATTTGGCGGCGGATTCAAACGATACCACTTGTACATATATACTGCCTGTACATTGCATATCTTATTTCGCAATGATTGTGTGTTGGCTTCATAGTAATGCTCGTATCTACAACATCTTCGACACTAGGGACCACATACCCGCTTTAGAAACAAATTTTTCAGCTACAAATAAACGATAATGCTTATGAACACATTGTATGACATTGTATGCTATGAAATGCCTGTTTGTGTACACTCACTTTAACACATCTAGAAATTCGTCTAGTAGAATAACTCGAAACTTGTCATGCCACTGAGCCGTCCATTGTCTATCAATCCACCTGAGAGAGAGATTACCTCGCCAGGAGACAACTTCAACGTTCCAGCCCATCTTTAGCGCTCGTTCAACATATGAGAAAAATCCATCAGAGTGTGGAGATGGCTTAGCATCTCCAGTAGCTAGTACGATCGTGCCAGGCGTCCGGAAGTATTCCATTACGGACTCGGCAATGCGGACCTGTAGAGTTTCATCCACGAGGTCCTCCACAAAGCGAAGAGTGTCAGGAGCTCCAGTGAAGGTCAGTCCGCCTTCAAGGATTCTCTTACGCTCTCTTAGGTCAACATGGTATCCCAGATCGCGCAGCTGCTGCACATAGCGAGGCTCTGAACGACCTGGGAGAGTAGAGCAGCAGACATTCAGCGCGACCACTGGCCGATCCCGAACGAGTATTTTGGTCAAAAATTGCAGGTTCAGATGAGGCACAGGTGACAAGCGCGTGTGTTCGTCAAGACGTCGAAATCCCTTCAACGTCCTTTGATACCCAATATCAATATTGGACATGTCGACGAACACGTGGACGCCTTGCGACGTGATGCTGGGGAGCTTTTCTGCCATGGAGGCGTCTCGAACCTGATACGGGACGAGATTCATCATGAGCGCCCTGTGTCTGTCTTCCTTCAAACGTAGCTTTTCACGCACGTTGCTTGGGAGCCTGTTCATCCAAGACCGAGAACGGCGCACGGTATTGGCCGGGGGCGAGCATTCGGGGCATTCGGGAGAAGAAGACGTCAAGGAGTCGGACTGCCCAGCCATCCGATGCCCCCGGCCGCAGATACAGCTCCGATATGATGCATATTGAGATGCAGACGTCGAGAGATCTGGAGGAGAGGATGCAATTGCATAGTGGGAATTGGTGTTCTGCCCTTTTGGTGGGATAGGCTTTATGTCACGATATGGAGGGTCATGTTTGATGATGCTCGTGTGCGACCGCTTGGCAGGGGGTGCCTGTTCAGGGCCACAGCTCGAGGGCGTCGACGACAAGCTGGCGGGCTTCAGGCCCATCCGCGCCGGCGAATAGTCATCATCGTAGTCGCTTCTTTCCAGCGGGTCTGGGTCGGGATCATATCTATGCTGAGGAGAATCAAGGAACTCGGCGAAGAGCTTGCTGAAGTCTCCCAGCTTTATTGGTTTCGCAGGGGTATCAGAGGAGGCAGCATCGTCATTGCTTGACTGGTCAACAGTCTCAATTCGGTCTATATAGTGAATATCTGGAGGGTCAATCATGGACGTGTAACGCAGGAGGGGTGTATTGGGTTGAGATGATTGTTGTAGTTGAAGAAGAAGAAGAAGTGTAATCCATGGGAGTTGCGCTGGTATGGACGGATTATATCCATGCATTAATCTTAGGCACCAATCCTGGTAGCAGCGGAATATGACGACCTGAAGGATACGATGCTGCAACCACTTGGACGAGGGTTACATAAGCATGTGTAGGCTGGACATGATTTGCTGACACTTGCAAGACATGACGTATTACATTGATGGCATTTTACAGGCGCCAAGGTAAATGCCTATTACGTATGACTTATTCAAGGCACTTGATGCGGCAGAACCCCCGAGCTTCCAAGCCCTTGGTTCTACAGAGTAAATAGCCTGCAGTGAGAGCGTGATGTGACATGGGCCAGGCTCAGCTTTGTGGACGGACAACTCCGTACTGCACCTATAAACACTTTGACACTGCTAGTGCGGCGGGGCTCGATTCAACTCGAGATGCTCTCTCTGCCTTGTGCCCGGCCATAGCGTTGCATTGGGAATTGCCGCAGTGCGAGCAAACACACGGCCATTGGCGCTGCGCCCTTGGATCCCACAGTTGGCGCGAAACCACGTTACAGCTGAAAAGTGAAAAACATCCATGATGAAGAATAAAACCCTGATATCCCTATTTACAGTGATTGTTGCAACTTTCTTCCCGGCATCTGCCTTATACTTTCGAGAAGCCGTAGGGCCCGCTTTTTGAGTCGGCTACTACCTATATATTTGCCGTCCCTGGAACTTGCAAGAGCTATAGTACCCAAGTAGAGCCCTTGTTTTTCCGATCTATTCTTTCCGCAATTACATCTGCCGAGGATACACTCCAAGGTTTTTATTACGCAGCTCGATCTCTCCTTGCCCTGAACATTCCTTGTTCTGCGCACAATCCCGTCCGCCCACCATGTTGTCTCGAAGCATAGCTGTCGTCTCTCGCATGGCGCCCATGCGCCATTTGCGCCCATCTCCTGCGTTCCGCCAAGGGCTTCCCAGCCTTGTCCGGTATTATGCAGACAAGATCATCCAGGTGCCACCCATGGCCGAGTCCATATCTGAGGGCACTCTCAAGCAATTCTCCAAGTCCATTGGCGACTACGTCGAGCAGGATGAGGAGATTGCCACCATTGAAACCGACAAGGTACGTTTTCATTGACTCTCCTCAAGCGGATTTCAAGAAGGAGGGAAGTGAGGATAAGAGAAGAGAAGAAAACTCGAATTATCCAGAGAAGGATAGAGAAGTGGGGGGAGAGAGGGGGAAAATTGAAACCAGAGAATATACTCATTCCCTATTTCTACAGATCGATGTCGCTGTCAATGCGACAGAATCCGGTATCATCAGAGAGTTCTTCGTCAACGAAGAAGACACCGTGACGGTTGGCCAGGACTTAGTTCGTGTTGAGCTTGGTGGCGAGAAGCCAGCCGAGTCGGAGAAGCCCAAGGAGGAGCCTGCCGCCTCAAAACCTGCCGCAGAGGCAGAGAAGCCCAAGTCACAGCCCGAACCTGTCCAGGCCGAGAAGCCAGCCCCCCCTCCCCAGCCCAAGGAGCAGCCCCAAAAGAAGAGCCAGCCTGAGCCTGCTGCGGCGTCACAGTCTGAGCCGGCAACTGGAAACCGTGAGGAGCGAAGGGTAAGCTTTCAACTCCCTGAAGTATCTTTTTGATTTCTGTGCCCCGGTCCGTCTAACTTTACGCAATTCAGGTCAAAATGAACCGTATGCGACTACGTATTGCCGAGCGTCTCAAGCAATCTCAGAACACCGCTGCATCACTGACGACATTCAACGAGGTCGACATGTCCAACATTATGGAGTTCCGAAAACTCTACAAGGAGGAGATGCTTAAGAAGACTGGTGTGAAGCTGGGCTTCATGAGCGCCTTCTCTCGTGCTGCCGTGCTGGCGATGCGAGACATCCCCGCAGTCAATGCGTCCATCGAAGGTCCCAATGGTGGCGACACCATTGTCTACCGCGACTATGTCGACATCAGTGTTGCCGTTGCCACGGAGAAGGGTCTGGTTACCCCCGTTGTGCGAAATGTCGAGTCGCTGGATATGATCAGCATCGAGAAGGCCATTGCTGATATGGGTAAGAAGGTTGGTACCAGTACCCTCACATATAATCACATATAAGCGACATTACTAACAACTGCCAGGCTCGCGATGGCAAGCTCACGATTGAGGATATGGCTGGTGGAACATTCACCATCAGCAACGGCGGCGTGTTTGGATCTCTCATGGGAACCCCGATTATCAACCTGCCTCAGAGCGCTGTCCTGGGTCTTCACGCCGTCAAGGACCGCGCCGTGGTGGTTAACGGAAAGGTGGAGGTTCGGCCAATGATGTACTTGGCCCTGACATATGACCATCGTCTTCTCGACGGCAGGGAAGCCGTCCAATTCCTGGTCAAGATCAAGGAATACATCGAGGACCCCAGAAAAATGCTACTATAGGAGCTTTCACAAGCACAGCTATACATCACACATGGTTAGGTGACTTACTTTTCCTCTGATATCTACGGTTGCTTGTCCTTGGTGTTTTTTTCGGTGTTATAGAATGTACAATTATGCAGCTTGCTTTTTTTAATAAAGTATAAGCTTAATGCTGTTAATATTTTATTATTTTTTAATATCATCTAAAGATATTAAATTATGATAAAGGTTATGTTTTTTTTAAAAAAAAAACAAACCCCCCCTAAAAAGTTTATAGACTTTGTAATAGCTAAGTTACTCAAAGCTATGTTACATGAAGATACTATCAAAATACAAATTAGAAAAGCGAAAAATATATAACGTTATTATTATATAAGCATTTTGTATCATTTAGAATATTTAAATTAAAAATAGATTCTTTCTGTAGATCATTCAAGAGTCTGTATGAAGTATACTAAAAATAGTCAAATTCCGGTATTAGACTTTCGGGGCTTCTAGTTTAGGCAGAAGGGCTGGTCCTATGACATAGCTGGTCTACCGCGGCACATGCCTGCAGTGACAACATCACCTATCAAACGTCATCTCTCGTTAACCAATCCTACCATTAGCTATGGAATCTAATATAAGTGTTGACCTTGGACGATATCATCGGCGAATCATGCAAATGTTTTGGGACCCTGAGCCATCCAACGATGTGAACAACGACGAACCTGTTTGGTGTCTGGGCCGTTCTTACAAGCTAGACGACCCCAAGCATGCGACCTCCAGAACCGTAAAAAAGGCGACGAGGTCTGTTGACCAAGACGCGCCGGAGACCACTCCAACGCAAAGCCCTCCGCCCGTATCAAAACCATCCGCAAATGCGCCAGAGACACCGCCGGCGTCTACCTCAAGCAGCCTCTCATCAGCAGCAGCAGCTGGCGAGGAGCTGCCGCTGGAAAATGGGTGGCCACCGGGATTCTTGGAAGACATGGCGGCAAAGTTCTGGATGACGTACAGATCCGGGTTTGATCCCATAGCCAAGTCTGTCGACCCGAGAGCAACATCTGCGCTTTCGTTTGCCGTAAGGATCAAGAGCACGCTCTCAGACCCCACGGGTTTCTCCTCCGACAGTGGCTGGGGCTGTATGATTCGTTCTGGCCAGAGTCTTCTTGCTACAACTATTGGGATTCTGCAGTTGGGAAGAGGTATGTTCCCAACCCCCTAGACAGACATGATGTTTGAAAAGCCTAACCAGAATTCTCAAGACTGGCGGCGCGGCAAGTGTCAACAAGAGGAGCGCCAGCTCATCAGCATGTTTGCCGACGACCCACGGGCGCCGTATTCCATCCACAACTTCGTACGCCACGGGGCCACTGCCTGTGGGAAATTCCCGGGCGAGTGGTTTGGCCCATCTGCTACTGCTCAGTGCATTCAGTATGCCGACCTCCAATACAAGCTTCTACTACGTTACACGGCTAACATGCGAGACATAGAGCCCTCACAAGCGCTTCAGGACTTCCTCTAAAAGTCTACTCACCGAACGACGGACAAGATGTTTACGAAGATAGTTTCATGAAGATCGCGAAGCCCGACGGTCAAGATTTTCACCCAACCTTGATCCTCATACGCACGCGTCTCGGTATTGACAAAATCACGCCGATATATTGGGAGCCTCTACTCGCTGCGCTCCAGATGCCGCAGTCAGTTGGCATTGCTGGGTAGGTTGCACTATTGACACAGAAACTGCTGCAACTAATCCGTTTCTTTAGTGGCCGCCCCTCGTCGTCTCATTACTTCGTTGGTAGCCAAGGTAGCTACCTATTTTACCTCGACCCTCACCACACAAGAAAAGCGATCCCATACCACGCCGATGTGACCAAGTATACGGAAGAAGACATCGAATCGTGCCATACTTCCAGACTACGCCGACTCCACCTCAAAGAGATGGACCCAAGTATGCTGATAGGCTTCCTTATCCGTACTGAGAGTGACTGGTCCGAATGGAGACAAGGCGTAGAAAGCGTCCAGGGCAAAACTATTATCCACGTGGCAGACCATGAGCCTACGCTGTACAGTAGCGAAGGCAGGGATGGTGCCGTGGATGAAGTCGAGATATTGAGTGACGACGACGATGACGATGTGACGACAACATGAGATGTGTCACCGGGAGCCGCTCTTGACAAGACGCTTCCAGCGAGGGCGGATTTATATCTTGAGACTTATTCCAGCAACCCGATCTAGTGTCACGACCCTTTACCCCAACGTCGTGTGCCGGCATACTGAGAGACAGCGCGATATAGAGGTCCTAATCTCGCAATTACGACATGTTAGATGATCAAGTCTTTATACCTTCCTCCCACTTCCGACACTGCCAGGCTGGATAGTGGAGGCAGCATGACCCAAATCACGGATATGTTTAAATAGCTTCGTCTTAGAATCAAACTCAGCTGTGCAGACATTGCATCGATGCTGCGTCAAAGTTGGTTAGCATGCCTTCAATTTACCAATTAATATTATGTGATAAATACCTCGTTTTCGGTGGCCGCAGCAGCAGCAGCTTTTTTCTGGCGTTTGAGCTTTGCCTTTCCAACTTTGATTTTTGGTTTCGTGTCATCAACAGAGACTTTCTGAGGCTGTTTGGATGGATTGTCATGCACCTCTTCATCAGGAGTGTCATGAATTGATTCGTCACTGGCTGACTGGACATTTAGCTTGCGAAATGACTGGTCGAGTTCTTCTTCGCCGTGGCCGGCATCGTTGTCTGCCTCTGATGTATTTTGATTCGGCGATGCTCCATTTCCAGTGGTTGTGTCTTGCTGGTCCTCGTGCAAAGATGATGCACTTGATACGTCCTCATTCGCTTCATGGTCCTGCGCATTCACTCCTGCAGTTCGTAGCTCCTTATCTCCGTCCACAGATGGCTCATTCAAGTCGAGGTTTACTGTTTCTTTTTTCATCTGACGTCGTAGATCCTGAACGGCCTTGATATGTTTCTTGCTGCGCTCATGGGATTCGAATTGCTTTTCGCTCTTAAATCTTTTGTTGCACGCCACACATTCCAAAACCTCTGTTTCTATCTCAGATTCGTCAGACTCGGAAAGCTGATGATGTTCATTCTCATCCTCTCTGGAGTGAACCCATTCTGGTACCTCAAATGAGGAGTAATTTTCCTTATTCGCCGCCCTTGACCGCGCAGCCTGCGCAGCAGCAGCAGTCCGAAGGGACTTGTGACGATCTGCTTCACTCTGAGTGTTTGGAATATAGCGAGGATCCCGCTTCCTAACAAAGGAGACTAGAAACCGAACAGCATCGGTAAACTCTCGAATAGCGTCATCTCGTATCTTTTTGTTTTCCTTCTCCATCCAGCGCCTGGTCCTGCGATCTGGAGCGTCCGAGAGTCGATATTTGTCTTGCCACATGAAGGATTTTTTTGTAGCGAAGCCAGTCCAGGTAGCATAAAAGGCCTTCACAGTAGTATCGTACTCACTGTCGGATGAGCCAAAAGTCGGATATTCAGGACACTCAACGCCCTCGTAATCAGCAGCAGCTTCCTCCTCTTCAGCGAGATGCTCAAATGTTTCTCTCGTAATAGAGTAGAAGCCGTTAGCATCATCAGTATATGGAATGGTGGCATTGAATCGAGAGATGAGACGCATAATATCGTCTGCGGTAGTGAGATGGACATTATGAAAGGTTGGAGGCGCAGACGCATCATTAGAGTCATGTTGACCACTCAGAATGCTCTCGCGGTGCGAGTCATACCAGGCTCTTTCCTGGGGGTCAGATAAAATGTCATAGGCAGCCTGAACTTCTGCAAACTTTTCCGTGGCCGCTTCAACATTGTTGAAATTGCGATCTGGATGCAACTCTAGGGCTTTCTTGCGATATGCCTTCTTGATTCTACCAACGTTTAATCAATATGTGACAGCTTATGGATCTTCGCTCAGAATGGCTTACTCAATATCAGTGGCAGTCCTTTCAACTTCCAAGAGTTCATAGTAGCATGTTCTTTGGCTGGTCCCAGCATCGGCACGGCGCGATTCTGAGTTGGAGGACTGCTCAGCCCCCATGGTGGTTCACAGTATATTGAACAATAAATCGTACAAAGGATGGCTTGGTAAGTGCAAACAGACGGAAGCTACACTCTTTATCCCAGCGGAATATATTTTCTTGCAGTATCTAAAGTGGGCGAATATACATTATATACCGGCACTTACAGTGAAGTTTCAAGCTGTTGCCTCCTACTCGGTATTGACTCATACGGTACAATTACATAATCACTTTTTTTTTAAAAAAAAAAAATCATTCAGATATTCCATTTCACGGGGAATTTAATACTAAGCTAGCAACCCAAATTAACTGGGTTATCCTGCATGCTATAACCCAAATTTAATAGGTAGTGCCCTATAATAATGTCAGATACCAGAAAAAGTAGCGATAGTAGGTACCTAAAGAGCCAGATAAGGAGATAAAGGAGATGCCTTCTTTGCAGTCAGTATTTCCTTTACACATCTCTATAACATGCATGGACTCCATTTCACAGACTATCCAACGGCCTGACTGAGATTTTGTTTGGCTTAGTGGGGTCTTCACCTGCTAGTTCCCTACGTCACCAAAACTCGCGTCGGACTGAACAATTTACTACCCTGTTTATATCGACTGTTCACACAGATAATTCTTGATCAAGATGGCGCCCCCAGCTGCCCCAGACACATATCCGAGCAGCGGCAAACGCCCAAATTCGCGTACATGGACATCTCGACCAACCACCCCGCTTCGCCCTCCTTCTCAGTCATCCTTCCGCGGATCTCTGCAATCCACAGGCGATGGAGACGGCGCTTTTCCTCTCAAGAGATTGGAGCCAGCATTTGCGGAGCTGTCTGATGCCATGGCGGATCTTGAGGCAAACATGATGCATTTTCAACTCATAGACGAAAGTTTGGCTAGATTTGGCGAATCGTTCGCGAGCTTTCTTTACGGCCTAAATATGAACGCCTTTTGCGTTGATTTCCCAGAGGTGTTACTGCTACCGAATGCCAATTCCGTTCCGTGTAACTCTGTCTGATTCATCCTCTCTCTCGTGTCTAGTCTCCCATTCCCCAGTCGTTCCGTCAAGACCGTCAGCCAAGCACCGAGTTACGGCCAGCACACGACGCAGAAGCAACTTATATGTAAGCGGTTTTTCAAGGGTCCAAATCTCGAGCAACTCGCATCGGTCTGCTAACCGCGGCGAAGGACGACCGATATATCCTTTGTGGAAAGCCCCCCAAAATCGACAAGGCCTAATTCGAAGCAAAATGTGCCTGAACAACGCCAGTCACGTTTGCCATCGGCACGAGGCAGCTCAACAAGGGGCAGACTAAAGAGTCGCTCCTCTAGCCGGCCTAGTGGTCTTGTGAGGCCTCGGGGACGGTCTCTAAGGTAGAAAAAGTCTTCGATAAATCCCCGTGCTGATTCATAGCGTCTTATTCCGTATACCACAGCGTCGATGGCCGTCTAATATAGGCTCGGTGCCAATTTATAGAACCATCTCAATGCCACCGTCAGCTCCTGTATCCTGCTCCATGTCGCTCTTATTCATGTGCGATTGTCCAGATTTCGACTCGATCGTAGATTCCTCTCGCAATTGTTTTAACCTGGCATATCCGTCAGCTAAATTAACGAAAGCCAGTAGAAATCATCCACAGGCAGACAGGCGTACCTTCGCTTGTGTGGCTTCCCTCGCTCGTGAGTGGCTAGGGTTATGGGAGTGTCGAACCACCTCGAACAAGTCACGCAGTAGTTTTTCCCAAGTCCTGGCAGATCTTGTGTCAATTTGGTATCCTTGTATTGGGCAAGGTGCTTCTGTGACCGAAGGTCAGAGATGATCTGATCCACGTCGCTATCTAAAATCAGTTTCAGGTAACCAGCATAATGGTTGAATTACCATACCGCGTCTTGCGCCTTGTTTTTGTGAGTGTGCGCTTGTTTCCAACTCCCATTGTGATTGATCTGGAGGCCAAACTGAGGTTGAAAGACTGCGCGGAAGCAAACGTTGGGGGTTTTTTTTTTCTTTTTTCTTTTTTCTTTTTTTGCGCTTAATGATAGTACCTGTCCCTTATTGTCACATGCAATACTAACACAGCGTTCAAAATTTAAATAGAATAATATATACTGTGTATATATTAATTATGACGAACAAAGACGGCGATCAAATTTATATAGCAACTTTTTTTTATAGTTCATGTCATTTCATTTCATTTATTCTGTTTTCTCGTGAATAAAATATAAAATAAAATGAAACTAAGCCGTAAACCGTAAATTACTAATAGCCAAAGCCATACGCGATTTCGCTGCCACTTATTAGCGCCATAATGTTTTGGTTGTAAAAACAAGTCATGGCGCCAATAATGGGATCCTATGTTTGACTTTGAGCTGTTAGGCAAAACGGGATGTTGTATCATCGTCAAGCCAAAGTTGTATTCGATCAGCAAGCTAATCTACTCCCCTTGGTCAAATTTATAGGATATCCCATGCATCCTCAGCCGCATGGCAGAACTTGCTGCATGCTACACTTGCTGAAAGCGAGAAATTGCTGATAGAAATCTTCTCATCAACTATGGAGTCGGCAAAAGTGTCGGATCCCTTCGCCATAGCTCCGACAAAGACGCAAACGCTCTCCTTGGGATTTAGAGACTCCATGTACTCACGTACGCGAACTACTGGAGCATCAAAACTAAGGGTTACTTTTCGACAATTTGATGGCAAGTGATCCGTAATTGGATTTTGAATCACACGTAAAAGCTTCTCGTTGGAAGTCGCGGAGCGAATTGAAAGCCGGTGTAGGAGCTGCACCATGAGGCCTGCAAATCGCTTAAAAGTCCGGGGGATACGGACAGAGGGGGATACCTCAATAAGCACACCTTTAGCTGTATGGATGTAAATTTGAAGTCTGCCGGCTTTGTTGATTGGTGAATCCAGGAGAGTCAGTAGGCACTACCATAATTAGTATCATGCTTCCACATTTATGGGCCGAATACGCAACCTGATGCGCGATGTCTGGTCGTGCATCGCTAATGTCGCGGTTCATCTTCCGCATAACACCTATATGCTCATCGCTGTTGAGGAGCGAATACTTCTCCTCTCGGTGGAGGCCGGCGCGGTTGACACCTCCCTGAACAGCCTTGTACGTTTCAAGGCTAGCATTTGAGAGTACGACAATCAGCCGCTGGGAATCTTTGTCAGTGGGCGGGATGGGAGTCTTCTGCTCAGCGACCAGCTGGGGTAGAGATGGTGGTGGCAGAGACTGCGTTCCTGCAGAGGAAAAAAAATGCCACGATTAGCCACCCGCTCATGAAGGTAACAAGCAGTGGAAGGAGTGATAATTACTAGGCCGTTTCATGCCAGCACGAGGATCGGGGGACGACATTGCCTAAATATGTGAAGGCCAGAAACAATCCAAGAAAAGAAGCTTGGGAGAATTGATACTTGGAACAAATTGCGACGGGCGACGGAAACGGTGAGCAAGGTGACTTGAAAAAGACTGCGTGATACTATTAGTAGGATTGTCCCAAGTCGCCTAAGCACACTTAGCCGGGTAGTCTATCAAAGATAAGCAGGACTTGTCAAATTAAAAAAAACGCTAAATATCTCATTGAAGGTGCGAAGGCAGAATTTATGTACTTTAATCAGCAGTGCGGTACCTTTCTCAACCTAATTAGTACCAATTTTAGTGCTTACAGCCTGTTTCATAGGGGAATTTTGTTAAGCAAAAAGTACTTATAAGTATAGGCCGAATGCAGGGGACTTGATCCTACACGTATTTTAGCGCACGAACGATGTACCGTAGATTTTCTCACCCTTTGATTAGTCTGTCGGAAAGATACATACATTCTGCCTTCGCACCTTCAATGAGACATAAGATTTTATAATCATATACTGTAAATTATAATAATTCTTACTAATCTTTCAATTTTCAATGTATATAATAGCAATTGTATTTTAGAATAATATATTTAATTATCAAATACTCCGTATTCCATTTAGTAATATTCCCCTAAATTTTCATTAAAAAGGCCATTCTTCAGCCTCAATTTATTTAATACTTCTTTGTTCTTTTCATTTTTTAAAAACAAGATGAAAGGGGAAAAAAAAACAATTTCATATCTTTAAATTACCTGCTTAAAACAATTCACCACCTTGGTATCTCGGGGATTGATGCCACTATATAAAATGCCAATGCTTCCGTCTTCATGTATACTCTTGTTAATTTTCCTCTTTATTAAGACACATTCAGTCCTTCTCTCATATTATTTACTCTACCCGTACTATATATCTTGGCAGATTCCCGCTTAGTGTTTCCAACTTCCCAAGCGCGCCATCAGTACCTTAGTAGTAGCTGTATCGTTTTTATATTTGCTCACTGGTCATTAGCCAGCGCAAATCTGGAATGAACCTTTGCTCTCTCTATCGGCCAGGCCACTCCTAGCTGAAATATCCCATGATAGTTCGCTGTGACTCCGGAGAGAATTGCTGAAGCAGTGGCATTGGGTCTACATTTGCAGCAGTTAGAAGAATTTTTGTCGCGGCTGCTACACGGCTAGCCGTTTGTCCCTGGAGTGTTTCTGCTTCCAGGGCCTGTGCAATGAATACAAAAACTTTGCCAGCTTGGTTCATTACGGACGGGTATTGACTGCGAATTTGAATTAGCCACATGCTCTTGATTCTGTCGTTCTTTAGCCATTGGGTTCGTGCTATACAACTCACCGATCAATCAGCTCTGCTAGATATGCATACGCATATGGTGCAGCTTCTTCATCATTTGTTACTGGTAATGTGTCAATCCACCGCGTGATTATTGTATTAACGTCATCAACGTTGCTGGAGTTGTAATGGAGAATCTTGGCAATGGCAGCTGAGGCATTTTCTGTGGCATAAACGTTGTCTTCGTTTCGGGCGTCGGGAACCTGTGTTACTTGAAAGAGGAACGGCACTGATCCGCCTAGGAAAGGGGACCATGCAGCGCCGCCTCTATGTGCCGCAACGCCAATACCGTACGCCGCTGCCTGACGGATGGCTGCAGAGGCATCCTGACAGCCGTCAATGAGGGGCTGCTGGATATACGTCGCATATCGAATGCTTTGCGGGCCACAGTATTCCAAAACGTCGTCCATGATACAGAGACCCCATTGTCGTTGCGTTGGATCAGGTGACGAAAGAAACCCCTCATAAGTGGACATGAGGCGCTCCCAGGCAGGCAAAAATGCGACGCCGTGGTTCTTGAAGATGGAGTGGAATGCTTTGTTCATATCAGACAGAAGCGTTTGGTCGTCCTCAATGGCTATTAGGGTCTCCTCTGCTTCGTCCTCCACATCGTCAGCAGTGGCTCCTTCCTTAGCATCGGCACGCTCTGCGACCCGGTCTTTATAATCCTCTAGGGCAGAGAGAGAAGAGTCGATGAATCGGTTCATATGGTCTATCGTAAGGCACTCCTTGCCCAGGACTTGCACAGATTCGTAGAAACACTGATACATCTCTGCAAGTGTATCAATTCCTGGCTCAGCCGTGAGAACCTCCAATAGCTTATCCACGGTCGCATTCCACAGGCCAGTCAGTTCGTTTGAAGGGCAACCGTAGGCCTTTTTATATGAGCTGAGCAGTTGTGGAACAAGTTTAGCCGAGATATAACGGACAGGGTCGTGAAAGAAGAACGAAAGACCGGGGAGTGCAATCTTCTCCATGATATTTGCAACAAATGGTGCAAAGGCACCTTCGAGCACCTGGGCATAGACAACCAAGAGTTCAATAGCCATGTTCTTGTCGTCCATGGTACTGGTGCGAATGCCAATCATTTTCCCCTTGAGTGGTACAAACTCCCAGCCCTCCTCGCCCTGCATTTGTTCTGCTTGCTCATCATCATCCAACAGCTGAATATCTGGCTTAGCCATGGCAAGCTCAAGAAGTGGCGGCATAACATTCTCCAGGAAAGGAATGAAATCAGTACCAAGAACGCGGCACATACGACCCCAGCAATGCATCAGATATTGGGCTTGGGGATCATCTGCATCCGTAATATTCGTCTGGATGTGAGCCAGGAGATTCACAAGAGTCATTGCATCCTGACCAAGCCGCTCCTTTCCAACAGCAAGGGCGATGAGAGTTGCACATTCCATTGCTTTGGCCCGCAGCAGCCTATACTCCTTCTCGCTCTGAGTCTGGAGCACATTGACGAGAAGAGGCATCAGGGTATCGTAATATTTTGCAAATGCTGCTTCGGCCGCATCAGCAATAGTTGCGATTGTAGACAATGCCTGTTCCTGTACAAATCGTTTTTCGCTTTGGAGCAGTTGAAACAAATGAGATAAAAGCTCATCCAAATAGGGTTCGAGTATGGACTTCTCCGCTTCTTCACAAAAATTTACCAAGGCTGCAGCCGCATGAGACTTTACTCGAGCCTCTGGAGAATTTAGGACAGGGATAATGGCTTTCAAAATCCGGTCGTAGAAATCGGTTTGCATTTTCGGTGCAAAATCAGTACTCATTTGACCTAGAGCGTTGCAGCCAGCCCATCGCACACGAGGGTGTGGATCTTGGAGAGCTGGGATGACCAAGTCAAGAACTTGGCTAAGCTCTCCGATCATGAGATCCCGGCATCCCTCTGAAATGGCAGAAATAGCCATAAGCGCAGCATGTCGATCTCTCCAAGCCATGGAAGTCATCATTCGCGGGAGCCAGTTGAAGGTGGGAGCAAGAATTGTCTGGCCCCCCAACTTATTAGCGAGGCGATCCATAGTTTGCTCTCCAGCAACATGGTTCTGATCGCTCTCGTCTGCTTCAAGCTGTGAAATACTGTTAGCAAGATATCTCCATGGTTGAGCCATATCCATAGGTTACTCACATCATCGGAGGCCAGCCATTCAGTAGCATCGTCATCATCCTCACCAAGATCAGTCATCAAACTCAGGCATTGAGTGATCATATCAGTAGTGTATGACGCATCTTTCCGGCACATCGATGGGGCATAATCAGCGAAAGTAGCCATTAACTCCAGCGCATTCTGTCGGCAAATTGTATCCAATTCTTTGTCTTGGACAACCGAGATACTGAACTGAACCAGGTTGTGGAAGAGAGGTTTAAACATTTTCGGTGCCGTTTCTGCCAGGTCAATAAGGGCCACGAGAGCTTTGCTCAAGTCATCCGAGTCTTGGCTATCCTTGATAGGGGGGAGAATATTAAGCACATCGGGAATTAGAGCATAGTATTTAGATTGGCCCTTCTTGCTAATCGTCCTGAAAAAAGATGCAAATGCATCCATGGCAGCCAATCGGACCTAAACAAGCCCGTAGTCAGTAGCTGTACCGCATCAGATGAAGTAAATACTGTACCTGGACTGCGTCATCCTTGAATCCTCTTTGGAAGGCCTGCAGAACGGCTTCCTCGTGTTGTTTTTCGATAATTCCGGGAGTCGTAGCAAAAACTCTGTATGCGGTCTCGCGCCTTTCAGCTTCCAGTGCCTGGCTTAGCTGAAAGAGCGCTCCTAGAAGTTCTGGCCAAGAATCGTCTAGAAAAACAAAGAGTTAGCGCTAAGCAAGAAGGAGGTAAAGCATCGGATGAGATGCAGTGTTAGCTATGGAGGCTGACTATTATCGGTATATTGCCGCGCGACCTCAGCAACGGCATCACTGATTTTGTTTCGAACTGCTCGATCGGCCTCGGAGCCTAGGGTCTCAAGTAGTTTCTGGCGAATGACGATGGCTTGATCCTTCACTAGCGAATAAAACATATCCACGTTGTTTCCAGTGTCGGTTTTCCTGGTTTTCGAAGAAATCCGCCTGAATATGACGGCGGCGAAGGAACGAGTCTATATAAATACGTTAGGAGCAGTCCATACTCCAGAGAGTAGGAATTCATAAAACTCGAGAGAGTGAGGCCTACCGCATTATCTCCACCAGCTTGTATCTGCTCCGCGAGTCCCATTAAGAGGACCTCTGGGCGCGAGTTCGTCCAACTGTTTTGGAGATGCTCCTCAGCTTGAGATCGGATGCCATTATCGGAGGCCTGAAGTGCTTGCAAAAGCTGCGTGAGCTCTGCATGTATGTCTGGGGATAGAAGGGACATGATTGCGACGGCTAACGGACGAGAACGCCGCGCAGTTATGCCTGCGAAGTTGTTTGGACAGTCAGAGCAAAAAAGAAGACTCTTTATCGCGGCTCAGTTAGCGGTTAGCGGCTGGACAAAAAAGAAAAGTAGTCAATACAGAAATCGAAGTTCTGTGGTGGGCGTAGCAGAGGAAGGTGGGGGAGGGGAAGGGTGTGTGGTATTTCTTGGGTGTGTGCTGAAAAAATTAGACTGTGAGAGTGCCTACCATAGGTACCTATCTCTACCTATCTAATCAGTCGAAGGCATCTGCCGAGTATCTGAGAGGTACTGCGGACAGATAAGTACATAAGACTACAAGCCAGTAACTAACTAGTAGGTCAGAATGCCCTCTTGCATGTTAATTGTCGAGCTACATTAATCAATCGCCTTGGTAATCTTCATAGATTCAGAATATTCAAGAGTTTAGCACGATCTTTGGCTGGTTTAAATGCTATCTTGACAGATATATATCATTGCGAAGAATTCAAGTCTTTCCAGTGTTGGGTACCTTGATTGAACAGTCTACTTAGAAGTACCTAAGATTAGTTACTACCTAGTTAAAAACAATGGAGCAATGGAGCTATCAACTCGACGAAGCAGCCTCTTACAGTATTGCGACGTGCTGTGTGCCGCTATACGTACCCAGGCAGTGCCAAGGTGGGAGGAGTACGACTGGCACACCTCTCTGGATCACCTCCGACCAGTTGCTTCACTCGTGCATACACTTTACATTCTTCGCTCTCTTTTCTCCACTTGCCATTTTCCACTTGAAATCTCGTTAACATGTAATGGATAGGGACGCAATACCAGCAGGATCTAATATGTCTACCAATACCGATACAGATATTCCCTCCAGGTTACCTGAGGCAAAGGCCTCGCCGTCGCCACACAGGTCGCCTTCGAGCTCGAGCACCAGCAAGGCTTCCCATCGACAAAGTTTCACTGAGGGTTTCCGCAATCCTCCACCATCGCCCCGTCATCGACACCCTTCTTTGACCCAATCCGCAATTCAAGACCTTCTCATTCACCCTCCTTCCACGAACAAACACCAAAACCCCAAGTTTGTCGGGCGAGAATGGAGAGATATCACCATAGGGGAGCTTATTTCAGCCGACGATGTAAACTGGATTGAGATTGGAGACAGCGTGGAGGCGGCCACCTTGGTAAATGCGAGCCCATGGAATTCGCATAATTGCTCTGCCGATACTAACGCTGCATTACCAGATGCTCCTTCAGAGCTCAACCGGCGTTGTTCTCGTCAGAGAAGAAGCTTCTGCTACATCGCCAACATTCTGCTTTGATTATAACGACCTGAACGCTTATCTACTCACCGTTGTGGGAGTTTCTCGGCCTGAGAGCGATCAAGCCACCCTTTTTCATGACATCATGACCAAGGCCCAAGGAGGTGCTCGCATATCACTTCGGGAGATCCAGACCCTGTGTTCCAGAGAAACCATCGTCAAATTGAACTCGGATGTGAATCTATCTCAAGCTATAGAAAAGCTTGGCAGTGGAATACACAGGATTTTAGTTACGGAGCCAGCTGGGAATGTTATTGGAATTATAAGCCAGCTCCGTATGGTGGAATTCTTCTGGAACGAAGGGATCAATTTTCCAACTATTGACCGACTTAATCCAGTCACGCTACAAGACTTAGGAATTGGTGTACGGCCGATAATTTCAGTTCAGTGAGTATAATCAATGCCAGCAGTAGCGCAATCAATACTCAGGAATCCAAACTGACAAGCTCTCAGCGCCGATGCTCCTCTCACTGAAGCGTTATCGCTCATGTATGATGAGGGCCTTTCAAGTGTAGCTATCGTAGACAACGGACAGAATGTGGTGGGCAACATCTCAACAAAAGATGTGCGACATTTGACAAGCTCCTCAAGTGCATATTTACTTGGTAATTCTTGTATGCACTTCATTTCCATCATTCTTAACGAAAAAGGGGTGGAAAGGGGACAAGATGTCTATCCTGTTTTCTACGTAAACCCTTACTCCACATTGGCACATACCGTAGCCAAACTGGTGGCAACAAAATCGCATCGAATGTGGATTGTCGATGCAGGACCACAATCGTCGCCTCTATCAACGCCTACGACACCAATGACCACATCACAGACTTCTGCATCAGGCGGGATGGCTCCAGGAACGATTCCATCTGCTGTGCCTGCAGTCACAGTTCCGGCGGCTACGATGGCTGGCGCTCTTTTGTCGGGCAAACTCATTGGAGTCGTCTCGCTAACAGATATTCTCAACATATTTGCCAAATCTACGGGACTGCATCCCTCTGAGCCGTGGGAGCAGAGAGTACGCCGCCGACGCAGCTCGAGTAGTTCCGTACGGCCTAGCGTTGAGTCTTTGCGGTCCAGCGTGGAAACCAGGAGGTAAGGTATAGTGATATTCAAGTTTATTACGTGGACATATGTGAAGCTATTCTTAACACAGGAGTTGCACAAATGTTAAAACTCCTTGATAATGCTCAAGACTATGATGTAATTTCGTACAGAGTGAAACCTGCGCTTTCAGAGTAATTAATATATTATAGTAGTAGTAGGTATATTGTTTTTGAGTTCATCATATTTGCGGTATCAAGAGAGGAGCACGCGAATTTCAGCCGATGTCCTTGAAAACCTCAAGCCGCCATATGGACTGGATACGTCTTCATCGCCGCTCTGGCTTCCAGTAGCCTCTTCCAATCTCTCAAAATCAGCACAGAACTTTTCAGCTGCCTGTTCTATAATATCACGAGCTATTTCTGAATCTTGTAGCCCCTTCAACCTGTCCATTGCATCCATCAATGCGGAAGGAAGAAAATCGTCTAGCTCCTGGCTTGCTTGAATAACAGAAGCTTGATTTATCTCAGCAAGTTTACCATTCTCTAGGTAGTTCAGCAGGGCATCCAACCCCGATTTCTGGCGAAATGCACTGTGTTGGTTATCAACCAAGTTCTGGACATCCCTTGAAATATCTTCTCGAATCATACTTGCTCGGGAAACAGTGCTTTCAAAGGTGCCAAGGCAAAGAGTTGCCGCGAGTTTGCAATTGACGAGGAATATTCCACCCTCGGGATATGCCATAGGCTTCGCTATCTCCTCACAGCCAGACATAAACGGATCAAAAGCTTGTGACAATATACTCTGAACCTCGCTACCAGAATCTGCAGACATAGACAAAGAGGATTCGTACGTCTGAAGGATGGTACCAAGCTGTTTAAAGGCGTCCTGAAGGAATCGTGGGGGCTCTAGGTTCGAAGGAACTTGCTGGAATTCCCCTTGGATGGATAAAATGTTATCCCTGACAAGGGATCGAAACTGTCGCTTGGCTACTTTCTCAAGACCTCCTGTACAATCTTCTAAGCCGGATCCTGCACCCAGGAGTTTTTCAAATGTAGCCCGGTAGAAGTTCAGAAGCGTAGATATCTTGTAGGCAGGAATGACATCTTCATTCGATTGTATTGCCTGCTCCACCCGCTGGCGTAATATTCGAACAACGGGTGAGAAATTACGGTCCATTAGGTGGCTAAGAGCTTCAAGGACCTTGAAATCAGTGCCTTCGGAAGCCTCATCCGCTGGTAGATTCCACAGGGTTGCGTTTGGACTTGATGTCGATGTATGGAATACGTCATCTTTGTCGACAGCAAAAAGCGTTTCAAGGGCTTCTCGCTCACCCACCGTGGCAGAGTGAACCCAAGCAAACATATCGCCGACATAGCGCAGAGGATCATGTGCTGTTAAATCAATGGGCCTAGTCGTAGCATCTTCGGTACCTTGTGATGTAATGCCGGTAAGCGCACTGTGAAAGGCTTCAGACAAAAATCGTTCTCTGGATGCCGCAAAAAAGTCTAGACAATTCTGGAAGAGAGAAGGCCTTTCTGCAAGAACCCGTAAAGCTTGTCTCATGGAAGGATTCACATTGGGATTTTCTAAATTCAGCGTCCTGAATTCTTGTTGAACCCACTTGTAAAGCTTTTGGAAGGCCATATTTACATGCACAGACGTCCGATCGATCAACTCCAAGCCGAGGGTCTGGTTTTCAAATCCGAGCAGTATGTCACACCCAAGAGTGATCTTCTTCGCCTTTTGCAGGTTAGTGAAAAACGCACTATCAACTGGTTTCATAGTTGAAGTAAGGGAGTCAATTTCGTCTTCTGTCATGACAAAATAACTTTCAACGGCACTTAAAGTCTCTTGTTTCCTCTCTATTTCCATTCGCTGCTCGAAAAGAGATGACATGCCTTGCAATGCTGGCGCGGTTCGGTCATGAGCCAAATCGATCTGGCGTTTTATATCTTCAATCCGAGAGTTCAACCTTTCAACTACTCCTCGGACGAGTTTCAGTCGCTAATTGTGTCATTATCAGCGTATTCGTTGGGAGTAGTTAAGGGGGGTAACCAACCTCTGCAACCGCGCCCATTTCTTTAACAATTTCGCCATTGCAGCTAATTGCTTCTCCCAGGAGATCTAGGCGAAGGAGGCGCCTAGTCTTCGCACTGCTCCCAACGAACCGCTGATCGGCTAAGAGAATGGCATCGCGAAAGTCGTTGTCAGAGTAAGAAGTGGAAAGCACAGATGCAACTTTTAGGACCATAAGATCAGCTCCTTTCCCACTAGGAGTACTTGATGGGGTAGGTAATAGGCCATGATGAAGATTGAGACTATTTGCCAAAGCCATCGAGACAATTGCGAGGTAATGTGTCAACAACTTGATACATATGAACGACGGATTGCTAAATGATTTTCTAGAAAAATACATAAGTAAAATTATTACGCTATAATATAATATATATTATATTAAAATATAAAGATAAAATAATTAGAGGTAAATACTCTACTATATATATAAATATATAACAGATTTTAAATATATAATATATTTATATTTTAAATGTAATAAATATAAATTTAATAATATAATTTAAATTAAATTAAAAAATAATTTATATAAAATTAAATATAAATATATAAATAAATTAATTAATTTAATAATTTATTTTTATAATATTTATATAATATATATTTATAAAATTAAAATATAAAATAATATATAATAATTATAAATTTAATATTTATAAAAAAAACTAAAATATAAAAAAAATTAAAAAAAATTTAAAAAAAATTAAAATAATAAATTTTATTTTAATAATTTAAATTTTATTTAATTTTATTTAATTTTATTTAATTTTATTTAATTTTATTTAATTTTATTTAATTTTATTTAATTTTATTTAATTTTATTTAATTTTATTTAATTTTATTTAATTTTATTTAATTTTATTTAATTTTATTTAATTTTATTTAATTTTATTTAATTTTATTTAATAATTTAATTAATTATAAATTTAAATATTTATTAAATTCTATTATAATTAAAATTAATTTATAATTATAATTTAAAAATAATAATTAAATTATTTAATATTATTAAATTATTTAAAATATAAAATTTATTTTTAAATATTAATATTATTTTATATAATTTTATAAATTAATATAATAGTTTTTTTATTAAATTATAAAATTATTAAATTAAATAATTTATATATATATATATATATATTATTTTTATTATAATAATATAATTTTTATTTAAATATAATTGTTTAAATATTTTAATTTATTAAAAAAAATATTATTATAAATATTATAAAAAAATAAAAATAAAATATATACTTTAATATTATTTTAATTTATTTATTAATTTTAAAAATAATTTATTATTTATTTTATAATTATAATTAATAATTATTTATATATATTTTTAAATATTAAATTAAATTTATATTTAAAAAAATATTATTATTATTATTATAATTTAAATTAAAAGTAATAATATTTATTATATATAATTATATTTTAATTTAAATATTATATTTTTAAAAAATAATAATTATAAAATAATTATAAAATTTAAAATAAATTAAATATATAAAAATAAAATAAATATTATATTATTATAACACTTATATTTAATTTTTT